AAAAATGATAAGAACAACATTTAAAAAAAACAAAAACCTGAGGCCTTCCAGCTTGGGATTATAGGGAGAGAAATACCCAAAAATGTGAAATAAATCTTTCTGTACGCAACTGCGACAGCGAGAATTCTAACTGAGTGGCAGAACAAACTGGTAGAATTTGCCAAAATGGCTCAAATGACGAATAGGCTGAGAGGTAATGTAAATCAGGGCTTTGTCCAAAAATGGGACATGTTTAAGAACTATTAGATGAAATACAACTGTGGTGCAGTGTCTATCACAGCGTTTGAATCATTTCTGTACATACAGTATGAATTATAAAGTAAAAGGTTTCAAAAGCAGTAAGAAACTATAAGATTGTATAATTAAAGTTACAACTATATGTTTAATAGGAAAACAGAAAAAGCAAAGGCATTAGGGGGTGGTGGGAAGTCTTAAGTATATTTGTAATGAATGTATGGTGAATAGTATTGTATAGAATTGAATTGTCCTTGTTTTGTAATCTTTTTCCCTCCAAAGACCATACATACTAATGTTATGTTATTAAGTAAATTCAATTTTAAAAAAAGCAGTTTGATCCTTAGAAATCAGCAGAGCCTGGAGCTAAATGGGATCACCTGCTAACTTCTGCAGATCAAACTGTGGGTTAAAGGGGCAGCAACAGGGCCTGGCTTAAAAGTTGGTAGTAAGCCATGCACTTTGCATTATGAAGTTCCTGAGTTCAATTCCTGGCATCTCCAGGTGAGAGTGGGAAAGATGGACCAAGAGCCTGACTTGCAATAAGGCTCCTTGCTGTGTCATGGGCACCCATCCCCCAGCTAGCAAAGTGGCTGTACATGCTGAGGTGTAAGCAGGTATATTAAGTGTGCACGCTACAGGCTCAAATCCCCGTTTAATTGCTTGCTTGCATGTGCTGTCTGAGCTCTGGCTCCATAAAGTATAAAAAGAAATCAAAGGAAATGCTTTTAAAAAAGATCCTTTCTTTAGCAATGCTTCTCGCCCCCACATCCCACTTTTTAATTCTGAAGATCAGGCTTTTAAATCTTGCCTAGCGCTTTCCAAAAAGGAGTCCCTTGGAAACCACAAAGGTCTGATCTAATAATATACATGATATCCTTCAATGGCTGCGCTCGTTTCTCTCTGGTCGGGGACAGAGGGTGGCGCTTGGGGGGGAATTGTCATCACGCCACTCCTTGGTGTGTGGAGTACCTCAGGGTGCGATACTCTCCCCGATGCTTTTCAACATCTTTATGCACCCCCTCGCCCAGCTTGTCCGGAGTTTTGGGCTGGGTTGCCATCAGTATGCCGATGACACCCAACTCTATCTGTTGATGGATGGTCATCCTGACTCGGCCCCAGACACACTGACCAGATGTTTAGAAGCTGTGGCTGGATGGTTACGTTGGAGCCGGTTGAAGATAAATCCTTCGAAGACAGAGGTCCTGTGGCTGGGACGGGATGATATGGGATTGTGGGGGCAACTCCAATCTCTTGCAGGGGCGCAATTAGTGCCAGCACCGTCCGTTAAGAGTTTGGGTGTAATCTTCGACACCTCCCTTTCCATGGAGGCGCAGATTGCAGCTATAACAAAGGTGGCATTTTTCCATCTCCGCCAAGCTAAGCAGTTGGCTCCTTACCTCCCTCGCCCTGACCTAGCCACTGTGATCCACGCGACAGTCACCTCCAGACTGGATTATTGTAACTCGCTCTACGTGGGGCTGCCCTTGAGACTGACCCAGAAACTCCAGCGGGTGCAGAATGCTGCGGCGAGACTCCTTACGGGGTCCTCGCTGCGAGAGCACATTCACCCAGTGCTATACCAGCCGCACTGGCTCCCGGTGGAGTACAGGATCAGGTTTAAGGTGCTGGTTTCAACCTTTAAAGCCCTATACGGCCTAGGACCCTCGTACCTACGGGACTGCCTCTCCTGGTATGCCCCACAGAGAAACTTACGGTCTTTAAATAAAAACATCTTGAAGGTCCCAGGCCCCAGAGAAGTTAGGCTGGCCTCAACTAGAGCCAGGGCTTTTTCGGCTGTGGCTCCGATCTGGTGGAACACTCTGTCACAAGAGACTAGGGCCCTGCGGGAATGGACATCTTTCCGCAGGGCCTGCAAGACAGAGCTGTTCCACCAGGCCTTTGGCCAGGGCACAGCCTGACTCCCTGCCTCGGCAATCTTCACGGAGCTCTGGCCCAATGGTTGCCAGTGGCTTGATTTGAATTAATTTCATAATGAATGATTTTAGAGTGTTGTTTGTGCTGTACTTTTGTACTGGTTTATTGTTGTTAGCCGCCCTGAGCCCGGCTTCGGCTGGGGAGGGCGGGATATAAATAAATTTTTTTATTATTATTATGATGTACATTTTGATCAGCATCTTTTAACACAGTATCCATATACTAGCAGTACTTAAAGCAGTCCTCTATTGGAAGACAACTCCGGTGTAAAGCGAATGACCTCCCTCAAAGAATCCTGGGAACTTTAGTTTGTCAGGGGGGCTGGGAACTGTAGCTCTGTGAGGGGGAAGCTACCACAGCCAAGATTCTTTGGGGACGTTGTGGGCTTTAAATGTGCTCTAAAGGTATGGTGTGTGTTCACAGCCGGATTCATAACCTGGGCCTGAATTCACATCCTTTGCTGTTAAGGGGGGGGGGAACTGTCCCCCATCCCCACTAACCCCTACCAGGCTTTTTCTTCCTGCTAATAAAGCTCAGAGCCTGGCCTAGTGTGGGTGACTGATGCTTTCCTGCATTAATCCTGAGAACTCCTTATGAAGATGGATGCACAGCCCCAGCTACTGCCTATCCCCCCAGTTGCAAATTGCCAGTGATTTTCAATTTCCCTCTTATCTCTCTTTTGCTTTTCCTCCCCCCTCTCGCTTTGACACCTCTGCCTCCTAAGCAAAGCATGGCTGCAGCACACACTCCATTTGCAAAGGGGTTGGGAGCTCTCTCTCTCTCTCTGTGTGACATGTTGCAAATTGCCTCCTGTGAGGGTGCTGGAGAGACAGCTGGATGTGAAGAGGCTTGGGAAGAAGGAGGGGGAATTAGAAAACCTCAAAAAGAATGTTATTCATGCTTACTTAGCAACATTTGTTCCCTGCCTTTCTCCTAGTGCACTTGGCTTGTCCACACAGTTTACGGTGTGCTTGCAGCTTTCTGCGTTCCCATTTAACTTGCACAGGCCACATGAAGTTACTATTAAACAACACAAATCTCGATGGTGTCAGCACCTAGTTAGGAAATCTTCCCAGCAGCACCATCTTGAAACTCTTTCCCCAGCACTGCAAGAAGTTTAGGGGCCCAGGAGTGGCACATTTTGAGCAAAATTTGGCCACCCACAAACTTGCTCTATGGGCATAGTCATAGGGTAGCAGGGCAGGCAGTTGCCCCCCCACCCCCAATTTCAAGTAAATGATTAAAAATACTTAACTGACCAATCACGTCACAGATAGCTCAGTACTGCCCCCCCCCAAATAAATCCTGAACACCAGCACCTCCAGATCCTGTTGCTTCTATACCAGGGTTAATTGTCACAACTCCCCACCACCACGGTATCATGGGAACTGTAGTTTGGCAAGATGTTGTGAGAGCGGGAAAATATTCTTTGTGATCCCCAACCCCTTCTCATGGAACTACACCTGTTATTTATGCATTTAAAAATACTGATTTATTACATTTATATTCCACCAATTAGATACATTTTAGACCAGAGATGGGGAACTTCAGACCCAGGGCTCAATTGCAGCCCTCCAGGTCTCTGGGCCTGGCCCCTGTGACTCTCCTTAAGCCACACCTCATCCCTGGCCTTGCTTTCCACCTTCCTCTGGTGTTATTTTCCCTGACTAGGGCATGATATAAGTAAAAAAAAAACCTGCTCCTTTTCCCTTATGGGGTACCCAAGAGCCCATATAGAGTCCTTTTCTAGGTTCTCTATCGGTAGAAGAAAATAACAGAGACCAACTAGAGAATATTGAGAAGCAAAGCAGCTAGTAAGCCTGATCTTTATTAACTGTTGCAACAGGGTGCTCCCCCACATGCAGGAGAGAGGAGGAGGACCCCGAGCCATGCATGCAAACCCTTATATAGACATTTTAAATCTCCCCAAGACCACCCCCAGAAACATATATACATCACAGAAGGGGTGTTGCCCAAGACCACCCCCCAGATACGTAATACCTACATCACAGAAAAGGCGGTCTACAACAGAAATCTGAGTGTGTTGTTTTTACTCTGTCTGCCAGGTTACCTGTTAATGGTCACTTGACTGGATTACCTGGGGAGCCTGGCCATTCTTTTGTAATGATAATACTTAATCCCTGAGCCAGGTCACAGGCTCACCCTATTCACACCTTAAATGTGCCTTTAAGGCAGGATTTGTGAGGACAGAGACAACGGGGAGGTTTCTGCATTTCCTTCCACCTTGTAGAGAAATATTTGAGGTGACTGAAAGAGTCAAAATGGCTTTAGCCTTTTCCTGTGGGTTTTGGACATGTGGTTTATATATTTATATGTGTTTGCTTGGTACATTTATGAACATTTTTTTTTATATAATAAATGGGATGTGGCCCCTGGAAGGCTGCCTGTAAAATGCAGCCCTCAAAGTGCAAAAGGTTCCTCCCCCATGTTAGGCCTTGTAGGCACCATACATTTAATGCACATGGGTTTCCCGCCCGGGGTGGGGGGCGAGAGAACCCAGGACGCTGTCGTCGTCCCCCAGCCAAAATTCTCAGTACCCTTAATAAACTACAGTTCCCAGGATTCTTAGATGGGGGCCAAAGAAATCGCTTTCAATAGAAGCAGCCTCAGTCCCTGGACTGAATGACCTGAGGTTGCCCTGCAGAGTGGGGGGGGGGGCAGTCCTACGGCCTAGAGAACGGGGGGGGGGGCCTCCTGCTTATTCCCTTGGCGCCCGAAGAGGTTTCTCCACGCAGTCCCACGACCACCACCTTGTGCAGCTACTCTTCTTCGATGGGGGGGGGCCTTGCAGTTTCGCGCATGCGCCGCGGAAGAGCCGGGGGCGCCCACCTCCCCCACCATTTCCTTGCGCGGGGGGAGGGGAGGGGACTGGAGCATGCAAGGCGCCCACCCCTGCAAGGCAATAGCCCCCTGGTAGCTCAAGAAGCAGAGGCGTGTGTGTATGTGGGAGCTCAGCCCCTCCCCTCCCACAACGCCCCCCCCGCCGGGTGGCGGAGATGCTTCGTTCCCTCCTGCTTCGTCTCCCCCCCCCTTCACCAGGGCAGATGGTACGTTCCTCCGGCCGACATTCAGGCTGGGGAGGGAGGGAGGCAGATAGAGACCCTCCTTTCTTTAGCCAAGAGCGCTTAGGCTGCTGCTGCTGCTGCAACCACCTTGCTGGGGGCTCGTAGGAGAGAGAGAAAGGCGTCCCTTCCTCGCTGCTGGGCAGGCCGGGCGTGGGGCTCCCCCCCTCTTCCTCCCCTCCCCCCCTTGGGGGTGGCATGACCCTCTTCGGCAGCCGGGAAGGGGGCTGGCGCTGTGAGTACCGCTCGTGTGTGTGTGTGTGTTTCCCCCCCTTCCATAACCCCCGCCTCCCCCCCCCCCGGTTTGCGTACTTGGGAGCGGGGGGGGGGAGTCGCCCTCCTCCCAAAAAGGGGACTAGGAGCGGGGGCTCCACCGCCCGGAAGCAATGAAAGAGGAAGGGGGAAGCGGGGGGGGGCGGAGAGAGAGAGAGGAGGGTGTATCCGCTGGGTCCCCATCAAAAGCCCCATGCCGCCTCCTTTGATTTCGCTGCGCAGGAGGGGCGCACGCGCGCGCCCTTCCATTTGCTTTGCGCCTCTTGCTTGCAGAACGAATCAGGGGGGGGGGTCGCTTCCGAATCCTTCAGAGACATCTTTGCTGGGCCCAACTCTGGGTGGGAAGAAAGTTGGATGAGGATCGACGAGAGCTCTCTCTTTAAAAAAAGAAAGAGAGAAATTGGCATTTTTATTTTTATTTTTTTGAGGCCTGCAGCGCAAGAGGTGGCTAGGGCAACTTGGAGGGGTCTCGGGGTGGGGCTTCTATGAACCCCCCAGGCGGGGACCTGCCGTGGGATGCACTTGGAGGCCGTTTGAGGGTAGGACGGAGAAGAGTTACTGGACCCCCCTCCCCGGCCCTTGCTCAGGAAGACCCTCGCTGGCCTCTATGTTCATCCTGAGACTCTGGCCTCTTAAGGTTCTAGGAAACTTTCCCTTGCCAGACCAAGAGGAAGCATCCTTGCCCTGGGATGAGGAAGTCGGGGACCCTCCCCACATTTCTCTCTCTGCCCTGCAGGAAATGGGGCTCAGGATGCCTGGGTCCAGCATGTCATTTGCCCAAGGGCTCCAGCTCAAGTCCCCTGGTGCTGGGCCTTTGATGGTGCCCTGGAATTGGAGGTGCCCAGCCTCAGAGGTGTGGCAAAAGTCCAGTGGCAGGCAGGGATTCTGCCTCTGTGGCTCATGCCCAGTAGCAAAAAATGTAAACACTTAACATGGTGTTCTAATTAATTTTTCAACTTGGTTATAGTATTAAGATGCAGTTGAGCAGGCAAGTCTTTTTATTCCCTGTTGTCCTGCCAAGTAAAGGACAATAATGAGATGCCGCTCTGATTTGCCTTGTAGACAGATTGTGTAAATGAGTGGGGAGGCTGGAGGGAGGGGCATCTCTTTGATCACCCCCCCTTGCTGGGACACTGCCTCTGCTGACACCATTAAGCTGCTTTAATTGTTTTTAATACTGTATAGTTTTTAACGCTGTGACCTACTCTTAGGGTGAGTAATAAATAAATTAATAATACCTAATAATAATAATAATGCATTTCAGTTCCTTGTATCTACAGTATAGAGACTACTCTTGTCTGTACACAAACCTGAAAAATCTAAGCTGGTTTATATACCTGTGAGATGTTCTAAGGATCTGCCCTGCCGGATGGGGTCAGCCTTGGACTTTGTTAGGGGGTCCCTTCTGGTGTGACAGCGGCCTCCATTCAGCCTGACCCCTCCTGGGCTTCTGGCCTCCTCCTTGCCCTGGGGTTTCTCTCTCATGGTCTTCCTCTTTCTCTAGATCTCGACATGGCCCGGGAGCCTAAACTGAGCCACGCCAGGCCAAGCCAGAAGAGGCAACACAGCGGAGGCCTGTACCCGTGAGTCTTTTGTCACCACGGATTTGATCCGACTGTGCAATGTCCCGTTTACTGTGTCTAGGCAGGGAAGGGCAATCTTTGTGGCCCTCCAGGAGTCGTTGGACTCCAGCTCCCATCAGCCCCTGCCAGCAAGGTCAATACTTGGGGTGATGGGAGTTGTACCAGCTGCTTATGACCTGGTCATGGTGCCTGCCCCCTCGGAAATGGCCCCGAGAATCTCCTTCTCCAACCCATTCACTGCCTGGGTTAAGTTCCAGGGCACCCCCTGGCATGGAATTCCTGGTTGCTGGTGGTGAACTATTCATTTTTATTTATTTGCACTTGTTGCCTTCGTGTTCCACCTTCCCCCGTCCCAAGATGTTTAAGATGGTGTACATAGTTCTCCCCAACCTCCTTTAATCCCCCACAACAACCCTGCGAGGTAGATTAAGCAGAGAGGCGGTGACTGGCCCCTGAGGTCACCTGGTGAGCGTCTTAACCAAGTGGGGATTTGAGCACTGTTGCCCTTCTCAAGCCTCTTCTGCTGGATGCTGACAAGCTGCTGTTTAAAATTCCCCGCAGTGACCAGACATGGTGTTGGGACGTTGTGGGTATTTCAAAAAAAGCCTCTGCTTGGTCTAGAGTGGCTGATTGGCTCCAATCAGGAGGCGTTGCTGCTGCTTTTTGCACCCAGAGTTGCTGGCAGACGGTTTTTGCCACAGCTACTCATGCTCTGGTAACTGAAAGTTTCCAGCCACTGTTTATCCTCTGGCCAAGAAATGTGCTGCTTGCTATATTTCTGTTCCTCTTGCAACTGGACTCCAGCTGCCCTCAGATGGATTGCTTTTTTCCCTTCATTAGCTCATGGCACGCAAAGCTGGAGGCAGTGCTAGGAAGGGGGAGCATGAAAGCCCAAGGGATAGGTGCAGGCTTGACTACTGCACTAAGTGATAAGTGGGGCTGCTCTTGCAAACTGTTTGGAAGCTTCCGCTGCTCCAGAATGGGACAATCAAATGGTTAGCCAGAACTAAATGCGGGAAACGTATTTGTAGCTTTGCTTCAACTCCCAGTTTTCTCTCAGGTAGACTCCAGGGGGAGAGTTTTTTCTATGGTAGCATTGCGGTTGTGGAACCCACCCACCCAAAGCCACTAACCTGGCCTGGCTGCTATTCTGCTTTCTTTTTGAGGCCACCCTGTTTCACATGCATGGGCTGCGTTCAGTTTCCTATTTTCCAGGGCTGTAGCGAGAGGGACGAGCACTGTGCTCTTCTATCGCCGTTTTGCTTCATCTAGATCCTCACGTGGAGGGTATTCTGCTGCCAAGAAAACAGATTATAACCCTGGGATTAGGCAGAAGGGTGGCTTGTTGGGTTTTTTTGCATTTATTTATTTATATGGCTGGTAATGGAAATTGTTTGGTTGTAGCTGTTGAGAAGAGGAAGCCGTGGGGGTGGGTGGGGGGGAGGCAGTGACTGCAAGACGCTTTTCCTGTCCTCTTAGATTCTGGTGGGATCCGGTACTGGTTATCCAGCCATAATCTCTGCCTGATCTCCCTGTGTGAAGGAACTGTGACATGAACAGCGTCCTCTTGTAGGTAGGTCAGAATTGGCTCCAGGGCAAAGGCAAGACAGAACAGGAGGTTAGGGGTGCTCCCAGACAGGGATGGAGTTGGTTTATTATTACTTTAGAACAATTGTTATCCTGCTTCATAGCCCTGAGAGGCTCTCGGTGCATCTTAGCACAAAAAAATTGCGAGCGGGCTGTTGAGATATCTCAGATGAGTTGCTAGCAACAGGATTTGTTGTGATGATTGGATTTCCCCTACAGAAAGGGTAAATGGGCGGGGGATAAGAGATGGCGTTTTGATGCCAACGCAGTTGTGCAGATGCTGCAAAAATACATCCAAAAAACACCCGTCTGGAAGCAGACTTGGGAAACGGTTGGGTGGCCACTTACACATTGCCAAAGCTGAGGAAGCCTAGCCCTGAAAGAAAAAGAGAGAGAGACCCCTCTGCCTGATCTTAACATCTGAGAGTGTCTGTAAGGAAGGAGGCAAGCTTTCATATATTTGTGGCCTTAGCTGTTCAGGGTTTTAAACACCAGTGTGAGCTCCTTGAATTGGCCAGGGAATTGAACTGGCATTTATAACAGGAGTTGTGTCTGTTATAAGCGGAACCCCAGCCAGTAATTTTGCCACTGCATTTTGGATCATTTGAAGCTTCTGAGTTGTCTTCAAGGGCAGCCCCATGTAGAGCACCTTGTAGTATGGCAGTCAGGAAGTTACCAGAACATGGACTACTGTGGTCAAGGTGTCTTTGTCCAAAACCAGCAAACTGGATGGAGCTGGTAAAAGGCACTCCTATTTATTTATTTTTATAAATACAATCCTAGTCAATGAAGTCATCCTAGCCTCCAGTGAGAAGGCCAAATCCAGGAACACCCCCAAGCTATTGACCTATTCCTTCTAGGGGAGAGCAGCCCACTAGGACAGCCTATCTCTCCATCTCTTGGACTCAGAAATTCAGGATACATAACAACTCTGTCTCTCAATGAGTTGTTTTGATGGAGGAGCTTTTCCAGTTAAATGTAACTGCTATAAATCCTGGGAATTGTCATTTAACTGAGGGTGTAAAGGACAGTTTCCTAGTAAGCCCAAGCTCCTCTCGCTGATGCTGACCCCTGTCCTGGAGCCCTTGCACAGGGTGGCTGCAAGCGGCCATCTTAAATTTCCCACAATGCCACAGAGCATCCGCCATAAGGCTGCTTTGGGACATGGTTGGAAATTTTAAAATGGTGGCCGCCTGGTACCAATTTGCTGTGTGCTGGGTGAGACTGCTCTGGGAAGAGGTGTCCTCAAGATGTGCCTAGGGGAAATCAGTGGGGTCTGGAGGAGAGCAAACGTTGGAGGGGACTGAGGCGATTCCACCCACCAACCCCCAGGATTGTGGCCTTGCAGGCCTGTGGTCACAGGAGTAAGAACCAGCGTTGCTGAACCCACAGATGGAAAGTTGGAAAACAAAAGGACTGAACAAAGCCTCCCAAAATAACTTGGAGGGGCAAACAATAGCTGCTACGCAACAGCTTTCCCCAAATTCCTGGCTTCGGCTTCCCTTGTGGCTGCCAATGTGCCGTCTCACCGTGCCTTTAAAAGGAGGGGTGTTGCTATTGCCGGCCGGCGTGAGCCATTCTTCAATCCTTCTGAAACCCTATAGCTCCCTTTGTCCTGCAGCCCAGAGGAATAGGCCCGGGAGCTGAGCACCCTCCCTGGTTCGCAGGCCTTCTCCTCCTCCACCATTTGGCCCCTGCCTGGGTTTGGCACTGGCTGAGTTCCAGGATCTGCCCCGTTGCATACAAAGAGCCTGTGAAAGAGGAGAGGAGCGACCACAGGAAAGCAATAGGTTTTATTATGGCCTGAGCCTTCGCAGGCCTTCATCAGGCATCCTTCATCACTCAGGTTCTTGCCCACCAGAGCTCAGGCCATCCGAAGTGCCTCTTATGTATGATACACACTTTCCTGCCCTTTCTTCGACGCTCTTCCGGAAATCTGGTCTGCTGGAGCCAGAGGGAAAAGGGCTGTGATGCAGAAAGAAAACCCCATGCCATAAGCCAGGGTCTGTGTATTCTCCCTAAAGATAACGACACACCCATTCTGGGCATTCTGTGGCCTGTGCGAAATTAGCCGTGCAAATGTGCTGGTTTATTTTGTGCAAGTTCTTACGATTCTGCTAGTTATGGGGAAGGGACGACCAGCCGCCCCTTTTACCGGTGGCAGTCTTGCTGGTTCTGCTCTGGAATTTTTTGGGGGTTCCTTGTAAAACAATTTTTAAAATATTATTTTAATCTGCAAAACATGGGTCAAGTAACAGCAACCAGAGGACAGCAGTGTTTGAGACTTGCAGGGCTGGCTGTACAATAAGATGACCACCAAGGCACCCCAGGAGAACTCCCATTACCTGCCCCATTCTTCAGTGAGCAGTCTCAGAATAAAATAATGGTGGCCGCAACTGGCTGTTGACATTCCCCTAGGCATTTTTTTTTTTTAGACCTCTGTATGTGTAGAATCATAGGATAGATAGTGTCCTTTTGCCACATCGGGCATGTAGTTGCAGAATTCTTTAATAATAATAATAATAATAATTTATACCCCACCCATCTGGGCAGTTTCCAGCCCATATAAAAACATAACAAAACATCAAACATTAAAAGCTTCCTGATACAGGGCTGCCTTCAGATGTCTTTTAAAAGTTGTGTAGCTCTTTATCTCCTTGACATCTGAAGGGAGGGCATTCCACAGGGAGGGCACCACTGCCGAGAAGGCCCTCTGCCTGGTTCCCTGTAACTTCGCTTCTTGCGGTGAGGTGGAATGATGGCTGTCCTATTCGCCTCGTGTGGTTGGGCCAAAGGGTGGAGAGGGGGCTCCACCCCCCTGCCACCTTCCAGAGCCAGTTTGGTCAATGCCAGAGCCCTTGCTTTAGCAGATGGACAAGCCATCACCCCTGGGACATGGTCGCTGCTATGGCAGGGAGATTTCACTGTGGCATTTCCCGAGTGGACAGGCAGAGAAAAGCTGCACAGAACAATCTCCTGGCATCGAGGCAGCCACTACAGAGATTGACGGTGCAGATGCACAGCGAGGGGGAGGCTTCCGAGAGGAAGCAGAGCTGAAAATTTTTTCAATTATTCTGCAAAACATTCCCGCCGATGTCTGGCAACTTGGCTCCCACGCACTCCCGTGTGGGATGGCAATCACTTTCTGGCTCTGTAGATAGAATTTGACACACGCACACACACTCCTGAATGCCAGAGAGAGTTGGAAATAAGGGGTTCTCACCCACACCCGCCCCCTTGATTCTGGACCCTCTTCCTGGATCAAATGAGCGGATTTGTGCAGGCTTTCCACTTGGGCAAAGTCTCTTGCGTGGGAGAAGCTGGGCAGGAATGCTGGGCCAAGATGAGGGCAGGGAAATGGAAGATTCCCACTCCGTCCAGGGGGGACGGGGACGGCCTAGCTGGTTTCCCGGGAAACGAAGCCACAGCCATACACCGTTCAGGACTCATGTGCCTTTTAATAGTCGCGTCGGGAAGAGGGAATGTTGGCAGGTGCAGCTTGCAATGTAGTGCAGAGAAAAACCACACACACACCCTGTTAAAAAAATGTCATGTGGGAGATGAAAGGGCCCAGAGCCCCCCGCTTTGGGTTGGGCCAGATCAGCCCATAGGGGCTTTGCCGCAGCGTTCCTTCCCTGTTCTTTTGCTTGTTCATGTGGCATGCGATTTATTACAGGCGCATCAGCGCCTTCCTTCAGGGGAGGCGTTCCTGCTGACAGCCTTTCCCCCTCCGCCCCTTTCCATTTGGACCTGAAGGGGAGGCAGCTGGCACACAGAAACCACCATCCGTGAAATGTAAAATCAAGAATCTCTGATGGAAGATCAGCAGGGGGTGGAGGGTGGGGGTCCGGGCTGATTCTTCCACTCCGGATAGAGTGAGTTTATCCCTGAAAGAAGCCTTGACCCAATCTCACTCCCCACACTTTGGCCAAAGGGCAGGCCGGGTAATGTCAAACTACAACTTCCATCAGCGGTCAGGGGGTTTGGGAGCTGGAGCCTACCCTCAGGGGTGGGGGACGGGGACCGCCTTGTCTTCCCTGGTTAGGGGTCCTGGAGGATGTTCTTGCCCCTTCCAGTGTCTGGAAGAGGCTCCTGGGCCTGTTTACTCCCCAGGCCTGCAGAGCTCATAGCCAAAAGGGAGGTGCTGGGTGCTTAAGGTTGCCCTACCTTCAACTTCCATTTTAAAAAGAAAAGAAAACTCCCCTGGTTCTTTTACTTGTGGGAACAGAAGGAAAATCCTGCAGGCCGGATTCTACTGGGATAAAAGGAGTAAACCAGCCCATACCTTCCAGCGACCACAAATGCTCTGGGGAAAAAAGGATAAGTGGCAGGCACTCGCTTTCAAGTGGCATAAATATACGTTTTAATATAGAATATAATTACGTAACATTTGACAGATTGCAATAACTGTTTAGGATCTGGTTGTTTTGCTTTCATTCCTCGCCCCCCCCCCCCACCTTCTGGCTACCTCCTCCAGTGCTCAAATTATTGGAGAAAAGGCAGAGTGGCTTAAAGAAATCTGCAAACTCAACCCCCTCTCCCACCCCGATCCCTCCAGTTTTAGCCAGATCATGGCTCCCGCAGTATTCCTCTGGAACAGTAGCTGAGGGAGCAGCCAAAAGGGACAGAATCATAGGATTGTACAGTTGGAAGGGACCCCCAAGGCTCATCTAGTCCAACCCCCAATCACAACAGAAGTCCGGGGGGGGGGGTTGCTGGCACCCCTGTAACTAAAGCATTACTAACCTTTCTCCTCTTTAGTCTCAGGTGCACCAGGGCCAGTATAAACTGGAAAATGAATATACACTTGAATGCCTAAAATCTGCACAGGGGAGCTTGCACCATGCATGATTTGGCATGCTAAATATGCTACTGCATATACACTCCTGTCATGCTGACTAGTTACAAAACCCTGATTTACTTCCCGTTTTGCAGCCTTTATTCAAGCCAAAGCATCAGAGGAGTCGATAGGGCTGCCTCCTTGAGATGCGTGTGGTGACACAAGTCTTGTTTCCAACAAAAATTGTCGCAAGGCACCTTGCTGACAGCAGAAAGGCATTGTAGAGATGGAGGGGCAGCGTGATACAGTGGTTAGAGTGGGGTGGTGGTGGGGTGTCTGGCCCTTCAGACAGCACAGGAACTCTCAACTCCCATCATTTTTAGCTATTGGCCTTGTTGGCTGGGGCTGATAAGAGCTGGAGCCCAGGGATATCTGCCCCCCCCAGGCTCCCCATCTCTGGGCCAGGAGTGGAGGAAATAAAAGGCATAACACTAGGGGAAAATGTTTATAAAATCAGGGTATTTACAGATGATATGATTGTGATGGTGGAAAATCCAATTAATAGTACAAAGAAACTTTTAGAGAAAATGGAAGAATTTGGAAAAGTGGCAGGCTTTAGATTAAATAAAGAAAATACGAAAATGATGGTTAAAAATATGGATAATCAGAGCAAAAAGGATTTAGAAGAAGCAACCGGATTTCAAAGAGTGAAAAAAGCAAAATACTTGGGGATTTACTTAACAATGAAAAATACAAAGGCAATTTTCCATGGTGCAGCGGAGGATGTTGGGAAGCATGAAATGGCGCCAAATTACCTTTTCTTCTCTTGTCTGCAGCAGCACCTGCGACCTGGACTATGAGCTCTATAAAGAGGATTTGCCCTACAGGTGTGTTTTGGGGCTTTGCTCTCCCTCCCTCATTTGGCCTGCCCATCAGCATAACAAGTGGGAGTGGGTTTCCCCCACCATATCCTTGGACCTCAGCAACCCCACCCCGCCCGCCCGCATTTGAGCGGTGGTTTCAAGGGGATTCTGCAACTGACCCTCTTGCTCTCGTTTCCTGCAGGGTCTACGAGTACCAGAAGATTCCCCCGCTCATCAGTCACATCCCGGTCAAGGCCAGGAGAAGCCATTTGGGGGCCGGGGGCAAGGCCAGCTTGGGTCCCCACGCGGGGCTGAGGGGCAGCAGCGGCTCCACGGCGGGCCGAACAAAGTGTAAGCGCTTTGGGGCAGAGAGGGCCTGGTGTCCCAGGTGCCAGGGGCACTCTTTCAGCATTTAGCGTCGTCAGGGAACAAGCCTGTCAAGAATGTTTGCAGTCCGGGCTCTCTGAGGGACGGAAAAGCAGTCTGTTTGGATGTGACTAAAACCCCACACTGGCGAGCACCTGGGTGGCCTGTGGGCTAGGAAGTGGGTCTAAAAGGGAGCAAAGCTGAAGAGCAGGGAGTCTCATTGAAGGGTGTAAAGCAGGCAGTGAACTGGGAAACAGTAGTCAGGGAGATGGGGAACGAAAGGAATTTCATGTGTTGTTTTGCACTCAGCAGCCAGTCTTTGGGGTACAGGTTCTATTGTTTTGTTTCCATTTATCTCGTCCTGATGTGTTTCTCGCAGAAACATGTTTACTATATTGGCCTGAATATAAGCCACACTTTTCCCCCAAATTCCGACCATGAAAAGTTAAAGTGTGGCTTAAATTCGCAACCTTACAAAAATCGACTTTTACGAGACAAGTGAGGCAAGATGGCGGGCGCCACTATAGCGCGTAGCTCCTAGGACCACCAGCACAAGGCACAATTTTAAGGGAGCAGCTTATATTCGGGTATTGTCTCCCCCCCCCCCGAATTTTAAAGAAGCGGCTTATTTGTGGGTGCGGCTTATATTTGGGCCAATACGGTACTTCGTTTGGGCTCTGAGTTCAAAAAACAGCAACACTTCATATGCACCTTTGTATCCATGCATGTGCCCTTTTGATTTGTAAATATGAGGTCCTTGCCCACCACAGCTTCCATGAGCTAAGGAGAGCAGCCAGCTGACTGCAGTTTTGATCCACGCACTTGGACACAACTTGTAGCCTCCCCCCACAGCCTCTCAGTGACAGAACCAGTGAACAGCTGTGTGAAACCCTCCCTACCCGCGTAGGTTTCTGCTCACGCTGTCTTTCCCTTCCAGTGCGAGCAGAGGAGCTGCACTCCATCAAGGGAGAGCTAAGCCAGATTAAAGCCCAGGTGGACAGCTTGCTGGAGAGCCTCGACCGGATGGACCAGCGACGGGAGCAGCCCACAGGTGAGGAGGCGCGTGAGAGTCGAGGAGCTGTGAGGATGAACAACATTTTGTTGCAGGTCTTTGGCACAAGCACACGTGCACACAAAGCAAAGATCAGATTTTCTGGTCACAAAACTGACCAGAAATTCTAAATCCTAGCTTCCTTGTCTATAGCAGGTTTGTGGGCTGGAGCATCATTAGGATTTCTGCCTGCCTGTAAACTCATTGAGGTGCAGGATCTGGCCCAGTAGAGCAGGATGCACCTGCCTTGTGGCATCATCATCAGCATCATTAATAATAATAATAATAATAATAATAATAATAATAATAAATTTTATTATTTATACCCCAGCGACTCTAGGCAGCTCCCAACAGAATATTAAAATACAATAACCTACTAAACATTAAAAGCTTCCCTAAAGAGGGCTGCCTTCAGATGTCTTCTAAAAGTCTGGTAGTTGTTTTTCTCTTTGACATCTGGTGGGAGGGCGTTCCACAGGGCGGGTGCCACTACCGAGAAGGCCCTTTCCCTGGTTGCCTGTAACTTGGCTTCTCGCAGCGAGGGAACCTCCAGAAGGCCCTCAGCACTGGACCTCACTGTCCGGGCTGAACGATGGGGGTGGAGATGCTCCTTCAGGTATACTGGACCGAGGCCGTTTAGGGCTTTTAAGGTCAGCACCAACACTTTGAATTGTGCTCGGAGCATAGCAAACCTAGGCTCAGTGCCTAGGTGGGAGACTGCCTGGGAGCACCACAAACGGCACCCGGCGCCAGGAAAAAGGTGGTGGGGAAAAGTGTGATGAATGGGTAAGGTGGTGTAAGGTTGCCTGCTTTGTCTGATCCCTCAGGCTCCAAGGAGGTCAAGAAGAAAGCAGCCGCCAGCACAGAGGCCTCCTACTCAGCAGGAGAGACCACCCGGAGGAAGGAGAGCCCCGTGCAGGATGGCCGGGCTGCTCTGCCGGAGGTGGACAGTGCAGAGGAGAGCACAGACACCGAAGAGGCGGTGAGTGGCAGCGCCGAGGGCGGAATAGCAAGAAGGGGAGCAACCGTGAGGCTGCAGTCTCTCCCTCCCTCCTCAGTGGAAATTCAGGAACGCAATGCGGTTTTTTTGGTGAAACCATACGCATACAGTACTGCATTTTCTTGCTACAACATTGCAAGCCGCACCTGTCCAGAGCGTCAATGGTCAAGGTGATACATTATGCAGAAAAAGCTACCGGGGTCTCTCAGGATTGTCTATTGCAAGAGCCCTCTGAGCCTTCCCCCTCTGCCTTTCTGTGCAAAGCAAGGCTGCACCATTTCCTAAGCTTTTCTGCCTTGCCTGCACTTGAGCCATTAAGCAAGGGCTGTCGTTTTGCATCTCATTATGCGCCCCAAGACACACACACACACACACCTTGCAAGCTCTGGGGCAGGAGAACTGCTAGGAGCTCTCTCAGGCTATTAGAAGTCCACTAACTCCACAAGTTGCACAAAGGTCAGGTCACGGCCATCATCAAATGTTGAATATTTGAATGATTTTGGTGTGATCAATGTTGTGTTTGTCATGTGACTAGGAGGGACTGTGCCTATCATAGAGGCAAGATGGCCAGAGGGACATGGGGAGGGGAAGACTTGTAGAGCAAACACCAGGGGCCCAAATTCTTCAGAGGAGTTTAGCAACCATTCCCGCTTTTCTCAGGGAACTCTGGGAATTGTAGCTCCCCGAGATGAATAGGTGGTGCCTCCTATTGACTCTCAGCACCCTTCTCAAACTGCAGTTCCCAGGATTATTTGGTGGGGGGAGCTGTGCCCGTCTAAAGTACTTAGACTCTGCTTTAAATATGCAGCGCAGATTGGGCTGAGGATTCAACAGAGAAAATGCCGAGTTATGCCTCAGGGACGAGGCTGACAAAGCCTCTTCTTTCATTGCAGGCAAGGAATCACACGTTGGACCTGGAAGGCAGCCAGTAAGAGGACCTGGAGTGCCCCCAACCCCTTTGCCCGGCGTTTCCTTCCTGTGTTTTGTATTCCTTCCGATGCCTCTGGCCGGTGCTGCGTCTGGCGTCAGTTCCCTGCCGTCAGGGCTGGTGCAGAGGCCGAGAAGCCCACCATGGTCTTCCTCGCACCTTTTTCTGGCCTGGCAGAGAGAGACTCCTGTGGCGCGTTCGAGGGAGAAGCAGCCTGGTGTTCTTTGTTGTGAAAATTAAAATATGCCAATGTGGGAGACGGGTGGGCAAAGCAGGCAGTGCCAACTTCGCACTTGCCCAGATCAGCATTAAACAAAAAATAAAGCAGTTGCCATCTCCTACTGATAATGATGTGTTGCTTGCTGTCCTGTCTTAGCTACAGATTTACCATGTGCCAGACCAGATTGATTGCTGCCTTTTATCATTTCTGAGCCTGACGTGTCTGCTCAGAAGTACCGGTACATCCCATGAGCTTCAGTGGGGCTTCCTCCCAGGTATGTGGGCAAAGGAGTCCCCAGCCCCCCAGATGTTGCTGGACTGCAACTCTCATCATCCCCGACCATTGCTCAATTTGGCTTAGGGCTGAGGAGTTGTAGTCCGAAACATCCAGACGCCACCAGGTTAGGAAAGGCTGCTCTAGACTCAGAAGAGAAGCCCTGTGGGATCAGACACAAAGCCCATCCAATCCAGGGATGGGAAATCTGTAGCGCCCCAGATGTTGTTCCAGCTTCCATCAGCCTGGACCCACATGCCCAATGGTCAGGGATAATGGAAGAACTTCAGCCAAATATCCAGAGGGCCGAAGAATTCCCATTGCAGGTCTAATCCAGCATCCTGTTTGCCACAGAAGCTGGTTGGGTGCTTTTGGAAAGCCCAGGTGACAACCAAAGCCTTTTCCTGATGCAGTTTCCCAGCAAGGACCCATGTTTAGAGGCATCTATGTGCTGCCTTGGAGGTGGCATGCAGCCATTGTGCCTAGTCGTCACTGGTAGTCTTTTCCTTCATATAGGACTTAATCCCTTCTAAAGGTGTTTGCATTTGTGGCTCCCAGCTGCACAGCCTGAAGCAGTGCTTCGCTTTCTGTCAGTGCCATCCGCTGAACCTGATTTCTAATACTATGATGATGCAGGGAGGGGGAACAAATATTCTGCAAAACCATAAGTGTCCCTTGTGTAGATGGTTAGCTGCTGCTTTATTGCACCACCGGACAACAAAGACAGGAGTTATTACCGCAAGTACATTTTGCAAATATGTTTGAACTTGTAAAATCCACTGGTCTGAAACTTGGCAACTGGCTGGCCTTCTCAGTCTTCTATAATAGCACTGGGCATGTGCATTGCCCATGAGCTTTGTAGAGCTGCTGCTCTGAGTTCAGACCATCTTCTTAAGAGATGGCACGTCCCTAGAATGCTCTAGGAAACCCATCCACAAGATGCATGGTTTTATAATGTACTTAACCCAGTAACCATTTTTTCAGGGCATTGTTGCACCAGACCAGCAAAAGATATGCATGTGACCTCACTTTAAACCTAACTATATTGGTGCTTATGTCACTGCCAGGGTTTATTTCTGGCTATGCTAACCTGAACCCTAATCTAGTTGTGTGGGCACCTTTTGTGCTATTCCAGATTTTACAGAGTAGCTCATTTTCAGTCTTCCTTTTCCCAGTTTACTCCATTCGTTGACACTCTAGTAAACGCTGGAGTCCATAAATACACACTTTGTTGTTGTTGTTTAGTCGTGTCCGACTCTTCGTGATGATTCCCTACTTTAGCATAAATACACACTACACTAGTAGAATTCAACTGGTGGCCTAGGACCCAATGCTGAATTATGGTCTGATCTAAACCTGATCACAACAGCAGCGTTCCCACCGTGCAAATACATGGCAAGAAAACAAGACATGGGGTCCCAAATGTGGGTTTGGCTTAAAAGTGGTTCCTGAATTTGAAACTGTTGGAAGACAACTACATCCACTCCACAGTGAGAGTAAGAGGGAGAAGACATAAAAACCAAAAAGCCTTAAGTTATGCAAAATAGTGTATTTTAATTATAAAAAGAGACTTTATTACAAGTATCTAATAAACTTTTCTCCATGAAGAACAAGTTCTCAAGCCTTGCATATCACAAGATACTAGTAGGTCCTAGTAAATCAGACCAAGTATTAATGAGTCCAAGACAGAAGCAGATTGTGCTGGAAGTGGCCACTGAATAGTCAACCTGCAACTCGCTGCCAAATTAGCTAATCACTCTACATCCACCTTGATCCCATTACCAGTTACTGGCTCACTTGCATCACCTCTGCAAGAAGAAACCATTTCAGTCTTTAGGATGCCCATTTGAGGTTGACCTTTTAACAAGGGAGGTCACACACAATTTATTACACCACGGTTCTACAAAAGGAGATTTCACATAATGAAGTAGTCTAATACAGTGTTCTGCCTTTAGTCCCCAGATGTTGAGCTAAACTTCCCACCATCCCTATCCAGATTAACAGATGAGATAATGGGACTTGTAGTCCCAATAATATCTGAGGACCCAAAGTTGAAAAACACCAAAGTAATTTCAGCAACAAACATTTAGCCAATACAAAAAAAGAAATAAACTTGCCGTATTTCCTATGAGAAAATGCTGATTTTTAATTTTTTGTCTTAAAGCAAGGAGTTTCAGGGAAGTGGGGAGGAATGCAGAGAATGATGTCACCTTATTGATAATTGCCTCAATGCAAAACGCACTGATTTGGATGGAAACTCCTTTGAAATGAGGGTAACTTTCCAAGAAAGCAGGTTAAGCAGGAGGATGTGTGGATTAACCCATTTTGTTCCTTGACATTTTCGAAGTGTAATATTTTTAAACTTTGGAATTTTGAAAGCAAACATAGCCGCCAACAACACTGGACTAATGAACAAATGCAGATTCCTACCCCAAACTGATAATCATAGCAATTTGAAAACTCAGACCACGGTAGAACTTTGGATTCAACCAGCAGCAAATAACCCTTTTTTGTTTTTCTTGAGACTCAGACTGTGCGCACACACACACACATCAGATATTTACAACATTTAAAGCAGATTTTTTTCTCCCAAATCCCAGGAACTGGGTGAAAACTACACAGAGCAATAATTCCCGGCACGTTTAATAAACTAGCTTTCTGGGTCTGACGGTGGTGCGGTAGACTTTCGGAAGTCTCTCTCACTCTCCGTCGAAGTTTCACTCGCAAAGAGCGCGGAGCTGCAGAGATGGTCTCGTGTGGATGTGGCCTGCCCTCCAGGGGAAAAGGGGTCGGCTCGCCTTCCCTGGATCGCGACTGGGCCCACCGTGGTTGCGGTTCCTCGCCAATGAGGAGGCCAGGCAATTTCATCTACGTCGGGTAAACCACGCTCAGATCCCGGATCCAAAACCACGAGGCAGCCGAAACCCAGAGACATCGGAAGAGGAGTCCGGCGAGGCGCAGCCCGAGAAGCTCCCGGAGTTCAGGCGGTGGCGGCGGGAGGCTGGGCCGTGTCTGTGTCGGTCGGCGCTTGGGTGCCCGGCGCGGGTCGGCGCTTGGCAGCGCGCAGGAGGCTCTGTCGGAGCAGCGGGTAGAGGCGCTGGCATCCGTCGAGGCCGAGGCGCACGGCTTGCGCCCAGCTGTCGGGGGGCCCTCCTTCGCCGCTGCCCAGCAGCCCGGCCACCTGGTTGAGCGAGGGCAGGAGCGCCACGGTGAGGCGGGCGTCGGCGGCGCGCTCCTCGGGCTCGCTGGGCTGCAGGCGCCACTCTCCGCCCGGCGCCCGGCACAGCGCGCACGCCGCCACCAGGTCGTAGAGCTCCACGCCGGCGTCGGCCAGGGCCAGCCCCGCGGCGCACAGCGCGGCCGCCAGCGCCGAGCCGCCGTCCTGCAGCAGCAGCGCGCTCACCTCCAGCTGCGCCCGCGGGTAGCGCGCCAGGCGCACGGCCGGCTCCAGCGCCTCCTGCAGCGCCAGCGCCAGCTCGGGCTCCCGCTCGCTGGGGCGTATGCGCGCCCCGCGCCCCGAGAAGGGCGCCCGCCGGAACTCGCACACCAGCCGCCCTCGAGGCTCGCCCGGAGCCGCCGCGCCCGCGCCGCCGCCGGCTTCGCGCGGCCCTGCCACGGAGCACAGCACTTTGGTGCCGCCGTGGAGCTCCACGTAGGCCGAGCCCTTGGCCTGGCTCAGCAGCCCCGCGCGGGCGAAGAGCGGCTGCAGCGCCGACGGGTCGCGGGGCGGAACCTCCGGCGCCTCGACGGGCGCGAAGAGCAGCGGCGTCTGGGACTCCTCCGGCCCCGGCACCCGGCGGTGGTCCAGCGGCATGGCTTCTTCGGCGGCTAGCGCGCCGCGCTCCGGAAGGGGAAGAGGAAGCTGCTCGAGGGAGGGACAGGCGGAGGGAGCGGCGGCTTCGCTTCCGAGGCGCACGGGCGGTTTAGCGCCGAAAGAGCGCCGTGGCGGAGAGGGGACCTGCAGCCCCCGTCGAGCCAGGGAGAGCGCCTCGATTCCCCCATCCCACCGGCTGCGGATCCTGCACTCAGAAGGAAGCCTCCGGGCTCCCCGGTGGATTCCAGCTCATCTTGGCTCCAGCCAGAAGAGCCGGTGGCCAGGTTGGAGGGAGTTGTGCCCCAGTACTATCCATTATTAAAGAGCCATTTTATATCCATTTTTTTGAGTTTGGCAAAGAAATGAGCAGATTCAGGGCTCCTGCAGTTTCTGATGGGCTGGAAGCTGCGCGAGCCTTAGTTTTGGGATGTCACCCACACGGTGCCCTCCCTCTCGAACTGGCAAGTTTTTATCGAAACCAGCGGCGTACAGCTCTTCCCACTGTGTATCACTGCTTACAAAGGCGCATCTTAGAAGTGGGACTCTAATTGATACAGCAAGTAATAAATCTGTTTTAAGTCTTTTAACAGCTTGTCTTTTTAAGCTTCCTAGGTTCTTTCACAGGGGGCTGCTTTGGCCTCCATTTGTTGGCACTCAGAAGTCTCGCTCACTATTAGGGAAATATCAGAGCTTGATGCATATAGCCTTAAAGCAAGGCGCAGCTATGCTTTTTCTATCTTTCTTCAGGGAAGAGGAAGGTGGTGAGTGGAGAGCCTCCAATCTGGGCTGAGCCCTCACTTATGTTCTGGACTAGCAGAAGCCACAAACCTGCAGCTCAGCCTCCAAGATGTACATGACATTGCAAATGCCAGAGCACCACTCTGTGCAACTTTAACCAGGACAGAGAAAGGTATTGCCATTGCAGAAGCCCATGAGCAAGTGGGCACAGCTGATCTCACTGTCCTGGTCAAAGTCCCCAAACTGTTTGGGCTGAGTCACCCGCTGCTCCGACAACCACATTGCTCCCTTCTTCTGGCTCACATCAACTAGATTAGCGCTATGCGCTATTTTATGAAGTCATGCCCTCTGTCACATTCTGTTACTAAATGCACAGGTGAATGGCAATCCTATTTTGGAGCTCTGTCTCGCTATGGAACGTCCAAGCTGTCCCTACATCCCAGCTGCTACCATGGAACATTTAGCCTTTGTTCCAGTTAGCAAACAGTAATTTTACACTTGTGAGCCTGCTGCTTCTGTGTGTATGGATGCATCAACTATTTCCAAAATTTATTATCTCTCTGTAATATGCTGTGCCACTGAGGATTTGTTCTTGTCATGTCAACAAGGCTGGAAATGATTAATGCCAGGATGGCATTCATTCATCTGGCTTCCATGAGGCCAAATAAAGCTGGCGCTCAGAACCCCATCCTCCTCCCATGGCCAGGTGATCTCTGCTCCATTAAAGTTTGCTTTCAGAAATGATCTTGGGCTTAACATTATATATGAAGGGGGAATTGTAAATTATGATGAGCAATAGTTAAGCTTGCAAGTTGGCTTCTTTAGCAACAAACCATCATTTGCTGTAACCCACAACCTCCATTTTCCACATAATGGTGAGCTGAGGTTCTCTGAAAGCAAGATATAAGCCAGGAGATGAGGGGCAGGATGGGCCAAGCCCCCTGTTTTCCTTGGGCTCAAGTGAGCTACTGGCTCAAATATCCCTCTGGCAGAACAAAGAAGGAATTTGCAGGTCTCCACTACCCCTTTTAGTTAACCACAGCCTCCCGTGTCATCCAAACCAGCAAGTGCAATTGGCAGTAACTGGGCTTGATTTCCCCAAGCCAGCTTCTGAAACAAGCAGCAACAATGTGGGAGGAAGCGATGGGGTGAGCACCTGAGTGTGAGGCTGGCTAAGGCATGTTCCTGCTTACGCACTTCACATTAGACCATGGTTTAGCACAGGCATAGGCAAACCCTGCCCTCCAGATGTTTTGAGACAATTCCCATCATCCCTGACCACTGGTCTTGTTAGCTAGGGATGATGGGAGTTGTAGTCCCAAAACATCTGGAGGGCCGAGTTTGCCTATGCCTGGTTTAGCGTAACCGTTCTTTGGTTCCACAGCAACAAATGCACTTAAACACACGTCTGTTCATTTATTCAGCACTGAACCTATTCTGATCAGAAGTCCTCATGCCAGGGCAAGTCTGCCCAGGTAAGGCTTTGCTACAACAGAGGTTAACACTACGAACTGAAGAAAGGGTTTCCCAGTTACAACGAAAGACATTATAGCAGCCTTGATTGCTCACCCCCTGCACATGCTCACGTTACAGCAAATGCTTCAAGTGCTTGAGCATGGACGGAGGCGGCTGTGCAGAGCCCCCTTCAAACGGTGCAACAGGAGCAACACTGCAGAATTAAACTTCAGAATGTTAGGAAGCATGTATGTGTCCCAATGGCTGTGTGCAAAAAAAAGGAGGACACTCAGTTGGCAGCAGGCCCCTTGAGGCAGCTCAGTTATCACCACGACAAGAGATCAGAACTTGTGCAGTCATGGGCTCTGGTGTCCTGTGATCAAGTCATCGCCTTACAGGGCCACCTTGTTTGGTTAGTGCCTGAGAGGCTGAATTTAGAAAGACAACAATGTGCAGTCTTTGTCTCCACAGACATAACGCTAAAGTAGAACTCCTAACCTATTGGCCAAGCAGACAGTTCCCTTTCTGAGTTTGCCCCACAGGCTGGGGATCAGTTCTTCAGCTCACCCAGCTTGAGCTTGGCAAAGTCTGTTGCCAACTTCAGGGCTTCTTCAAGGCAGTCGGTGTTCTTGCCAGTGGCCTGGGCAGAGAGGTCTTTCCCGCCCCCCCTGCCGTCCATCAGCCCAGACACCTGTTGCACCCATTCGCTGGCCTTGAGCCCTTTGCCGACGACTTCCTGGGAAAGAACAGAGACAGCCTGCGTTAGAGTTCTGCACCTTAGTTCTGAGGGCTGCCAAGAATATACAAGATCCTGTGACGCTCAGGCTGTGCACGGAGGAGGGTGTTGTTGTCACGTGCTCCCCAGAACTGAACAACTAAACAGTGTGTTCAGAGAAGGGTGAACCAGGATAATGAGGAGTTTAGAAACCAAGTCTTATAAGGGAACAGTAGAACAGTTGGGGACTCTTCAACGCTTCAAGGCTTTGAGGAAGGAAAGGGACTTGCTTTCAACTGCCCCCACCAGCCCTCAATAAACTTCTCTCAGAAGGGGCATGTATGCCTGCAAATATCATCCAATTCTGCAAAGTTATGGCCTTCCTTGACTTCCCAAATAGTGAGTGGGATTCCCCACACCCCAAATGCAATCTGCCTCACACTGGTACCAAATCTGCTAACTTCCAAAGCGCTTTGGATCGAGGTGAGCTGTCTTCTGAAGTGCCAACTTGGGAGTCCAAACTGGATTTTCTGGTTGGTGCACACTCCTTACTACAAAGCTTCCAGACAAGACGCCAGATTCTATAGGAGTAGGAAAGCTTCTGTCTTTAACACCCTCCAAGGACAAAGAATGTTGAGACCAGAGGTGAGGAACCTTTCTATTTCTCCTCTAAAGGTCTCAGGGGAAAGTGGCTGGGATTGGAGGCTCCTCACAGTTGAAGCAGAGCCAGTTACCCAAATTACATCTGCTGAAATTAATGAACATGACCAAGTTTAGCCAATTAATTTCAGTGGGGCTACTCTGATTAAAGCTTAGATAAATACCACCTTCTGCCTGGTCAGTTGGTGCCCCAAGAGTGCTGAATCCCCACTCCCATCCCCAAACCACCCCAGGTCTACCTGAGGGACTTGGCATAAGCAGGTGATCTTGCCAGCTTCATTATCCACGGTGAACAGCATGGCTGCTGTCTGAGGTGAATGAGTCTTCAACAGCTTCAGAGATTCATTAAGTGCCTGCGGAAAGACACAGGTGTGGTTACAGAGAGCATGTGCTATGCAGTCATGTCCAATTCTCAGATCTTTGGGCAATTTGCAGAAGATCAGCAATTCCCAGTGGTTTGACAGGAGCAACTTGCTTCCAGACACAGCAAATTGCGCAGGTTCCCTCCTTGCCCAATGCACCTCCGCCCCCTGTGAAAAGGGCAACGAGAAGGGACTTGGGGGATACCTTTGCAGAAGCACCACTCTCCATTTCCAGAATGACCAGTGGCTGGTTGGGGTGAGCCTCGATGAGCTGCTTCGTCTTCTCCAGAACCTGAAGGAACAAAGAGAGGTCAGGCTCAGGAATGCTGGTGATGGGAGTGGGGAAAGAAAGGGAAAGCTCCTCTCAAATGCAAAGAGATGCTTCTTCTGTGCTGCAGAGAACATAAAAACACAAGCAGCATGTCAGGCATAAGGATGCAGGTGTGTGGAAATGCACACATTGCTCTTTGGCCAAGGCAAACACTTGGCTGGCAGCAACTGTAATCTGGCAAAAAGATCTGCTGTGTTTGGACTACGCAGCAGGTGTATGAGAGTTGGGTGGGTGGGTGGACCTCACAGTTCGCTCTGGTGGTCCAGGCTCTTCCCTCCAGAGAGAGGGAGAAGCTGGAGCTGGGCTTAAGCAGTGGCTGGAGGCTGAAGTCACACAACAGATAGGAGCAGCCTCATTTCCCTTTTAAAATGGTCTGAGCGAAGGGGCCCCCCTTTCCTGATCACTGCTTGCATGTGCTTTCAAAAAGGGAACCCTGCCATTTCTACCCATTTCCACTCCCTTTGCCTATGACAGTGGGATGGGAGAACTCACTCGTTTCTGGATGTCTGCTTTGCAGGCACGGTCGAGGTCGTCCATCACCTTCTTCAGGGCTTTGAGGGCCTCTCGGAGTTCATCTTTCTGCCACTGGGGAATGACGGAGGTGGCCAGCACCTGCAACCAGAAGGCGGCACTGAAGCCACAGCCCACGTTTCACAAACGACAAATAATTTGTTGTGTTCCCAGCATGTTCGGTGCCTTCCACATTTAAGAACAAAAGGAGAGTCTGCTGGAATGGGCCAGTGGCCTATCTAGACCAGCATCCTGATAGCAGTGCTCAAGTGACCCTACCGACTTGGGAATTTGGGGAAAAGGGGCTGATCCCACTTCTCCCCTTCCCCTGCTCTCGTACCTCGCCAAGGTCTGCGATCTCGCGCTGGACTTCTTTGTTGGGGGCTGTCTGGACCTTCACCTTGTCTTCCAGGTCAGAGAGTAGCTTTTTAAGGATGTCAACTTTCCTCAGTGCCTTGGGAAGAGAAAGGGGGTTCAGGATTTTGAGGTGGCATTGGAAAGAAACAGTGACTTTTACTCTCCCACAAGTGTAGCAGGGTCACTGCGGTGTGTGGCCTGGGAAGTGTTCTCGGGGCCAGACAGAGAAGGCTGCCCAGCCGTACTTAGTGTCCAGGCTTGCAGGTCCCCACCCCATATTTTATTTCCCCATCTCACCCACAGCTTGATCCTTGCCTACTGCACCTGCTCACCTTCTGTGCTTCTGCTCCGGTGACAGCCACAATGCGCCGGATGCCCTTGGCAATTGCTTCCTCGGACACAATGACAAAGTGACTGGCGTGAGCAGAATTCTGTAAGTGCCTGTGAAAATATCAGCGACTGAGAAACGCCGCAGACATTTACAAGTATCTCCTGACTTGGCAACTGAGGGAGCTTGGTTTCAGAGAGAGGGAGACAGATAATGGGGTTTGGGTTCTGGGAAGGAGTGAGGCAGCCTGAGCTTTGGGTACAGGCGAAGACCCCCTTCGACCCACCCTTTGCTGTGTGGAGCACCAAGGAGAACAAGCAACAGGCACTCCCCTGGGTCCACCATTTGGCAGGGCAGCTCTCTTGCTATGGATCTGGAACCCTCCTCCGTCCCAAGCGCTCCTGCCAGACTTACGTTCCCCCGCAGAACTCGACCGACGTCATGGCACCCGCACCGCTGGAGGGGTCAGCCAGCATATCCTCGATGGGGATGCCAATCGAGACCACACGCACGGGGTCAGGGTACGTCTCATCAAACACTGCACGGAGGCCCTGGATGGCTTTGGCAGCTGCCAAGGGACAGTCTTTGGCATACACGACCTGGGGAGCAGACCACAGAAGTTAACAGAAGTTAAGGGCAAGCAAGAGCACAGGTAGAGTCTTGCTGGATCAGACTGCAGGCTGGTCTAAAACAAACATATGCACAGGTAAAAAGCAGGGGAAGAGTAAATGAAGCATGTGGGGATAATACTGTTACACCTCATAGGATTGCTGTAAGGATTGCTGAGATAATATAATGGGAATATCAGAAGATAAATGCCGTATTTTACTATTCAGGCATTCGTTCTGTTGCATAAAAGGGAATGGAAAAGCCCATGCCACAAGTGGGTTTCTGGCTCAAAGAAGGAGCGTTCTTTGGAAATGCCTGTCACTGTGGCCTCTTGTCAAAGATTTGGAGGCTCCAAGAACAGGACCTGGAAGTTCTCAGCATCCTCAAAACAGTAGTGGGGAACCTTTTTCACCCAAGGGGCTGCATTGCCTTCTAGCAATCTTCCAGAGGCCACAAGGCAGCAATGGGTAGAGCCAGAGGAAAGAATGGGCAGTGCAGTGAACACAAATTTTACCTCCGTGCAGGAGGCTGGTTTCTACACATGCTCCTCTCCACCCAGGGAAGCAGGAGCCTTGGTCACAGAGAACCATTTCAGCCAGGTGAAGACACCGCAAGAGGGGGCAAAGCAGGACTGGGGACGGTCCCAAAGACCAGCTAGGGAGGCTGAGAGGGCTGCATTTTGTCCCTGGGCCCAAGATTTCCCACCCATGAGAGAGACAAGCACGCACGCACCAGCCATACCAAGTTCCCCTCCTACCTTGGCTTCCTGAATCATCTGATTCGCAATTTCTTCCGCCTTCTTGATTTCCTGGGTGGACATGGCTCCCTTGGCTGTGAAATCAAAGCGCAGCCTGTCTGGAGCCACCAAGGAGCCTCGCTGGTCAGCCTCCCCCAGCACAGCGCGTAAGGCAAAGTTGAGGATGTGGGTGGCTGTGTGGTTGCTCATGATGGGCCGCCGCCTGGGCTGTGGGGGGAGGAAGAGACGAAGGTGAGCAGAGAAGGGAGGAGGAAAGAGGAGGCCGTTCCCCCTCCACTAGTGGCTAAAAGCCGCGGGGATCAGATTGTGGCCCACCCACCAGCTTCGTTCAGGGCTGTGGATTTGTGGAAGAAGATGGGAGGTGGCTCACTCAATATTTGCATTCAATATCCAGGATGATTTTTCTTGATTCTTTTGTTTCTTATATTTTATTTTATTGCACCACAATTTGGAATGCAATAAAACCCAGCGTGTAAGAAGCAAAAAGAATGTAATGAATGACTGAATACACAGAAAGGGTGGGATTTTAGTCCGAAACGCCTTCAGTGTCAAATCCACAAACCACTCACCTCATCAACGTACAGCCGCACAGTGTCTCCCACCTTCAGGCTCCCATAGACGGTGCCCACGTGCAACACATAACCTCCGCGCACTTGGACGTTCTTCACCGTGAACTCTGTCTTCTGAAAAAACCAAAGGCACACAAGAGCTGACGATTGGCAAAGGCAGGAATGGGAGCCCAAGACCAGGGCAGGGTGGCTCTTTCTTCCCACCAAGCACCACCAGCAGAGATGCACTGGATTTTAAATGCTTATGATCGTGCTGCTTCTCCATCACAAATCCACAAACCGACTTACGAAAGTAAAAAACATCAGTGACATTTTTAAAAAATCATGCGAAAACTTACTATGCTTACAAAAGCGGGAGAAAAAAAAAGGGGGGAGACGTAAAAATGAAAGCAACAATCAACCAAAGAGCAGGACATGGTTTTCAAAAGGGGAAAGAGAAGAAGCTGCACTTGTAAGCACCAGAAATCCTGGTGAAGATGCTCTTGCCTCAGCATCTAGAGGATGACTGTGCTGGCAACCTCACACGCTTGGAGTGCATTCAACACATGAGGTGCCGACACATACATGGATCTCTCAATAGTCACCACCTCTCCATCTCGAACAACTGACACAGACTTTCCAGACCAGGCAGGTTTAACAAGGGACACAGATATAGGCAAAGTTGGAATGCTATATTCCGGATCACACTGCAATCCTCCGCCACTATTCTGGGGCAAAATAAGGCAACATGCCACCAATTTCAAAAGCCCCCAAAGCCCTTCCCGCCACCAGACTCCAAGCCCCAAGACTCCCAAGCAGGCCAGCGAGCCCAACGTACATCCTCACTGCCTTCATCCTCCTTGACAAGGTAGCCCTCGTCGTACGTCTGCCCGCCCTGCTCAGCGTAGAAGCAGGTGTGGTCCAAGACAACCCCGCACTCTTGGCCCGTGGACACCTCCTCCACAAAGGCCTTATCCCGGCGGAGGGCTTTGACAGTGGCCACCGCACTACTGAACTCTGCACATCAGAAAAGAAAAGTGGGAGTTAGCAAAGCAAGAGCCTCTTGCCTGTACCATGACCCTTCCCCTTATAAACAGTCACAAAATTAAACAGAGAAGAAAATTCTGAACCGAAATCTCCTAATGTCAACTTACTCACAAAAAAATTAATAACGAAAAAACCTATCATTTCAACATTAAGCTTTTTGGTTCACATTCCTCAATTATTAATGGGTTTTAGGTATAAAAAATATTGACAAGCAAGTTCCTTCTGACATGTTCCAATGCATCAAAAAACAATGTGCTGGACGAGAGGGAGCTACTTAGAACCCACCATAACTGCCACTGGGGTCTGATGTGTAGTTGTATTTTAGAGAGTCATCTGTGGCCTCCAAGCCCTTGGACCGGAGTTCTTCAATAGCGTAGATGTCCAGCATGATGAGATCTTCATCGCCACCTCCCTTGCCCTGAGACTTGAGCTGGGAATGTAAGCAAATCGAGGGTGAAAAGCAGGCCAAGAAGCCCTTGGCATAAAAGCAACCACCTCAGGTACAGGCAACCTGTGGGCCACCAGATGTTATTCAACACCAAAACCCATCAGCCCCAGCCAGCATGGGCAGCCGTCAGGACTGAAGAACTGAAGGGCACACAGTTGGGGAAGGCTGAGCCCAAAGCTGCCTACCATGGCAGGCAGCAGCCTTCCTCAAGGTCCCAGGCAAAGATCTCTCACAGCCTTTTTATCCAAGCAATGCCCTGCCACCCTTCCTGGCTTCTGAGGATATGAATTGCCTGCTACAAATGCTGCTATCACCCGCCCTTTCCTGTGCAAAGCTGACTAATGGAAGCTGCAGTAGAATGTGGTAATAGCAGGAATAGAAGTACCTTGTGTGGAGCGACTTGGAAATCAAAGGGCCAACTGGACAACCGAAACCCGTTGCAACTGAGTGGACGGATGCCTGCCTGGCTCTACTTGTGCCTCTAGCTGTCTACATATGATGTTTATCTGCATCAATACATATACTGTGTTCAGAGTTGGCGATGACCAAGCCCTACCTGGGCAGACTTCCTCTCCTCCTCAAAACCCTCCATGTCCACCTTCAAGCCTTTCTCTTCCGCAATGAGGCCGGTCAGATCCACAGGGAAACCGTAGGTGTCGTAGAGCAACCACGCAGTGTCTCCTGGAGGAGGAAGAGGATTGCAGAAGAGTTAAACCTGCAGCACAGCTTCTGATCAGCTCATGCTCCCTCTTGCGGGGTTTCTGCAGGTCTCATTACTAGCAAGCCACAGCCGCCCTGCCTTCCTGGCCAAGCGCCCATTTCTCTTCACTGCTGACTCCTTAAGCCTTCAGGTAGACCAGGGCAACTCGAGCAAGGAACTTGTTTCGCTTGGGAAGAGGTTTGGATAAGGAAAGGAACAAAGAGCGGGAGAAGCAGCCACTGTCTCCTCTCCTCCAAAATTCTGCGCAAGAGAGAAAGAGGGGAATGATTCTCTCCCATTAATCTGCTCCATGCAAACACACAGGGCTGGGGGAAACAGGCAAAGCCTTGCCCTCACTTGGCCCCACAAGGGAAAGGAGGGTTGTCCTCTTGTGGCCTGGCCCAGCTCTGCACTGTAAGCGGGACCCGTTTCTCTCCCTCCTTCAAACCACCACCTTCTACTTAATTCATCACAATGCTTGCAGTGAGAAATGGGTATTCTCCTCCAGCCCCACCCAGTCAATGAGTTGAATTTCCCAAGCAGCAGGCGGCTTGGCTCACTTCCTAGCATCAAAGCCATTTCCACACAGGAGTTGCTGGCCTTGGGCCATACCAGGAATAGTCTTGCCGTCTCCCAAGCTCTGAATCTTCCTGTCGAGGATGCGGCGCCCTCTGTTGAGTGTCTTCAGGAACTGCACCTCCTCTTCATTGATGATGTCTTTCACCATCTCAGGGTCTTTCTTCAGCTCAGGGAAGGCATCGCCCTGAGAGGAACAGGAGCTGTTAGCTAAGCGAAAGCAGCTCCCTGCCTCTCTCCCTCCCTCCCAAAACCTGGAAGCTTCAAAGGCAAAGGAAAGGGGACAGGACTACAGATTTACCAGGGACTGCACCACCACGTCCACCAGGCTGGCAAAGAATCCCTTGGGGGCGTTGAGTTTCTCATGGGCGTAGCGCACAGCACGTCGGAGGATGCGCCTCAGAACATACCTATGCAAGGGGAGCAGACGGCAGAGGCTGGTCTTAGTGGCGCCCTACACTCTGGAAAACACCTCAGGGACCCCCAACTTTTTGCAGCACAAAGGACTCTGCCCACTCGTCCTGGGCCTCTAACCCTTGTTTCGCAAACCTGGGTCCCAGCTGTTGTAGGATCACAACTCCCATCATTCATGGCCACTGGTCCCTGCTAGGGATGATGGGAGTTGTACTTCAACAACAGCCAGAGGACCCAAGTTTGAGAAACATAATGTGAATCCACACATAAACTAGGATCCAGTCCTTCCTGACAAGACCAAGGGCTCCTAACACGTCTTTTTGTCATCTTCAGACCAGCAACCCATATCAGGGTAACCCCATTCCCACAAGACAACAGGCCAGATTAGGGTTCCCAGGTCAGACAATGTGGCAACAGAAGGGAATGGCTGGGGTGCTAAAGATGAGGAAACGGAAGGCAGCCGCCTCCCACATTGGCCACTCAAGGCAGTTTCCTCAATCTGCCTATTGGCAGGGCTGGTCCTGACTGTGACTTTCAACCCTAATCAGCTTAGCCACAGATGCTACATCCTTTCTTACCCAGCCCCTCACCACAAAGCTCCACACAGCCCACTCTCTCACCCCCTGCCGGTGTTATCAGGCCTTCCACCGTCTGAAAGAGCCACTGTGATGGTTCGGGCATGGTCAGCCAGGACACGATAGGCCATGTCTATGCCATCAGCATCATCCTCCCCGACCTGCCCGGTGTAGGGCCTGCAGCCAGTGCCCTACAAGGAAGAAGGCATGTAGGTGACGTCCAAGAGATGAAAGAGAAATGAAATGGTTAAGGAATCAGAGCAGGTCTTGGAGATTACAGGCATTACAGGTTTTTCGTCTAAGATTCTCTGACCCTTTGCTTATTACTGTTAGTCGCCTCATAATCAAGCTTCTCTGGGCAATGGGCAATGAAATTAAAATTACACATCCGACAGAACCCCATGTCAAATAGCAGCATAAGAATTCTTTTTAGAAAACCCCAAACCACCATTATCAGGGTAGAGATTAAGACAAATGCAGCCACAATCATCTAACAGAGAGCTACAAAATCATCCTCTCTGAGCAGCAGTGGGAGATCTCTAACCTACAAGGCTAGAGTTGGCCCATGAGGCTGCTTCGGCCAAGCCACACCCACCCACCTGAGACCTGGCATCAAATGAAGGCAGGTAAAGACATGCATCGCTGCAGAGCGCCGGGTTTGCTGGCACCACTGATCAGCTGAATGCCTCCTGTCACCTGCTGCCACTGTGATGCCAGGTGACTGACCCTGCCCAGCTGTCAAGTTGGCCCGTTTGGGGCAGGAGAGGTAAGGCTCCAGCCCACCAGCCAGATCCAGCTCCCCACTTCAATTACAGAGGTAAAGCATACAATGTAATGCCACCAGGAACTGGAGAAATTGAGGTGTTAGTATAAATTTTAGAAGATCTGCATGTATTAAAAAGCACTGAAAGGACCCTGAAATGGCTGATGGGACTTGGGAAGCATCTAGAGAGAATCAGGTTTAGTGCTGGAGTTCCTTCTACCTCACTGCTCTAGCTGCCAAGACCTGATGCAGAAACAGCAGCAGCAAAGGTCAGTCAGCCACACATGAGAGCAGAGGAAAGCTACCAGGAGGCAGATAAGAAAACGCTGCGAGTTGTGAAATTCAGTGGGAGGAAGGTGAATGTTGTTATGTCCCTGAGCCAGGAAGGCCTCAGGGCAGCGAGATGCTCTCCATCTAGAGAGAATCCACATATTGACAGATTTTCTCGCAGCACATCTGGGCAGGTACCTTCTGGATAGCTTCAAAGTAGGGCACGAAGAGATCTGTGTCGTAGTTGGACATCTTGTTCTGAAGCACCGACACCAACCTCTCCAGACCCATGCCTGTGTCAATGCTCTTCTTGGGAAGAGGTTTCAGGGTCCCATCAGCCTCTCTGGTACAGGAGAGAGGAAGAAAAACGCTCCATGATACACACAGAATAATGCAAACAGAGGGCTGGTTCAGATGCTCATGTGTCCAAGCTTAATAAGCAAAGAGGTGAATGAGCCTTTCGCCTGCACTCTCACCCCATTCGCTCAAGCGTGGAAATGGATCAAAGCATCTCCCCTGATGACAGTTTCCCATTTCATCCAAACCAGAAATTTACTCTTAACAGCTCTGGAACAAACCTGGAGATCAACCCAAGCTCAAACCACATCTTCATATCCAGGCTTGTTCTAAAGCCGCTCATCATAGTTTTCCCGGTTTGGATGAAGAGATCCACAACCAATTAAAGTAACAAAAAGTAGAGCGCAAATGGGAGCTTCTCTGGTTTCGAAGCATCCTGTCACAGCCTTTGCAGAAAAAAGCAACACAGAACCCTCCCTCACACAACCAACCAGTATATGGTTGTCCTACTGTACTGATTGAGGAGAAGCTGTTTTCTCAGACATTATTTATATATCATTTTGGAATCCGTCCCTAGCATCTGCTGTACTGCTGCAAAGATCAGGACAAAATTCTTAGGAATGAAGGGTGAGGAATAAATAGCCATGATCCAGGCCACTATGCTCAACACCTAAATCTGTGAAGACAGGAAAGTTTCCTCACTGGATGTGGAGTCCATGCAAAGCAGGGGGAGAGGTAACACACCACAGGTGAAAGGCATAAAAGGGAAAGAGGAAGCTGCCTTGAACAGAGTCAGACCACTGGTCCACCGCCAGTCCCCGGAAACATCTTTTTTCTGGGGACTGGTGGTGGCTCTCTGGGTTTTCTTTTGCAACCCCACCTGGTAATGCCAAGGATTGAACCTGGGACCTTTTGTACGAAAAGCACCTGCTCTCCTACTGCACTGCCACCGTGCTATAGGAAAGGAAAACAATTCTTGAAGCACCTGTTGTACTGTATGAACACCAGGTTCCAGATCTCCAGCACGTTGGGATCATCTTGATTGACGAGATGGGCAGCATCCCTGTCTCCGATTCGGTCGTAGTGCATCTCGCTGCAAGGTCCACATGGCCCCGTGTCTCCCATTTCCCAGAAGTTATCCTTCATGCTGCCCGGAAGAATCCTACTCTCCGCCAAACTGCAAAGAAGGAAATGGCCAGTGATGCAAGGAATTCCACAAGTTACAGGTTCCTTGAACAGGCAACATACGAGCCATTTGAACTCTTTGACTTGCCCAGGTAACATCATCTGAAAAAGTATCACTGTCAGCTTCATCATATTAATGAACCTACAACTCTGGCTGCATGTAGAGGCCACACTAAACTATGGCTTAGCAAGATGCAGACAAGCCTAGCCTTCTCCAAGACTCATGCTCCCGCTCCTCGCTCAGGAAGAAAGAAAAAAATCACTTTTGATTGACCACAGTTTGTTGTATCTGAACCTTAAAAACTATGGTTAATCTTAACTATTACAGTGGTACCTCGGGTTACATACACTTCAGTTTACAGACTCTGCTAACCCAGAAATAGTGCTTCAGGTTAAGAACTTTGCTTCAGGATGAGAACAGAAATCGTGCTCTGGTGGCGCGGCTAAAGTGGTGCTTCAGGTTAAGAACAGTTTCAGGTCAAGTACGGACCTCCGGAACGAATTAAGTACTTAACCCGAGGTACCACTGTAGTTTAAAATCATGGTTTATTACGTTGCCTTGTTTAAACTAATCACAGTTAAGATTAACACATAGTTGTAGGTCCAGACAACACGCTAAGCTGCAGCTAATCTGAAGTGAAGGTGAAAGCTTCCAAACTCCACCTCCAGGCCACATGGGGAAAGATTAGGCTCATTCGCAACCTTGCTCAATCAAAGTTAAGCATGAAGTCCAAACATAGCCATTGACTAGAAGAGAGAAGCATAGACGCATGGAACTGTTGAGTTGGAAGCGGACCCAAGGGTCATCTGGTCCAAGTCCCTGCAATGCAGGTATCTCAGCTAAAGAATCCCTGACAGATAGCCATCCAACCTGTTGAACAGCTCTTACTGTCCGAAAGTTATTCTTAACCTTTGATTTGATTCCATTGGCTCGGTCCCCCACCCCACTTTCTAGAGCAACAGAAAGCCAGCTTGCTCCACTTTCTAAGTGACAGCCTTCAGATATTTGAAGATGGCTCTCATGTCACTTCTCAACCTCCTCATCTTCAGGCTAAACATACCCAGCTCCCTCAACCATTCCTCATAAGTCTCATTTTCCAAACCCCGTATGATATTGGTTGCCCTTGAAATTCAGGTCATGGCAATGCTTGGAGACATCAAAAGGCATTTTATAAATAGGATTTCTGGATTTCTGCTTGAGCACCAATGCATTTTCTTTGCCCTCTTTGTTTTTTTGTGGAAGACACCAAAGAAATCCTGGGATCATCCTGATGGCCCCTTCTCTTGCCATTCAGGGAGTGGGTGTCGAGTGCAATTCCCAGACTTCAAGGCAGACAAAGGCAGCTCTTCCTATATCCTTTGGATGTCCCAAACTCACCCTAGATCCAGCCAGATTTGCTTGCAATCCAAGTCTGGTTGCAGGCCAGCAGCTTCATTCCCACCGAAGTATGTGACATACAGCCTCTCAATGGGGATGCCGAACTCTTTGGTGAGCAGGTCCAGGGCAAACTTGCAAGCCAGCTCCTGAGAGGAAGAAAAAAACAGGGATGGGAAGGTCTTGACATGGACAATGACATACTAACTTCTTTGACGAGTTTCAGATATGAGCCTTAAATTCTACAGCAGCCACTGCCAGCCAGAACTCTGAATCAGTGATGCTCCTTTTCTTACAGTGGCCATTAAGATGCTTGTAGGAAACCAGCAAGCAGGTTTCGGGCACCACTTCTGATTGTAGGTTGGTGACACACATGGCAATATTCCTCCACTGAAAATATTCTCTATTAAAGGGGCAAGTTGTTAGCCTAGCGTTCCTCCTGATTTGCTAGTTTTCTACGCACAAGGATTGTTTTCCTCTCTTTATGCGAAAGTATTCAACCATGTATGTAAGCCTACACCTAGATCCTGAAGTAATACAGCCCAGATATTGATCATACCAGAGAGAAGAACTTGCAGCTGTGTGCAGGAGACTGAGGGTGGGCAGGGTGAGCTGCCCAGGATTTCTAAGGGGAAGGAGGCCACTGGAAGGGCAGCATCTATGCACTGTAGTTCCCTGTCTACTCCCAACTCTTACCTTCTTCCTCTCACTGGCCACCACCCACTCATTAAGACCCCACTTTTTTCTTTGCCCTCTGCTACTCCAACTGTTACCAAACCATTCCTAATTCTGCCATAACAAACATTTCAACCAGCATAACCTCTAGATGTATGATCTGCCAGCAGCACCACCACCAGCAGCAGAGCGTGAATGGCTTTAATTTTAAAATATGCACATTTGCCAAACATTTTACCAGCTGGTTACCTGCGTTTGTACAGGCAAAGGCCACTGGCAATGCCCTCACCTTGAAATAATCTCCAAAAGACCAGGAGCCCAGCATCTCAAAGAAAGTGTGGTGGTAGACGTCCTTGCCAACGTCGTCCAGGTCATTGTGCTTCCCACCAGCCCGGATGCACTTCTGAGTGTTGGCTGCTCGGGTCAGCTTTGCCATGGGGTGAGAGGGGTCAATTGTGTTGAGGAAGATGGGCTTGAACTGGGAGAGAAGGAAGAAGAAGAAGACTGCCTTCAGCTCAGCCTCTAGGCAGAAGAGGGACGTCAGGCAAACGTGCCAACAGGGACCCAAGAGATCAAATGGCACTTTTGTCTGCTTCAAACCTACAGATGATCAGTGCCATTGGTCGACCCCCTAGTCCTAGGCATGTAAAAGGGAACGGGTGGCGCTGTGGTCTAAACCACTGAGCCTCTCAAGCTTGTTGATTGGAAGGTCAGCGGTTCAAATCTGTGTGACGGACTGAAGTCCCATTGCTCTGTCCCAGCTTCTACCAACCTAGCAGTTTGAAAGCATACCAGCGAGAGTAGATAAATAGGTACCACTGCAATAGGGAGGTAAACAGCGTTACCATGCGCTCTGGCACTCTTCAGTGTCCCACTGCACCAGAAGTCATGCCGACAACATGACCCGGAAAGGCTGCCTGCAGACAAACGCTGGTTCCCTTGGCTTGTACCCCATAGTCTAGTTTGACTTAACTGTCCAGGGGTCTTTTACCTTTACCTAAGCCAGGGGAGGAAACTCTCTCCAAACCATACATAATTCTGCAAACGTTTGTCGTGTCTGACCTGATTCATGCCGGCGTTGGCAAAGAGCAGAGTCGGGTCATCCATGGGGATGGTGGCTGAGGAGTGCACATAGGTGTGCTGGTTCTCCACAAAGAAGTTGATGAACCGTTGGCGGATCTCACTGGCTGTTAACGTCACCTCCATCTTGGGATCACCACTCACACTGGGGAGAACAAAAAAAGGGGGCGGGGAGAGAAAGAAAGCACTTCAAGGCAATGCTGAAAATCCTACATACAACACCAGCTGGAGCAGCTCAAGTTAGAATTCAGATCTCAGCAGTTGCCGCCAAGGACACCCTCCAATGGCTTCCGGCTTGAGGGTGCAACCCTGACACAATTCAAGGCAGCCTGGCCATCAGTCACCAGACAGCTTGTCTCCTAGCTATACTGGAAGAGGGGAAGTTTTCCCCATGTTGATCTCTAAGGTCAACTAAAAGCCCTCCCACCACACCGGGACAGCTTAGTCCAGCCTCAGGCAGTGCTGCTTATGAATTTACATAGGCCTCATCTGCAGTATACATTTAAAATAGTCTCATATTAACAACACATGACTTCTCCCAAAGAATTCTGGGAACTGTAGTTTGTTAAGGGTGCTAAGAGTCGCTTGATCCATCACAACAATCACCGGAGTAGTTTATCAGGCCCTCTTCCCAGAGAACTCTAGGAAATGTAGTTCTGTGCGGGGAATGTGGTCTAAGATCTCTCAACACCCTTAACAAACTACAGCTCCCAGGATCGTTCGGGGGGAAGCCATGACTGCTGAAAGTGATAAGACATTACTTTAAACATATAGTTCAAACATAAACGTACAGTACTGTCCGTTCCCTATTTTCTTTGAAAAAACCACTATGGGAGAGCAGTTATCCAGCCCAGAGAACAAAAAACAGCAATTGGCCTATGGCAGCTGCAAGGCCTTGGTAAGGCAGTCCCTTCTACCCAGACACCCCTGGCTGCTCCTTGCGCCCTTTTGCCACATTCATAATGCTGCCACCACACATCTGACTTCTGTATAGCAAGAGGGCCAGCCAGAAGCAGCTATGGGGAAGGGAATAGCTATCTGGAAGAGGGACAGAGAAAACAGATCTCACCCTTGATCTCTGCTACAATCTGGCAAATACAAGGAAAGCTAAACAACTCTCCAGGCTATCCCAGAACCACCCACAAGGTGCCTGCAGAACTGACATAAAGGTCTGGGCTTGGAGGGGAAGGTGAATTCATAGCCAGGCTTATCAGCTAAATACAGAGTTGGAAAATTCCTTCCAATACTAAAACCGGGTATGAACAAAACTCACCCATAAAATCCTTCTACAGAAGCACATTAGCACTACCCTATCTCTGTGAGGAAAACTACTACCCTACTTCCAATTCTTACAGGGAATCCTTCAAGGAAAATAAGAAAGACCAGAGCCTACGCAAGGCAAACAAATGGCCCCGACCACAAGACAGATGCCAGAATAAAAAACCTTAATTTACCAGGTGAATACAGATGACCAGGCGCCCCGCATCAAAATCTAACCGCAGCACCACGTCAAAACTTGGCAACCTAGTTGCCTCCATTGGCACATCAAGAGCAAGGTGGATCCTGATCTCTCACCGCTTCCCTAGAGATCTGACCCAGGTGCACAAGTGCAGCTAGACTCTCATTGCTGTGTTGGCAGGAGAAGGGAAGTGGGACAGCTTGCCAAAGGGTAGGTGTGTCAGAGGCAATGCCCTGGTGACTTTTTGCCTTTTTGACAAAGACCGCCTTTGCCAACCGGGTGCTGGGGCTGATGGGAGTTGTAGTCCAAAAAAAGAAATCTGGAGGGTCAGAGTTAGCAAAAACCAGAGAAATGCATAATTTCTCTCTCTCTCTCTCTCTGTTCTTGTGAGTGTGTATGTGTGTGTGTGTGTGTGTGTGTGTACACACACACACACGCGCACACACACACACACACACACCCTCCCTCCACCCTGACACCACAGAATGAATGAAGTCACTGCTGGCTACAGAGACCCCATCCCACGAGCCAGACAGCTGTGCCTCAACTCAGGGCTGTCACCCCACGCCAGAACCATGAACCAGACTCCCAGAATTCGCCGCGGCTGTGGCCCTCAGACAGCCCCAGCTGGCGGCGGGCAGCGCTGCCGGATGAGAAAGACCCCTCAGCCCCCAGCCAGCGCCCTCTCCCTCTTCAGCCCCCCTTCCAGCCCAAATGCCTCCGCACCTTTCCTGCCGCTCTCCAGTCAACCTTTCCACGCGGAGCCGGAGCGACGCCCTTCCACTGCACACCCAAACCTGCTGCGGGGTTTTTTTTCTTCCCTTAATCCCGCCCACCCCGTCGGCCAATGAGGCTCAATAGCCGGGCTGCGGTTGCTCAACGCAGCTGCCCGTCAACGTCACGAAGCGCGGCGCTGGCGAGGCGCGAGGGCTGATGCAACGGCTCTGAAACCGCAGTCACGTGGCTCCCCGGGAAAGGGCTGAAGGCGGCGAGGAGGCCGCCATTGTGGGCAGGGCGGACCCGGCTGAGGGGTGTGAGCGTGGGGTGTAAAGCAAGACGTCGCGGGCTGAAGCTGTTCCCACTGCGTCTCCTACCTGATATATAGGAAGGCTACACGTCTGAGTGGATCTTTCTCCTCCTCTTCTCTGCACCCTCCAAATCACCTCTGCAGGGTTGAGAGACCTCCCAGGGAAGATTTTGGGAGTGCGTAGGAGCAGGAGGGCTTGCTGGTCCCTCACAACTCTACAATTCTGTGTGATTCCTATTGTGTGTTGTGCAAAGGTAGGGCAAGTCCACGAGAGCATCCCAAATGGTCCCTTGGTTCTCCTCAGAGCACTGCTGAGGTGCATCATGCTCACCAGAGGGCGTCCTTGCCCTGTTTGAATAAAGCAGGAGAAAGCAGAATTTCTAGCATAAGCCCCCCAGACTGTTGATATGGGCACATATCAGGTACCCAAGTGGCGTTGGCGCTTCCTCATTCATATGCTTTAAAACGTTTGTTGACTTTGGGTAGGAGATGCTGTGAAATCCCGAGTGCAAAAAACTGTCCACAGTTGGTTTGGGAGGCACTGCCTCCCCCTGTTCTTTTCCTCTGATTTCAGTTGTTCACCAGAATAAGAACGGAATGTGGTTGCTTCATGCCCAGCCAAGCCCTTCGGATTCAGATCTCAGCCTGGGACTGATCCGTCCAGCGCGTTTCATGCACTTGCAGCAGTGTAGGGCAGGAGGCCTTTGCTGGCTCTCTTCATGACCTGGGTTGGTCCTTGCTCTTGCAGAAAGCCTGTGTGTATCAGGCAATTCTTCCCTGATTGGAATGCAGAGCAGGAGAAAAGTTTCAATGCTAAATGAGTGTTTGCCTCTATTGTGGAACGCAAAACAAAAGCTCAGAGGCTTCACCTTGGGAATGACAGAAGGCCTTTGGGAGGAGAAGGCGTTCTTGGATTCACTGTGAGGGTCTGTGCTCACCAGCCCTTCACTTCTAATGGAAATCCATTTGCTTTAGGACCACCATTTTCTGACAGAAAACATACACAGCTGGCTATGAAAGGAGGACAGTCTTTATACAGTGAGAGACTCTAGGATCATCCACACTTCCCTTTGCCCCACAATTTCTCCTGTGATTTGTACGCAGGGGGTCTGAGAGGTTTTTCTTTCGTCCCACTGCTTTCCTTGGGAAAACCCATGATTTACCGCTGAATCAGAACAAAGTCAAGCAGCAGAAAACCCAGTTGATGCTCATTCCCATTCAGCAATGAACCACAGGTTTTCCTGGGGAAAGCTGTGGGACAAAGGAAAAACCTCTCAGACCCCCTGCGTACAAATCACAGGACAGTGTAGTTGAGCCCTGTGTGCCATCAGGAGTACATGTCTTCTTTCTATCTATGGCGTGTTCTATTTATTTGTTTATTTACTTCATAAAATTTATGCACCACTTGATTGTAAAAAACCTCAAAGCAGTTTACTATGAAAATAAAACATTAAAATTATCAGTAAAAACTACCCTTTCAAAAATTCAATAAATAAATAAATCAGCAATAAACTAAAAACATGCATCAACATTCTACATGCCTGGACAGGCTTACCTAAGCAAATAAATTTCAGCAAGTGCTGAAAAGCGTACTGTGAAAGCTCCTGCCTCGTGTCAATAGGCATGGAGTTCCAGAGTATAATGGAGCTCTGCATGTGCTCAGGTATGTGTCAGAGGCTTTGGCAGTCCTGTTGCTCTCCCAAAGATACTGTTCCTATAGCTTACTGTTGCCAAGCCTCAGAACGTTGCATACAACTATATGGTCAAATATTAAGAAATGGGTCCCCAAATACATGTTTAGCTCCAGAGTGGGTTCTGGGTCTGAAAAGGTTGAAGATACCTGGTCTATACATTTTCTTATTACAAACAAAATAGATCTGAAGAGGACTGAAGAGTCCTTCTAGGGTTATATTTAAACAACAAATGCCAGTCCCCCTGCTGACAGTGATTCACTTCAAATGCTTACAGTTTTTCATTAGCTTTCAGTTTAGATTGGGCACAGGCTAATGATCAGTTTTCCTCTTGTTCCCTGGAAAGACCAACCATCAAAGATTTTTATTCTTGCTCTAGAGCAGCCAAGGGCATCGACAGCTACGGCAAAGCTTTGCTCCCTTTGCTTTATCTCAGCAGATTCAAGTGGGAGAAGAATTTATATGTAGAATGTGAAGAGGCCATGTTAAGTTTTCATGTGACCATGGATAATCCTGGCATCTGTTTTTGCAAACTTTTCAGATTGTTTGTTCCTGTAAGTTAATGAAAGAGATGAATTGTTACGATGTAGGCCTTAGTTAGCTGAGCAGGCAACAGACTCCTTAAGTTTTCAAACAAATAAAAGCGAAAGACAATGGGAACCTGTGGCCCTTCTGACCTTGTTCAATGCCCACGGCTATTTTCCTAGAAAAAGAGGTGCCGGAAATCACCATGAACACCTCTCTGGTTCTCTTAGAATGGCAATGGAGAGGTGCCGGAACCCACCTGAAAGGTGCCAGAACTGAGTTTCTGTGAGTTCTCCCTGAAAAAAAAAAGCACTGCCAGTTCCCATTATCTCTGACGGTTGAGAGTCCAAGAGCCTCTGGAGGGCCACATGGTTCCTATCCTGGAGTTGGAAGGCTGCAACAGTGCATTCTAGCACATGCAGAATGTAAACATGTCAAAGGACTTGGGTTCAGGCCTAACCTTCCTGGTTTCTGCAGGTAGGCAAATGGCAGGAAACGGCTGTGAATTTTGCTCTTGCTCAGCCTTGGCTTTCTCCTCTGCTTCTTCCTTGTGACCAAACAGAGTTTGCACATAAAAGTGGGACCTCCCCTTGACCCACCCACCCACCAAGGGCGCCTGCTGGCCAGCTGAAAAACCGCTGGCATGTCCTGTATGTGGCTTAATGTCTTCAGCTCTCTTCTGATTCCACCCAGCTATTTCTGTCCCACACATCCACATTCCTTCTCTCCCTCCCTCGCTTCCAGTGGAAACTGCAAGCAGATGCCACCAACTTAGATGGCTTTAAAAGAGGACTAGGCACATTCATGGCGGAAGAAGGCTAACAGGGACTGCTAGCCAGGATGGCTATGCTGTGCCTGCAGTGCTGGAGGCAGCAATGCTTCTGAATACCAGTTGCTGGAAATCTCAGGAGGGAGGGAGAGCCCTTGTGCTCGAATCCTGCTGGCCTCTGAGACGCTGAATAAGATGGGCCATTGGGCTCTTCTGATGGTCTGATGGAACACACACGCTTCTTGAAGGAAGCACAGTACCGTAAACACAGCCAGACTTTGACTTGAAAAAGAAAGACACACACCCATTCTTCCAGATAGGACAAAGGAAGGAAGAAAAAAGGTCTTGCCTGGTAGGAGTGGGGAGAGCATAATTTTGAAAGATGGCAATCCAGGGATGCGAAAAGCTTTCGCCTGCATGCAGTTCTGCCTTTTGTGCAGCTGGTTATAGGAATGGGCTCTTTAAAAGTAACTGCTTTGGTGCATCCTCAGTCCCCTCCCCTCTCGGCTGCCACACTAAGTGGGAGGGTGGTGGCAACAATTATCAGAGATTGGCAACACCGTAGGGCTGTTGTGTTGCAGCTAGGCAGCGAAGAGAGTGGGAGAGGCGTCTCTTAGGCTTCTGCTCTTTGTCACACACCCCAGGTCTTGTTTCCCTTGCCTTCTGCCCCCCTCCCCTCTGTGTTGCTCCGTAAAAGCAGAGCATTTCCTTCTCTTCTGCAAAGGCTGGGCTTTGGAAAAAGCACTCACATAGCAATGCTGCCTCCCTAGAAAAGGGGGAAATAGAAGACTTTGATCCACAAAAACCACCCCCCTAGGCCCTGATGGGTGAAAGACTATAAACCCAAATCTCTCCCACCCCACCCCTCAGCCTTCAAGGCCTGAGCCCAGATCCTGCAAAAACATGTGAAGAGTCAAGTCCTGCAGAGATCTGGCATGACATCTTCGATGTGTTGTGCAGTGACTAGTGATGTACAGGGCCTTCTTCCGTCGTGGCTGTTTCTGCATTACAGCAAAGTCCTGATGGCAGGAAGACGCCTGATGGCCCCTGAGCTACAAGGGGAGCCTCTGCACAAAAATGTTAGGCCATCAAGAACTATTTCTTCGCTCCCGCCACCCCAAAAAAGGCATCTCCACTAGCATTTATTCATTTGAATATATTAATTCTCTCCAGCAACTTTGTTTCTTCTTATCCCTCAACTGTTCCACTGTTCCTCCTGTATGCGTGGTGTCTCTTGTACACATTGAGCCACCCGCACAGAGTCTCTGCCACTCCTGCTGTCTGCCCCAGAGATCAGTGCCAAGCGAGTTTGAGGCAGCTGTAGCCCCGAGGATGGAATCTCAGGGCTCGATGCCATTTCCAGCTTCCGGTTCAGTAAGGAGCCTCACTCTCTATCTCAGGAGTTGGCATGTGGTGCAGAAATAAATTTTCCATTTATTTTTAACTTGCTCGGTAAGTGTGTATGCGTGTGTCTGTGTCCTTCTGTTTTGCAGCGTTTGGTTTCCACTTGCAGAAGCTGTGAGGGCCATGGGGGCAAGCGGTCAGCCTCACCAGGGGCTCCTCCTCTTCCTCCCAGGAGACCTGGCCGTCCACAGGGCATCCGCCCCGTGCCTCAGCCAACGTCTGACTTGGATTGCAGGTTGTGGGTGGCAGTTATGTAACCCTCCTCAGACAACATTGGGTAGTTTTGCATCAGGGAAGCCAAGCAGATTATGGACGGAAGAACAATGTGAGACCAAAAGCAAGCCGGGCAAACTCTAGAGCTAGTGATAAAGCTATACTCTCCATGCCTTCTGCTACATGACTCAGGGTGCAGAGTAATGTACAGGTATCAGTCTTGGGGGTGGCAAAAGGAGCGTGGCCTGAGAATTCATGGGTGAGCAAATATTTGAATCCGACTCCAATAGCAGTATAGTGGTACCTCGGGTTACATACGCTTCAGGTTACAGACTCCGCTAACCCAGAAATAGTACCTCAGGTTAAGAACTTTGCTTCAGGACGAGCACAGAAATCGTGCTCCGGCGGCGTGGCAGCAGCAGGAGGCCCCATTAGCTAAAGTGGTGCTTCAGGTTAAAAACAGTTTCAGGTTAAGAAAGGACCTCGGAACAAATTAAGTACTTAACCCAAGGTACCACTGTATCTCCTATGGCACCCACAAAAAGCCTCAGAAAATCTCCCTTCCATAACCTGCAATGCAATGCAAGACAATTTGTCTTCCTGTTCAGCCCCTGCTTCCTCAATTCCATTCCTGCGTCCAACCTCCTTGAACACAACCGCATTTCACTGAGCACCAAGATGGGGCTCTGCCCTCGTTCCCCTCCTGGGCAGAGGAGAGGTTCATAGAGCTTCTCCTTGTGAGCGGAGTGTCCACACACGGCCATAAGGTGTGTTTGCTGCCTTCTGCACATTGTTTTTTTGCCTGCGTCCACACACTGTTGTCTTCAAATTGTTGGTAAGTCATTCTTTGGGTGTTCTCAAAGCGTCTTTCAGTTGAACATTTATAGGCCATTGTTCTACATTTCACAATGCGTTCCAGAACTTCTTCTTAATTTAATTATGGTGGTTTTTAATGTGATGGCAGAGAAGGAAGTGTGTTAGCATAGACCCCTTCCAAACTGAGGCTGGACAGTTTAGGTGTTAAGTATTTGCACAACTGGACTGCTTAAGTGTCTGCCGTTTATTTGCAAGCGAAGAGGATGGGCAACTCAGAAGGAGCCACCTCCTAGGCCATGCCCACGTAACCTCCTAGGCTCTGCCCAGGTGCCCCGCCAGGTCCACCAGCCCCCACTGGATGCTGGGAATCGGAGTCCGGAGAGTTCCGGAGGGTGCCACGTTGGCCCCCCTGGCTTAGAATAAACGTAGCAATGGAAATGTTTGCCAGCAAATTCTGGTGCCACATGCCCCTCCCTCACTTGGGCCCTGGCACTGCTCCCACCTTGGCCAGAAGCAAAAATGGACCAAGGGCTTTGTTCTGCCGGAAGGTCCAGCAGGGAAGGGGTCAAGGCCCTTCTGCCTCTGAACTACTGTTCTCCTTCCCCAATGCTGCTGCTGCCACCCTGTGCCTGGCATTTCAAGTGGGCAGGGCGGGGAGGGAGGGGGGAGACAGACAGCCTTTGCTTGTTTCCTTCCAGTCCTCTCCCAGCTTTTCTTCTTCCTTGGCCTCCTTCAGCGGGCGGGAAATAAAAGGTTTTCTGTTCTCTCTATGCTAATAAGCCTGGATGTCTTTGCCACAAGTTGCCTTTCTCTCTCTCTCTCTCTCTTTCTGCCTGACCTCTGGGAAATGTCCATGCCAAGGAAGGAGAAAGTGGAAATTTGCTGCACACCAAATGGCTGCTTACATGGCGCCTTGGGGAGCCTCATTCTATAGTATTTGCCCCCCTCCCTTCTTTTTTTACTAGCAGACATGGAGCAACGCAGAGGGAGAAGCTGGGTTAGGCTGGTGCTGCAAAGAGCCACACGGTGTGGCTGTCAAGCCTTGCAGAATTCACTGTGGCATAAAACCCCCCTTGGGCTTGAGCTCAGGTTGGCACATGCATAGAATCACAGAATGCTAGAGTTGGAAAGGGTCCCCAAGTGGTCACCCAGTCCAGCCCTTGCAATGCTTAGACATATTTTCCGCCGTTTCTCCACCTTGACAGTGCATCTGTCAGGGGCTCCTTCCAGGCACTGCGGCTGTTTGGGGGGTGCCCAACCACAGTTCACTGCAGGCCGGGAAGGAGGTAGGAATAACTTGCTGGCGGAAGCCCCCTCACCTATTGCTCTCCACCCTGACTCCAGGGAACAGCAGAGCTGTGGGGCAGAGGAGGGAGAGCCCCCACCTGCCTCCTGAGGGACTTAATTGCTCAGTCCCATCAGCCAAGTGCCAAAGGACCCTTGGCACTAGCCAGATTGCTGGCATAGAGCCTGCAGCCAGGCCGGGGCTTCTGTGTAGGACGTATTGACCCTTTAATATGTTTCTAGCCCACCTTCTCCCCAAGCTGGGATTCAAGGTGGCTTACAGCATTTCAAAACATCAGTTATAGAATACAGGGTAACTAGTTAGAAACAATACAGTGGTCCCTCGGGTTAAGTACTTAATTCGTTCAGGAGGTCCATTCTTAACCTGAAACTGTTCTTAACCTGAAGCACCACTTTAGCTAATGGGGCCTCCAGCTGCCGCTGCGCCACCGGAGCATGATTTCTGTTCTCATCCTGAAGCAAAGTTCTTAACCCGAGGTAATATTTCTGGGTTAGCGGAGTCTGTAACCTGAAGTGTATGTAACCCATATGTAATCTGAAGTGTATGTAACCGAGGTACCACTGTAATTGAAATGCTTCCATTGAAATACCGTTTGCCCCAACGGCAGCCCAGTGACCAGAGCCTGCTTTTGATGGTGTGGAAAAGGAACCCCCCCCCTTTTTTTTTACAATTGAACTAAGGCCACTGTTTCTTTGAACTGCTCTAGCAGGAATGATCTGTATGACCCAAATGTCTTTGCAAATTCAATTTTTGCATTTCCAGAGTGTGGAAGATGTCCCTTAAATACAGAACTAATCCTGGAATGTGAGCCAGTCAGGAGAACGGAGCCAGTCAGGAGGACGATGGGGGCATTTTCACACATGGAAGAGGAGTGGATGGTAAAGTATTTTGATCGCTGCTCCGTTCAGGAGACGCAACTTCTCTTGGTTCCTAAGATTTGCCCCCTCCCGTTTTTAGCCTCACAGCAGCCCTGCGAAGTAGGCTATGCTGAGAGGCATCATGGTGTCTGAAGCGGAGCATGCCCAGTCGCAAGCAGAAAAAGAAAATGCTTTACTGGGTGAGTGGGCAGCTTCCTGGATACCAGAGGCTCTTCGGCTGCGATTCCTGCATTGCAGGGGGCGGGCTGGATTAGATGACCCTCAGAGGTCCCTTCCAACTCTACAAGTCTGCAGTTTTATGAAACGGCCCCTCATTCCCTCGTCCCCTTCCTCCAGCTACATGAAACACAACAACAACTGCGTCCTCGCACGAGCCAGCGGCCTGGGAGCTGTCTGCACGCGTTCAGAGATCCACAACTCTGTGTTTGGATGCGTCGCTCGCTCTGGTATGCAGGCTTGGATTTCAGATGCTTGGCATGCACGCAGCTGCCTCTTGACTCCTCTGTTCTTCTCCCTTCCCTGCTTCACAGCAGCCGGACTGGTGCATTTAAAGAGAGAGGAAGGAAAGCCTTTTTTTTTTTAAAGGAAAAAAACCCTCCTGTAATGTTTGGGGAATTTCAATTGGCATCCCAGGCCTTTTCCCAGCCAACGGAATAACGGTGCAGCCGGGTTTGAAATGCAGGGAACGCCTCCCTGCCTGTTTCCCAGCTCCTGCCGCAGCTGCTCCAGGCAGACAGACAGAAGGGCTGGCTGGCATTCCTGGATCTTATGGGGACAGCTCTCCCCTGGGGCCAGAGAGAGACCCCTGGCTCCTAGCTGCTGACCCCCCGCCCAGTCCCGGAGCGCCCCCATCATGCCGTGGCTGGATTTCTTCTGGGCTTGCTTCAAGAGGCCGAAGGTAAGGGAGCTCCCCCTTCAAAACCTCTCTGAGGCTTTCGCCACGGGTGTCAGCTGCCGGGACACTTTCGATTGCCAAGGTCTCCTCTTTGGTTCAATTTCTTCCGCAGCAGATTGCCCTGCTGTGCCTGGCTCCTGTTGTTGCATGTTAGGCAGGGAACCAGCCTGTGGCAGCTAAGTTACCTTTTAAAAAAGGCATTTGACACAGCAGCAGCAGCAGCAACAACACCCAACAAGTTTTAAGATTCTCAAATGCTGCAAATTGAAACATCTCAAACTATGGTTGCCAGAATTAAGCGACGTATATATGATGCCTTTGGATGGCCGTTGGCTAAGGCAGTGATGGCAAACCTTTTATAGATGGAGTGCCCAAACTGCAACCCAAAACCCACTTATTTATCGCCAAGTGCCAACATGGCAATTTAACCTGAATACTGAGGTTTTAGTTTAGAAAAAACAACTCATATATTAACATATTTTGTCTTTAAAAAAACCACAATGACAGAGCTTTCAATGATACAAACAACTTGTAAAAGTTTGCATTAAGATGATCCAAATTAAGTAAGGAAAGCAATCCCAAGTGCTTTCATTGACTTAAAATTATTTGGCAGAGAATTCCACACTTTAATGATTCCCCGCTTTTAAGCTCCAGCCCGAGCAAGCAAGTGTTCTCAGCATGGCCCTCTGAGCGCGTTCAGAGCGGCGCTCCCCTATCACACTGCTGTTTCCTGAAAGGGCCCTGGGGGCTGCCCCATTTGCTTGCCCCACTCCCTCACCCAGCCCTGACTGGTCCCTATGCAGGTGTCCGGCACGGCCGGAGGCTGTGTAAAGCCTCAACCTCGCAGCAGCAGCAGCAGCAGCAGCAGCAGCAGCAGCAGCAGCAGGAGGAAGGTGGCTGGTGGCGGCAGCATGCCTCTGAGTGCGTGCAGAGTGCTGCACCCTCCCCCACCCACAGCGGAGGGTCCTCAAGGGAAAACTGTAGCTCGGATGCATTGAGCAATGTCTGCTGTCTGAGGGCTGAGCCTGCTGGCAACAGCAGCATATGAGACTGAATGCCTAGTATCCAGCAGAGAAACCTTCGATCATCAATGCACAGGTTGCAAATGATTTGTGTTTGGGGGAAGGAAGAAGCCTGCACCCCAAATCTCTCCAACAGATAAAACTGGGACAAAATAAAGACAATAGATTTTATTTTTTGGAGGAGGCGGAGAAAATAGGTGTAGCTCGACTGCATGAGACTGTGGGTTACAGTTGCAGGGGGCAGGAGAGGCTATCTGCAGTGGGTGCCCCCAGGGTTTTGGCTTGAACAGAGTCCCACATGCTGTGCTCATACACTGCGCTTTAGTTTTGCATGGACTGAGTTCCTATGAACGTGTGCTGATAAGACACACACCCACCCTGCTTCCTTGCAAAGGGGGGATTCAGAGGTCAGCCAGAGCTGCAGCATGCATCTCATTAGGGATCAAGGGGCTGTTCGGGGGGCTTTGCCACAAAGAGCCTCCCAAGCCAACAGTTATTTGCTTGCACAAGGCCATTCCAGCGGCTTCTTTAAAAAGAAAACCCAGAAAACCCACAAATTGTACAGTTGTTACTCAGTTGCTGCGGCGGATCCCCACAACGAGACTGAGCTGCTAGTTCCAAGGTAGACAAGTTCTCCTATTTCCTGGGATAGCTCTGTTGGTAGCTCAGCATGAGACTCTTAATCTCAGGTTCATGGGTTTGAGCCCCATTGGCCAAAATATTCCTTTTTTTAAAAAATAATTTTTATTGATTTTCCAATAAAAAAACATCCAATTAGTATATCCAATCATAATACTCCAATTAAAATTAAAAACCCAAATTATAGTCCAAATTATAATTATTAATTTTTCGGAGCTCCTCATGGTCTAGATCTCTGAAGCATATCTCCATATCTCAGTGCTGCCTCTCCTCGTTGTTTCTATATTTTCCACATCTCGATTTTGACACTTTATAATTCTACATTGGCCAAAATATTCCTACAATACAGGGGGTTGGACTAGATGACCCTCGTGGCTCTTCTCCAATTCTACAAATTCTATTATCCTGTGCAGTGCTGCTACCGAGCTATTTTTCACCTTTGGCAAGGCTATTTTGTGCGGTAGGCAAGGCTATCTGCTTGCGCCCCCCTAAAAAAAGATTTCTTACTTCAATTTTCAAAAACAGGTGTCTTGTAGAAATGATAAATTTGTTCAAAATATAAATAAAAGCAAATCAGAAATTCATAAGATATAACAAAAATAATCTGTATAAAACTGTGCCCCTCAAAGTGGTCTGCACCCTAGGCAGCTGCTTAGCTGGCTTAAGGATAGCAGAGGCCCTGCTTCTGTGCGTGAAATGCAAGTGCCCTGTCCCCAATGTAAAGATTCACCTGCTGGACACGATCAGCTCAAGCTGCAATCCCAGGCACACCTGCTTGCTGCAAGTCCCTCTAGTATTTTTATCTGAAGAAGTGGTATCTGAAGAAGTGTGCATGCACACGAAAGCTTATACCCAGAACAAACTTAGTTGGTCTCTAAGGTGCTACTGGACAATTTGTTTAGTATTTTTATTGTCATTACAGTGGTACCTCAGGTTATGTACTTAATTCGTTCTGGAGGTCCATACTTAACCTGAAACTGTTCTTAACCTGAAGCACCACTTTAGCTAATGGGGCCTCCTGCTGCTGCCGCGCTGCCGGAGCCTGGTTTCTGTTCTTATCCTGAAGCAAAGTTCTTAACCTGAAGCACTATTTCTGGCTTAGTGGAGTGTGTAACCTGAAGCCTATGTAACATGAAGCGTATGTAACCCGAAGTACCACTGTACTAATTACCTGCCCTTTGCCCTAAGGTCCCGTGATGGGTTGCAACATTGAAACACAAAATTTAAATCTATAAATCAGTTTGTGCACATGTTCATCCAGGGGCCCATGCTCCAATATATTTTAAGCACCTGGGCATGTCCCTGGCCAATGTAATCTCTTTGTCAAGAGTTTAATATTGTGCCAGGGTCCCTGTCCTCCTCACATACTAAGGGAGAAGAGAGAGAAACAGAAGAAACAGAAGAGGGAGAGCCCAGGGGCCGTCATGTTGGAGGAGGCAGCTGTGGAGTGTTGCACAAGATGTCAGAGGGCAGGAATGTCTGCAGGAAATTTATCCCATTTGCTGGAGGGAGAAATCCACCCAAGCCAAATCGCAGTCCCTAGGAGCAAAGCTCCTTGGGCTGGGGAGAGGCTGCCCCTAACTAAGGCCACGTGCATTTAATATTCCTCGTACACCCTCTGTAGGAGGCCTCCATAGAGTCTCAAGGGACCTCAGTAAAGAAGTTTAGGAATGTCCCATTCTCATGAATTTCACTTTCCCACAGGCCGTTGGGGACCCTCTTTCCTGTCTCAAGCTCAGGGGCTTAAGGAAGAGGCACTGGGACACTGGCCTCTAGCTGTTGTGAATCAGTAGGTTTTTTTTTCTTTTAAGGGGATAGAAGACTCAAGGGCAGGTCTGGAAAAACTCAGAAATCAGCCCAGCTTTGAGAGTTTCAACCAGGTGGAACGCACAGCATGCTGTGGGAGACGGGACTCGCTCCAGTCTCCAGCAGGCTCTTTCAGCTTCTACAGAAGTCTTTGCCACCCTGATATACACCTCCAGATGTTTTGAACTCCCATCTGCCTTATCCAGCACTGCCATTCCAACTGGGGCTCATGGAACATCTGCTCCGAAAGGTCTGAAGCCTGTGATCCTGCGTCTGTTGAGCTGAGAACCCAAGAGAGTCAACTTGGTGAACTACCCAGACCAGGACTTTAATTGGAGTTGGAGCTGCCTGTGATGAAAGTGTTCAGTAGCCCAGTTTCAAAACGGTTCCTTCCAATTGCTTATTTCCCCTGTTCTTCGATGGCCCTTTTGCAGCCCTGAGTTTTTAGTAGGGCAAGCGAAGGTCGCTATGAACCTGCTCCTGATTAGGGAGACGGCGGAGGCTCTTCCTCATCATATATATTTAACTGACCTTTCTACACAAATAGCCCAATCATTGTTTTGGATCTATTATTACCCAAAGGCACTACCATTAGCCACTGGTGTCACCCCTGCCCCCCTAGCCCCTTGAATACTGCATCATGGTCAAAAAAATGTCTTTGTAAAACTAGCTCTGGAAATTTGGTTGGGATCTTTGTCCATGGCCAAGGTTTCAAAGAATAAGGCTGCCATGTGTTTCAAAGGATTGCATGGGATGTATAGAGAGAGGTGTGTGGGTTGAATAACTTACCTTTATTGTTATGTGTTATTTTTTTCAGTGCTTCACATCACTGGACCGGAGGAGGGACGTGGGTGAGTTGCAGTGATCTCTGTCTTCATTCAGTCTTTCATTTGTTGCTGGGACATTTGTTGCATACCACAGGCAGAATACACTAAATTCTATGCATCCCAGAGAACCCAGATCAGGGCTGTGCGAGTCCCAGTGCCCTAATCAATCAATATCAATCAATCAATCAATCAATCAATCATTGTGTTTGACTAAAAGCAATGACAAATTCAATGACAGATCCAGCAAGTGAGTTAAAACCCGCACTTGCCATTCCTCCCCCTTTTCTTCTTCTTCTTCCTAATTGTTTAAACCAATTCATGAACCAAGAACTTACACATTGACCACTAATAATGAAACATAAGTTGTAGATATGTTTCCACATTTATTATGCTATTTTTGTGATATACGACATGAGAAAACTTAGTATACTTATTTGTATAACATTATTCTTGTTTATAAAACCCAATAAAAAAACCTAAAGACTAAAACTAAAAGAAATCCAGAGATATACATCCATTTCCAATCGGTCAAATTAATGAATCGCCTGCACCATGGTAGCCAAGTCTGCCCCTGCCCAGATTCAGGGTCAAGAAAAGCTGAATTGCAGCGTCAAATAGCAAGTTGTAACATCTGTTTGATTATTCTGTACAATTTACTTAACTTCCAATATCCTTGGAGGATATTGGAAGTCACGTGGGGGGTGAATAAAAAAGTTGTGGGATGAGGAATCCTGAGGGGATCCAAAGGGTAAGGAAGCTAAAATGCTAAAGGCATTTTGACTTTGACTTTTGACTTTGATGAAAGCTGTCCATGCTATACTCCTAGTGGTTGTCAAGTCTCCACTTACTTCTGAGGTGTTTTTCTTCAATGTCATAAGGACTAGAAACCTGTTGAATTAAAAATAGATTGGCAGTCCCATGACAGTACTGAATCCTGTGCTTGGTGCCAATTTCCCTGATGGCATGTGGCATGGCACTGTCAGGGAGGGGAGCCCAATTTTCCCCCATCTGCAGGGTGCGTGGTCACTTGTAGCTCTGTATTTTGGTGATGTTGTGTGTGTCTTGTTAACGTAGGTAGAGAAAGAAAGGAATCCAGTTACACCAAAGTATATACAGATTTTTTGGGAAATGCTTCATTTCCACCTGACCCTTGGACTCCTGAACAGCTTCTCTTACGTAGGAACTCGACCTTGCAGTATGGCATGTATATTGAAATGTCAAGTTCTGAAATGTTCTGTTTTGCGAGTGAGAGAAGAGTGCAGCAAATAAAAATACATCCACATACTTAAAACTCCTGAGAAAAGAAGTATTTTATTTTGAAACCAGCATTTCAAAGCATCCCTTCTCCCTCTCCCGTTACAAAGAGTTTGCCGATTTCTTCACACCAAGCTCCCTGCATGCAAGCTTTGCAAGGTTGTTGTAACAGGCAGGCAGGATGTAACAGGCATTGCTTCCCCCGCTCAAAGCCTTCCTCCTCTGCACTCAGCCATTTCGTGGTGAAAGATACAAAGATACAGAACATCGAGAAGCGGGTGGCGATGTGGGTTAAATCACAGAGTCTAGGACTTGCCGATCAGAAGGTCAGCAGTTCGAATCCCCGCGACAGGGTGAGCTCCCGTTGCTGGGTCCCAGCTCCTGCCAACCTAGCAGTTCGAAAGCACGTCAAAGTGCAAGTAGATAAATAGGTACCGCTCAGGCGGGAAGGTAAGCGGCGTTTCCGTGCACTGCTCTGGTTCGCCAGAAGCGGCTTAGTCATGCTGGCCACATGACCCGGAAGCTGTACGCCGGCTCCCTCGGCCAATAAAGTGAGATGAGCATCGCAACCCCAGAGTCGGCCACGACTGGACCTAATGGTCAGGGGTCTCTTTACCTTTAATCAGACATGAGTATATTCACTTACACGAGGCTCCCAAAATTTGGGGTGTCAGAGAGAAGGGTTGACTGGAGGCCCTTGTTGCCTTTCCATATTTGGGTCTGAGTTCATTTCAGCCAGCTTGCAAATAGCCACTGGCCTGGTTGTCTGTGGCAAGTAGGAATCGCAGCTGAAGTCTCAATAGCAGTGACACACAACAGGGTTCATGAAACTGCCTCCGTGCCGTTTCTCATTTCCCTCTTTGGACATTTGCAATGACCCGGTGGGTGCTGGCAGAGGGGGTCTGGTGAGCTGCTTTGCAGAGCAGATGACGCTGTGAAAACCTGGCTGCTTTCCCCAGAAGAGGGTGCTATTTCTCCACCCTCCTCGGCCCCTTTCTCACCCGGGGCAGGCCGTGACCTCCTGACCTGCCCAACGCAGTTCCCATTCAGGTCCAAAGGCTGCTCTCTTCTACAGCCTCCTTCCTTTCACTTCTCTCTGGTGACGCTAACCAAACTTCCCATCTATTGTTTCTGGGGTAAACAAGAAGCGAAGGATCTTGAAGCGAACACAGCTGGCTGGTGCTATGCCCTGGAAGGAGTTTGCTCTAGCGAACAATGGCTTTGGCTCCTTCAGGGAGCAAATTTACTCCCATAGCTGCCCCGTTAGCTATTGAAAAGGGGATGAAAACTGGCACGATCGTGGGGTGTTCAGCAGTTGTGGCACTTCCTGGGCAAGGCAACTTTGCAAAATGAGAGGAGCCAGATTGCTCTCAGAGCTCTGTGAAGTAATATTTGTGACCAGCAGGGGTATGCCCAGCGCTGCTGCTTCTCGGTTAAAACTACTCATCACATTATCATTGAACTTCACTCCCGATTTGTAATTGGATTTGGTGCTTTAATGATGGATGCGCACCACCTTGAATTCTTGGGAGAGAATCGTCGAGTTGGAAGGGACCCCAATGGTCATCTAGTCCAACCCTCCCACAATGCCTTATAAAGGGGATGGCAGTGATGAATGAATAAATAAATGGGTTTATAATTATAAGTTATGTATCATCATCCATGAATCAGGTCAGGCCTCTTTAGGGAAGGAGTTTCAAGGAAGCGAGTGCTACAGCCGAGAAGGCTAAAGCATCCATAAGGTAAAGGGACCCCTGATCGTCAGGTCCAGTCGCAGATGACTCTGGGGTTGTGGCGCTCATCTTGCTTTATTGGCTGAGGGAGCCAGCGTATAGCTTCCAGGTCATGTGTCCTGCATGACTAAGCCGCTTCTGGCGAACCAGAGCAGTGCATGGAAACGCCGCTTACCTTCCCACTGGAGTGGTACCTATTTATCTACTTGCACTTTGATGTGCCTTTGAACTGCTAGGTGGGTAGGAGCAGGGACTGAGCAACAGGGGCTCACCCCGTCGCGGGGATTCAAACCGCCGACCTTCTGATCAGCAAGTCCTAGGCTCTGTGGTTTAATCCACAGCGCCACCCGCGTCCCTCATAAAGCATCCATATCCCAGAGAATTGTATTCCTCCCTTTCTGAAGAGAGAGAATGAAGAGGGGGGCAGGAGCATAGATAGCTGCTCTAGCACCCGGAGCAGAGGAGGCAGGGCGATCCATGCACGGGGGCGGCACAACGAGCTGCCCACAGAGACCGCCTGGCGGATGCAAGCCCCACGCTGCCGTTTTGGGCAGCACGGGGCCCCGAGCCACCGTGTCACTCCCCACGGTAAGTGCCGCCCCCTGCGGTGTGCCATTTTGTCACCCCCTTCAAGGGTGACACTCGGGGCGAACCACACCCCCGCACCCCCCTTCCTACACCCCTGAGCGGGGGGAGGCAATGTATCTGCTTGGACCTTTGAAACAGCCTTTGGCTGGGGGTGACAACAAGGTGCTTTCCAAGTGTTTTTTGGACTCCCAACAGGCCCCAGCCGGGAATGGTCAATGGCCAGGGATGAGGGGGAATTGTTGTTCAATGATACCTCCAGGTCACCAGGTTGGTCACACAGAAGCACACACACATATCCACACATCTGAAAAAATGTTTAGGGGTACTTTCATTTTGACTCCAAGAAATCACCATTTTATAGTTCAAATCGGGAAAAATAGATACAGTAAATGGACACAAGTACAAAGATTCACAAAATGTTTCGGGGTATGCGTACCCCTGCATCCCCCCAGGAAAAAAAGCACTACACACATCTTTGACATTTTACCAATGCAACTCTGTGGACACAGATGACATCAGAATGCTGTTAATAGTTTTGTTGGGGGGGACAGACCAGTTCCAAAGTCTGGCTTTCAGATACACACACAAAATATAAATCCATTATGTGTGAGAATTCTGTATGTGGGAGCATTCATTGTGGCCTGTTTAATTGCTCCATGAAAGTGAGACCTAGAGGTCTTATTTATTTGTTATTATTACAATCACAGACAACAAAGTGCAATCTGACAAAGGGTTTGGAAGAGAGACTTGGCCCCCTTAAATGGCAGTCTGATTGATAGGTGAGGCTCAGGAGGTGGGGATTGGACTAGATGACACTTGGGATCCCCTCCAACTTACTGTTCCGTGATTCGATGATAAGGAAGTGGTTCTTCCTTGCTGTGTACTGAAAAGCTCAGCAATTTACTGGAACTGAAAATAAAAACTAAAACTGATTTGGTTTGCAAATACTCTCACACACAAACAGAGTGATCAGAGGGAATCTCCCGTCTTGATTCATTTCTGCAGTCAAACTTGTGATCTCTGCCTCTGAGTCATTCTGGGGTGCTTCACGCCCGGCATCCTCGCTGAAAATAAACCTTCCAGCACCAGTCTCGCCTGCCCTCAAGAAAAGCAAAAAAACCACCAACACCCCATTCTTGGCTAGACAGCTTTTCCCCACTGTGTCTGGACAAGGTTTACAGGATCTATCCCAAGCTTGACTATTTAGATCTGGACTTTCTGTCCTACTGACTCTGGGCTATAGCTGGGGGTGCAGTGGGGCTCCATCCTGCCTATATTTGACAACTTGGAGAGTTTTGCATTTAGGATCCAAGAGACTCTACAGAGTTTCTTTGAGTTCTGATGGCGAAGGGGAAATCAGTGGCTGGTTTTTCCTCATCTTCCAGGGTATCGCTTTCAAATCTTGGCTGCTTCTCTGATCTCCCCAAAGCTCTTTGCAGTTTCCCTCTTATCAGTCCTCACCACACTCTGTCTTCTGTGATATCATTGCACCTTTGGGAGCTGAAGTGAACCACATCAGGACTGTTTGCCTTTTGATCCTTCTCCACAAGAGCTTACATTAGATAACGCTGGAGGTGGTGAAGGGCAGTGGCAGAAGTTCATTTCATTGTATAAAGCAACCAAGGTCCCTTTCTAATAAAAATACAACAGAGGCTCTCTGGTTTGTGAATTGTATTACATTTGTCGCTCATCTTTCTTCCATCATGGAACCCAGAAGCAGTGCATGTGGTTCCTATCCATAAGAACATCAGAAGAGGCTGCTGGGTCAGGCCGATGGCCCATCTAGTCCAGCATCCTGTTCTCACAGTGGCTGAACAGTTGCCTGTGGGAAATCAGCAAGCAGGACCCAAGCACAAGAGCTCTCTCCCCTCCTGTGGTTTCCAGCACCTGATATTCAGAAGCATTTCTGGCTCCAGTTGTGGAGGCAGAGCAAAGTCATTATGGCTAGTAGCCATCAAGATAGCCCTCTTTTCCATGAATTTGCCTAATCTTCTTTTAAAGCCACCAAGGTTAGTGGCCATTACTTGCTCCCCACAAAGAGGGCTGGGAAAGTTCCCCATCAGAAATCCTGGAGGACTTGCCAATCAGTGTGGACAATCCTGAGACAAGTGGACTAATGGTTGAACTCAAGAAAAGGAAGAGATTTCCAGAGGACCCAGCGTGGAATTATTTCAGGAAGTTTTAAGTCAACTAGCGCTTTTCAGAGTTACTGTAGTTGTCAGAATTGGCCTTACTCTGAGGCATAGGGACATGGGTGGTGCTGTGGTCTAAACCACTGAGCCTCTTGGGCATGCCGATGAGAAGGCAGTTCGAATCCCCGTGACGGAGTGAGCTCCCATTGCTCTGTTCCAGCTCCTACCAACCTAGCAGTTCGAAAGCACACCAGTGCAAGTAGATAAATAGGTAACACTGCGGCAGGAAGGTAAACAATGTTTCCATGCACTGTGACGGATCACAGTGTTCTGAAGTGGTTTAGTCATGCTGGCCACATGACCCGGAAAGCTGTCTGTGGACAAATACCAGCTCCCTCGGCCTGAAAGCAAGATGAGTGCTGCAACCCCATAGTCGCCTTTGACTGGACTTAACCACCCAGGAGTCCTTTACCTTTACCTTACTATGAGGCATGTTGAAGTGGTGAATATGTGAGTGCGCGTACATGGGCATTTGGGCTGCGGCCCACAGGAAACTGTCTGGAATAAGTCCAACTTAAAGGGTCAAAGGCCTGGAAACGATACCTTATGAGGAATGGCTAAGGGAGCTGGGCATGTTTAGCCTGGAGAAGAGGAGGTTAAGGGGTGATATGATAGCCATGTTCAAATATATAAAAGGATGTCGCATAGATGAGGGAGAAAGGTTGTTTTCTGCTGCTCCAGAGAAGCGGACACGGAACAATGGATCCAAACTACAAGAAAGAAGATTCCACCTAAACATTAGGAAGAACTTCCTGACAGTAAGAGCTGTTCGACAGTGGAATTTGCTGCCAAGGAGTGTGGTGGAGTCTCCTTCTTTGGAGGTCTTTAAGCAGAGGCTTGACAACCATATGTCAGGAGTGCTCTGATGGTGTTTCCTGCTTGGCAGGGGGTTGGACTCGATGGCCCTTGTGGTATCTTCCAACTCTATGATTCTATGATTCTATGAAAGTTCATTCTGCTCCGTGGTGGATTGTGTCCTGCCTTGATCAGCGTCTGGCAGAGATAAAGGAGCACTTGGATTTCCCACCTAAGATTCGGAAAGGTCTTTGGCCACCTTGATACGAACAAATTCACAAGACAGGTATACGTCACGGCACTCCGCATGACCGTAAAAATAAAATGCAAGCTTTTAAAAACGTGTGACTTAAACTTCAAACTTTCCAGCGTGCGGTTACAGGAAAACTCTTGCATCGAAATAAGAAGTGCAGTCAGACAGTTACACAACATCTCCTTTCTTCTCCTCTTGGGAGAGTCTGAATTTTCATGCCTTCCCCAGCTGTGAAAGTTTCCACTCGCCTCTGAAGCCCTCCCTGCCCCCCCCCCCCAGCAATGATTTCCGGCCCCAGAATAGTCATCCAGCTCTAGGAAGGCCTCCTGCTTGCTTGAGCGTCCCGGCAGAAGCTTTGAGCACAGCGACCCTTGATGGTTTGCGGAAGGGCATGCATTCAAAATCTGGACCGCAGGCAGATGTCAAAAGCGCCTCACATTCTCTGTCCATACCAACTCTGCCCACATTTTGCAACGGGTATGAATTGTACGCATTGAACATTTGTGCCTGGGTTGATTTATAGAGCTTCTGCAAGCAGGGAGGGGAAGGCAAGAAAACTTAGCACTCCTCACTCAGAGGCAGTGAATACCATAGAATTATAAAGTGTTAGGGTTGGAAGAGACACCAGGGCTCATCTAGTCTAACCCACTACAACCCAGGGTGAGGGTTCCTGGAAACTACAGGAGGGGAGAGTGTTGCTCTTGTGCTCAGGTCCTGCTTGGAAATTTCGCTTTGGGAAATCTGGTTGGCCACTGTGAGAAGAGGATGCTGGACTAGATCCTTTGGCCTGATCCAGCAAGGGCTCTTCTTAGGTTTTTAACGGAATCTCCTTCTGCACCATTGGAGGAACTCTGATTTAATCTTCCTAGTACAGTGGTACCTCGGGTTAAGTACTTAATTCGTTCCGGAGGTCCGTTCTTAACCTAAACTGTTCTTAACCTGAAGCACCACTTTAGCTAATGGGGCCTCCTGCTGCCACCGTGCCGCCGGAGCCCGGTTTCTGTTCTTATCCTGAAGCAAAGTTCTTAACCTGAAGCACTATTCCTGGGTTAGCGGAGTGTGTAACCTGAAGCGTATGTAACCCGAGGTACCACTGTACTGGACGGCTTTGCTCCCCCGCCACAAAATCATGAAAACAGAGAACACAACAACACTGTGCTTGCTCTGAACTGTGTCCAGGAGTGTGAAATACACACAACCAGATCACAAAGTGCTCATCTGTGTACCGTGTACATTCACAATCCCTGGAGGAGGAGGAGCTGTAAGAAGGTGGCAGCTTGGGGGAGGGGGCTGAGGTCTCCTGGGGTTTCCTTGCTCTGGTGCTGCAATTGTCACATGAGTTAACCCTCTCCCCTGAAGGAAGAAAAGCTCCCCCCCCCAAAAAAGGCAGCACGAACCAGCTCCAATCTTCTTGTTGTTCAGCACTTTGGAAAATAGCTTCCAGAGTCCTAAGTAAGGCAGGAAATCCACTGCAGGCTCCAAACATCCTCCTGAGGATTAAGAGGAAGTTTTGGTGTGCAAGGCAGGAGAGGGGGGCAGGCAGGACTTAACCCTTTCCCAGCCCATCCCTTCTCCCCTATAAATACTCTCCCTCTACCATCACCATTTTTAAACCATGCTCTGAAACTAAAAGTGGATCTTGTTGAGGTGGGAATGGCATTGGGGAAAATTGAAGTGTGTGAGGGATGGGTGGGTGAAGCATCCCTCTTTCATGCCAACCCTTCCCCATTAGTGCCTCCCCCCCCCACATCGCCATTATCCTTGCAGATGTGTGTTGGTGAACATGTACCACTCCTCCAAAGAACATAGTCTGAACATAGACCAGCATTCCTGAAGCTTTGCCTCTTCTTCTATTTGACCCCCACAACAGCCTTGTAAGGTAGGTTGGCTGAGGAAGAGTAACTGGCCCAAAGTAACCCAAATAGGGATTTGAAGCTGGGTCCCCTCTGTCCTAGCCTGATGCTCTAACCACTATACCTCACCTTCATCCTGCTGGTCTAGTAACAGCAACTCAGAGCAGCTTCCAACCAAGAACAGATGAGAATGCGTGAAACGACAACCTGCATACTAAGAGCCAACAGATTAAAGCCAACAATTGTAAAAGCAGCAATGGAAATAGTTTTTTTAAAAAATAGCAGCACAGCTAAATATTAAAAGCCTGTGGAAAGAAAAGTCAAGAGAAGGGGAAACTGGCCAAAGTGGCAGGTCCAGGGCCTCGGTGGTGGTGGCCCCACCATCATGAAAGCCCCACCCCTTCTTTTCATTGCCTGAACCGGTTGTGCCATTGGCCCTCCTGAGCAGAGGATGGATGGATGAAGTTTACTTACAGTATATGCTGCTTTCCCACAAAGCAGCTTACAGCAAAATTCAAAACTTTGGAACTACAGAGTATTAGTAAGTTCAAAAATCAGGCAAACACTATTACAAAAATAGGTTTAAGTACATAAATACAATGCAAAACAAGTGTTAATCACTAATAAAGTTTCTGGCACTGGTCTGGCTGCATACTAGGAGCCTGGCTTAAATGCAGTTCAGAGATGGGTCTTCTTTCCATGCTAGAGGACATTCAGCTGACTCCCTCAGATGTACTCCACAGGAAGCTGACAGCAGCAAGAGGCAAATGCCAGGGAAGGCAAAGGATGGCAAGGCTCTCCGCCAGCCTCCTGGAAGTACCAAATGCTGGCGCAGGTCTTACTGGGATGGTTTGGGAGCAAATGGACCCGGGGCCATTCAGAGCTTTAAAGGCGGAGAGAACAGCACTTCACTGAGCCTGGGGAGAAGCAGGAAGGTGAAGAAGCTGCAACCAGATGCCAGCGGTTTGGTGCCACGCGAAATGTCTCAGCGCTGCCGTTTGACCAACTGAAGTTTCCTGAGCAGTTTTCAAAGGAGGCCTCTGCATGGACAGCATCGCAAGGAAGCCAGGACATCATGGGGGTTCTGTGACGCATTTCGTACCTGCAAAGCAGCATCAGTCTGGAAGCGGCCTAAGCGCCCCTCTCCCTGCCTGGCCTCACCTGTTGGACGGCAGCCCTGCCATCCTCGGAGCAGCTCGGCAGATGCTCAGAAAGGGACCAGGGCTGCCCCCTAGTGGCGTTTCCGAGAAGGCTCTTCGAAGCAGGCTTCCCCGACGTGGCGCCTTGCTGGTGTCTTCGACGCCCGGTTGTGGGAGGAAGAGCCTTGAAAGCTGAGTTGCCCCGTCCCTACCGGTGCCTTTCCTCTCCCTTCCGAGCCCGGGGGAGCCCCAGCGGGTTCTGCTTTCCCGGCGAGGGCGTGGTCGTCGAGGAGGAGCCTGCCCGGCCCTGGATCTCCCTCGCCCAGGCGGCGCAGAGGCGCAAAGACTCAGACGGAGGATGGAGCGGCCGGGCGCAGCGAGAGGCTCCCGACGGCGCGCTCTGTCCGGAGGCGGAGGCAGGACCTGCGGGCGTTCCTTCTCGCGGCTCCTGCGGGCGCGGAAAGCAGGCGTCGCGGGTGGTGGAGGGTCCCGGGGGAAGCCAGGTAAGCACCCGCCCGCTCGCGGTCCAGGATTCGGCCCCTTTCAGCCTCTGGTTTTCCCGCTGCTCTGTCTTTGGTCCCGCTTTACGCGGTTGGACTGATTTACTTGCTCCATTGCTTTTACAGGTACTTATTTTAATCTGAGTTTATTTGCTTTCTTGCATTTCCTAATGATTTCTTGCATGTCTCTCCTACCTTCTGTTCTCCAAGCATAAGAGCCAACTCCTAGGGTCCGAGGTCCCTTCGGTCCCCCCACCCATTTTTTTAAAACGTCCAGCTCCCTCCCCCCAAGTTGACGGGCATTGCCATTCAAATGGTGAGCCTGCCCGAGTCATGTGATTGATTATGCGGGAGCGGGGCTCACCTGCCACCCCCATATATTTTATTCAGGTTGGCACCCCTACCTCCAAGGATCTCGAGGAGGCCTACGTGGTTCTCCCCCACCTCGTTTAATCCTCACAACAGCGGTAGGTTAGACTAAGAAACTGACTTGTCCAAGCAATGGCGGACTTTGGGCTTTCAAATTTCAGCAGTGCCCTGTGCGATGCCAACATTCAGCCACATCCTGCCTCTTGCCTTCCCTTCTAAGTCATTGTTTGCACCCTCTTGGCTCTGCAATCCTAACCAGTCACACTCCCCTAAATCTGCCTCTGGCCTAAGGTCACCCACTGAGCTTCATGGATAAGTGTGGGGATTTGAACCTTGGTCTCCTCACTCCTGGTCCAAGGCTCTAACCAGTACACTGCACTGACTTTTTATGGTCAAGGGAACCAGGGTGCCTCTTTATAGAGAGCTGGCTGGTAGCTGGGACACAGTCCTCCAGGCAGCAGAGGCTGTTGAATAATGACTTCAGACGGAAGCCACCTTGGGGAATGCTTGGCTTCTGAAACAGCTCCCCACAAGGTGAAAGTCAGCAGCTCAGGGAGAGAGGCTGGAAGCCAACTCCCAGTTACTTGCAGGGAGCTGGAAGTTTTTATCTATGAACACAGAGAGTATAAAAAAACCACAACCATCTGAATTCCGAAGCAGTACCTTCCATTCCATTCTGTTCCATCTCCCAGGAAGAGGTTCCTGGATTGCCAATGCCTGTTGGTGTAGAAAGCTGGATGGACCAAAGTTCAGATCCAGTATAAGGCAGGCTTCTGAATCTGCATGCAGAGGAGAGGTTTGAGGTGGAGCAGGTCCCCTAATGGTGTCATAGCACTGGGAACTGACATAGAATCATAGGATTGTAGAGCTTGAAGGGACTGCAAGGGACATCTCGACCAACCCCCTGCAATGAGGTTCAATAAGTTGGGTGTGGGGAGAGTGGCAGTTCTAGAAGGGAGGACCTCAGGGTCACAGGCAGCTTTCCAGTTTAGGACAAACCTAAGTTGGCCGCCTGGGACGCGGGTGGCGCTGTGGGTTAAACCACAGAGCCTAGGACTTGCCGATCAGAAGGTCGGCGGTTCGAATCCCCGCAACGGGGTGAGCTCCCATTGCTCGGTCCCAGCTCCTGCCAACCTAGCAGTTTGAAAGCACATCAAAGTGCAAATAGATAAATAGGTACCGCTCTGGCGGGAAGGTAAACGGCGTTTCCATGCACTGCTCTGGCTCGCCAGAAGCAGCTTAGTCATGCTGGCCACATGACCCAGAAGCTGTACGCCGGCTCCCTCGGCCAATAAAGCAAGATGAGTGCTGCAACCCCAGAGTCGGCCACGACTGGACCTAATGGTCAGGGGTCCCTTTACCTTTAAGTTGGCCACCACCCCATAGGTGAAGAAGCTGCACCCCTGGTATGAATTACATTTCCTTCAGCTCCTCTGAAACCTCTGTGTGAATGGTAAAGTGGGATTAATCTTCCTTGGGGCAGGAGCTCTCGCTGCAGATGTCCCTGGAGGAAAAGCCCCACGAGTAAGATCACATGCCAGCTTCTAACCGGGATTTGTGCCAGTTCTTACGCCTATGATGCCTGAGTCATCTCTTCAAGGGGGAAGCCCTGATAAACTCCCTGGCAGAACTTCCCCAAATGAAGGAGTTTGCCAGCCTGCCGTCCCAAACTGCTTATGGCCATGGAAATCACACCCCTCAATCAATGCTCAGTAAAGACCGGATATAATCTGTCTCCCACTTTCTGCCACCTTTCTGCGAGCAAACTAGGGTGTGTGCTGAATAAATGCATCATATGAAGGAAGCCCTGGTCCCTGATAGCTCACTTGGTAGAGCATGAGATTCAGGGTTGTGGGTTCGAGACCCATGTTGGGCAAAAGATTCCTCCATTGCAGGGGATTGGACTAGATGACCCTCGTGGTCCCTTCTGACGCAACAATTCTATGATTCTGTGCCTCTGTCTTAGAACCGCCTACACAGTCTTTTTCCTCAAAGAAATCTGGGCACTGTAATTTACAAATCTCTCGCTAATTCCCAGCAACCTTTAACAGACAACAAATTTAAGCTTGTTTAAATGTTAACCTTCTGCCACACATAGAAGACCCCAGGAAGAAGACTTGGCTGCCCCCCCTCCCAATTGCTTGAATTGTAGCCTTTTTCAGAGACCATTGTTTCAGTAAAAAGGCCTGCTTCCTGTGCTACAATGCGGCATAGTTTTTGTTTGCTTGTTTTTAAATGCATCTTACCAAAAGGCACAGGGTTAAAACTGCAGGTGCTGGCATTTTTCTGCACAGAAGAAAAGCGGAAAGGTCTGGGAGGGCCCTGCTTTTATTCTATGTCTCACCCTGCTTTCCTTTCCCAGTGACTCCTGCCTATAAACTCCTGAAGGTATGGATTAGCCCGGAATAAAGGGATTCTTCAGCTGTGCTCCTTGAATTGCAGGGGGTTGGACTAGATGACCCTTGGGTCCCCTCCATGAGAAGATGAGTTGATGACAGTCAGGGGGGTGGTTCAGACTGAGGCGGTGACTGCAGACAGGAAGCTATGATGCAAGCTAGCTAGTGTGGAGGCAAGTTCATTGTACAGTGGTACCTCGGGTTAAGAACTTAATTCGTTCTGGAGGTCCATTCTTAACCTGAAACTGTTCTTAACCTGAGGTACCACTTTAGCTAATGGGACCTCCTGCTGCCACCAGGCGATTTCTGTTCTGATCCTGAAGCAAAGTTCTTAACCCGAGGCACTATTTCTGGGTTAGCAGAGTCTGTAACCCGAAGCGTCTGTAACCTGAGGTGCCACTGTACAAGAAGCAGTTGATTCTTGTCTCCTAGTTTTGAACCCCCACTTCCGTCTCTGTGAAAAAGGGCCCCAGTCCTGTATCGGCTGACCTCCCTCTCCCTGTGTTGTGTCACACACTCGCCTGGGCGGTGATGTCGGCTGCCGTTCCCCAGCGCTGTGTTACGAGCTATTAATACCCCCCCTGCGCGTGGGCCCGGCTCAATGCTGCCCATTCATCAGGCTGGCTGAGGCAAGCTGTTGGCATGTGGGCCTCCTCCCAGCCCCTCCTGCCAGGAGCACCCCAGCGGTTGGTCTCCTTCGGGGCAGAGATAGACGCGTGAGTGTTTTGCCCTCGGCCATGCTGGCCGGCTGCCTCTCCAGTGCCTCATTCAGTTTTGTACGTTTAGGGCCTGGGAACTATTTCCTGCTTCCAACCCCAGTTCTTTGGTTCCTTGTTTGGATGAGGAAAGGAAAGGAAAAGTCTTGAAAGCCTCACTGACGCCCAATGTTTCCCCTCTGGAATATAGGAGAATGGAGTCAAGGGTCAGCGTCAGCCCTCCCTGACCTGCCACACTCCAGATGTTTTGTCTGGGGGCTGATGGGAGTTGTAGTCCAAAGAGAAGCACCAGGCGGGCGAAGCCTGCCTTAGGCCTCGTGGTGCCCGTAAAATGCCCATAAGCCAGTGTGGCGTAGCGGTTAAAGTGTCACACCTGGAAGAGATGAAGGATCTAATCCTCACCTAGCCACAAAGCTGTCTGACTTTGGGAGCCAGTTGCTGTCTCTCAGCCTAACCAACTTTGAAGGTTTGTTGTGAGAATTAAATGAGGAGATAGAGAAACATATACACCACCTTGGGTTCCTTGGTGAATAGGGCGGTGTATAAATGCAGTATGCTGGTACCTCAGGTTCCAGACATTTCACATTACAGACACTTCAGGTTACAGACTCCGCTAACCCAGAAATAGTACCTCGGGTTAAGAACTTTGCTTCAGGATGAGAACAGAAATCGCGTGGCGGCAGCGCAGCGGCAGTGGGAGGCCCCATTAGCTAAAGTGGTACCTCAGGTTAAGAACAGTTTCAGGTTAAGAACGGACCTCCAGAACAAATTAAGTTCTTAACCCAAGGTACCACTGTAGTAGTAGTAGTAGTAGTAGTAGTAGTAGTAGTAGTAAGTCCAGTGGCTACAAGGGGCTTGTCCACAGGTAGCTCAGTCAGTAAAGCATGAGACTCTTAATCTCAGAGTTGTGGGTTCAAGACCCATAGTGGGTGAAAGATTCCTCCATTGCAGGGGGTTCGACTTGATGACGCTCGTGGTCCCTTCTGATTCTATGTGTTTAATGTTAAAACGACTTGTGTCAATGATATTAATGCAGTGTGCTCTGCGTGGGGCTGCCCTTGGGCCTGGTCCAGAAGCTCCAGCTGGGGCAGAATGAAGCAGCCAGGCTGCTGATGGGGGCATCTGGCCAAGAACATGGGACACCATTCTTAAAACAGCAGCACTAGCTGCCTGTCTACTACTGAGCCTGGCTCAAGGTCCTTGTGTTAGTTTATAAAGCCCTGGACAAGAATACTGTAAGGACTGCCTGAACCCTTCTGTCCCGGCTCAGTTGCCAAGATCATCGGCAGGAGCATCGCTGGTTGTTCCCCAAGGCTCAAGTGACAGCAATGAGAAGCCGAGCCTTTAGTGTCACCACCCCAGGCCTGTGGAACTTTCTGCCAATAGAGAGATGCATTCTGTGCCAACTTTTAAACGCCTGTTTAAAAGTTTTCTCTTCTGTCAGGTGTATGCTTGGCAATTAAGAGTACATCCTTCTGCAATGGTACCTTGATGTCTGTTTTAAACAAAAGGTCTCTCTCTCTCTCTCTCTCTCTCTCTCTCTCTCTCTCTCTCTCTCTCACACACACACACACACACACACACACACACACAATACCTCCTAACTATGCTGCTGAAGAAAGGTACTCTGTTTTATGGAAGAACATGCCCAGAGACCCATTATTGAATCTACAACATTCACCACCCCCAATAGAAAAGTGGCCACCCCTATTCTAGATGGAAGGCATTGTGTTTAGGTTCAAAGGGGCTTCATCATTGCCACTTTCCTAATGTAAATAGGCTCCCCCCCCCAAAAAAACAGTTCATAGGGAAAAACCATATGTGCACCATCCATGTATGCTTTGGGGAGAGGGAGAGATTCAAGTTGTCATGGAAACATGGGTGCAGCCAGAATTTGTTGGGGGGGGGCAGGACATTTGTGTGTGAGGGGGTCAGAACCGACATGATTGGCCAGTTATTTAAGTAGTCCTATTGTTTTAGTTGATCTAGGGGGTCCTGGTTGGAAACAGTGAAATAGTGCCCAGTCCTGATCTAGTCGGGCTCCCCCAGAAGCACATTTTTTTTGGGTGGGGGTGGTAGTTGGGGGGTTAATGGGGGGTAGGTCGAATCACAGTTGTCCCAAAATCACTCCATGTTTTGCTCTTTCTCTCCCTGGCGAAAGCGGGCCTTGCAGATGGTCAGGCTGTGAGGCTTAATGCCGATTTGGGTTGTGTTGCAACAAAGCCAGCTATTTTTAAATGTATTTGCACAGACAATTCCAGCACCTTCGCCGCAACCCTTTGGCCCACAAGCCTCCCACTTCCTCCCAAGGGGAGATGCAACTGGGGCTCTCGCCACCCGCTAAGGAAGCTCCCTGCCCCTATCCCCTTCCCCCGCATTCCCTGGGAACGCCCGTCTCTGCTCACCTTTAGCATAAGGATCCGGTTGGAGGAACTGAAGCTTCATTTGGGAGATCAGTTCCTAAGGAGCCCCCGCTTTCTGTGGTGTTTAGAAATATGGGTTCAAGAAGGATGCTGGGGGCTGGATGTGGCTTTTTTTTTTGCCCAGTGGCAAAGGAGGAGAAGGAGATGGCGGCAAGGCAGGAAGAGGATGTGGCTGCATTGTTGTTAAGCAGTTGAGCTCAATGCAGGGTTACGGTTAGGAAGCCACTGACACAGAGAGGTTGTTCCTGAGCATGCCAACCATGGGGCAGAGTTTCCGATACCTCTCGCTTCCTATGGAGACTTCAGTAGCGGGGAGCCTCCTTTCAATTCACTTCCCGGCTTTCAGTTCATTGACTTGGTTGGGTTTCGCCACATCCAGCTGCATTACATGTGGCATAGAATCCTTGAAATGTAGAGCTGGGAGGGACCCCAAGAGTCATTTAGTCTGACCCCCCTACAGCAAAGGAATGAAGCACTATGTATATATTTACATGGTGAAATTTGTGGGCTGTCTCAGTGCCATCCTGTGCACATCTAATGCAGTGAGCTCAAAGGGACTTGCTGTCTTGTAAATAATGTTGCATGCTTCCTCAGGGTTCGGTTTCCTTGGAGGGGAAGGACAAAGGAGACTGTGGTGTCTTGGGATGTATGGTTTTCGTTACCCATACATCCAAGCTGAGCATAGGATGGAGATGCTCACAGAGTTAACACCCCAATAGATTTTGCCTCCTCGTTCAGTTCCTGGGGAAGCTCCAAGTCCAGCACAGAACAAGAAAAGCCTCTGTGTCTCCAGCTTGCACCACAATCCATCTCTCCCTCCCTTCTCTCTCATACCAACTCTTACACAGCTCCCCTTTCCCTCTTCACTGCTGGTATCCTGCCAGGTGAGGTGGGAAAAGGCCCAGCCAATTTTCTCTATGGCAACAGAAGTAACTCTCTGGACATGTAAATGGCAAGGACCTACCGTATTTTTCGCTCTATAAGACGCACCAGACCACAAGGCGCACCTAGTTTTTGGAGGAGGAAAACAAGAAAAAAAATATTCTGAATCTCAGAAGCCAGAACAGCAAGAGGGATCACTGCACAGTGAAAGCAGCAATCCCTCTTGCTGTTCTGGCTTCTGGGATAGCTGCGCAGGCTGCATTCGCTCCATAAGACGCACACACATTTCCCCTTACTTTTTAGGAGGGAAAAAGTGAGTCTTATAGAGCAAAAAATACGGTAACTAGTCACCTTTAGCAAAGACACTAGACTAGCTGGTTCAACAGCTTCTTCCACTACAGGTAGATTCTAAACCTCACCGAGTTTATTAATATTTTGAGAAAATTGAGAAATCTTATGTCGGCTTTTGGTTTTATCAGCATTTTCCCATGAAAATTGTGCATCATGTTTTGCGAGGCGCTTGAAGATTTTTGTTGAATAAGCAGTTTATAGCTCTTGTCGACGGGATAAATAAGAAGAGCGCTGCTGGATGAAACCTACTCTGTCCAGCTTTCTGAGGTCTTCTCTTTAATCTGTACCATATTTTTTGACTTGCCTTTTTTGTGGGTACCCTACTTTAGTGTGGAAAAGTTGGCTTAGAGTTGTTTCAACGACTGTGTGGCTTTGAAGAGGGAAGCATCGAAATGGGCTTGCGTGAAGACCCTGCGCTTCCTTCTAACCTTGTACTGGGTGGGGTGTCTTAGAGAAACCAAGGAGCTTTGAAATACTTTGTAACTTTTGCTGATGGCTTCCTCTTGGTCAGTGCTGGTGCGACAGGTCGTCTGGGAGAGGGAACCGCCCTGTGTAATGGTTGGAAAGGGTGATGCTCTTGGGAGGTTTCTCGGATTGCTCTTTGCCATTTGGCAGGTGAGAAAACACAGCTGCGGAGCTGGCAAGGGAGGCATCAGGGATCAAAGTCTTTCTGGGGTGTGCGCGATTAAACTGAGAGGGTCCCACATAAAGCAGTTGCGATTTATGGACCTTCGAATCCAGGCTTGTGCACATGTTTCAGATTAAGGGTGGGTTGCGTTGAAGGGATGGTTGTGTTCTCAGTCCTAAAGGGAATAATGGGTTTCATATTGTTGGGGCGTGAGTAATGGGGGAACAGGGGCAAAACTAACTAACACTTTTCATTAGGTAGCATTTGAGCTGGCAAATGTGGGTGAGAGAGTAGGCTCTCTCTCTCTCTCTCTCTCTCTCTCTCTCTCTCTCTCTCTCTTACACACACAGATGTTTGCAGGTCAGAAAATAATAAAGTTGTTTATTGTAGGAAATGCATAACTTGGGTGGATAAGGTTTCTAGGTACAGTATAGCCTAACTTTCTGACGTTGGAAGAACTTGTATAGTCCACATGGTCCTGCCCTTTGACAAAATGGAGAGCGCTGCCAGACTTGAGGAAGTCCGGAGGTTTGCGGAGGTGTGGAAAATCTGTCGGCCCCAAGCAGAAGGGTGCCAGAGGGAACACAGCCCACACCTTTGAAGGCAGGAGGGGTGTGCAAAACCCAGCCACCTTTTTATTAATAGAGCCGGAAATGCTTGGATGTGGTCCACCTGGATCTCTGTGAAGCTTCTAGTCAAAGATGATGCTTGATGGAAAGTAACCGCCCTCAGCTTCCGCAGCTCTTTTCCCTAGCCGCTGCCTCCCCCACAGTACCTGTGGCAGGTACTGAAGTCTTTTGGGAATGGGGCAGGGTGGGGATCTGGAGCTGAGGGAAGGGGTGTCTTGTTTCGGGCCAGACTTGCTGAGTTGCCCCCAACATTGGGGGGCATGACATCACACACGGGCGCCCCCAACCTGGCCAGGCACACTCGGCTCGCCATTCCCCCCACTACCAACCACCTTCCTGAAAGGTGCCCTGGTGTGTCCTTTTGAGGATTGTCACAAAGTTGAAAATATGGGGGGACTGCCCCCCGGCCCCCTAGATGACACCCCTGTTTGGGGCCAAAATGGCAGTGCTCTGGTGGCTGACAAGCAAAGCTGCTTTTCAGTATGAGAGATAGAAACAGAATTGTAAGGTTGGAAGGGACCCCCAAGGGTCATCCAGACCAACCCCCTGCAATGCAGGAATTGCAGCTTAAGGCTTAAGATTCCCTGACAGATGCGCGCATTCAACCTTTCCAAGGAAGGAGAATCCATCACCTTCTGAGGTGGTGGAACGTGTGCAGACAGATGCACCACCTTAGGCCACAAAGCCCCACAATCTTCGAGTTCTCAAGAAATTCTCAATTACCCTGAGAATTGAGGAAGAAACTTGTTCTCAGAGGAAGAAAACATTTCAAGAAAACGGAAGGTAGATTTTGGAATGTACTAATATAACTCTCCAAAGTGGATCATGTTCCTCTGAGTCACATGAATCCTTGTTTTTAAACCCACAGTTACCGTAACTCTTCTCGCTGTGGTGGGCAGAGGTGACACGAGCTCCCCCCAAAAACCTCTCAGCCAGATGTAAGAGATATACTTAAACCCACATATAGAGTATGTACAGGACTTTTCTTGCCCATGGCAGCCATTTTTTGCTGGAACCTTTGGCACTTTTATCAAAATAGGAGTCTGGGCACCTCAAAAAATTTTTAACCGGAAAAGTACCACACATAGCATACATACATAGACCATTCACAGTGGGTATATACAACCCACACAAAGACAGCATCCACATAGAGCCATAGAATCGACAAGTTGGAAGGGATCCAAGGGTCATCTAGTCCAACCCGCTGCAAGGCAGCACATGACAGCATCGTCAACCATTTTCCTGGCTCGTATTTCCTCCTCATTCAGTCTGGATGACCCTTTCAGTGGATAATCCGATGAAAGAAAGAATCCCTGTTCCCCACAAAGCTCATTTGCAATCCCTCCTACGGGCTTCTGCGTTAGCAAGGAATCGGTGACTGTTTTGTGACGTTTTGTCAAGGGTTAAGGGAAAAGCCCAGCTGTTTGGCAGGCTTTCCTGTTGCTTCAGCGATTGGCCAGAAGCCTCAGGGGGCGGGCGCAAGGAGGCAGCTCCAGCAGTTTGGCCACCTGTGCCTGGAGTAACCCTCATTTTTTTGCAATTGACAACGGCCAAGGAGCAGCAGCTGCTTCGGCTGCTGCTGCTCTGGAGCTGGCAACAAAGTGTGTGTGTTTGTGTGTGTGTGTAAGTATAACTCTGGGGGCATGTTGCCTCCAGCCTTTGCCCTGCCCCAGCAGAGGAAGCGACTGAATCTCTCAAGGATTTTTGACAGCCACGGAGTTTTCTCCTGGTACCTCAAGCACAGTTTTTCAACACGGGACATGGAGCAAGGCAACTCGAGGTAAATAGTCACTGCATCAAAATGCTCTCCGATGCTGTCAGTTTAGTGGTGAAGCTGTCTGTCTGTCTGTCTGTCTGTCTGTCTGTCTGTCTCTCTCTCCCCCTTGGTCTTTCGCTTTCTGGCTCTGAAGAGTCATAACTTTCCCCGAGGAGCGCCTGACGCTCACATGATGACCTGGCAATCCTGTTTTCACTTCATCGACTTGACCTGCCTGAACAGAAAAATGGTGTCTGTGTGGGTCTGGTTATATGTGCCCCATTCCGAGGCCGTTCTCTCCTAGGAGACGTTACTGGTTTGGGTGCATGGCAAGGGAGGACTTCTTGCTTGTACAAACGTTTCATAGCCATTCTAAACTGTTGCAGGAGCTCCTTCCGTTGCTGCTCTCCCTTGTCTTTTGCTACGGGAGCACTGTGTGTGTGCATTATGTGATTATGGGAGTTCTTGGGTTGCGTCTTGCTTGTTTTGTGATGCAGGAAAGACCAAGTAACATGCACATGGCTCCCTTCCAGCCTCTCGGGGTGGTGGGCGCTGAGCAGGTGGGCCCTTTTGTAAGCGACCGGCAAACTGAGTGGGTGAGATCCCCCGTGGGAGCCGCACTGGAGGTGTGGTCCTGATCCGTGCACATGGCACAAAAGAAGTCAGTGGCAGCATCAAACACACACTCAGTTCAGTCCACGCTGGTTGGCCCCTGCTCTTTGAGGCTGTAGAACCATAGAACTGTAGTGTGGAAGGTATAGCCAAGGGCCATGTAGTCCAGCCCCTTGCAATGCAGGACTCACAGCCAAAGAATCCTTAACAGATGACCCTCCAGCCTCTGTCAAAAAAACAGAGAGAGTCCACCACCTTCCAAGGATGTCCATTCCACTGTCAAACAACTCTTGTTGAAGTGGTCAGGGTCCACTGCATTGGCAGGTGCTGCGTTTCAGTCTGAAAATTCAGATGCTTATTTCTTATATTTTACCGTAATTCACAGCCTGCCCTGTCTCCAGGACTCTGGGTCTGTTGTACCCCAAAATAACACATGGCTTAACTATGAGCTCTCTTGAGTTTCAGGCCATCCATATGGAAAACTCTGAGTCATGGGCAGGGAAAACATGGAAACCCAGAGTGCTATTCAGCACTAGTCCTGCTCAGAGTAGACCTATTGAAGTTAATGGATGTGACTTAGTTAGGATCCCTAATTTTATTGGGTTCTGGCTGACTACAACCCCAGATTTAGTGTCTGAATTGAAGAATTGAAGAATGGATTGTTAGAAGTATTGCCCTCCTCCAAAAAAGGAAATGCAAATATCTGTCTATAGTTAGGTCTGTATTTTCTGTAGCTTCTCACTTATTGACAGAGATGGCTGAGCTTGTCCCCACTTGCTGAGGGCCAGAATAACTTGGTTCATTTCCTGAGGCTTGGAAGACAAGCCCCTCTCTCCGAAACACCCTCCTCCCCTTCCCCTTAAGGCCTTACCTGGTCAGGTGGGCGAGGTGACCTGCTCAGTCTGCTCTCCGGGTGCTAACTATTGATGGGCAGGATCAAGGCCCCTGCTCCTTTATCTTGGGTTGGAGAGAAGTTCTAATAAAGGATTTCTTCAAATACAGGACGGTCATCTTGAAAGTCCTTGAAATGTGGAGGGACGGAGAAAGTCCCCTACGAAGAAAAGTTGCCGTGTTTGGGACTTTTTATTTCAGATAAAAAGGCGAGAAAGAGGTGGTTAAGATACAAGTTTATACAATGAGGTATGACATGGAGAAAGTGAATAGAGAGACAAATAAACTCTCCCTCTCTCAGGACACTTGAACTTGTGGATAGCCAATGGAGCCGAATGTTGGAAGATTCAGGGCGGAGAAAAGAAAGGACTTCTTTATGCAACACGTAGTTAAACTATGGAACTCGCTCCTGCAAGAGGCAGTGATGGCCACCAAGCTAGGTGGTTTTAAAAGAGGGCTGGGCAAATTAATGGAGGAGAGAGCTATCCATAGCTGTGTTCTGCCTCCAAGGTCACAGGCAGCAATGCTTCTGAATACCAGTTGCTGGAAACTGCAGGAGGGGAGAGTGCTGCCACTCTTGTGCTTGGTTTGGGCTTGTCGGTTGCTGCTCTCCATGCATGTTGCTGCTACTCCTGCCATTGATCTGTGCCCTTTAGAGGACAGGGGGGAGAGTGTTAGGAATCAGAAGGGTCTTGAATTTTGGAGATTGTTGGTGATGAGAGAAGCCATGAATTCTCCTCCGGCTTGGATTTCAACCTGAGCCGGGGAAGAACCTTCAGACTTTGAAAACTCTCCTCTGATTTAAAATCTGGAGGAGATCATGGTACAGGGCTGGGTGTGCACCCAGCACTATAATGGACAATGGTTATTTAGTGGTTTAGTGCCAGACTGGGAGTTAGGAGACCAAATCCCTGCCTGGCCATGAAGATCACTGGGTGAGCTTGGACCAGTCAATGCCTCTCAGTCTAATCTACATCACAGGGTTGTTGTGAAATGAGGAGAGGAAGCTGTATATGTCACCTTGAGCTTCTTGGAGGAGAAGAATTAGACAGGAATGCAATAAATAAACAAAGGAGTAAGAATTGATTCCAAAATAAATAGGATTAGTAAATGTCTTCCCTCTCCCCATTATATTTCTCCTAATCTCTTTAGTGCTACTTTAGGAGCACATTAGGCCAACATAATCCATATTAACCATTTTCCGTTGCAAGTCCTTGTCGCTGACGTTTGGACATATCATTCTGGAGGGTTGAATGAGGGCACAGATTGCGTGTTCTTTGTGGCAGTCAGAGGCATTGGTGGCCAGGGCCCAAATCCATTTCTCCTTTCTTTGGAAAGGGTGCTAGGGGTCACCAGAGTGACATGTGTGAATCGGTAAAGATGATAAACAGTGCCCCTGCAGGCGTACAGAGTGCTCTCCTCACCAGCGAGGGACCACAGCATTTCAGTATTTGTAGGAAAGGCAATCGGGTAACGTGAGGCGATTTCTGCCTCGCCCCGTGCCTTCCCTTGAGAAACTGAGCAGACCTGGGCTCTCCCTGTGCCATTTAAAGCAAAGGAACCCCTTCTTTCCCCCTTGAGGCAACAACAGGGGAACTGGGTTAGCAGCAAGGCGGGGATAGTACGGCAGTGCTTGGAAAAAGCCCTCTCAGAGACCCGAGTTTGGAGGGCTACGTTTTGCATGGAGTATGAATCCATTAACCTTTGCGCACAGTTCCGGCACATTCCCTGGCATCCAGAACATGGCCGTTGAGGGAGGCTGCATTCCAGTAAAGTCAGGGGTCCCCCCTCCAGCCCAGTTAATAATTGAGCTGCAATGACCCTCCTTGCGCCGTGTCTCCCTGAAAGTCACCTCTGTATACTTACAGTCAGCTTGCTGGCACTGGGGGCTCCCGAAGTTTCAAAGTAAAGGAGACCTTTGTTTCCTTGCTCGCTCTGCCCTGAGAGGGATGTCGCCAGTCTCAAGACCCCATTTGAATGTGACTTGTTTGGCAATGCTCCTAAAGGAGTTGATCTGATGAAATAGCTGGACAACCTGGAACTGGACAGAGTCTGGACAGAAGCGGAATTGGTAGACTAAAACTACAGGAACCCCAGTCTCTGAGTGGTGAGAGGCTCTGGGATGCCTGTGATTTTCCCAGGGGTTACTTTCCTGGGAATGAAGGTCTGTGGTGTCTTTCGGAACTACGGTTTTATTTATGCACATGAACAACCTGAGCAGAGGATGGAGAAGGGTTCATGGCATTAACCCCCCAGCATTTCTCCCCACAGACTTCCCTTAGGTTCCCAGGGGAGCCCCAGACTCAGTTTTGGGTTCAGCACAGAACAATATAAACCTCTGTGTCTCCGGCTTCCAGCATCAGCCAACCCCCCCCCTCTCTTTCTCTCTTACACACACACACACACACACACACACTTGGCCTGTTGATCCCCATCCTAGGGTGACTGGTGGCACTCAGCCAGCTGGGGTGGGAAAAGGCCCACCCATGTCTGTGTGACCACAGGGCAAACTCTTTCTATATGTAAATGGAGGTGCTTAAACTGGCCAGCTAAAGGACTGGTTTTGCTGGTTTCCGCTTGCATTTTCTACCCTCACCCACACAGAAGCACAGGTTTCGGAAGGGATCCCTGGGTGTCATCCAGACTGACCCACCCACACCTATAACAGAACATAGATCTAGGTTAAATGGGGGTGGGGGACTTGATAATGACATAATCTCTGTAGCTCCCTGCAAAGATTATTTCATTGCCAAGTTCTCCACACACCCCACCCCAGTTCTAGGATCCAGATTTAGGATGACTTCAAGATAAGGCTCTCCCATCACCCCCTGTCCAGTGGCTGTGCTGTCGGAGGCTGATGGGAGTTGGTAGCCCCAAACATCGGGGGGGGCAGATTGGGGAAGCATCTATGGCGGACACAGAGGCAAGGATGAGAGAAAGATGGAACAGACTGAATGTCTTGACACGCATTGGGGAAAGGCAAGGCCTTGCCAGTCTTTCTTCCCAGAATCCTCTCTGCTTAAAAGATGGGGGTCAATAGACTCATAGAACTGTACAGCTTGAAGGGACCCAAAGGCTCATGTGGTCCAACCCCCTGTGAGGCAGCAATCACAGCTGCGTCCTGAGAAAAATACCGCCATTTGGATGAGTTGAGAATGGCCTTTGGGGCTGCTGTGGGCTCCTTTTCCTTTTGGAGTGATGGCGACTGAAGTGTAGCATTGGGGTTGTGAAAGCAGAGTGAGGGTGGTTTTCCCATTCCTTGAACCGCCTCTCTGGCCTCCTCTCCAGCTACTGCCACCGACTGTTGTGTCAGCTGCTGGTTGGTTGGCACATGGGCAGGTTTGGCCCATCTCTTTGCTTCCGTGGGGGGGACGGTTCTTTCCTGCTCATTTGCTGATCACAGAAGCTCAGCTATGAGCCCGGAGATAATCCCTCCATTACGAACGAAGCAGCTTTGCATGGGAAACTGGAGAAGATTCTGTTCTGCTCAGCGTCCCTCATTTTGGAGTGAACCAGGCCTGGTTTATCTTGGCTGAGCACTTAATAAGTGACATATTACCCTGCCAGCGTGTGCCCGGGAACATTTACGGAGCGTACAGCAACGGCACTGTTTGACTATCCATTTTAACGGTCGCTTATCAGGAAACGGCACTTGTCATATGGTGCCAGAAGCGGTCTTGCACACACTTCCACAGATCTGTTACATCGAAGAGAGTGACTCAGTTACTCCCCCTTCCCTCCCAAAAAAGAGACAGAAAATGAGGAATAAATGAATCCTTCTTCTGGTGTTCTTAAGATAACATTTCCATTGCCATGCCAGGAACAAAACGTAGTATTGGGGTGGATCATTTCCCCACAACATTGGGGAATAATTCAATCACAATTTAAGATGTTTCTGTTAGAAATGGGTGTCCTCTTTTGAGACATAAGGGTGGGGAAAGGGGCTTCCAGTCTCTGCTCGTCCCCTTCCCTCAACCTGCTCCATTAATCTGCTTTCCGCTTGCTGAGATAAACTGCAGGAAATCCCTAGAGGCCACCTTAACCGAACCTCTGAGCTGTACAGGAAAAACATCCTGGATGGAGCTGCGGAGTCTCTGCTCCCAATTAAGCCAGTTGGGTTCTGCATTTTATCCAGATCCAGATGTTCTCTCCGTTGACGAAACCTCTGGTGCACGTAGGAGGCACCAGCCGAAACATAATACTCATGTGAACTTTGGAAAGAGGCTCTCCCTGCATCGGGAGGGCATGTAGAAGGAAGGCTTGGTAATTTTGCCCCAGGGCAAGCAGCCCACTTCCTACCTTGGACTGGGGGCAGTTGTGGTTGGCCTCCTCTCCTGCCCAATAGGAATCAGCAGACCTGAGCTGGGGCACCTGGTCGCTGTTCAAATGCAGCCTTTAACATTATCTGTTCTGCGTGCATGTTAATGGAGACATCCGGGTCGCTAGACATTAAAGGCGGTGGAACCTCCTTCATTGGAGGTTTTTAAAGAGGTTGGAAAACCATCTGTCAGGAAGACGCCGTTTGTTTATTCATTTATCCACCCCACCTTCTCCCCAGACTGGGGCTGAAAGTGGCTTACACAAGTTGAAAACACACACACATAAAATACAGAAAGCTGAAAAAAGATAATTAAAAAGTAATTAAGCTATAACTATAAAAAACTATGGGACGCAGGTGGGGCTGTGGGTTAAACCACAGAGCCTAGGACTTGCCGATCAGAAGGTCAGCGGTTCGAATCCCCGCGATGGGGTGAGCTCCCGTTGCTCAGTCCCTGCTCCTACCCACCTAGCAGTTTGAAAGCATGTCAAAGTGCAAGTAGATAAATAGGTACCACTCTGGCGGGAACCTATCCAGGGTTTCCGTGCACTGCTCTGGTTTACCAGAAGCGGCTTAGTCATGCTGGCCACATGACCCGGAAGTTGCATACCAGCTCCCTCGGCTAATAAAGCAAGATGAGCGCCTCAACCCCAGAGTTGGCCATGACTGGACCTAATGGTCAGGGGTCCCTTTACCTTTACTATAAAAAGCTATTATTTAGCTGTGGTTCCAGCATCAAAGGCGGTTGGGCTAGAGGACCCCTGGGGTCCCAGAAAATGTTTTGTTTGTTGTATTTATATCTCACCTGTTTCTGCAAGGAGTTTGAGGTAGCATTCACATGGTTCTCCCCTCCTTGTTTAATCCCCGCAACAACCCTGTGGGGTAGGTTAGGCTGAGAGAAGACAGTGACTAGCCCCCAAAGCTGCATGCAGAGAGCTTCATGACCAAGTGGGGATTTGAACCCTGGTCTTTGCCCCCACATTTCAGGGCTTCCCCACACTTCTGCTCATCCCGCCACTTTCCCTCAGGGAAAAGCCTGCTTTCTCCCTCTGAATCGGAACAAACGTCAGTCAGGTTTCCTGCAGGTTGATGCTTGTTCCGATTCAGTGGTCAATGGTGGGTATCGCTGGGGAAAGTGGCAAACGAAAAACCCGCTCGGCCCCATGCCTAGAAAATGCAGGAGAAGTGGGAGTGTGGAGGAGCCCTTAGCCCAGGGGTCAGCAAACTTTTTCAGCAGGGGGCCGGTCCACTGTCCCTCAGACCTGTGGGGGGCCGGACTAGATTTTGGAGGGTGGGAAATGAACGAATTCCTATGCCCCACAAATAACCCAGAGGTGCATTTTAAATAAAAGGACACATTCTACTATGTAAAAACATGCTGATTCCCAGACTGACCGTGGGCTGGATTTAGAAGGCGATTGGGCTGGATCCATCTCCCGGGCCTTAGCCCAGCACTCTAGCCACTGGCTCATAAGCTGACCCTTCCCTCCCTCCATACTCAGGTCTGGTACATCTTTTTTTAAAAAGAAAGGTTGCTGTCTGCTGAAAGGTTGGTTTTGAGAGCTCAGCAGCTTCCCCCCTCTCCCCAGCCACCTGCCTTTCCTCTGGGTGATGCGGAAGCGAACTTTGTCACGGAGAGACTGCGTGTCTTGCTTCATTCAACTCTGCGTCCTATTTGAAAGGGGAGCAGCGACATTAACAGCGCTTTAGGGCTCTGTGGCTTCCTCTCCTCGGAGTTTCCCTGACCTTTTGTGCTGTGGATCCTCCTCTTGCTCTTTGGACATCTGAACCTTGGGAGGTGCCTGGAAGTCTCTCTCTCTCTCCTTTTAACCCAGTCTGCCTGGCGAGAATCCTAGGAGTAGAACAATCAACAAATACAGCAAGTTATTCAGGTTGAACTTAATTAACCCATATGTGGGATAATTTATTTCATTTATTGCATCCCACCTTTTCCCACCTCCACGGAGCTCAAGGTGCCTTGCACTGCCCTCCCCCTCCTCAATTAACCCCCCACAACAACCCTGCGAGGTAGGCTAGGCTGAGAGGCAGTGGCTGGCCCAAGGTGAGCCAAGTGGGGATTCGAACCCTGGTCTCCCAAGTCCTAGCCAACAATGCAGCATGCTGGCTCTCTAAAATCATGCGTCCTGGTGCCCACTTTTTTGAGGACCAAGTAAAGAAGATATCAATCTACCTGCTGGCATTCTGATTTCAGGGTTTTATCCGCTGCTGCTTTTAATGCTTTAGCTTAAGTTTATTTTCTCTTTGTCTATCTCCATTGCATTATTATTATCTTTGATGCTTTAATGTTTTCGTGTTTTTATCATCTGTAAGCCGTTGGTTTGGTGGCAGCAGGGGGCGGAGAGCTTTCTTGGAAGTGGGACATTTGCAGAGGAAATGTTCTCACTGGATCTTGAAAGAGATCTTCCTTCCTGTCTCCCATAATCTGACATGATGCTACTTTTACCCCCACAGTGAAATTCAGAGAGGGGGCTGGGTGTACTCATGTCTCGGCACTCTTAAAAAAAATAGGAATTTACTGTGAAACTGCTTTGAACAATTTTTTTTTTAAGAGAGATGATAAACTGCGGAATGTTTAACAATGGAATTCACTTCCACAGGAGGCAGTGATGACCAACAAGCTAGATGGCTTGAAAATAAGATTAGACAACTCCAGGGAGGAGAATAAGGCTATCAAAGTCTACTAGCTGCAATGGCTATGCTCTCGTTCCATGCTCAGAAGCAGCAAGACTTCTGAAGGCCAGTTGCTGGAAGCCACAGGAGGGGTTTTTGTGCTGAAATCCTGCCTGCGGGTTTCCCATTGGGGACATCTGGTTGGCCACTGTGAGAACAGGATGCTGGACTAGATGGGCCACTGGCCGGATCCAGCAAGGCTCCTCTTATTTATTTATTTATTTATTGTAAGTTGTTTTGAGTTTCCTTCTGAGGGGAAAGCAACTAATAAATATAATAATAATCATACCCGTGTGCAGAACATTTGTGATGAACGAAAACGTCTTGGGAGTGTTTACATGACAATCATAAGTAAATCAATGTTCAGACCACTTCTTTATTGAAATTATCACTTGCCTGGGAGATGGGATGTATCTGGCTTTTTGGAAACCTCACCCAACAAATCGTACCCTAAAGCACATTGTTAATTTCAGGCAACTTTGTTCTGAAGATTGTAATAGCACAGAACTGGAGGGGAAACCCAGAATTAGCCATTCTGGCGAAGGAAATAACCCAGTTGTCCAATTTTGGTGGAACAGTCATGTTAAGAGATGGAAGGTACATTGCAGAGCGTCATCCTTCTATTCGTTTTCATAAGCGAAAGCGTAACTTTGAGGTTAATCCTGTTTTCCGTTTCCCTTCTCCTGACTGGTTCCATGAGCATTTGCAGGAAACAAGGGGTTAAGGCTGCTCCCCAGCAGGATGGAGCAGAGTAGCTTCTTTCATGAGCTGAGATGGTTTGTATTTCCTTGCCTTCTTCAGGATTCAGGGAGGTGCTGGTTTCTTTAAAGGCATTTCCTGTAGGCAAGTTTATATTTGGCATAGCGCTGGAAGCGGAAGAGGGCTGGGACCAAAGTAGCGGGCTTGGAACAGAGAGAACCAGATTTTTCTTAATGTCACCACAGATTCCCTCAAGGAAATCTGCACTCCTTGACTTGTGTCAGTTCCCTCAGGGAAGGAAGAAGGTCAGCAAACTGTCCCTATATGGATACCTTATAAACTGCTCCTGTTTTTTGTTTGTTTTCTTTTTTTAATTGGGCTAACAACAACAGAAATACACATCAGGCTGGTACAATAATAATAGACTGACTCTACTTTTAAACATAGTATGGAATAAAAGCCATTACTCTTCAGGGGTGGGATGCATGTTAAAGGGGAATAATATCATATATTATTGAATCCACCAAATCTATCAGTAAGCAGAGGGAGGTGACAGACCGTGTCACCTACTGCCCTAAAACTACAGCATCCACCGTGCCTCAGACACATTACAAAATGACCAGGTAGGCAAAGAGAACATAAGGTAAAGGTAAAGGGACCCCCGACCGTTAGGTCCAGTCGTGACTGACTCTGGGGTTGAGGCGCTCATCTCGCTTTATTGGCCGAGGGAGCCGGCGTACAGCTTCCGGGTCATGTGGCCAGCATGACTAAGCTGCTTCTGGCGAACCAGAGCAGTGCACAGAAATGCCATTTACCTTCCCGCCGGAGCGGTACCTATTTATCTACTTGCACTTTGACGTGCTTTTGAACTGCTAGGTTGGCAGGAGCAGGGACCGAGCAATGGGAGCTCACCCCGTCGCGGGGATTCAAACTGCCGACCTTCTGATCAGCAAGTCCTAGGCTCTGTGGTTTAACCCACACCGCCACCCGCGTGTCTAAAAACTTGTGATGAGAAAATGGGAAGCGGCAGGCTCCCTCGGAAGGTGGTGGACTCTCCTTCATGGGAGGTTTTTAAGCAGAGGCTAGGTGGTCATCTTTAGCTGTGATTCCTTCACTGAAGGAGATTGGGCTCGATGAACTTTGGGGTCCCTTCCAACACTATGATTCCACGATTTCCTTGTGTGAGATGTCGAAATGCCCGAACTTACAACCGTGTTGCTTTCTGTTATTGTGACTTTTTCACATCGGAAGAAGAGAGTTACGAAACCGGGCTTATCCAAACACATCTTGTTTGAAGATAGTATTTCATCGCACGCAGGCGGTTTTCCTGACCCCATGTCAATGGCTTCCATTGTTTCATTGTTGGCTTTGTTTCTTGTAGGTGAGTAGAGGTGAAATCTGGTCTACACACACACACACACACACACACACACACACACGGCTTTGGAGATGTGAGAATTCTGGACAAATTTATTTGGGTTTGAGATCTGGCTAGCAGAGGGGAAGTGAGAAGTGCCTTAGTTTTGTGCCCCTCTATTTTGGACAATACCATCGCAAAAGATGTTTTCTAATATTCTCCCAGTGCTGTGCTTTCTGCCTTTGAGAAAATGGAAAGGGGGGGGGAATCGAAGATCAAGAGAAAACAATTCTGGGGGCACCTCTTTCCCATTCTGGCCCCATTCTGGCCAAGGGATTTGCAAGGTCAGCACATCCTGGGATCGTTTTTCGGTAAGCCAAAGATGGAGCAACATAGAGCCCAAGGGAAGAGAGATGGACTACGTTATGGTTGGCTAGCTGAAGTGGATGGTGTCAAGACACCAGCAGTTGGCTTACCGCGTGAGTTTGATGGGTGATAGAAAATAGATTTAAAGAAAAGAAACCCAAACACTCCATGATACCCACATTTTGCAATTTGGGAAAGAATCTTGTATATCTGAATTCTTGGGAAAGAATCTTGTGTATCTGAATTTGATACATAGGAAATAAAGTCCTACCAAACATTGCAGAAATGTTCCGGATCTTCTCTGCCTTTAGAAACCACTAATTTGTGGGTTATTTTCTCAGTGTTAGAACAGAACCCACACATTTTTGTCCTGCAGAGAAAGAGATGCATGTTGTGTAATGTCTTTCATTTTTGAGCTGTACAGGTTTGTGTTGCTGCTAGCATCCAGGTGAGGTACATTGCAGGGGGTTGGTCTAGATGACACTTGGGGTCCCTTCCAACCTTAGAATTATAGGATTCCTTAAATAAGCAAATAAAATAAAAAAATTGTCCAGTAGCACCTTAGAGACCAACTGGCTATAAGCTTCTGTGTGTATGCACCCTTCTTCAGAACTTCTTATACCCAGAACAAACTTAATTGGTCTCTAAGGAGCTACTGTACAATTTTTAAATTTTTAAAATTTATTTCAACTGCATCAGACCAACAAGGCTACCTACCTGAATCCAGGATTCATTAAAAGTTTTAAACACAAGTTGAGGGACCATCTGTCAGTGATTCTTTAAGCTGTGATTCTTCCATTGCAGGAGGTTGGACTAGATGACTCTCAGAGTCCCTTCAAACTCTACATTTTTATTTTTCTACAATTTGCAGGAGGCTTTTAAACAGAAGTCATCTAGTCCAAGCCCCTGCAATGCAGCAACCACAGCTAAAGAATCCTTGACAGATAGAAAACCAACCTCCTTTTGAAAACCTCCAGCGAAAGAGTCCATCTCCACAATAATATTGGCTATTCAGATAATGATGGTCTAAATATTGCCAAGTTTCTTGTGGTGCATTCTGGGTAAGAGAAAAGTTATAGAACAAGCCGAGTGTGGTGGGAGTTTCAGTCCGGATATGTCTTCACCCGATTTCATATTTTTTCTTCAAAAATTCCTCTTTTCACTTGTTCAACTTCGGTTAAGAAGCCATTTCCTCCCTTATTCATATTCCTGCATTGCAGAAGGTTGGACTAGATGAACCTTGGGGCTCTATGATTCTTTTTCGGTGACTTCCTGAAGAAAGAAAGGGGGACCTTCAAAGCAGAATCTTGCTTCTGACAAGGTGGCCTGCAGCTGTCGATCTTCAGGTCCCCTCAGATTTGGCACAGCCTTTCCACATGGTTACCTGACCAGAAGCAACCTCTCATTCATGTGAGCCTGAAAATCCCACTTAAGTTGGGGTTATGCGTTGGGTGAGCATCTCACTAAACAACCATAGGAATTTGGTGCTTAACCTCTGGAGCTTAACCTCTGAAAGCAGTGACCCTGTAGACAACTCCTGCGGAAAAGGGATTAAAAACTTTCCTTAGAGTCAACTGAACTTCGTGTCACGATGGGGGAAGGCAAAGGAAGCCGGTATTGCAGTCTTTCCACCCCTCCCTGCTTTTTCCCACCCCCTTTGGGGATTTTTTTAGTTTATTAGCTTATTTAGTTTATTAGCTTAGTTTATTATTAATTAGTTTAATATTAGTTTATTAACTTATTTATTAGCTTATTTAAGATGCCTATTCCACCTGTTCCACTGGTACTGTGAGTTTGGGCAAATTAACTGTGATTTCCTTCTTGTTGATGTTTCTGCCATCATCATAAAGTTGTTTGCTAGCAGCGGGCAATCTTTTCCCCCAGCTTAGCAAGATGGGCCTCTTGAGCCAAATGTCACAGGTGAGCGAATCTGGTGACCTGTCCATCACCTGACATCACAAGGTTAGCAGATGACTCGGTGTCTGGAAGTCCTGAAGCACCAAATCTGAAAGGATGGAGGGAGGTTGGTTAAATCCTGCTGTGTTGGCTGCATTGACCGGGCAGTGTCAGCTAGGTATGGTTTGGGGGAAGCAACCTCGCAGGCTAAACTGGAGGGCCAAGACTGGATCACAGGTTAGATGTGGCTCATCCCTCTTCTAGTGTAATTGCTAGAAATTGAAGGCATGTTCAGGCATTCACCTAAGCACCAGTCTTTCCGTGTTGCTCAGGGAAGGTCTGCGGAGGGTTTTTACTCTTCGTCGGGTGCTAGTAAACAAACGTATGAGACACAGGAATCTAAGTATTGGGTACAACAGTGTTTCCCAAGCTTGGGTCTCCAGCTGTCAGGGATGATGGGAATTGTTGTTGAAGTTACAGCAGGACTGTAAGCTAAAACTGCCACGTTGGGGGGGGGGGCATGCAGTATGAATGAATGGTAAAGTGCCTTAACTTTTCCCTTAAATAGAAGCTTATAAATTTCAGAACAGGAATTGTGCTTTTTACATTCAAAAGGGAATAAAATAAGGGCGTTCTCTTCCTCTTCCATCATCACTCCAAGTATTTTTATGCCTCTCATTGCAGAGGGTTGGGCTAGGTGTCCCTTAGGGTATCCGTTCCAACCCTACAATTCTATGATCCTTTTCGGCATGTCCAGTGTTTATAAGCTTGGTTTTGTAAATGACACGCATCCCTGTTCTCCAATTGGCTGGGTCTGGGTTGGAGAGGACGAGACACTTTCTTTAGGCACCCCTCGTAGCAAAATGCTGCAACGCACAGACAAGCCCAGAACCTCTCAGGAGATCCATGCATACCAGTAAAATTCCTCCAGCTTTATCATGTTTGCACAACACCATTTTGTGGCATCTTCAGGATTGCACAATTCTTCTCTGCACCAAAGAAAGGTGGGGAGGAGAGATTACCTGTTGCCTTTGAGGGCAATTTCTGAATGGGAGAGCTAAGCACAATAGTCACCCCTTGGAAAACTCTGGATTTCCATTTCCCTTTTGCATTCCCCTCACAGGATTGCCACCTTTCATCCCTCAGGAGGGCTCTTCTGCCTTTTTGCAGCTATGTTCCATGTGCTGTGGATTCGTAGGCAAAACCCAAGCAGTCCAGAAAATGAGCTGAAACTCTGCTTCATTTCCTTCCTTCTTTCTTTCTCATCCTAGCTTTCATGCTTCCTGCTGTCTGACCTGTTCATCGGTTATCTTAGCTAGTTATAAACATTGCACATTGAAAAGATATGTGTCTTATTGTGAATATAAGCGCTTATAAAACCTGAACAGAGGGAAACTGCACTGTCTTATTTTAAGGCACAATCTCTCTCTTTTCACCCCTCTTCAAAAACAATGGAAGCAAAACAAGCTTCCTGCTCTGGGAATTTTGCTTTTTACCCTTCTGTAAATTTTAACCAATGGATTAAGTTAGCTAAATCTCATCTGGTGAAGCGAGGTCAGGTTGCAGCCCAACGTGATTTCCTTTCTAGCCAGTGGAAATATTTGTAGGACCACCAACAGAGCCAGGAAGGTGGAGGCAGCCCAGTCAAAGGAGGGGATGGGTTCCTTTCAGGAGGTCAGGCGTTCTGCAGGCCCTTCGTGGCATTTGGCTGCTTCTTGTTGTTCAAAGAACTTTGGACCTGCTCAGAGACACACACTGCCTGTGGGGATAACATTTCTGAAAAATCTGGCAACCTTAGCCTCCTATGCAGTGTAGCGGAAAGAGGTCCACCTCAATGGAAGATAAATAAGGATTAAAACCTCTGAGGGGAGAGATTGCAGTTGAGGAATAAGCTATCAGTTAAGGGGCGTTTGGCCTTTCCGCAGAAGCAACAAACCTTTGTTTCTTCCCCTCTTTCGGTAAAAGCTGGTCTGAATCATGCTTTGTGGGGGAAAGTGGGGAATTCTTGGCTGGCAAATTGCCATGCTGGGTTGTGTATTGCTCCTCAGTTTCAGGGCTTATCCACACTTGCCTTTCCTCAGATATTTCCAGGAACAGGCTGCGCTCCATTTCCAAGCATCCCTTTCCTTTCCCCTCTGGAGCACCCCTACCCCCGCCATCCTGCTCTTTAAAGCTCAGTCGGAACAAACAGCAATCAGAGACCTGCCAAAGCTACTTGGTGACTTTGAGGGCCACAGAGAGACCCTAGGCAGCTCGCTAGCCAGTCTCCTTCCATCCAGACAGCCCCTGACTATCGGTTCAGCAATGCTGCCTGAGGCCAATTGCTCTCTGCATCCTGTTTTGAAATCTTCCCTGCATTCCTGCCAAGGATACGCCTGTGTACAAAGGAGGGCTCTTTTCTCTGTTTGGGACCCCATGACATGCCTTGGAAACAATTTCTGACAGGCCTGTTTGTCACCGTGTGGGGGGAGAGGAGGTCATGGGTGTTTGTCTCCTGGCATTGCAGCTGCTTAACAGTCTTAAGGACAGAGAGGGTTTGGCACTAGCTGCCTCGTTGTTGCTGTTGCTGTAGCTGTAGCTGTAGCTGTAGCTGTAGCTGTTGTTATCATCCTTCCTCCTACAGACCTCATTTCCACACTTTCTTCACCTAGTAAGGGCATTTTATGTCATAGAATCACAGAATTGTAAAGTTGGAGGGGTCCCCCAACAAGAGTCATCTAGTCCAACCCCTAGCAGTGCAGGAATCACAGCTAAAGAATCCCTGACAGATGGCCACCCAACCTCTGAGGAAGTCTGTTCCACTGTCGAGCAGCTCCTACCGTTAGAAAGTTCTTCCTGATGTTTAATGGGAATCTCCTTTCTTGCAATTCGAATCCATTGGTTTGGGTCCTCTTCTCTGGAGCAGCAGAAAACAAGTTTCCTCCCATCTTCCACGTGAAAGCCCTTCAGATATTTGAAGGTGGCTCTTATCACCTCTCAGTCTCCTCTGGAGATGCTGGGCAAATTTCTGCCCATGGGGGACTGTTAGCTCACAGAGGGGAACTCCCAGGTTGTCCTGGAGTCATAGAATGGCAGCATTGGAAGGTAACCCAGAGGTCATCCAGTCCAACCCCCTGCAAGACAGGCTGCTCTCGGAGTGCCTAAGACCACCAAAAGTCTCTTGCAGCTGAGGCAAGATGGAAGCTCTCCCTCTCTGCTGGTGCTTGCTGTTACCAGGCTCTCCGTACCCGTCCTTGGATGAAGCAGGGCTTGCACCGGAGTAAACACACACGAGACTGGGCTCTAAATCTGCTCCTTTGGGTCCTTGCAATGCCTTCCATACACATCCCGTCCCTCTCTTCTGAATCCCTCTTGCTTTTACATATTTGCAGAGGAGAGTTGTTTCAGGATCCTGAGCTGTCCTCAAATTCTGGGTGACTGGAATTCCTCCAGGGAGACAACCACCCTCCCATTTCACGGAAAACAACATTGCGGCTTCATCTTCTGGCGCCACGGGAGCCCTGAGCAACAGGAAGGTCCACCCAGGAGCGAGTGGGAAGGACGCTTTTCCTGTGGAGAGCTGGGTTGAACGCCAAAAGTGGGGAGGAGGAGGATGGGACCCCAAGGAGCTGAAACACCCACTCCGTCCCTCTGCAAAGAAAGAGGTGCCTTTCAGGTGCCAAAGCGGGGAATAAACTTGGCCTTGAAAGCATTGAGGACCAGGACAACTTCTGCGTTGGCAGGTGAAACGCAGGCTATTCTCAGGGAGCATCTTGGAAGTAAGGAGACCCACCTGTCAGGGATTCTTTCACCTTGATTCCTGCATTACAGGGGCTTGCACTAGATCACCTTTGGGATCCCTCCCAACGCTACAATTCTATGAGAGGAATCCCGTTTGGTCTGGGTTTCTTTGATTTTTGAAAGAAAATCGATTCCATTTGCACCTCCCAGATGAATACACGGATCGGAAGAGAATTACCCTACAGATATTGCACTTCTCCAAAGTGGGTGGTGACAGGTCTCAGCTCAGAAAACATGCCAAAATGTGTAATGTTCTAAAATGAAGCACATTTAGAAATGCTTGCATGGAGATGAACTACACAAGTTAATTTTTCATACTTTTTTTTAGATGCAAATTAATGTGGAAACAGGGTAACGGGGACTTGTCAGTAAACACAGGCAGGATTGAGACAGTCTGGGAAAAACCACCAGTCCAAACCACAGGACCCATGTGCTGCTTGCGTGATGTTTTCCATACCAGGAGTGGATCTGGATGTTTGGCTGCAATAGATGCTTGTAGGTTGCGGAGAGTCTGCTCGCTTCTCCACCTTGGCCAGTTTAGAATAATTGAATTGTAGAGCTGGAAGGGTTCCCAAGGGCTCATCTAGTCCAACCTCCTGCAATGCAGGAATCGAAGAGTATTTAACCAGTATGGAACTAATTGGTTCGACCAGTTAAAGGGTATTCTGTTGGGTCAACAGTGCTGGGGCACCAGGTTGTGCAGAGCCCCAACTAAAGGCCTTTGGTCTCTGCATTCTTTGTTAGGTACTGAAGTTCTCACCCTGGGCTAGCACCCTGTAGATAGTTTTCACTCAGGTCCACATATGCATATAAGGAATTGAAAGTGGTGTTCAGTGATTGGATAGTTACAGAAAGTTGTTACTGTTGCGTTGTAGTGGAGCTCTATATAAGCAGGCTGGCTGAACCCTTCAGTTCAGTTCTGTTCTGGCCTGTGAATAAACAAGAGCTGTTTGAAGAATCGCTGTGTCATCTGATATGTTCACCCACAACTTAACATTCTTCACCTGGCAAACGCTCCAAATGACAGGAAAGGAGATTCTGATTAAACATCAGGAGGAGCTTTCTAACAGTAAAAGCTGTTTGACAGTGGAGTGGACTCCCTCGGGAGCTGGTAGACTCTATTTCCTGGCCGGTTTTCAAGCAGGAGTTGGATGGATGCTTCAGCAGTGCTTCTTGCAGTGCTGTGGGTTGGACTGTTCTATGGTCCTGCAATTCTGTGATGCTACTATGGGGTGATGGCTGTTCTGCTTCTGGGCACAATGCGAAGTGCTGGTTCTTTTACACACCATGGGAGGAAGGCCTGAAAGCTAAACTGCCATAAACATCGTTGTGGTTTCTTCATTTCACGGGGCTTGACTCGATGACCCTTGGGCGTGCCTTCCCCCTCTCTGATCCTGCTATTCATTGGAGGCTTTTAAACAGAAGTTGGGTGGCCAATTCCCAGGGATTGATTATCATTCCTGCATTGCAGGTGGGTTGGGCTGGATGACCCTTGGGGTCCCTTCCAACAGTACAATTCTATGGTTCTGCAACTCCAGCCGGGACCCAGTCGTGGGAGCTAATAATTCCAAAACCGACAGTTGAGGTTCATCCAGCTGCTCAAAGCAGCCTCAGCCTGGTCCCTTGGGGTGGGATCCTGTGATCCGAGTGGAATTGCTGGTGGGCTTGCTTAGAAGCCAGCATCTTTTGTTGGGGACCCAGGCAGCTGCTTTAACGGACGGCTTTCCACCTGCAGACCGACCCCAGAAGAGGGAGGGAGGGTGTCTTCCTTTTCTCTGCTCTCCATAACATCCACAACGCTGTTGCTGTCTTGCATTGCGATTCCGTGAGATCATATTTGGCGCATGCTGTTCGCTCTTCCTGTGTGGGTGGAAGTTCCAGGCAGAGTCCTTGGTTTGCTGGTGCTGAGGCCCAGGGCAGGACAGAACTGCCGATGGATAAATGCTGCAGTCATGTGTGCAGGATGGGACGGTCCGGACTGTTCCCAAGCCTTGCAGAGAGACGTCCTCCTGCGTGTGGCCTCTTCCATCCTCCTCGAGGCCTTTTATTTGTTGAACATGCCTATCTGCTAAGCACAGATGGCTGTGCTCTGCTACCCACAATTGGAGGCAACGAGGCTTCTGAATCGCAGTTGCTGGAAACCGCAAGAGGGCAGAGCGGCTCTTGAACTCAAACTTCCCACAGGCATCTGATTGGGCTATCTGAGAACAGGATGCTGGACTAGATGGGCCTGATCCTGCAGGGCTCTTTTTATGTTTCATTAATAGGTCGCAAGTTGTTTGCTGTGGCAAAGCCGGATGGGGAAACTTTGGTTGTAGGGTCCTAGAATTGTAGGGGGGGGGACAGATGAGTGGGGGGGGAGCACACAGGGGCCGCCCTGTCACCAGGCCATGGCATGTTGTGTGGTTGAGCAGTAACAGCTGAGTTGCGTCTCCATGCCTCCTTGCCTCTGCTCAGCTGAGTGCTTTGTCAAGTTTTTCTAAATGCCCGGCTTGACCATGGCGTAGGCGGGCATTGTTCTTGTGTCTTTATTTGTTTTAAATAGTAAAATAGGCAGTCCTGTTCAATTTGTAAAATAAGGGGGGGGAGGGAAAGTTAGAACTGTAGAGTTGCAAGGGACCCCTGAGGGTGATATAGTTCAACCCGCCCCCTTTGCGGATCACAAATTTGAAAACATTCCTGCTTACCCAAGTATTGGTTAGGTGCCTGTCAAGCTACAGTGGTACCTCAGGTGAAGAACTTAATTCGTTCTGGAGGTCCGTTCTTAACCTGTAACTGTTCTTAACCTGAGGTACTACTTTAGCTAATGGGGCCTCCCACTGCCGTCACGCTGCCGCCGTGCAATTTCTATTCTCATCCTATTGCAAAGTTCTTAACCTGAGGTACTATTTCTGGGTTAGCGGAGTCTGTAACCTGAAGAGTCTGTAACCCGAGGTACCACTGTACTCTGTTTTACTTCAGTACAACCTCAGTTCAAAGCATTTGACAATGGAAACCAATAAGTTTAAAAAATATATACGCAATAAATGCAGAGGTCACAACTGAAGCATCCATGACAGATGGCCATCCAACCTCTGCTTAAAACCCCCCCTAATTGATCCTTCCTAGCCTTTTGCCTGGGAAACATATGTGTGCCTAGTTTTGGGGGTGTCCTCTTTTTGCAGTCTTTCCCCCACTGCCTTGTTGTTGGGATCAGTGGTGTCTCAGCGGAGGCTTTTGGGATTACATTGAGGCTAGAAGTTAAGACCCAGTGAGCAAGTTTTACTAGAATTACCAACCCCTCTCTCTGGGAAAATTATTTGATGCATATCCTACTTTCTCACAATTGTGTAAATGGAATTCTTGAGCTACGGTCCCTGCATTGCAAGGGGTTGGACTAGATGACCCTCGGTGAATGTGTGTGTGTGTGTGTGTGTGTGTGTGTGTGTGTGTGTGTGTGTTGCAAAACAGCTTTCAGGCAAATGCAGTATCAATTCCAGACAGTTTTGCAACAACATCACAATCTTTGCTTAACGATACTGTATAAGCAAACTTTTTATTAAAAACAACAACCAAAAACACAAGACTTACTAGCAACATATTGAAGTAGCTGCGACAATGTGATCAAATGCAAACAGCAATACAACAAGCATGGAGACCCGCAACCCAATATGCAGATGGGAACTAAATGCAGAGAATTGCTCCCTTGATGACAGCTTGTCTATGTGAGGCTCCCCCTGCAGTTGATTCATGAGCTGCGGTTAGCAGAGGATGCTGCGGCACAATGGGAGACAGGAGGGAGGCCTTGGCGGCACAAACCACCTGTGCTCAGGGATCTACACCGGTTGCCGATTTGCTTCTGGCCCAAGTTCAAGGTGTTACTGCTAAAACCCTGAACAACTTAGGATCAGTTTAACTGCAAGATCGCTGTACAACCACTCATCCGCTTTGATCAGCAGAATTGGTGCCGTGACAGCTGCCACATGATCCCAGTTCCACACTTGCAATTCCTCCATCTTTTAGTGTAGCGGCACCTAAACTTCGGAACTCCCTGCCTATTGATGCCAGGCAGGCGCCTTCTCTGTACTCTTTTCGCCACCTGCTAAAAATATTTTTGTTTAGGCAAGCCTACCCAGATGTTTAGATAGCATGTGCGAGTTTTAATCTGTTTTTAAAAAAGGTAAAGGGACCCTTGACCATTAGGTCCAGTCCTGACCAACTCTGGGGTTGCGGCGCTCATCTCGCTTTATTGGCCGAGGGAGCTGGCATACAGCTTCCAGGTCATGTGGTCAGCATGACTAAGCCACTTCTGGTGAACCAGAGCAGCGCATGGAAATGCCGTTTACCTTCTCGCCGGAGCGGTACCTATTTATCTACTTGTACTTTGACGTGCTTTCGAACTGCTAGGTTGGCAGGAGCTGGGACTGAACAATGGGAGCTCACCCCATCGCGGGGATTCGAACTGCCGACCTTCTGATCAGCAAGTCCTAGGCTCTGTGGTTTAACCCACAGCGTCACCCACGTCTGTTATTATTTCAAGCGTCTGAAATGATTGTTGGCAACTCTTCTAATTGATAATTTGATTGTTTTATCTATTTTTGTAAATCGCTTTGAGTGGTTTTTTGTTTTTTGTAGTTGCAGCAAGACTAGAGGTAACTCAGAAGGACAATTAAATGGCATTTTGGAACCTGTTTACATTGGAATTCCCATACATCCATTCAGTTTGTTTTGTTCTAATATTGTACAGAATTAATAACATTTGCTGGAATCTCAGTACTGCCTTGCAGGAGGTTGGACTAGATGGTCCTTTTGTGGGGGGGAGGCCCCTTCCAATGCAACAAATTATACAATTCCTTGAACAGTTTGCTTTGTGATGGGGGAAAGGGTCCGAATTCTGGATGGTTCCTGTAATTCCTTCGGAGATAACAGATCTCTTGCTGTTTCTTGGCTTGGACCACTTTTTGATGCTGATGTCCAGAGAGGCATTTTTCACTTGCCCCACCCTGCACTAGAATGCTTTGATTTTTTTTACTTATTTTTTATTTGCGTGTGCAGCTATGGTACGAAAACAAACCCTGTTCCGACCGGCCAAAGGAAAGGCAGATTTCTTCCTCCTTTCCTGCCCCCTCCCCCGTCCCTCATCCATTGCTTTGTGGAGCAGCAGGAAGGAAGTTCACATTTCCATTGCTGATGTGAAGCAGAGTTCATCAGGATCCCAGGGCACGTCTAAGCAACACACCCTGTTTTCCTTGCTGCTCTGGAATGGCTGCCTGGCTCGCCTTGCAGAGATCCCAGCCTTGCCTCTCTCCAGAAGCCAGCAAGAGAGCTCTCGCCTGGGTCAGCCAGCGTCTGCATGGATCCCAAGAGGCTGTGCAGAGAGTTGATCAGGCCTCCAAAGCTTCCGCTGTTGTATCCTAGTGATCCGTCCACCTTCAGGGGTGATCATGAACCTCCAGGCTGCTCTGAAAGGAATGACAGAAGCTCTTTTGTGGCTCCCTTGCTGACTTCTTCCCAATGCTCTTTGTGCATAACAGATCTCTTGCTGTTTCTTGCTTTGGTGAAAATGTGTGCTATGTCTGGAGGGTGGTAGGCTAGTCCTTTGCAAAGGGATGATATCTGTGTGGTGGAATTCACTGGGTCAAGTCCTTGTTTTGCAAGTAAAAAGAGGAACTGATGTCCAAACGGTGGGGGAAAATGAGGATGGCCAACTCTGTTCTTAAGGTAGTACTCAGTTTGTACAGATATCTTCCTGGGGTGGGAGGAACAGACTCCTAGACTCATAGAATGGTAGAGTTGGAATGGATCGCAAGGATCATCTAAGCCAACCCCCTGCTATACAGGAATCTCAGCTAAAGCATCTATGACAGAGGGTCACCCATCTTCTGCTTAAAAACCTCCAAGGAAGGAGAGTCCATCACCTCCCAAGGAGGTCTTTTTCACTGTCAAACAACTCTTACTGTCAGAAAGTTCTTCCTGATGTTTAATTGGAATCTCCTTTCTTGTAACTTGGAGCCATTGGTTCCATCTTCCAGGTGACAGCCCTTCAGATATCTGAAGATGGCTATCATATGTCCTCTCTCTATCCTTTTATCCAGGCCAAACATCCCCAACTCCCTCAACTGTTCCTCAGCCAAATCCTTGGTACCCAAACCCTTGATCATCTTGGTTGCCCTTCTTTCCACACCTCCCAGCTTGTCAGTGTCCTTCTTAAACTGTGGTGCCCAGAACTGGACACAGGACTCCAGGTGGAGTCTGACCAAGAGTACTATGACTTCCCTCAGTCGAGACACTAAACTTCTGTTGATGCAGCCTAGAATTGCCCTCACAGAGGTGTGTTTCCCACAGAGGTTTAACGATTGATTTCTCTTCTGAGGGAACTCTGGGAATCGCAGTTCTGTGAAGGGAATGGGGGTCTCCTGATAACTCTCAGCACCTTGAAAATACTACAATTCCCAGGGTGTTTTAGGGGGAAGCCACGATGGTTTAAAGTGGTATCATAGCGTTTCAAATGTTTGGTTCCTTGTTTTTGCTGGAGACCTCTGTCTGCAGCTCCTCCTCAGCTCTGTCTGTTTGCTCTCTTACAGAGGCTGAGGCTGCCAAGGCCTGTGACTGGCTGCGAGCGGCTGGCTTTCCTCAGTATGCCCAGCTCTACGAAGGTAAGAGAATCAGGACTGCATGCAATTCCTTTGGGATGAAGTGGGGAAGGGGAGGCCCAGCCTGACACCCAGACCGGTCCACCCATGAATATTCAGCCGCCTCCACCGCTGTGACTCTGTGGTTGGCTGGTCCACCTCTCTTGCTGTGTTTACTTAAGATTCACCCTCCCTAGATGTCCAGGTGAGGTCCCTCCTCAGATGGCTGCCAGTCTCTGCCTCCCCCCAGTAAGATACTGTATTATGGAATCACAGAATGGTAGAGTTGGGGAGGACCAGCCTAACCTGCTTCAGTGCAGGAATCACAGCTAAAGAATCCCAGACAGATGGCCATCCATCCTCTGTATGAAAACTTCAAGTGAAGGACAGTCCTCCACTATCCAAGGGGGGTCTGTTCCACTGTTGGGACAGCTCTTCCTGTCAGAAACCTCTTCCAAAGCTGCTGCAGCCACCACATTGGTCTCCATCTGAGACTGACTGAGCCAAAGGAAGCATCAGGCGATGTCTGCATGAGAAACACTTTTACATGAAGTTTGGGGGGGGGGGGAAATGTAGGAAACTTCCCATTCCGGCTGTGTTTGTTTTGCTGCCCGCCAGCCTGTGGAGCATGCAGCCACTTCATTTCAGAGGGGTTCTTTCCCTCTTCTCTGGGAACCACCCTAGTGCCCCCCTTTAAACCCAGATGGTTTTTAGGGGTTTGTCCATGTCTTCCACATACACCCAAAGGGCCAGCTGGGCTTCTGTTTTTCTCCTGCAGTGGACGTTTGGCCCCCACTGGCCCACAGAGACAGAACCTAGCAGTCCTCTTGTGAGAGGTTCCTGGTGGCCACAGGAGTTGGACTCCTGCCCCCTCCCTGACAAGACACCCTCTTGCTCACTTCCTGGCTGGTGTTGAGGAAGGTGCTTCTGTCAAAGATAGGGGATCTTGGCCATCTTTTCACTGCCTCCTCAGGTATAAGGGGAATTTTCAAGCACTTGGAGATTCTGGGCTCATGTACACTTCCTTTTGTGCTGTGTTTCTAGTGTCCAATTTGTTTTTGTTGTTGTCCTGGCACTTTCCCTGGGAAAACCCACATTTTCCAGCTGAAAAGGAGCAAACGGCAGTCTGTGGATAACCCGGTTGCCGTTTACTCCAATTCAGCAGTAAAACACAGGTTTTCTCGGGGAAAGCGCTGGGACAAAAAATAAAATAAAAATGCTCAGACATAGACCTGGAACCTCCAGACCTGTGCCTAGACAGCATGGAGGAAAAGTAAATATGCATGAGCCTTCTGATTGACAGCAAAAATCATAGAAGGGAAGACAGAGAGGTAATATGAGAGCCATCTTGAAATATCTGAAGGGCTGTCCCATGGGAGATGGAGCAAGCTTGTTTTATGTTGCTCCAGGGAGCAGGAGTAGAACCAATGGTTTACAGTGACAACTAAACCTCAGGAATAACTTTCTGACAGGAAGAGCTCTTCCACAGCCACTTGGACTCTTCCTGCATGCCATATACTTTACAACGCAAACCATACACAGCACAGGGTCTCCAGGCTGATTTTTGTTTCCTGTCCACACATGGCATGGGAGAGCCAAACAAAAGCCTGAGCTCTGCCTTAGCTGGAGGACAGGAGAGTACGGGGCCAGGACAATCGGAGGAAGCCCCCAGCAGCAAAGCGCAGCCAGCCATTGTGCCGGTCAAATACCTCCCCTCCCATCACGTCCGTGTGAGACAAGACTGGCTGATAGTTTTCCAGGCTGCCTCTTTGTGAGGGTGGGGTGCATATGGGTCTGTTTTTGTTTGGTTTTTAGAATTGGGGAGGGGGAGGGGGTACATATGGGTATGTTTTTGTTTGGTTTTTAGAATTGGGGAGGTGCTTGAAGGCTGCTTTTGGGATGTGTGCATTCTCCTGATGAGATCAAGCTGTGCTTTGAAAACAACAAACAACCCACAATACTAGCCCTTCATGTAGGAATAACAGAAAAATAGAATTTTAGACTTGGAAGGGACAAAAAGGGTCCTCTAGTCCAAGCCCCTGCAATGGGGGAACTTGAAAGCCATGGGGGGAAATCTGAGGGAAGACCTCTTGGCTGAAGACAAACAGGACCAAGTAGGGCTTCATGGGGTCTGAGATGCCCCATGTCACTCCCCGGCCCTCCCCAGTGGCTACTATTTCCTTCGTTCTTGCTCTGCGTGCATTTATTTCTCGATTAAATAAAAATTGCACACCTCTTAATGGCAAATAAGCGGTTTGAAAACAAAGGATTTGTTTAAATCACACACACACACACACACACAAATACCAGTTTAGATTTTGGAGTTCGTGAAGCCCCTAGTCTTCAGCACAAGTTGCTCTCTTATTCTGACACATGTCCTTTGGCAGCATTAAGGACTAGAAACTTGTTTTGCATTACATGAAAGCTGAGATTTGTAGGGTGCTGAACACCAGTTTCTAAGCCGGTGTGGTATGATTCCTAAATTGCAAAGTGCTGCTGACAGAAAGTGAGAGTGGGCTGGTGAATTCAAGTTAGGATGGAGCCTAGAAGTGAGCACAGAGAGGGCATTTGGCAGGGCAGCAGAAATACGGGTGTCCCTTCTTCCACCACTGTGGACAACCGGCTTCTCCTCCAGCACCTTCAAGCAGCCGTCCATCTTCTCGATCAAACTCTTCTCTCCTCCTTCTCATCCTCAGAATCCCTCTTCCCTCTCGACATTGCCTCTGTGAAGAAGGACCACAGTTTCTTGGACCAGGATTCCCTCAAATCCCTCTGCAGGTTAAAATGAAAAAATAAAAATGGTCACTGTTGCCAATGGAAGAATATGGGGAAGCATGTTGTTGTGGTCAGAGGGTGGCGTTGGAGAGGGCAGCTCAGCCAGGCCCAGGGGATGCAAAGGTCTGACCTTTCCTGGTCCTGTCAAGCAGCTGACTGTCAACTGGCTCAGGGAGGTGGGGAGGGGGATCCTGGGACCTGGCCTGTCCTCTCTGCCAAGCCCATTTGGGTCTGGGGAAATATTCTGTCCATTTGCTTGATGGGCAGATCGCTGCTTCTGGGGCTGATGAATCCAAACTCGCTGCTCAGTATATGGCTGGTTGGGGTTTTTTGGGGTGCCAGTTCTGACACGCTGGCATGACTGGGATAAGCCCAGAGGGTGGAGATGCTACAGGATGTGAGCTTGACTGAGCTCCAGAAGTTGACGTCACAGATGAGGTCATGGACAGGAAACCTGAAGCCATGGCTAAATCAAAGAGCCGTTCTTAAATGTGGCTCCCAAGTCTTCCTTTGAGTTGCCAATGGTAAGAGCGGTTTGGCAGTAGAGCAGACTCCCTCAGAAGGTGCTGGACCCTCCTTCGCTGCAGGTTTTAGGCAGAGTTTGGATGGCCATCTCTCAGGGATTCTGTAGCAGTGATTCTCACATTGCAGGGATCACCTTTGGGGTCCAATCCAGCTCTACAATTCTGTGAAGTTATAGCTCTGTAGAAAAATTAGGGGATGGGTCGCAGGGGGAGTTTGCTCCCTCAGATGCTTTTTTCCTCCTAAGGCCCCCTTGTTTTGGGTCCTCCCCAAGCCTGCTGCTCCTTCCCTCTTGTGCTTCGCTGGGACCATTTGGGCAACATTAGGATCCCTGTGTTAACTTTAATCCACGTAAACCAGGTTCCTTGACGAGATTATTGCCCTGCACGTAACGCCACAAATGGCTGTGCACTTTCACATTCCAAAACCTACCACAATGCTCCCCCTTTCAGTAAATTTATTATCAACTTCTCTAGCTTTTTAAAATTGTAATGGCTACTGCTGCTATTGCTACTATTTTAAAATGCCCCCCCCCCAATTGTTGCTGTCTCATGTGATTATTCTATTGTCAACGTTGTTCCAATGCTCTGGGCCTGTTTTAATTTTGACCAGGCAGCTCTTGGGCTTTGCCAAAATAAACAGCCCACCATCTCAAAATACAAATAAATCACATGTGTGCTAACCAGCTTGGGAAGTTGGGGTGGGCCTTTTCAGAGGCCTAAGGCCTGTCCCAATGCCCTTGACTGATACCTTTTAGCCTGGTAACCCCTTAGAAGGAATACATGATTTCTGCATTGCAGAGGGTTGGTTTGGATGACCCTTGGGGATCCCTTCCAACTCGTATGATTCTGTGATCACCGAGTCTCTGTGCTGGGGGCCAGGCTTTAATCCCCTTGCCAGCTGGCTCCACACTCCAGGAACTTTCTGTTAGGGGGCAGGAGGCCGGGGGGACATATCTCTGGACTTGGGTCGCAGTTGCTGGCGTGAGATGAAAGTGACGCTCAGCCAGTCGCCGGCATGTTTGAGCAGCTGGAAGCGCCTCGCTGGGGCTGCTGAGCCACACATGTTGGTTGCTTAGTGCCCATAGCTCCCCCTCTATTGGCCTGAGCTGGCACCCCCACCCACAGCATCCCTGGAGAGAGCCGCGTGTGGTCACTTGATCCCCAGCTGTTTGCAGGACAAGTGACGGTGCCCCGAAACAAGAGCCGCTTGTTTTTAAATAGCCTGGCCGGCGGCAGCTGGGACGGGACGGCCGAGCCAGACAAAAGCCCCTCTCCTTTACTCCTTGCAGGAGACTCGTGACACTGAACTCGTGCGCCTCGATGAAGCTGGAGGTCCACTTTCAGCGGAAACAGGTAAGCATGGGCCCTCGGATGGGGAGGCCGGGAAGGGCCCAGAGGAATCAAACCTGGACCCTGGGGAAGGAAGCTCAGACAGACCTAGCACAGCAGAAAGCAGGTCTCAGCCAGGTTTTCTCCCTCCCTGCCACCCAAATGGATTTATTAAAGGTTTTTAAACAACACAGAACAGACCCTGTGGTTCCTGCATTGCAGGGGGTTGGACTAGATGACCCCCTGGCCCCTTCCAGCTTTTCTGAACATGCAACAGTCTAATTAGTACAGTCAGCATGGTGTAGGTATTAGAGTTGAGGGCCTGGGAGAGGCTAGGGCTCAAATTCCTCACTTGGCCACAAAGCTCACAGGTAGACTTTGGAGGCCAGTCACTGCCTCTGGGCCTGGCCTTTCTCAAAGGGGTCTTGTGGGGCTCAAATGGGGAGGGAGAAGAACAACCAGTTTGCAGTGGACAGAGTGTCAGACTTGCGACCTGGGAGACCACGCATGGTTGTTGTTGGGATTAAATGAAGAGGAGAACCACATGCTCCACCTTCAGCTCCTTGGAGAAAGCAATGGGTTAGAAAATTAAATTAAATTAAAATAAATCCCAGTAACCGAGGGATTAGGGATGTGGGTGGCGCTGTGGTCTAAACCACTGAGCCAAGGGCTTGCCGATCAGAAGTTTGGCGGTTCGGATCCCCGTGACAGGGTGAGCTCCCATTGTTCAGTCCCAGCTCCTGCCCACCTAGCAGTTCAAAAGCATGCCCAAAAGTGCAAGTAGATAAATAGGTACCTCTCCGGCGGGAAGGTAAACAGCATTTCTGTGCACTGCTCTGGTTCGCCAGAAGTGGCTTAGTCATGGTGGACACATGACCCGGAAGCTGTCTGCAGACAAACACTGGCTCCCTTGGCCAGTAAAGTGAGATGAGTACCACAACCCCAGAGTCATCCATGACTGGACCTAACGCTCAGGGGTCCCTTTACCTTTAACTGAGGGATTATTTCCTGTGCTTGCTTTAGAATGATGACTCGGGAGACGAGGACTTCTGTGCCATCAGCGATCGGTGGGCTTTCCAGAGAGACAGCCGTAGGTGGTCCCGAATCGGCTCCGACGATTTCCTCTCCCGCAGCCCGGAGGCAGCCTCCACCATGAGGAAGCTGCCCAGCCAGGAGAGCATCCTCACTGACCTGAGTGCTGAGCTGGAGGCCTCCTCTCTCCACAGCGACCCCAGCACAGGCGAGTGTCCTGCTCTCCCGGACCCGTCCTCCACCCAGGATTCTCCGACCTTGACCCTCTCCGTCCCCAGCTTGGAGGACCCCTCGCCCACTGACCAGTCTCAGGACATGAGTGGGACCAGCAAGGGGGACGCCAGGAAACGCCGGACTCGGAGCTTCCTCAGGAGGATCGAGTCCCTCAGGAGGAAGGACAAGGAGAAGCTGGACTCTGCCAAAGTCCAAAAAGAGGATGGGGCAGATGCTGAGTCCTGGTGGAGCTCCTCAAAAGACCCAAGAAGCGGGGTGTCGCCTTCTTCCTGTGGAAGCAAAACGCTTCCCTCAAGAGGGCGCCGGGCCAACTGGGCCTTGGGCTCAGCTGGGGAGAAGCCCAAACATGGTAGCATTTACCTGGAGGACTATGAGGCAGGCCGGGGCAAGGGCACCCCCTGGGATGCTGGCGGATTGGGCCACCACGACCTGTTCGAAAGGGACTATTTGGTCCACATCCCCAGAGACTACAAGCCGGGCACTTTCCCCAAGTCTCTCTCCATCGAAAGCCTCTGCCCGCTCGAGAGCGGGTGTTTGCCTGACTGGAAATCGAGCGGCCCAGCTTCAGGCCTCTCGCCAGGCGGGGCTGGGATGGGCAGCAGGACAGGCGAGGCCTTGGAGTGCAGGCTGAGGCGGCCCTCGTGCGGCTCCACAGGCAGCTGCACCAGCCTCTATGACAATGTGCCCGAGTCCAGCAGTGTCACGGACGACCTGTTTGGCCTGGACAGGGACGTCATCTACGAGAACCTGGACGAGATCCTGGAGCACGTTTGGGGGCTGCAGAGGAAAGTGGAGCTGTGGTCTGAGGCCATCCAGCTGGATCCGGAGGGTGGAAGCATCGGTGGCGGGGAGGAAACAGACTCTGAAGGGGAGCCCGCCACCCCAAACTTTGAGGAGCGCTCCGTGTCGGACATTGGCACGTCAGCCAGCGACTTTGACAGCACGGCCAACTCCCTGAACGAGGCGGAGGACCTGGGAATGAGGGAGCGAAGAGATTCCGGGGTGGGCGCCTCCCTCACCAGGCCTTGCAGGTAGGAGGTCAAGGAATTGTCGAGGTGGGTGGGACCCCCAGGGTCATCCAGACCAACCCCCTGCAACTTGGTTAGGCAGGAACCAGAAGATCACACCATGCTTCTGTAGGAAAACAGTGCGGCAAACTGGATGTTTTGAGGAGAGCCAGGGTAGTAGAATCCTGGAATTGTTGGGTTGGAAGGGATCCCAAGGGTCATCTAGTACAACCCCCTGCAAGGTGGGAATCCCTCAAGAATCCCTGACAGATGGCCATCCAACCTTGCAATCAGGATGTTGGGAGGCACTTCCTTGTATTTCCTGGAATTTGTCCCTCTATTCCTCCCTCTTTGCACCCAGCAATTGTTCTGCAGGGTCTCCTTGCAGGTTGCAATCCTGCTCTGTGCGCCTGGGGTTTTGCTTCACACAATTTTTGAGTTTTCTGGAGTCAGGATGCCTATCACATGTAACAAGTGCAGGATACACATGTGGAACTGTCAAACCTTTTTTTCTTTTGATTTGCCACGGGACTGCGCTCAGACTCCTAGGATCTTCCATTTTTATTTTTAAATTGGCATTTGGCAAATGTGGTCAGTGCTGCCCGTAAGGAGAGAAGCAGCTGTTGGAAATGCAGTGGATGATAACCATAGTAATAACAATGTTTATGTAATATGGGTTGCAGCAGGTTGGGCTAGATGACCCCTGCGGTCCCTTACAGCTCCACAATCCTAGGATTCTACGATGCACCAGCCTTTGCCTTAACATGGCAGGGCCCTTATGGACCGGTACCATGGGTGGGTTGTGCATCAGTTTTGAAGATGGTTCCAGGCACCCTGTGGGAAAGCAATTACAGAAGCCAGCGAGTTCTCTTTAGTCAACTAAACCCATGGCGGGAAAATGTCCCAACTCAGGTTGGAAGTTCAGTGCCCTCTAGTGAGCCGAAATGGAAATAGCACCCCTGAGAATTTTGGTACCACTTAGATGTCTGCATCTTTGTGATGGCACCCCCAAAAATATAACAGCTAAAGTTTTCTATTTCTCCTTTGCTGCATCTTACTTTCAAAATCTTATCCTTTTCTTTTCTTGAATTCATTTCTAAATTAGGTTTCTGTTCTTTGTGGAAGGAGGATTTGACTTTTTGCCTCCTGCACACTCCTAAGTTGGACTGAGGATGACCCGTGGGGTCCCTTCCAATTCTATGATTCTAATCATGATTCTGCCTTGGTCAGATCCCACCTCTAGTTCTGTGCCGTGTTCCGGGCACCATGGTTGGAGCTGAGCTGAGGGTCCACTTTGAGTGGCAGGTGGCAAAGCTGGTTGAGGTTGAGATAAATCAGTGGTGTCTGTTCTTCCTCCCCACCCAGGAAGCTTCGCTGGCACAGCTTCCAGAACTCCCACCGACCCAGCCTGAATTCGGCTTCCTTGGAGATCAACCGCCAATCCGCCGCCCAGCTCAACCTCCTCCAAAAATGCTCCCTCCTTCGCCTCACAGCCATCATGGAGAAATACTCTGTCCCCCACAAGCAGAGCTGGTCATGGTGAGTCAGCAGAGAAATTCTGCCAAGGAATGTTGTGGTCTGAAATATCCATTAGAAGGTGGGGAAAGGAAAGGGAAAGGCAGGAGTATTTGGCCCCAGGCATGGGGGTTAGAATAGATGTCCAAGGATACCTTTCAACTAAAGATATATACCGTATTTTTTGCTCTATAAGACTCACTTTTTCCCTCCTAAAAAGTAAGGGGAAATGTGTGTGCGTCTTATGGAGCGAATGCAGGCTGCGCAGCTATCCCAGAAGCCAGAACAGCAAGAGGGATTGCTGCTTTCACTGCGCAGCGATCCTTCTTGCTGTTCTGGCTTCTGAGATTCAGAATATTTTTTTTCTTGTTTTCCTCCTCCAAAAACTAGGTGCGTCTTATGGTCTGGTGTGTCTTATAGAGCGAAAAATACGGTACATACTATACAGGATCCTAGAATTGTAGTGCTGGAAAGTACCCCAAGGGTCCAAGGATGGGACACGGGTGGCACTGTGGGTTAAACCACAGAGCCTAGGACTTGCCTATCAGAAGGTCGGCGGTTTGAATCCCTGCAATGAGGTGAGCTCCTGTTGCTCGATCCCTGCTCCTGCCAACCTAGCAGTTCGAAAGCACGTCCAAGTGCAAGTAGATAAATAGGTACCGCTCTGGCGGGAAGGTAAACGGCGTTTCCGTGTGCTGCTCTGGTTCGCCAGAAGCGGCTTAGTCATCCTGGTCACATGACCCGGAAGCTGTATGCTGGCTCCCTCAGCCAGTAAAGCGAGATGAGCGCCGCAACCCCAGAGTCGGTCACGACTGGACCTAATGGTCAGGGGTCCCTTTACCTTTACCTTTACCTCCAAGGATGCTTCTTCAAGGGCATTGCCCTCATTGGGCTAAATAAATTGACACACCTCTGAAGCCTGTTATCCATTCTCTCTCTGCCACGTGTGTGGCAGAGCAGATTATTAATTCAGAAACACAGAATCAGGGAATTGTTGTGTTGCAAGGTACCCCCCCCCCCCCGGGCCATTTAGTCCAACGCCTTGCACTGCAAGAATGGCAGCTAAAGAATCCCCAACAGATAGCCATCGAATCTCTGCTCAAAAAGTGCCCTGCAACTTCCTTTACCTATTATGGGAGAGGGTAAGTTTTTGTAAATGCTGATGGGGCTTAGGATGTGCATTCTGCTGGGGGACAGATTGCAGTGGCAGAAAAAGAAGGAAAATAGACAGTTTTGCGGGGTAGGGGGAGGCAGTGTTGAAATTCCCAGTAAATTTATGCCCTTACTAGGGAGAGAAGAGGACAGGCCTTTATTACCTGGAGCACAAGGTGGAAGGATCAGCATCTTACTCTGGGAAATAAGGCAGGAATGTGCTAACAAAAACTACCTGCCAGGGATGCTTTAGCTCTGATTCCTGCATTGCAGGAAGTTGGACCAGATGAGCTTTGAGTTGGTGCCTTCCAGCTGTATGAACAACAAAGCAGAGAGACCTGGGGACTCCCCCCCCCCTTCCTGCTCCATCCTTCTGATGCCAAATTGCTGTATTCTTCCCTGCATTTGTTCAGTTTAACTGTTTTAGCCATAGGGTGGGGGTTTGAGGGTGTGTGCCAGGAGAGAAGAAGAGCTGGGCCGAATCCTGTTCAGGCTGGGCAGGCAGCCCCTGGAGACACACATCCCCCCCTCCTCTGCTTTCCTTTGACAGAATGGGACAGGCATTCCCAGCAAGGGCCCACAATCCCTTTATTCATTTTTCTATAGTATTTTCATTGAATTGCTCCATACAGCCCAAATAACAAAACCTAAGGCTTCGCAAAACAAAACGTGTAAAAATGAAACCAAACTGAACCAAGGTCAGCAATGGGATGCAAGAGAAAATGACAAAAGCTGGTTATCTGGATATTTGCAATTCCCTGTTGATTACTACCACCCCTTCTTTCCTCCGGCAGGGCGGTCCCAAAGTTCATGAAGAGGAGCAAGACCCCCAACTACAGGGACAAGAGAGTCTTTGGGGTCCCACCACTCGTCCACGTCCAGAGGACTGGACAACCGCTGCCCCAGAGCATTCAGCAGGCAATGCGCTACATACGCAGCCAGTGTCTGGACCAGGTGAGGCGACTTCGGCAGGCTCAGCCAGGCTTTGACTCGGCCACAGCCCCTCTGAAGTCTTGGGGTGCCGGCAACCTGCCCCTGTGGGGGTCTGGTCTCCTGCAGCAGCCTTCGCCAACGTATTTTCCTCTGGCTGCCTCAGACGGCAACACCCACCAGCTCCATCCGGCAGGGCTGTTAGAACCATAGAATTGTAGGGCTGGAAGGGACCCCAAGGGTCATCCATTCCTGCCTCCTGGAACTACAATTCCCAGAGTTCCCTGGGAAGAGGGATTGGCTGTTAAACCCCTCTGGGAAATGCAGCTGTGCCAGAATTATTATTTCTCAAAAAAATAATAATTGGGGGCAGAAGTGAGAATGCCATCCAATGATACACAGTTAAGGCCACATCTCTGGCAGGATAATGTAGTTATGGGGAGACAGAGTCTCTTTATAATGCCCTGGACTTGGAGCAAGAAGGTGCAGGGGGTTGTAGACCCATTTGGATTACTTGGACGCGGGTGGCACTGTGGTCTAAACCACAGAGCCTAGGGCTTGCCGATCAGAAGGTCGGCGGTTAAAATCCCTGCAACGGGGTGAGCTCCCGTCGCTCGGTCCCAGCTCCTGCCAACCTAGCAGTTCGAAAGCACATCAAAAAGTGCAAGTAGATAAATAGGTACCACTCTGGCAGGAAGATAAATGGTGTTTCCATGCTCTACTCTGGTTCACCAAAAGCAGCTTAGTCATGCTGGACACATGACCTCGGCCAATAAAGCGAGATGAGCGCCGCAACCCCAGAGTCGTCCATGACTAGACCTAACGATCAGGGGTCCCTTTACCTTTACTAATACTGACATACTTGATTTAGATACGGAAATTTGTTATGTTAGGTCCTAAGATATCCCTTTTATTTCATGATGTTGGCAATGATGCCTGACATGTCATAAAATTCTACTCAATATTGATCCAGAGTAGATTCCAATATATAGTTAGCAGAGTAAAAACTTATACACGTTGCAGGATTCCCAAAAAAATAGACCAGAGGCAATTAATATTTCATCTAGCAGAGCTTTACTGCTACTGAAGCGAAATGAGCATAATGGTCACAAATCCAATACTTTCAGGATTGACACTGTCCATAAAAAATCCAGTTGCAGCAGACTTAACTTAAACTTACAATAACTTATAATAAGACTAAACCTTAACACTAAGCATACTATGTACAGAACACTACACCAGAAGGAAAAGAGATAGAAAGAGATACTGAAACCCAGAGTCCTTCTGGCCTATTACTATAGTCAGCATGACCTTGACAGAAAGAGATAAGAGAACCAGTTTAAGCCAGCTGTATTCAGCTTCTCTGAAGGAATAACCCAAACATCATGAACCTTCTGCTTGCTTCTTTCACACAGAGAAGCTTCCAGAACCCTCAACATTCCATTTTAAAAAGCACAACTTTTAAACAGGAGGCACCACAAATCAAACCTCCGCTGCAGAGTCCTGGTCTGGACGCTCTGTGAAAATGTCTGAGAATCACAGAACTGTAGGGCTAGAAGAGACCCCATGGGTCATCTAGCTCAACCCTCTGCAAAGTCAGCTTGACCAATGTTGGGACTCCACACAAGAGAAGCCCTCAGAGCTCTTTGGCTCAAGGGTACTTGCATTTTCCTTCATATGATCTTTCCCTCTCTCTTTCTCTGGGGTCTCCGAGCAGGTCGGCATTTTCCGTAAGTCCGGGGTCAAGTCCCGGATCCAGGCCCTGAGGCACATGAACGAAGCTTCCCCAGACCATGTGAGCTACGAGGGCCAGTCGGCCTACGATGTGGCCGACCTGCTCAAGCAGTACTTCCGTGACCTCCCTGAGCCCGTCTTCACCAGGAAGCTGATGGAGACATTTCTGCAGATTTACCAGTGTGAGTGGAGGAAGGGTTCTGGTTTTGTTTTGTTTTTATGGCCTTACCGGCAGGGGAAGCAATGGATGAGGGATTTGTTTATTTGTTTTATCTATACACCACCTTTGCCTCCAAAAAGCACGAGGTGATGTACATGGTTATCTTTTCTATGTTTTCAGCTTTCTGTATTTATCTGTGTTGTTTTAATTTGCGTAAGCCGCCTTGAGTCCCGGTCTGGGGAAAAGGAGGGATACAAACAAACAAACAAACAGTAGTAGTAGTAAATAAACAATCCTTTTGGATCATCCCAGCATGGCAGAAGAAAGCAGGAATTACTTTGCGTATTTTCCAGGAGGTAAATCATAAGGTTGACATCCAGCTGAGAAGATGTGGGGCTGTCTCTAACTAGGGTGTCTGAGCAGAATAATCCCAGGTGTCAGGGGCCACTCTGGGAGGCTGTTTTTCAAAAATATTTTGACAAAAATACAAATCCAATATTTCCCAATAAATATGCATATTTTGACTTCCCCCACCGTTTTTGCCATTTCTTATATTTTAAAATTTGTAACACTGCATTTCCTTCCTTATTCCAATTATTAAGAACTCCCTCGTTTTCCTTTAGCATTAATTTTAACTGGTTTAAGTTAATCCCGCTAATGAACTTATATGTGTACAATAACATTTCAAATAATCCACAAATTTCCCCCGGTCTTTGATAAAGTTTTCCCCTGCTTGGTTCCTTATTGCTCCCATAAGATTTGCCATTTCGGCATAGTCCGTTCGTTTAGTCTGCCACTCCTCCTTGGTTGGTACAGAATCTTCTTTCCATCTCTGAGCATAAATCTTCCCGGCTGTGGTCCAGTCTGGCAGGTTATTTGTCCCTTGATGACCAGAAACAGGACCAAGGAAGCAGATCCAAGCACCACTGACGGGCGTAGGTGATCTGGGTTTTGGATTTTGGAATGGGGTTTGGGGATCCAGCCCTGACATCCTCCTCTTCCTCCTCTTCCTCCTCCTCCCAGTTGTGCCGAAGGACCAGCGTCTGCCGACGGTGCAGGCAGCCATTGCTCTGATGCCCGACGAGAACCGGGAGGTGCTGCAGACATTGCTCTACTTCCTGAGTGACGTGGCCTCTGCCCAGGAGAACCAGATGACAGCCGGGAACCTGGCGGTCTGCCTGGCCCCCTCTGTTTTCCACCTCAACGTCTCCAGGAAAGAGAGCACTTCTCCCAGGTAACGCAGTGGGTAACCACAAAGCCAGGCACTGCAGATCTCTCCTCTCTCTTTGCTCTTACCTGCGGGCACCTGGCTGCGGGCATCACCTAAGGCAGGCTCAGCAGGTTGCGGGGTCCTGCAACACCTGAGGCTCTCTCTAAGAAACAAGGCCATCCTATGCAGTGGTGCGCCGTGGTTCCTACATTGGAGGGGGTTGGGATGGATGACCCTTGGGGATCCCTACAGTTCGGGGATTCTGCAAACTTTGCCCACAGTTCCTTCCCACCCCCAGCATGTCCCCAGCACCTAGGCTCCCCATTGATTGTCACGCATCTGAGATGCAACAGCCTCCCTCCATGGAAGGCCCCTGCTGCTGGGAATTCTGGGTGGCCCTCTCATGGCATACAGAAAGGCTTTGGCTGATTCGTGGCAATCGTGCAAGAGTTTCATGCGCCAAACTTTTTTTAAAGAAAGAGGGGCAGGTTGTTCTTCGTCTTGGTCACCAGGTGGTTAGAAAACAGTACCTAAGGGGTTTTATTAAATAGGGTTGTCCTATTTCAAAAGGCAAAAATCCAGACACAAAAGGTTTTTGAGCTTTTTTTGCTCAAAAAATGAAGTTTTGGAGCAATTTTTTAGGAAATTCGCCAAAAATACAACACTTCTGACATGGGTTACCTTACGCCCATGTGCTGAATTGCCAAACGTTTCCCTCAAAGCTCTTTCCCCTTATCTCCTGTCTCCTCTCCCCTCCTCACCCTCGTCAGGATGATTCACAAGCGAGCCACGATGGGCAAACCGGACCACAAGGACCTGAATGAAAACCTGGCCGCCACCCAAGGCCTCTCCCACATGATCACGGACTGCAAGAAACTATTTCAGGTACTGGCCCTCGGCTCAGGCTTTGTTGTTGTTGTCATTCCAACTTCTCAATTAGCACTTTTAAGAGGGTAACCGAAATTTGCGGCTGGAATGACCATCCCTCAATTTTGGAGAAACTTAGACAGGGTCAATTCTACTATTTGACACACTAAAGTGTGGGATATTGCCCTGTCTGGGGGGGACGGACAACTAACCAATAAGCTGAGAGTCCTTTGGGGGCCAGAGGGGGGAAAAGGACAGTTTTGTACTTGTTTGGCCTGACTTTATTTCATTCGTAAGCAAGGAGGAACATGGCCCAGGATCCCCTTTGGACTATGAACGAATTTGGCTGCTATAGTAACCCAGGGCATTTGAATACTTAAATTACTTTCCCTTGATATAATAGGGTCCATGCTTTGCAACCCTGTCTTGTTTAAGCATTATGCCTACTGCTATAAATAGTTCCTGTCTCTACTTTCCACGCACTCACATGCCTGTGGTTTGTTTATTTTGGCTTTATTTTGTACCTGTTTCTCTTTCTGCGGTAATTGTGTATGGACTATGTTTACTGTCATCAGATCCTGTTTGTTAACACTGCATTTTGCAGAATTATGTAGGACCTGTTTTTGGAATATTAATAATAATAGTAATAATAGTAGTAGTTGTTGTAGTAGTAGTAGTAGTAGTAGTAGTAATGATAATACTATTTAAGAACATCAGAAGAGACATGCTGGATTAGGCCAGTGGCCCATCCGGCCCAACATCCTGTTCTCACAGTGGCCAATCAGATGCCTGTGGGAAACCTGTGTGCAAAATTTACCTGGCTCCCAAAATGTCCCTGAGCTGCTGCATTTGCTCTGATTAGATCAGCCCTCCATTCCCCTCCTTAGCTTCCTTTGACCTATATGGGAAAGATTCGGACAACCATTGCGCACCCAGCATGATTTCCCAGGGGATCCCTGTTTTTGCAGGGATCCGGTCTCTGCCCGCATCTCCTAACAACCATGCCTTTGCCTTTCCAGATCCCCCAGGACGTGATGCTCCAGCTTTGCAACTCCTACTTGGCAGCGGACACCCAGCCTCTCTCCTTCTCTGAGCTGATGGGCCGGAGCCTGCAGGGGGAAGGTCGGGATTCACGGATTGACTTGGAAGTCAGTATCCAAAGCCTGCTCAAGGAGTCCTTCGACCGCTTCAAGGGGTGGCTTGGCATGCCTGGACCCCTCAACACGGAGATCTCGTGCAAGAAGGTAAGAGGAGATGTGAGGCTGGACTCTCCTCCATTGCAAGAGGTGGAACCTGGAGTCCTTGAGCTGAGATTGCTGCCTTGCAGAGGGTTGGGCTGGATGACCCTCAGGGTCCCTTCCAGTGCCGCAACTCCGTGATTCTACAGAATGACACCTTGCCTCCCTGTCTGCTCAGGTGGGGGATGTCCACCCCCTGCGCCTGTGGAAGGTGTCCACGGAAGTAGAGGCACCCCCTCAGGCAGTGCTTCAGCGGGTGCTCCGGGAACGGCGCCTGTGGGACGAAGACCTCCTGCAGGAGAAAGTGATGGAGACCCTGGACCACAACACGGAGGTCTACCACTACGTGACGGACAGCATGGCGCCCCACCCACGGCGAGACTTCCTCGTCCTCCGGTGAGAGCCAGGAAATATCAGTGCATCTCCCTTACCCCAACTCAGAGGCCGTTCGCTAGCCAGCATTGCTATCCTCTTTTAAAGCCATCTAGTTAGCGGACATCCGTGCCTCCTGTAGGAGCAAGTTCCATAGTTTAACAATTGCGCTGTGCAAAGAAGTTTTTCTTTTTCTTTTCCTTTTTTCTAGCCTGAACCTTCCAACATTCAGCTTCATCGAATATCCATGAGTTCTAGTGTTATAAGAGAGAGAGAGGGAGGAAAAAATTCTCTCCATTTCTCCATGCCACACCTACTTCTATGAACTCCTATTATGTCGCCTTTCGCTTGTGTTTCTTCTAAACTGAAAAGTCCCAACCTTTCCTCTTAGGGGATTTCCTCCAACCCCTTTGATCATTTCAGTTGCTCTTTCCTGAACCTTTCCAACTCTGCAATATCCTTTTCGTTTTTAAATTCATTTTTATTAAAGATGTTCTTGTAAATCTTTAATAAAAATGGATTTTAAAACGAAAAGGATATTGCAGAGTTGGAAAAGGTTCAGGAAAGAGCAACCAAAATGATCAAGGGGATGAGACAACCGGAACTGCACCCAGGATTCCAAATGTGGTTGCACCATAGATTTGTATAATGATATTGGCAGTTTTCTTGTCAGTTCCTATCCTAATGATCCACAGCCTGAATGTTCCTGCTCACCCATTTTGTTTTGTTTTTCCTTTGCAGAAAATGGCGCTCAGACCTGCCCCGAGGAGGCTGCCTCCTCGTGTCCTTATCCCTGGACCATAAGACGTTGCCCCTGGAAGGTGGGGTCCGGGCAGTGGTCCTGACCTCCCAGTACTTAATGGAGCCCTGTGGTATGGGGCGCTCCAGAGTGACCCATATCTGCCGCGCAGATCTCAGGTGAGCTGTCCGGCCAAGCCTACAGAATCATAAAATTGTAGAATTGAAAGGGACCCCCAAGTGTGGAAGATGCCCCCTGCTAACCTGTTGCAGGAATCTCAGTTAAAGCATCCCTGGCAGATGGCCATCTGACCTCAGCTTTAAAAAATGTCCCCTGCACTTTTACTACTTAGGCTTAGGATCCTGTCTGAAGAAGAGTTTGGATTTGATATCCCGCTTTATCACTACCTGAAGGAGTCTCAAAGCGGCTAACATTCTCCTTTTCCTTCCTCCCCCACAACAAACACTCTGTGAGGTGAGTGGGGCTGAGAGACTTCAGAGAAGTTTGACTAGCCCAAGGTCACCCAGCAGCTGCATGTGGAGGAGCAGAGACATGAACCCGGTTCCCCAGATTACGAGACTACCGCTCTTAACCACTACACCACACTGGCTCTCATGATTATCCTAAAGATGACCCCTTAGCCTTTCTATTGACTGCTGCTCGTATGGAGATAGATGTTGGAAAACCAGTGATGGGCTGAACATTGATTATTGGTATAACAGAGTATGATCAACAGCAATGGCTGAGAAACTAACATGCCAAGTGAGAGCGCCAAACACAATCCATATTCCTTTATAACACATGGCAAATGTTTATTGAATACATACATAGTTCGGACTGTGGCAGGAATCCACCCAGCCAAATGAAACTTTTAACGCATGGCATGATAAAAGTCTGCCATTTTATCAGGACAAGTTACTTGTTGTTTACTGTTGTAACAACTGTTTTCTCAAAATTTATCGTCTGTACCATGAAAATAAATAAAAACAGGTTTTTTGTGTTTTTTTTTAACCCTCCAACAAAGGAGAGTCCTCCACCAAGTCTGTTCCACTGTCCAACAGCTAAAGCCCTTGCAGATTGCCTGGGCATCTTCCTACTCCTCCTGAGACTTCGATGGAGTCTCAGTATCAATGAACAGGGAATTCCGCTTGTGCAGCGTGGAAGATGCCCCCCGCTAACCTGTTGCTCTTTTGTCTTTCCAGGGGACGGTCTCCAGACTGGTACAGCAAAGTTTTCGGCCGCCTCTGCGCCATGGAGCTGGCCAGGATCCGAGACTCTTTCCCGGCACTCGACCCAAGTGGTCCAGAGACAAAGATCTGAAGGGGGCTTCTGGCGCTCTTGGACGCTCTTGGAATGTGGAGTGGCTTCAGCCTTCGCTAGAGGGGAGGAGCTTTTCCAGGTGCCCGAACACCTGCGAACTGAGCAGCCTCTGCCCCTCCTGTCCAGAAACGTCAGCTCTTCAAGGCTGAGCTGCCCCGAGGAGCAGAAAGGTCTCCGTTCATGACGGTGCCCTTTCCTGGTTGAGCAGCGTGCTTCATGTCTGGGAAGCCATCTTGGAGGTTCCTTCTCAAAGCCTCTGAGGGCTGTCCATCCACCCACCAACTCCCCACACCACCAATGGATCCAGCATCCAGATACCCATTTAGCTGTGATTCCTGCATTGCAGGGGGTTGGATTGGATAACCCTTGGGGTCCCTTCCAATTCTACAATTTCAGGGGAAAGGAGAAGAGCTGGGCCACAGGGGTGGAGGTGGGTGAGGAGCATCTCTACCTGCAAATCTTCTAAGGTTGTGGGCTGGCAAGGAGGTCCACCACCAGCCAAAGGAAGGCAGTCCTAGGCTAGGTGAACCCAACTGTCTGATCCAGCTAAATAAACTAGTTCTGGGTTGGAACTGATGACCCTCGAGGTCCCTTCTCTCAACTCTACAGTTCTATGATTCTGTGACGGCAGGATTGATGGAGATGGCGTGCAGAGGGATGCCAGAGGAGGGCAAAGTTGTCTACAGGAGTCAGGGGATGACGCTGCAGGGAACAGGGAAGGTTAGTTGGCGGACAAGTGTGTGTAGGAGGCATTGCAGGATGAACAGCCGTGTTGTAGCACATGGGGGCAAGAGGGTATGTACGTGTGTAGGAGAGGGAGAGAGGGAGCCAGAAAAATATTACATTATTCCTATTTGCTGCCATCATTCCTGCATGGCAGGGGGTTGCGCTTAGATGACCCTCAGGGTCCTTTCCAACCCTATGATTCTTATCACATGAGTGGCACAGAACTGGAAACTAAGTCCAGGTGTTTCCACTTTTGCACCGGAGGCCTTTCATTTAACATGACAAAGAGCCCATTGGCTCAGAGAGATTTGATGCTATTCTTGGCAAAACCAAAGGGCGACGGATGCAGATGAGTATGACCAAAGCCTGGGGTCTTGTGTCCTGAGGACACATGTCTTGCTCTTGAATGCCAACTACATGATTCCAGTGGGGGTTGGGGGAGGAAAAGAGACATCACTGCATCCTCCATCAGATGGCTGTGGTCCTCTGATCTTTCTAAATCAATAGTTTGACATTGGCTAACCTTGGCCTGTAAGTAACCCAGTTTTTATTTTATTTTTCCGTAACCGGTGGTCCAACTGACTAGGCAGCATTCCAACTGGAAGGCATGAAAACTTTTCCAATTTTTGTTAGAGATCTAACGGTGTCTGTTCTGCGGGTGATCAATTCAACGGCTCTTGTCAACTCTTGCACTGCAGAGGATCAGACTAGTGACTTTTGGGGGAATCCTTCCAACTCTTACAATCCCATGGTTCTATAAATCATTGGAGGTTTTTAAACCGAGGTTGGATGGCCCACTGTCAGGGATTCTTTAGCTGTGATTCCTGCATCGCAGGGGGTCAGACTAGATGAAACTTGGGGGTACCTTCCAACTCTACATTCTTTGGACTCTGTGAACTCAACTAGAAATAACTGATGTAACATTTGTGGGGGTATTTTTTGTCTTACTAATACCTTGGGGGTGGGGCTGTTATTTCTCTAATCAATTTTTCCTCTCGCACCTATAAATATTGTACAGTTGTAATATTTAATATATAACTTGAGTGGGAGAGCATTTGGACAGAGGTGTGTGTTTGTATGTATGTGTGTGTGTGTGTGTGCAAGAGGAAGAAGCGTATTTTGTATTTAAAGGTTTTTTTGTACTAAAGCCGTTGCGGGGTGTCAAGAGGAGAGAGGAAACTCCCTATCTCTGTGTAATAAATAAAGTACTAACCTGGTCACTGGCTGCTGATGAATATGATTATTACAACACCTAAAAGACAGTGTTAAAAACAAAATTACAGGAATAAGGCAGGTCCTACAAATATAAACCCCAAATGTCGAACACCAGGGTAAAGCCATGTGTCTTTAGCATTCACTAGAAGCTGTTCAATGTAGGCATGCCTCTGCAGAGAAGGATTTCAACAGCTTATGGGCCACCACAGAGAAGGCCCTTTCCCACCCCTCACCCTGCCAAGTTGTAATCTCAGAGCCTTCGTCTATAATCTTTGAGACTTATTGGAGGAAAGGTCCCTGAGGACTGGAAGAGGGCCAGTGTTTTCCCCATCTTCAAAACAGTGGTGGGAAGGGAAGACCCAGGCAACTACCAGCAGGTCAGCTTGATGCTGATAGAAAGGTAATAGAACAGATAATTAAACAGTCATTCTGTGAACACTTAGAAAAGAACACTTACTAAGAGCCAAGCATAGGTTTTGAGTTTCAGGCTTGGTAGATCAGAGGAACGCTGTGGACGTAATGTATCTTGATTTCAGTACGGCTTTTGACAAAGTCCCCCATGATATTCTTGCAGAAAAGATGGTAAAATGTGGACAATGCTACTGCTATGGGAATTTGCAGCTGGTTAACTGACCAAACCCAAAGAGCGCTCACTAATGGTTCCTCGTCATCCTGGGACCAGTGGGTTGCCACAGGGTTCTGTCCTAGGCCTTGTGTTGTTCAATATCTTTGTAAATGACTTGAAGGACTTTGCAGATGACACCATGGGAGAGGTAGCTTAGTGGGCCAAGGTTCTGACTTGGAATACAGCCATTTTATAGGTAGACCCCTACAGTCATCTCTTTTACACAGCTAGAACTGCTTGCCAGGTACACTTTTTGAATATTTGAATTTCTAATCTAGCTGCTTAGTTAGCCACCACAGGCACTTCCTCGATGGGAAAATCAGGGTTGGGAAGAAAAACAATTTTAACAAAGAGTTCATGTTAATAAACAGATTAATAAATAAATAATGGTTTATTGCTGCCCGCCCCACATTTCCAGTAACAGACAATCTTGGATTTAGTCCTTGGGGCGAGGAGAAGCACTGAGACGCCAACACGTCAATTTTGCAAATTAAGATGCAGCTTGTGGGGAGCGTCCCTTTGACATCAAAACGTGAACTTTGAAATGCAGAGATTTCAAAAATTCAACAATAAATGCTGCTGACTTTGGAATCCACGCAGAAAAACACACAAGCAAGAAAACCCCCTGCATTTCCGCTCTGGTCCTCTTTCCCACGGGAGAGATTGCCCTCTCAAAGCGATCCTCTGCATCAAGCCCGCATCCGGTTTGCCTGCTTCTCAGACTTTCCTACTTCGGCTTCTTGCTGCCTCGACATTTAGGGGTGGTTTCTTTGCACAAGACGTAGGGGTAACGGTGGTACTTCTTGTTGTACGTTTTGGCATACTTTCGGAAGCAGAGGGCCGCATGGCGGTCGCATTCGCACGCCAACACGGCACAGTGGGAATTGTTTCTGTACTCTGCAGAGGCAAAAGCGGCGAGGAGACGTCAGGCTTGCAGGATGCAAAGCTTCCTTTTGACTGGAACCTCATATGAGAAGTGCCTTTGTACCGTACGCCGGCGTCTAAACACATTCACACACACACCCTCTCCATCCTCCTCCCAGGCAAGCAACAGGCATTGTGAGGACATGTTTTGGCCAAGCTGAACCTCTCCAGCAGGACAAGAAGCAAGGCCAGTGAGGGGTGCAGCTCAGGGAGAGTTCAGCAGGCCTGATCGAGACCACCAGAAATAAATGTGGGTGGGGCATATCTGGAGACAGTTCTGTGGAATGGTTCTATAAATGGCCTCCTTCTTCTAAAGGGAAGGTGGGCAAAGGAAAATAAACCCAAATCCTTCTGCCCGCCACTCACCACAGATAACATCGTCATTGATGATCAGGTATCTGTAGTGATCAATATATGGGTGGCACTGCTTGCTGTGTAGACCCTCATAGCAGCAGTCGTGTTTATAGCAGCACCTGGAAGAGTAGAAAAGGGGGGGGGATGCAGGGGGAGGAAGGCCTGCTGGCAGGGAGCCCCTGTTGAAATTTTGAGAATTTTGGTGTCCTCCCCCCCCTCCACTGCGCTGCTGAGCTTTCATTTAAAAATAAAATAAAATATTGTTATTACTATATTTATTTACATCCCACAGTCTTACCAGACAAGGATTCAAGGTGGCTTACACCTAAAATAGAAACGGCTAAAAGCTAGAGGGAAAAGCAATAATTAAAAAACAAGCATTAATAGAAATGTGTGCGTTAAAAGGTAAAGGTAAAGGGACCTCTGACCATTAGGTCCAGTCATGACCGACTCTGGGGTTGCGGCCCTCATCTCGCTTTATTGGCCAACGGAGCCGGCGTACAGCTTCCGGGTCATGTGGCCAGCATGACTAAGCTGCTTCTTGCGAACCAGAGCAGTGCACGGAAACGCCGTTTACCTTCCCACAGGAGCAGTACTTATTTATCTACTTGCACTTTGACGTGCTTTTGAATTGCTAGGTTGGCAGGAGCAGGGACTGAGCAACGGGAGCTCACCCCGTCGCGGGGATTCGAACCGCCGACCTTCTGATGGGCAAGTCCTAGGCTCTGTGGTTTAACCCACAGAGATCTGTTAAAACATGCGGATAGCTACACTGAAAACAGCAGAGCACCAGCACTTTCCTTAAAAACAGTCTAAACATTGAATCTTCATACACACTGATATGGAACTCAGCTACAGTGGTACCTTGGGCTACAGACGCTTCAGGTTACAGATGCTTCAGGTTACAGACTCCGCTAACCCAGAAATAGTACCTCGGGTTAAGAACTTTGCTTCAGGATGAGAACAGAAAACGTGCAGCGGAAGCAGGAGGCCCCATTAGCCAAAGTGGTACCTCAGGCTAAGAATAGTTTCAGGTTAAGAACGGACCTCCAGAATGAATTAGGTACCACTGTACATTACTACACACACTAAAGGCGTTTTAAATGTGTTATAACACTGTGACACCAGGTGGCGCTGTAGAGTTCAGTCTTGAGGTTTCCCCAGCCCTGTCCTAACAGAGGGAAATGTGTTTGAGCAGGTTAATCAGCCCTCTTCTTCACCCACTTGTGCTGGCATGGCAGCATCACAGGGAGGGATGCATTGTTGATGCACACCGGTTTCTGGCGCACCAGACCCCACCTACCAGGAATATCTGGCATCACCTGCAAGCAAAGCCGCCCCCCACCCCGTCTGGCTGAGTGATGCTCGTGGTGTCTTTGTGGAGGCCCAGGGAATCACGCCGGCCAACTCACATGTCTGTCTGGTCCCTCGGCTTCCCTCTCCCGCCCTTTCCGCAGTAGCACCCGTATCCATTGAAGTGGATGAGGGCGTTTTTGTGGGTAATCCTCTCGATCAGCACCTTGAAGTTGAGCAGGCTGCCGTGGATGACGGACAGAGCTGGGAAGGGGACAAGCAGCAGCAGGAGGAGGAGGAAAACAGGCGGGGGTCCCCTGTCACGGTCCGCATTTTGGAGCGAGAAAGTGCAAAAAGCCCACCTCGGCCAGGATCTGGTCCAGGGACAGGAGAGCAATTCAACACCATCTGCATGCCATGGCAGGTGCCCCTATTTCCAAAGCAATGCTCAAATCGAAACACGGCTGGCCTTCGAAATTTGCACTTAGCCGGATTTTGCAACATATCGCACCCGCTCGTGATCCAGCGGATCCCAGGCGGGCTCAGCCCCTCCATTTCCCCACCTTCTGCCAGTAGGGACCCCCCTGGGGGCACCTCTGCCCACCCACCCACATTTGGCAGGTGGGAAGGGGTTTCTGGCTGCACCAGTGGATGGATGTCTCAGCCGCTGACAGGTCCAAACCCTTTCCAGCACAAGACGGGCTAAGATGGCTCCCTTTCTTTCTTTCTTTCTTTCTTTCTTTCTTTCTTTCTTTCTTTCTTTCCATAAATGATTTATAGCCCACTGTTCAATAGAAGATGGTATCTGGGTGGGGTCCAATCAGATCAATGGATACTGCCCAGTTTCCTGGAGGGTTGCTACCCGTCAGTGCTGACAGTACCGATCCAGAGGGGGACCAAGCGCCTGACTTGGTACAAGGCAGCTGGCTGAGAAAAAGGGGCTTCTGGTAGCAAAAGTAAGCGAGGAACTTTTTAGCACTTACCGCCCACCCCCAAGATAGCAATCAGGAGAAGCGGCCTCATGTCTGAGGAAAACAAGAAGCAGAAAAGGGAAGAGGTAATTCCCACACCAGCTGATAACCTGAGGAAAAAAGCGCTAATAAAAAACCACAGATTCCTCACATTCAGAATCGTAACATCACTTTACATTTTACGAACTGTCACAAAAATAGTTTTGACTTCCTCTCTAGCCCCTACCCTGCTTTGCTACTGGCCTTGTTCATTTTGACCAGGAAAAGGTGGCCGAAATCTGGTTCTCAGGTTGGAAAAGGGCTCCTTGCTTTGAAACAGCCACCCTTGCCCTGGTGCCCTCCAGATATTTATTATTATTTGCTACATATCTGCTAGCCCCAAAGTGACTTACATTAAGGCCAGGTAGTCCGTGTTGTTGGACTACAACTCCCGTTGTCCCTGGGCTGGGGCTGATGGGAGTTGTGGTCCAACAGTGCCTGGCGATCACGAGTTTGGGAGAGGGGTGGTGTAAGAGTGCTGGGCCTTTCATAAAACTAGAACTCATATAGGTCACATATCTCAACGTTTGGGCAGCAATCTTGCACCAAAATTTCACTCTCTAGAGGTTTCTCTGGGAACTAGAGATCCTCACTTGATATACTTCAGATGCTAGGGGGTTGGGGGGGGGAATTTCAGGAGGGTCTCTGCAGATGATCTGAATAACCAGGCAGGTTTAATAGAAGAAGGCTACCCTTCAGATATCCAAGGGTGCAAAAGTTAAATGGTTTTAAATGCCTTTAGAAGTGCTTGGAATTGAGCCTGGAAACCAATCAGAAGCTGATGCGATTGTTTCAACAGCAGAGTGATACACTCCTTTCACAGACCCTCCAAAATTCCCTATTTTCCAGGGACATCCCTGATTTAGAGACGCTGTCCCGGTTTCTGATTTGATCCCAGAATGTCCCACTTTTCCTTAGAATGTCCCTATTTTCATTGGAGAAATGTTGAAGGATATGGAGTTATCCGACCCCTGAGCCATCTGAAGGCAATCCTGTACAGGGCAGTTTAAAAAAAAAAAAAGCTTAATGTTTTATTATGTTTTTATATATGTTGAAAGCTGTCCAGAGTGGCTGGGGCAACCCAGCAAGATGTGTGGGGTATACCGTAAATAGTAAAATTATCGTTATGGAATGGGACGTCCCTATTTTCATCAGAGAAATGTCGGAAGATATGCTGTCACATTCTGGGTGGGTCAGTGGAAGATTCCAGGTACTTTTCCAGCCCAAAAGAAGCAGGGTTGGTTGATAACATTTAGAAGTAACGCACATTTCCAGCTAAAGAACAGGGGAGTAATTTTTAACCCAGAGTCTAATATTGCCTAACTTCACCATGGCATCATGATAGCCTGGATATAACATAAGCAATGGCCACGGCCATATTTGCAGATGCAAAGAACAGACACCAAGGCACGTTCGTGCTATACATTTAAAACACTGTGATACCACTTTATGTCATGGCTTCTCCCAAAGAATTCTGGGAGCTGCAGTTTGGGAAGGATGCTGAGAGTTGTTAGGAGACCCCTGTTCCCTTCAGAGAGCTACAATTTCCAGAATGGTTTAAGAGTCAATCCCTCTTCCCAGAGAACAGCGGCCACATTGTCCTCTTGATTTCTTTCAGACCCAATTTGTAAGAACGTCTTTTATTTTATAAAACCTCCAAGAAATGTGCCAGGGACATTCCTACATAAAAAATATAGTTATAAATACAGTATATAATTGCAAAGTAGCACTATTTCTCACCGGAGGGGAGCATTAATAAACACTGTATGAGAAACTCAAAGTGCTGGATTTGCATACAAATAAACCCGTGGTCATCACAAATCCCCCTAAAAAACAACAACAACTAGGAGGAAGCTTCTACACTTGATCTTAGCCAAAAGGCCGAGAAGCTTCAAGGAGGAAGCTTCAAGGAGGAAGCTACTAAGATGTACAATGTACGGGACTTTCATCAAACAGGACTTATTTCAGGAATGGGCATAACTGTCAGAGTAAGCATTAAATGTCTTCTGAGAAATGTCAACTTAGTTCTGGTTAGTTACTCCATGAACGCACAACAACACAAACTGATCCCCCTGTCTCAGGTATGATGGACACCTATTAATGGTCAGCTCCCAGCTTCTTTCTGTCCTGTAGAGAAGTTCATCTGAGTTGAACTTCTGAGACCAGGAACCATGGCGCATGGAGTCAAGAGAGTGATACATTGCCCACCACTGGCCGTTAGATCTCATGCTTTCCCTTCAGAATCTAACACAATTGTGATGCTTAGAGCCCTGGAATCCACAGAGCAGAGGGGGGAAGGAAGGGGAAAGAAGAGAATAAGGAGAAGGTCTTGCCACTCAACATTTCTCAGATGGAGGATGGGACGTCCCCCGCACCTGAGTCCCAAACTCACTCCAAGAACTCAGCTTCAGATGACACACAAGTTATCCCATTCAGACAAAACCGCTCTGAATCACTTTCTGAGGACTGATTATGTGGATCCTTAATCACCATCAGGTTCTAGAGATAACTCCCCTATAGCATCTCCTGTTCCACAGCCATGCAGGAACAGGAACTGCAGAGTAAATTCCAGGTCTTTTAAGGATTGCAGACCTTCAAGAGCAGAGCCATTGGAACTGAAGGCTCTGCCAGCCGCCTTTGCTGTGACAACATCTTCTCATAGCTCATGAGGTCTTTGCTAGACCTTTGCCAAGACAACATCTTCCATAGCTCAGCCAGCAGGGCCCACTGGTGGCTGTCCAGGGTCCTGATTTGACTTGCCTTGGCAATTGCTACGACTTTCTGAGTGAACTACAGCAGAAGAGGAGAGAAATGGGGATGTACATGCAACATTGCCATTCTCATGCCTGAACGTAACACCCTTTCCACATTCTTAATCCTTCTGATGACTTTTCCCACACCACGCCCCCAAAAAACTTGAGTAATTGATACTCAAACCAGGGTTACAAGATGACACTCAAAAATCCAACTTTGTCTGGTCCCCTGAGAAGACAAATTGACGGTACACATTTGGCCTTGATGAGAGTTATCTGTTGCCATTCTGCTTGTGCTCTTAGGTAACTTTCTGTTTCTTTCCTTTCTGTTTCTTTCAACCACAAACACCCCACCCACCCCCCGTTCTCATTGACCTTCATCTCTACCACGTAGTGCACCAGAGGGTCTTCCGCAAGGATGTTCTGTGCACTTGTTCTGTCATACACAAACTGCATGACTTTCTCACTTCTGGCACAGTGTTGATACCCTGGCATCTATTGATACCCTTGTCGCCATTCTCTGAAAATGGAGCTTGTGAATTGCCTGCATTACTTAGCTGGGTATTGGTTCCTAATTTCCTCGTCCCTTTAGCATTGTCTTGAAACCGATGTGATCCTTTGAATCTGTTGAAATCCTAGGTTAACAACAGGAAGAATTAGAGGAACTATTGGAAATGACTACGAAAAGCAGTAGAGATATGAGATGATCAGAACCCTCCGAACTTGAAGCGTGGGAAGTCCCATTAAAAAAATTATAATTTGGCGGAATATTTGATTATTTGATATGTATATGTATAATCTGGAATATTTAATGTGATTGGATTGGATTGTTAAAATGGAAAATTTAATAAAAATGAATTAAAAAAAAAAAAGAATCTGTGGAAATCCTGCACTTCCTCCTTTGCTTTTGCAGTCTTTTCCTGAGGCATTTGCTTCCTATCACCCTCATCAATCACACCTGTAGTACGAGTTGCAGCAGCAAGCTTCCTGGTGCCCTCCGTGGTCAGAATGCGCTTGAAAATGAAGCCATCCAGAGGCATGGTTAGAGTTATATGCTTGAACGCTGTACTCTTCAGGTCCTTGAAATAAGCCTTCCTGGAAGCATTTGCTGGTTAACTCTAGTTCCAGGAACAATGTTTGGTTTATTTCTTCTACCATGAGAGTAAAAGCATTACCCCTGTACCAGCAGGAAAACATACTTCATTGCTTTCTTCTTCTGTCTTCACATCTTCTTTAGGATGAAGCCCTCCAATTCTGTCCAGAATTATTGCTTACTTATCTCCAGTCAGGATCGGATTTAGGTTTGATGAGGACCTAAGCTACTGAAGGTAATGGGGTCCTTTATATGCCCTGCTGTCCTTTGTCAACAACAAATTGTTACTGTTTTTTTTGTGTTGAATATATGCTATGTGGTAATTTATGGACCTAGTAGGTATCTAACCAGTGATATTTTAGGGAACAGGCTAGCAGGCGGGGTCCATTACATACATCATAGGAGCCTACACAACACAAAACACTGTTGCTGTATGTAGGTTTTATCTTATTTGTTTTTTATCTTCTGTTTTGGAAATGTACATCCAGGTTTTTTTCCCTTTAATTTTTTGGGGGGCTCCCAAGAGAGTGAGGCCCTAAGCTATAGCTTGTTTAGCTTATACATAAATCCGGCATTGTCTCCAGTGCTCCAGTGTTTACCAAGAATGCTTCCCTTGTTCTTTTATCATAGCAATGACGTGCACCTGAGAGGTGCCGGAACTGAGTTCTGGTGAATTCCAGCTGAAAAAAAGCCCTGCTTATCTCACAATTTGTTGGCATGCCTATCTCCTTGCCCTCTCCCTCAGTTTACTCACGCCAACAGTGATGATTTTTCAGCAGTGACGTCACATTTCTTATACCATGTGCTTTCACAACCAGCGCCTTGCTTCTTCAGTAGAAGTGTCAAGTTAGGTGACGCTGCCCTCAAAGACGAGGTCATTTTGCCTTCAGGTTCACCAGGTGTGCAATGTCATTCCTGATGTTGCAATCAGGCAAATTTGGCAATCCCTGGTTTTCATTCAAAACCTTATCACACTCGTTTGGGTATTCTGACAGGAATGGAAACTTTGTGAATGTCTGGATGCATGCTGACATGAGAGCTGGGGACATGTTTACAACAACCATCTTAGGTCGTTGTGAGCCATCGTGGTGCTGCATTCCCAGCCAATATTATTTTCTATTTATTTTATTACTTATTAAATTTATATACCACCCTATACCTGCAGGTCTCAGGGCGGTTCATGGGATAAAATGCAAAAAGCAATGTTTTGTCTTCTCTGTGTCGTGTTATTCAGACAGCACTCTGCACGCTGGATAGATTTTTCTGGTGTCTGAATTTCAAACGGCATTATACAGAAGTATCTGCCCAAATTTTTCTCCCTTGCCACCCCTATCAATCCAATAAACACACAAGACGTAACCAGCTGCACTTTTGAACAAACAAGGTACAGTATTCATTGTATCAAATTGTAGATTTCAACAGAATCCTTTCACAGAGTCTAAAACAAGTCTAAAACAAGGATTTCCAGAATATTAGCCTTGTTTCGCCATCCTAGGCTTCCTCAGTAGTACTTAGTACTACTCTAAGTAATGCAAATAAACACAATATCGTAATCTCACACATAGGGACGCAGGTGGCGCTGTGGGTTAAACCACAGAGCCTAGCCTTGCCGGTCAGAAGGTCGGCGGTTCAAATCCCCACAATGGGGTGAGCTCCTGTTGCTCAGTCCCTGCTCCTGCCAACCTAACAGTTCGAAAGCATGTCAAAGTGCAAGTAGATAAATAGGCACCACTCTGGTGGGAAGGTAAACGGCATTTCCGTGCGCTGCTCTGGTTCGCCAGAAGCGGCTTAGTCATGCTGGCCACATGACCCGGAAGCTGTATGCCGGCCCCCTTGGCCAATAAAGCAAGATGAGCGCCGCAACCCCAGAGACGGTCACGATTGGACCTAATGGTCAGGGGTCCCTTTACCTTTACCAAATCTCACACATTTTTCCAGTGAAAATAATATACAAAAACCATAAACAACTGTACATACCATATGTAATGTTACAGGATAGTGGATCTTATAGCATAGTAGTGGTTGCAGTAAGCAACATCTGCTACAAAGCAGGATTACTATCTTGTAAAATTACATATGGTATGTACAGTTGTTTATGGTTTATCATTTTCACTGGGAAAATGTGTGAGATTACGATATTGTATTTATTTGCATTACTTAGAGCCTATACTACTGAGGAAGCCTAGGATGGCAAAACAAGGCTAATATTCTGGAAATCCTTGTCTTAGACTCTGTGAAAGGATTCTGTGGAACTGTAACAACTCTTCATGTGAATTATTGGACTCTATGAACAGACAGGTGGAATAGACACTTATACATGTATGGACCTAATGCATGAACTGACTATAGAACGAACTGATCCACTGGGTCTTCTACCTTTTTCATTGAACTTTATGAGACTTCTGTTGAAATCTATAATTTGATACAATGAATAGTGTACCTTGTTTGTTCAAAAGTGCAGCCAGTTATGTCTTGTGTGTTTATTGAGTATGTTTCACGTAACCAGAGGTTTGTTGTTGTTTTACCCCTATCAACTCTGCTAACCAATCTTCCTGTGGCATCAATGCTCAGACTTGGAATCTTGGTAGTGCCCAAGTATTGCTGGTAAACCTTGAGGTGTGCAGAGCTGTGTCACATGATTACACACAGGTAATCATATGACACCTGCTGTATCATACCCTGGTATGGTTATGTGTCCAGTAGCAAGTACAGCATCTTCATGCAGGTAAGTTCCCTTCATAGCTTTGCACTTTGTCACTTGCAGGACATTTGTAGAAGACAGTTGACTAGGTTCATAATCACCAAACATCATCGGACAAGGTTGGGTTTGGGGTATACTTATGGCCCCCAGTTTGAGTGTCAATTACCAGTATTCAGTTGGGGAGGGCAGAACAAAATGTGGGGTTTGTGGTGCAAAACTAGCACAAAACTTTGGCATCGGTTTGAAGGGGATCCAAAATTTCAGGGTCACACGTTAATGAAGCTCAGCAACCTGATCTCACAGTTGCGAACTTGTAGGGAACCTGCAAGCAAGACCCAAGCACACAAAAGTCCTCTCCCTTCCTGTAGTTCCCCATAACTGGTATTCAGAACTGTGGAGTCAACTCTAGCCATTATGGCTAGTGGCTATCCATAGCCTTATCCTCCCTTCATGAAATTGCTCAGTCCATCTACGTTGTCGGCCATCGCTTTTAAAGCTGCGCTCAACTGTGATGATAGCAAAATGTCTGACCAGCAGAGTACCTTTCTTCTTCTTCTTAAGAAAACTGCATGGGAGGAGATGTGAGTTATTACAGTTTAAAAAGAAGCATATGGGCAATTACATGGAAATTATGAAAGAGAATCTGAAAATTATTTACAGGGAAGCCCTAACAAGAATAACCAAGAATAACCTCTGTATAACAATCCCTAACGGGGTGGAGTTAACAGTCCCTAATGGGGCGGAGTGTGTGTGTGTGTATATATATATATTCACCCTTGATCACCAAGCAGAAGTTATCTGCAGCCTCTGAAATTTTCCCTGCCATAACCAGAAAAGGTAAGTAGAGAGAGTGGGGGGAAAGAGAGAGAGAAAGAGAGAGAGAGAGAGAGAGAGAGAGAGAGAGAGAGAACAGACACAGCTCCAGATTGTGAAGTTGCCCTAGTGAGCAGGAGAGGCTGCCACATCGTGGCTTCTTCTATCAAGAAGCCAATTGTTGCTGGTGTTACTTACTCATACAGTGGTACCTTGGGTTACAGACGCTTCAGGTTACAGACTCCGCTAGCCCAGAAATAGTATCTCGGGTTAAGAACTTTGCTTCAGGATGAGAACAGAAATTGTGCAGTGGCAGCGCAGCAGCAGCAGGAGGCCCCATTAGCCATAGCTGTCAACCTTCCCTTTTTTGCAGGAAATTCCCTTATTCCAGCTCCATTTCCCACTGCTTCCCACTGCTACCCCAGATTGTTAGATATCCCGTCGACTTTCCCCGGATAGGTGAAGTTGCTGATCCCTTATTTTCAAATCTGAAAGTTGACAGCTATGCCATTAGCTAAAGTGGTGCTTCAGGTTAAGAACAGTTTCAGGTTAAGAGCGGACCTCCAGAATGAATTAACTTCTTAACCCGAGGTACCACTGTACAAGTAACACCTGCTATTTGGGAATGACTTTGCTGCCTTTGTTTTGTTTGTTCATCACTGCTCCTGTAAAAGGAATGTCAGATCGAGAGGTTTAAATTTCTTTTTCAGGGCCACACATGGCAAATACGACTCTGTCTGCAGTGGTGGCATTGCTACTGACATGTGGTGAGTATGGGGGGGGGGAATCCATGTACTTAAATTTTAGTCTCTCCCTTACGTCACTCCACTCAGATCAATGGCAAGCACACAGATAGAGAAACTTAAGAAGCTGTCCTTACGCTGTTGAGTCAGACTTGCAAAGCACCCCCCCACCGGGTTTCAGATAATGGTATGCCCCAAACCTACCTGGAGGTTGAAGCTGGGACGTTCTACAGGCAAAGCAGGTGTTCTGCCCCTGAGCTAGGGATGCACTTGAAGCTGTCCATGTTCCATCTAATACCCTGTTGTCCACGCCAATGTTCTTCCACCTTGTGTCCTCAGGTGTTGCTGGACTACAACTCCCATCATTCCCAGACAGCTTAAGCCAATGATCAGGGATGATGGGCGTTGTAGTGTTGGTGGCAAGGATAATAAAGGTATAAAAAATTGGGTGCCAAGATCCAGGTTTGATGAGGGAACCCCAGCAGAGATTTAAAATCACAAAATATGCAGCAAATAAAGCATGGAAATATAGGCTGTTGGACCTTTAAAAGATGCCCTTGTGAGTTCCAAAATGTCCTTCTTCCCACAGCAGAGGAATAGATTGCACACTTGGTAAGTTAAAAATGGTTTTACTTACAAACTCTTCAAAGCTTAGGTTCATGTGTTTTTCCATGTATCAGTCAGAAAGGTAGCACAGGCAGTAAGACTTGGCTTATTTGCAAAGTGGTGAAAGTTCCTAAATTGTTTGGTATAGAAACTCAGGAATGGCTGATGAGAGCCATGCGGTTTGAGCTGGAGCAACCAGCTTAGAACCTCTTAACATGTTGAGCTTCTCAGGTAGTCTGAGGTCCAACTATGAAAGACAACACTTTATGTTGGGATATAGATAGATAGATAGATAGATGACAGACAGACAGACAGACAGACAGACAGAAAGACAGATATACATAGGTCCTCCCAACTGATTCCTTTATATTTTTAAAAGTTCTTCTCCTTCAGCCTCCTTTACCAAACCAGAGACTTCCATGTTTGCTTTGCAAATACCCTAGTGATTTGAGGTTTCCCCCCTCTAACTGTTTTCAAGGTGCAATTGGAGTAGATGGCAGTCTCATCCAACTTGCTGAGATGATCAAACAAATGACTGGAAAAAATGCCATACCAGATTACATGGCCTATGGGTGTTATTGTGAATGGGGAGGCAGCGGCATGCCAAAGGATCAAACTGACTGGTAAGCTAATAAATAGTCCACATGAACCTTCAGGAAACATCAGGATATGCTTCCTACAAGCCAGACCGTCGGTCCATTGACCCAACCTCTGTGGCTCTCCAGGGTTTCAGGCAGAAGTCTAGGCCAGACCTAATTGGAGATGTCAGGATTTGAACCTGGGACCTTTTACATACAGAGCATGTGCTATTCCACCAAGCTGTGGCCCAGAGTGGCTTAACCACCAACCCCACTTCCAAGGGAACTTTGGGAATTGTCATTTTTTTAAAAAAGGGATAGCGACTGCCTAACAACTCTCAGCCTCCTTAGCAAACTATACCTCCCAGGATGCTTGGGGGGGGAGGGGGAGTCATGACTCTTTAAAGTGGTATGATACTACACGGGTGGTGCTGTGGGTTAAACCACAGAGCCTAGGACTTGCTGATCAGAAGATTGGCGGTTCGAATCCCCATGACAGGGTGAGCTCCCGTTGCTCAGTCCCTGCTCCTGCCAACCTAGCAGTTCAAAAGCACCTCACAGTGCAAGTAGATGAATAGGTACTGCTCTGGCGGGAAGGTAAACGGTGTTTCCGTGCGCTGCTCTGGTTCACCAGAAGCGGCTTAGTCATGCTGGCCACATGACCCGGAAGCTGTACGCCGGCTCCCTCAGCCAATAAAGCGCCGCAACCCCAGACTCGGCCACGACTGGACCTAATGGTCAGGGGTTCCTTTACCTTTACCTTTTACAGATGGAGCCACATGGGAGCATCCCTGCTGCCCTGCCTACCTGCAACTCACTTTTCCTTTCAGGGGTGTGGCCCTCCAAGCCCCTCTTTCTGGCCCTGAGGACTCTCCCCAGGCCCAGGCCCTCCTTGAGTTATTTTGCCTGGCTGGAACATGTCCTTGAACTGATAAATGTCTCCTGCTTTGCTTGGATGGAGGCTGGAGGGATGTGAATGGGAGTGTGGGAACCGTTATCTTTTGCACAGCTGAAAGGAAGCCTTTCTGTACAAGGAGAAGAGTCGCATCCTTTGCCCCAGCTGCTTTTCCTTCTGGCCCCACCCACCACTGGCATGTGGCCCTTGGAAAGTTTCCCATGGCTCTCAGGAAATGAAAAGGGTTACCTGCCCTTGTTTTACACTGTTTCACTTTGCTCTTATTCCCCCCGCCCTCAGGTGCTGTCGTAACCATGACTGTTGCTACAAGAGAGTGGATGAGCAGGGATGTGACTCCAAACTTGCCACCTATTCTTACACCTACAAGTCAGGGGACATCATCTGTGGTGAGCTGACCTTTTGCAGAGCGAAACCAATGCCTTCGGGTGGACGTTTTGCCCCACCTGCTCCACCCCACTGTCCATATCTCTTGCTCAACGGGTCCCAAGAGCCCAACAACCGGCTGGCTACCGGGTGCTTGGGAACTGTAGTGCAAGGGGCATTGCTTTGGGAAGCGCCAAGCACAGGACTGACAAGGTGCTTCTTTCTCACCTCCCCAAACAACCCTGCCCCCTCATCATCAGCTGACGATGGTGGGTGTGAAACCCTCTTGCGTCGGCCGCATGCACCTGTCTCCTCTTCTGCACAGCCAACTCAGAATTCACCCTCCCCCTTATGCCTATCAGGTGGCTGTGGTTTGGGGTAAATGGCCTTGATAATCAAACTGGACACACACACTCTCCACCCACTGTATGGTGGGCCCTGAGATTGAGATGATGATGATGATGATGATGATGATGATAAAATTATTTAGAACCCGCCCTCCCCAGCCGAAGCCGGGCTCAGAGCGGCTAACAACAGTAAAATAATACAGCATTCTAAAATCAATTCATTATAAAATCATTTCAAATCAAATTGATGGCAACCATTGGGCTAGAGTTCTGTGAAGAAATTACCAAAGGAGGGGGGTCAGGCTGTGCCCTGACCAAAGGCTTGGTGGAACAGCTCTGTCTTGCAGGCCCTGCAGAAAGATGTCAAGTCCCACAGGGCCCTAGTCTCTTGTGACAGAGCATTCCACCATATCAGTGGACAAGTCTTGCCGAAGCAGAGCCAGCATGGCTTCTGAAAGTCCTGCCTCACTAACCTCTTGATGTTCTTTGAGAGGGTCTACAAGGACATAGGCAGAGGTGACCCAGCTTCCCCAGAGCAACGCTATGCCGGGGCACGGTAGGAATTAAGAGAGCGCCTAGGCTCAGCTGTCTGGTGATGCTGCCACACTCACCACCAGATAAGTCCACTAGAGGACCACCAATTGATAATGGAGGCCCACCAGGTCCATTGAGGACCAACTCCATATCAGCAGTGGCATCGCAAGGGGGGGCGGTCCACCCTGGCTGCCATGTCTGGGGGGGGGGTTTGACAAGACGGCACCCTGTGGGATGCTCACCCCACCCAACCCCGGGCGCAGCGGTGGAAGCAGCCATCGCCCCACCACAGCTGCATGTGGAGGATCTTCCGTTCGCGGCTTCAGCTGTGAGCAGAGGATCCTGCCACTGCCCGTATGGTGCTCAAGCAGTGCCAGTGGCAAACCGCTATGTACAACACATGCGCAGTGTCGCATGCATGTGCTGTACATAGCAACACCGGACATGCGCTGTACATAGCGGTTTGCCGGCGGCGGTGCTCAAGCACCATACGGACGGCAGTGGGATCCCTCCTCCGCCACAGCAGCTGCGAGCAGAGGATCCTGACACCGTCCATACGGCACTTGAGTGGCGCCAGCAGCAAACTGCTACGTACAATGCATGTGCGGTGTTGCACGCATGCACTGTACGTAGCACCGCGCACATGCGCCCTACGTAGCGACGCCACACATGCATCGTACGTAGCGGTGCAACACATGTGCAGCCGGCGGTTTGCCCCGCCCTGGGTGTCGGTTAGCCTTTGTTCGCCCCTGCATATCGGGGAAGAGGGGAGAAAGACAACTCACGTTTGTGGAATGCTCTCTTCACTTCATCCTTTTTATTCGACCGTCAGTCAGAAAAAAGTACATTTTGTCAATACACAGTTAAAAATATCCAAGAAAATTTTAAAATTTTTTAGCCAACACTAAAATGGGCTAAACAGATAGCCCCATATCAATACAGTCAATTATAGTCTTACGACGCTTAAAAGCTAAAAAGAGAAATTTGGCCACCAAGGAAGGTATAGCTCTAGTGGCGTTGTTCAGCAAGTGTAAAACCTGGTTTTCTCCGGGTAGGAAGCTGAATTGACATAAGAGTGGGTCTATAAAATTTTGTCTAAGCTCTGCATAAGAAAGGCAAGTCAAGAGAATGTGTTCGGTGGACTCAATCACACCCATGGCACAATGACAGGTTCTCTGGGCGTATGGTACTCCCCTGTACCTTCCCCACAATATCGCAGAGTCAAGGACATTTAATCTAGCCACTGTAAGAAGTCTGCGGTATTCCACATAGTGGATTTCTGCAAGGTAGGGGGCTGGTATGGTCCGATAAATCTGGTCCCCTAGGAACATCCCTGGTTTTACCTGGGCTATGTCCTCTTGTCTGGCAATGTCACTCAGTCTCCGGGAGATCACAGCTCTAGCTTGATTGTACGTCATAGACTCAAAGTAAAGGAGAGACAATCCGCAGGATTGAACCTCATTAATGACCTTCCTTTCCCACGATGATTGGAAATCGTCCCTCAATATCAAGGGGGCAATACCCACTGGTTTAAAACAAAGCTTGAGCCATAGCCAGAGCTCTCCCCAGGAAGGTTCACCTGGTGCCTTCATTATACACCTTTAGGCGCCGGGTGAAAACATTCCTCTTTAACGAGACCTTTGGCTGATTGACATACGATGCCCTTTCAAAATGTGTTGTGGAAGCAGGGGTTATTGGGTTGTCTTTGTTTTGTATTTTCTGTTTTTCATATTGTGGTTTTATGCTGTGAACCGTTCTGAGACCTTCGGGCATAGGGCAGGATACAAATTATAATAACAAGTACTACTACTTCTGGCTGGCTTAAGAGACTGTGAGTTACAGACTCCCTCTCTCTCTCCTGCCCCCAGCCATCACCTTAATTCCAGAATTTCTTTCTTAGCCCAAAATACTATCTTGTTGTGTTTTCAGGAAACGAACCCTGGTATTGGGCAATGATTCCGGGTACTTCAATCCAGTGTGAGTGCCTGACCTGTGAATGTGACCAAAAGTTTGTGCAGTGCCTGAAAAAGAACTTAAAGACGTACCAGAAGATGTACACCTATTTTCCCAACTTTTTGTGCTTTGGCCACCCTCCTCTGTGTCCTGTTGAGCCAAGAATGAGGTGGAGTAGGGAGACAGTAGGGGGAGGGAGTTTGCATGGGATACAAAATTCAGTTCCAGCAGACAGAAATACAGCTGCAACATCGAAAAGCTCCCTTCTTTCACCTTTGCAACGCTTTTCTCCAGCCAAAAAAACCATATACGAGTTCTGCTCGCCACTTTCCTGCATGAAGCGAAAATGTTTCTCTTCAACCAGGCCTTGGGCTGATTAATATTCTACAGCCTTTTGAATGTGTCTGTGGCAAGGGCGGGGTTGTTGTTTTCCCATTTTGTTTTACTTATTTAGCTGTTTTTATCCTGTATTTTATTCTGTGAACTGCACTGAGATCTTATGATGAAGGGTGGTATATAAATCTAATAAATTAATACAAATAAGTTTGTGGTCTTTTTCCCCCTGAAAATGAAAGTAAAGTCATGAAAATTCATCTCCACTTTTAGAGCATCTTTCCCTCAATATACACATTTTTGAAGGCAATTTTCTCTGATAGAAGGCATGTTCTTTTCACTAATATCAGCTTATTTCGTCGGGTCTGTCACCTGGGGGCAGCCATTTCATCTGGCGGCCTCAGTGGGAGATAGGGGAATCAGAAGGCTCGTTCCATCAATTTTGCCAAAAGCCCAGCTCTATAAGGCCCCTCCCGCCCCCTGTTAAACCTCAAAAATATCCTGCTGTGCTTGTGCTCCACGTCTGCATTGATGCTTTCTTTCCTGGTATCTTCTCCCTCTCTTCTCTTCCTTGTTTTCCTTCTGTATCCCCCCCCCTCCTGTTTTCTTATCATTTTAAAGTATCAATAACAATTATATGGGGCGGCGGGACCCAAATGCTGTACATAAAATAAATAAAAGTAATATTAGCATTGTTCGGCACACTTTCCTCTTATATACAAAAGATGGTCTTCTCCTCCGCTGGCCTGTTAAGGACATTCAGAGCAACCCATGAAACGTGGTTAACTTCTGCCACAGCCAGTGAGTTCAGCTTGGCGCCTCCCTCAGCTTGGTGCCCCAGCTGGCTGCTGGCAATGCCAAGGTAGACTTTTTCACCAGTGCCACCAGCCAGGGCAGGCCTTAGAGGTGTGTCAGCTGAGGCACCAAACTCAGAAAGGAAGGAAGCACCAAGATGAGTTCAGTGGCTGGGGGTTATTGTTTTTTTATGTACTGTCGGCAGTGAGCTAGGGGGACAAGATGAAAGTGCTTGCACTGAGCTGAGGAGTTCAAGATGAATGCTGGGGCATGAAAGGGTCTGAAGAAGAGGACCAGGTGGTGGCTTCATCGCAGGTGGAGAGGTGAAAATAGGTGCTTAGTGGTGGCAGGGGTAGGAAGATGCAGGAGGTTATCAAGGAGGGGGGTTCTGTGGAAGCAGGGGTTGCACCAAAGGAGGGGAGAGGAGGGGGCATATGTTATCTACTGAGTTGAATAGGATCCAAAATGCAGCAGTCTGATTGGTCCTAAAACAATGGGATTCATAATGCAGCGGTCTGATTGGTCCTAGAACAATAGGATTCAGAATGCAGCAGTCTGATTGGTCCGCAGGAGCCATCCAATCCAACTCCAGGTGGAAGTGAATCTGCAACCTGATTGGCCTACAGGAGAATCCCAGAATTAGCCAATCACATGGGGTCCATTGTGTAAATAATGTATATAAAGCAGACATTTTGGGGGAACTGGCATTCCTCACTACTATGAGCTGAAGAAAGAGCATGAAATCCACACTCGACTCCGAGTATATTTCAGCATGGATGTGGGGGTGCAGGTGGAAACAGGGGTACAAAGGGGAAGAAGTGGGTGTGGCAATGGGGCTGGGAAGGTGAAAAGCAATCTGAGTATTTCCAAGGGGGTGGAAAGGGTTAGGGAGTTAATGTTAACTTCCAAGCATGGGGTGGGGGTGGGGAAGGGTTTGGTGAGTGGGGCAAACGGGGACAGCCCCTAGTCCATTTGCTTCTAGAGCCCAACCTCATCTGAACCAGAATGGCAAAACCATCCGAGCAGGCTAATTCCGGGAGTCCCACGGCAGGGCAAGCTAGCTTGTTTTTTGTTTCCGCTTTCCATATTCCTCCTATTAAGCTCCAGCACCAACATTTCCTGCACAACTTGGTGAGAAGATCCTTCTAATAATAATACAAATGTCCACACCCTCCTGGAGAAAGTGACCACTCGGGTTGCGAAAGAAGGATGGCAGCTACCAGTGGTGACCTTTGCTATTTTTCATCATTCTTCTAGAATGAAACCAGGCAGGCCCAGAGGCAAGATCTGTTGTCTTACTAGCTGGGGAATGAACTGGCTAGAGAGGTTTAGGCATGTTAGTCCAGTCAAGGAGCAACTTCCTTTCTCACCTGGTTACTAGATATGGGGAAATGGGATTTTCCCCTCACTAACAGTTAAAACTCGCCAACGGACTATAAATTCCAGTTGTCACATTTCTGAGGAGAGAAGGACAACCAAATCACAAGGAAGAAAGGGAGCCAGGTATGATATCGACCCCCAAGAAGTTTTACGAGGAGTCTAAGCAAAGTAAGTACCACTGCCGTTGGTTTTGCTTAACGAATTGTTTCTGCTCTTAATGGCTACCGGCCATGATGGCTCTATTCTGGCTCCACTGACAAAGGCAGCAGTGCTTCTGAATTTCAGTTTCTGGAAAACGCACGTGTGGATCCAGCCACATCGTTGCTGGGATTTTTCACCCCTGGAAAGAATGGCACCTTCTCCACAAAAGGAATTGGCGTTCTCTCATGTAAACCCCCAGTTTTTCATTCATCGGATGAAGACAAAAAGATCTGTCAAAGTTCAATTCTTATTTCCCCGCCCCCCTTCTTAAATTCACTTCTCTACATTTCTGCTTTGTTTTTAAAAAGTCTTCCTGAAAACTCATCAGCATTATTTGTATGCCCTTCTGACTAACTTTTTTTGCAGGCAATTTCCCCTGATTGTTTGTTTGCTGACGTTTCAAATCAAGTGCTGACAAAACAGATAATGTAATTCAACGGCAACATAAATATTCATTTGAGCTAAAACAAAAAAAAATTCTTCTGCGGGTGGCAACGGGGAACAAAACCAAAGTGGGTTTCGTTGGAGAGGAGTAACACCACAATTGTGACTTCCCTGGCAAGTCTGTCAGGTGCCCCTTCTCCCTCAGAGCTCCTCCAATGGGCACCACCCCTCTACCTTTCGCTCCCCTCTTTCTTGGCACCAGGAGGCAAAGCCCCCCACCCTATGCCTCTTCTTATTCCCCAACACTGCTTGACCCTTCTCCATACCTCTGTCCACCCCCCATCCCCGCTTCTCAATTCTGTCGCCACCACCCCAGCCTCTCTGGGCCTCGGCCAGACTTGCCACCCAATCTCTGACCTTCTGTTTCCAGGCCTAATCAGGCCCCTCTTTCTTGGGCCAATCTGCTCTTTTAGACAAATAATGTTGCTGTGCTGTCCTTGTATCATTGTCCGAGACAGAAATCCATGCCACAGGTGATTGTGAGGCCAAGGAGCGTGGGGAGGAGAGGACATGCTGATATTTTTGCTAAAAAGCCAGACTCACATAGGACCAGAATTTGATCCGGCCAGCTTCTTAGTTGCAGACCTGTCCTTTAAGAAGGAATGGGCCAAATCTCAAGGGTTGACTGCTAGCCTTCCAACCCCACTTCCCCTTCAAACCAATACAACCCTTGGCATTTTGCTGTGTTTAGGATGAACTGTTTGTGTTGTTGAGCCATCTTTGGGGGGGGGTGGCTGATATCGAAAGGTGGAATACGGATCCTCTAAACAAATTGAAAAACTGTACCACCTCTCTTTTAGGTCTTTATCAACGGAAGATGAAGATCTTATGGGGATCAATGGTGTTGCTGGTTTGCAGTAAGTGGAATCATTGAATAGGGTGGGAAAGGGACCCAAGGGTCATCTAGTCCAACCCCCTGAAATGCAGGTATCAAAAAGTAACAGGGAGAGGAGAGATTAAATTATGTTGTGCTAACAAAAGGAAGGGGGCATACTTTTTTTTTTAAGTGTACCCCCCATCAAACTTGACAAAGCCTACTTCTGAGGAGACCTTCATAATTTTGGGGAATTCGAATCTGAGCAACCGAAGTCAAAATTGAAGTAGGTTGGTCTTCTTGATAAATGAATCCAGAACGCATTTGCTTCTCCAGCCATCATCAGCTGTGGCTTCACCTACTCCCACCCCCTTGTGGCTCCCAGCAGATTACCTCTGAGAGGATACAGCCCCCAATGGCGGGGAGGGGGAGGTTGCCCACTTCTGACATGTATCAAATCCCATAATGTATTAAAAATGCTACTTCTTCACACAAGGTATAATTCATTTATGGATACCACCACCACAAGATGTAGTGATAACAGCTAGCACAGACCAATTTATTAATGAAGAGAGGTGGATCAATATTTGCTAGAGAGTATTTGCCCCATTTTCAGGAGCACTGTACCACCGAAAACCGTTTGCTAGAAGGGAGAGGTGGAGAAGCGCAACAGCTAGGACAGATCCTTTTCCCTAATAAGCCAAGCACCTGATGCCTTGTCCGTTTCTTTGCAGGTGTTTTGGCAGTAAATGGGAACCTCTTTCAGTTCGGAAGAATGATCCAAAAGCTCACTGGGAAAACGTCTTTCCCCCACTACACCACGTACGGGTGTTACTGCGGGGTGGGTGGCCAAGGCAAACCGCGAGACGACACCGACCGGTAAATCAATGGCTTGTGGGTTGTTGTTTTTTTACATAACTGATCACCTCGCTATTAAAGAAGCGCTGTGCTGGAAAGGATTTGTTGGTGTGGGGTCACTTGTTCTAGCCAGTTGGGGGGGTTATTGAGTTGGTTCGCCACACTGGGGCTTTCATTTCATTGATTTGCTTTTTTATAAGGATATCCCACTGGGTTATCCTCAGAAATATCCCCCCCACACACACACACACACCGGATAGGCAGAAGGTTCTGAAATGGGAAGTTTTGAAACAAGAAGTCAAAAGGTAGCCCGTGACGACATTCACACCATACATGTAAAGCTCTATGAGACCACTTTAAAAGTCATGTTATCTGCAAAGAATTCTGGGAACTGTCGTTTGTCGCTGAGAGTTGTTAGGAGACACCCCTATTCCCCTGGCAAAGCTACAGTTCCCAGCTTTCTCTGGGGAGAGGAAATTATTTTTAAACTACTCTGAGAATTGTAGTTCTGGGAAGGGAATAACTCTCAGTACCCTTAGCTCCCACCTACCGCTCCCAGAATTCTTTATAGCTCCCTTGGGCAGGTGAACAGCATAGATTTGTCTAAAGGAGATTTCTCTTCCTTCTCCACAGCTGCTGCTTGGCCCACGATTGCTGCTACGAAAAGCTGAAGGACTGTAACACCAACACTGACATATACAACTATTCCATCGACGATGGAGTTATTACTTGTGGTAAGTAGCGACAGGAGGAAAATTGGGTTGCATCCTTTCCTTTTTGGAGGACAGACAATTCATACATACCATGAACTAAAGGCTATTGTGGGCCTGCCGACTTCACTAACAAAGAGGCAGGGGATCCATCGAAATTTGCACTCCTCCGACAGATGGCCGTCCTACCTCTGTTTAAAATGAATCATAGTAACAGTAGAGTTGGAAGGGAACCCAGAGGTCCTCTAGTTCAACCCCCTGCAAAGCATGACTCACAGCTAAAGAATCCCTGAGAGATGGCCATCCAACCTCTGCCTGGATAGGAGTCCACCACCTTCCAAGGGTGTCCGTTCTCCACTGTCAAACAGTAAGGTTTTGCATCCCAAATTCAACCCCTGGCATCTCCTAGTACAGCTGAGAGAGACTCCTGCTGGACATGCCACTGGGGACCTTCTGCATGCAAAGCAACTGCCCTACCACTGAGCTTTGGCCCTTCTCCACGTTCCTTGTTGGTAGCTGCCTAAACCACATCGCCACAGAATCACCAACTTAGTTGATCGCATTTTTAGCCTCCACTTCCTCTGAGCAGCTCCCTGCCATCTTCCTACCAACCCTATAAGGTTGATTACGCAGAGAGAGCGGTTACTCTGCAGGAAAGGGGCATGGCTCAGCTACAGAGCCCCTGCCTTGCACGCAGAAGGTCCCAGCTGGCCTCTCAAGGTAGGGCTCAGAGAGACTCTTGCCTGCACTTCCGGACAGCTGCTGCCAGCCAGTGTAGACAATACCCTGCTAAATGGACAAGTGGCCTGACTCAGTGTAAGGTAGCTTGCTATGTTCCTACGCATTAAGGAGGAGGCGTGGCTCTGTGGCAGGGCACAAGGTCCCAGGTTCAATCCCGGGCTGGAAAAGACTCCCTGTTCAAAGCCCTGGAATGCTGCTGCCAGTCAGTGTAGACAGCATTAAGCTAGGTGGGTAAATTGTTTGGCTCTGTTTGCAGGAAGGGCAGGATGATGACATGACAGGCTCCATCTGTTCTCTCAACAGGTGAAGGAAGCAGCTGTGAAAAGCAGATCTGTGAATGTGACAAAACAGCAGCCCTCTGCCTGAAGGACCACCTGGACACTTACAATAAGGAGTATCGCTTTTACTCCGACAAGAACTGCCAGGAAGGGCCGATGAAGTGCTGAGCTCAGCCCCTGCAGGCCCAAAGCTGCATTGCAACTCCTCTTCAAAAATAAAAAAGAAGCTTGTAGTCATCGTGTGACGTTGTCCTTTCGTTGGGAGTTTGGGGAGCAACTCAGCTTGATTTACGGAGCCCAGTTAGCTGAGGGAGGATTCTGTCTCCTTCTGAGGGTCGCACAGCAACCACTCTCATCCCCATCTCTCAGCTCATGGCGACCCCGACCCCAATGACAGCTTTCTTCTTTGCGTTCGGTCACAAGCGACCCTATCAATAGACTCCATTGTGCAGAAACTAGTTTCGAACAGGTCCGCCAGGAAATGTGAGCTCCTATCATACCGCTTTGTGCCTCTTGACTGATCAGGACATCCGGAAAGCAAGACAATACATCAATCCTGAGCTAAAAGGGCGTGTGAGCCTTTAGTGAAAAGCTGTAATTGAGCGGTGGAGCATCTGCTTTGCATGCAGAAGGTCTCTGGTGCAATTCCCAGAGGCATCTCCAAGTAGGACTGGAAGAGAAAACCTGCAGAGTCACTGCCAGTCTGTGCAGACAATAATGAGCTAGAGGGAACAATGGTCTGAGCTGGCAGAAGGCAGTTTCCTGTGACCCTGTGTAACTGGGATCCTGATGCTCAACAGCTCCTTCCGTATTCCTGTGGGATGTGTTGGGTTGAGGACTAAGCTGGGTGGACCAATGGTCTGGCTTTGGAAAAGGTCACAAAATGGCCACTGTGGGATGTGTGGCATTCCCTCCAACATTACTCCAATAAAAAATAGGAATGTCCTATTCCATCATCATCATCATCATCATCATCATCATATTTATACCTGCCCATCTGACTGGGTTGCCTCAGCCCACTCTGGTGGCTTCCAACATATATAAAAACATGATTAAACATTAAAAAACCTTCCCTATACAGGGCTGCCTTCAGGTGTTTTCTAAGGTTGTATAGTTACTTGTCTCCTTGGGCATAACTCCAGAGCCTCCAACATTTCTCCAATGAAAATAGGGATGTCCGAAGGAAAAGAGGGACATTCTGGGATCAAATAAAAAACCAGGACCCCTTCTGTAAATCTGGGACTGTCCCTCGAAAATAGGGGCACTTGGAGGGTCTGGCAAAGGGCTGCCACATCTAAAAAGGGACAAGACCAAAAAATAGGGCGTGCAAAATGGGGAGCAGGGCCTACACATCAGCTCCTAACTGACAGAGAGAAACGCTTTGCCCCTCTTCCCTGTTCACAATGGAGTGTCCCTATCCTGGCATCTGCTGAAACGTGGGCATGTTTAATAGGCCATGTTCAAAGCTGGAGACGCTAAGTCAATGCAAAGAGGAACTGAGCAGGAAGAGCAAACAGCCTCTTGCACACTGTGGAGGTTTGAGGGGCTATTTATGGAGACCTTTTGTGGGAGCAGCAAGAGGTCCTGGCTGGCACACACGCACCTGCAGCTGCCAGGTTGGCAACCCCCAGATCTTCTCATTAGGCTTCGCTGATCATAGCATGAGGGGTGGAATGAGGCAGCAACAGGAGTGAAAGCTTGTCTCAAGAGAAGCGTCCTCAAGTGCAGGAAGACTGCAGAGAGGAAGGCAATAGCTCACCTTGCCCTGCATTCTGCAGATTCTTTTGGCGCAGTGTTTTACCAGCCCTTTGCACAGGACAGCAGAATCTTGATGCAACCTTCGTAACACTGTGCAATTGCACCAAGGTTCCTTTTTGGCAGTGTTATGCATCAGTTACACACACTGAATACAGGTCTGGCCCTACCATTAGGCAGAAGGCAGTGGTGAACTCCAGTGACAGGGAGCGGCAGTGAAGCCTGTGGGCTGCCTTGCAGAAGCAGAAAAAAACACTATCCCATCACCAGTGTTTAAGTAAGATACCTGTCCAGCCAGGTTCTTTACACATAATTCTTTTTTAAAAAACATTCAGTTTTACACTATACATTTGAATTCAAACAATAATAGTAAACATCAACATATAGGATTCCCTGAATCCTTAGACTTCCCTCCATGGTTTCCATAATCAGACTTTATCTACTGCATCATATAATTTCTCCATATTTTTTTTTGCAAAAAAACAACAACAATTTTTACCTTAGTTTTTAATACATTACAAGTGTTACTAAAATCCTGCCAAAGTTTTTTATTGTTTGCAGTGTTTTCTTAGGTAACTTGCAAATTTTTCCCATTCCTTATTAAAGTTGACCAGGAAAATCAGAAACCAGGAAGATAGAATCTTTACACATAATTCTTTACACATAATTCATGTCAGGCACCAAATGGCAGATTCAGAGAGGAGAAGGGAGGTCAGTGTCTTAAAAATGCACCAGCGGAGCCAGTTCCTGCACTCCTTGCTAGTGTGTTTGCAGTGCACTGTCCTCCTCACCGCCTCAGCCCTCCTCCTCCTCCTCCTGTTAAGAAGCAGTGACAAACCCGGTGGGAATCTAGCCTAGAGCCTCTGCTGCATCCAGTGAGCTGAACCTGGTCTTAGGTAGGCTGCAACGGAATGATCAGGAACACTTCCCAACCCGTGTTGAAGTGTGTGAGTACACCCCGGTAGGCCCCAGTGAGGATCTGAAGACTCTCAGCTGGGTCCTCCAAGATCTCCTTCTTGGGGGAGGACCACGCCACCTCAAAAAGGGGCTTCTCACCATCTCTCACCACTGTAGCTGTGACAAGTGTCCCTGGAATTTGGGGACTAGTTTGGCTCTATGGATGGGCAAGTCCCAGAAACGCCTTCATGTACTCAAGGGCCCTTAGTGAGAAGTGTCAATATTGATATATCCTTTCCTAAGGCTATGGAGTGAACTGGCACAGAACAATAGCCTGAGTGTATGTGTGTGAGAGAGTGCATGTGTGTATATATGGTATACTGTAGCTTGCAACTTCCTGACTTCTTCTGTCCTATTCTAAGGAACATTCATTTCATTCTACTGATTTGGACAAACCGTGCAAAGATGGGGTGTTCGTTTGGGGTCCTTCTGCTTCTCCTGTGTGGTAAGTGCATGTTTAAGACAGTTGCATGTCTAAAGGATGCCAAATCTAAATTTTCTAATACCTCAGTACAGAAGAAGAATTTCGTTGGTCTGTTTTAACATTTTAGCAACCAAGATTCACGCATGTTCTTTTCTTTTCTTTTTAAAATTATTTTTATTAAGATTTTACAACAAGTTTTAGCATAATCAAAAATTCAAATTACATTTTCAGTTAACACCCACCCCCTAACTTTCCCCAGCTTCCCTTTCTGGTTTATAGCATATTTACTTCTTCTGCTTATAATTTTATATGCCTTATGTACTAAAATTAAAGTTGTACCTCATCAATCTGTTCTTAACATTTTAACTTCATTTTTCTATTTTCTATTTCTATTTGTCCATTGTAAGTGTATTATTTGAATCCTGCAAGTGAGTTCATTTCAATGCATTGTTTCTGTGTATACATCATAATAGGTTCCCAATCTTTTTTGAAGTCATTGTTGTCCTTATCTTTGAGTCTCTCAGTTAGCTTCGTCATTTCAGTGTATTCCATCAACTTTTCTTGCCATTGCTCTTTCACATATGTTATTTTCAAGGATAGACACTATACTTGTAATGACATGAACTGTTCTCATGTACACTATTATTCTGTAGATTTTAGCAAGTGGTTAGACTGTAGACCAGCATTCCTGAAACTGTAGGGCTTCTCTGCATTATAGGAGGAACACATGAACCTAAAAGGAACCAGGGAGGGGTGATGAAAGAAAAGTTAGGGGAAGAAAATGCAAATTAAATGTATGGGGGTCAGGGAGAGGAATTGACAGAAGATCAGTAAAAAGAATTTTCAGGGTGGCAAACCTGAAATGAAAAATCCTTCTAAAACCAGATCACCCAATTCTGCCTGAAGTGGTGAAGGCAAATGAAAATAGTTCCAGAGCTAATGTCTTGTGCTTAGTCTGATGAAAGCTGAACTATGGAACTCCCTGCCTCAAGGAAATCACTGTGGTGTAGGTGATGTGTGATTTTTGAGCTTGTGTGTATGCTATTTCCAAAAGAGGGTTTAGATAGGGATGTTGCTCATTGCCAGCTGATGAGCAAAAAACATCACCCCCACACCCTTTCAGTGCCATTTTGTGACTGGCAAGCCCTTGTCATTTTAAGCTCCTTTAGGTGGGCCAGAAATTCTGCAAAGCTCTGCTTTCAATCCATGCAAAGTTCAGGCTGAGCAGTGCAACAAAACAGGAGCACTGGGATTTCCCTTCCCTATGAGGAAAGGTTGCAGCGCTTGGGACGTCTTAGTTCAGAGACAAAGCGAGTGGTACATGACATGATAGAAGCATGTACAATTTTGCATGGCAAGGGGAAAGCGGATAGAGAAAAGTTTTCCTCCTTCTCTCCTAACACCAGAATGGTGAAGCTGAAAGTTGGAGGATTTGGGACAGATAAAAGAAAGTTCTTCATGCAGCGCAGTGTTAAACCACAGAACTCCTTCCAACAGGAAGCAGTCTTGGCCACCAGCTTGGATGTCAGTTTCCCATTGGGGCATCTGCCTGGCCACTGTGAGGACAGGATGCTGGTTAGTGGACCCCCTTTGGCCTGATTTGGCTAAAGGTTCTTCTTAGGTTCTCAGGCAGGCTTCTTGCTTCCAGCTCTCTCCTTAGGAAGCAGCAACCTGATCCAGTTTGCGGATATGGTCCGTCAGCTGACGGGAAGGCTGCCCTCTCTCTTTTACAATGGGTACGGATGTTACTGTGGACTTGGAGGATCCAGAAAGCCCATGGATGAAACTGACTGGTGAGCGGGACTCTCGCTGAGAACAAGGGGTGAGGCAGAAATGGGATTCCGTTCTTTGCATTTAAAGGCAAACCTACCTAATTTGCACTCCCTGAAATGAAACACAAACGGAAATGCAGCCATTTTGAAATTTGCACTTTGATCAAATTTGCAGTGCCGTCCTTCATACTAGTAATGCATTCAAATATGCATGGGGGGAGTATACCAAATAGCATACCAAAATGCATCATTTGTGGGGAAATTGAAGCACTTGCCGCCAACTCATGCTTTGGGGATGCTGATGAGGACTCTTAAGTTTTCTTCTTGTTTGGCAATCACTCATAACTAAGTAAGATTGTCTTAACAGTGAGTTAAGTGACTGTGGAGGCCAATTCTGGATCCACACATCCTTCCACAGTGGGGACATAGGTTTCTGGGCTAGAGTTGATCATGGTGAGGGATTGCCAAGTGTGCCTTCCTCGTTGCTCGTTTCTCCCTTTTGTCCTGAGTTCGAGCATCTTCAAAGTCCATGACACCTTTGGTAAAGGCTGTTCTCCAATTGGAGTGCCCACAGACCAGTGTTTCCCAATTGTTGGAGCAGGTGGTGCTGTGGGCTAAACCACTAAGCCTCTTGGGCTTGTTGATCGGTAGTTTGGGGGTTCGAATCCCCACGATGGGGTGAGCTCCCGTTGCTCTGCCCTAGCTTCTGCCAACCTAGCAGTTCAAAAACACACCCGTGCAAGTAGATAAATAGGTACTGCTGCTGCGTTTTGGTGTGCTCTGGCTTCTGTCACGGTCCTCCGTGCTCCAGTAGTGGTTTAGTCATGCTGGCCACATGACCCAGAAAGCTGTCTATGGACAAACGCCGGCTCCCTTGTCCTGAAAAGCGAGATGAGCGCCACACCTGCCACATCCTCTGTGAAAATCAGTCTGGATTATGGGGGCATCATCCAGACTGATCCCACCCCCCAAAAAACCCTCTACAGTGTGAATAATAATGTACCTAATCTCTCTGTCTTAATTGTCTTCCTTCTTACTTGAAGTAATCGATTTGATCTGTGCTGCTTCCAGGTGCTGCCATACCCACGATTGTTGCTATGGAAAGATGGAAAAACTGGGTTGCAAACCCAAACTAGAGCTTTATACCTACTTTGTCGGGAAGAGCAGAATCGTGTGTGGTATGTGTGAACATGGAGTATGTTTGGGGTGGCTGCAGATACTTGGATGAGAGCTAGAGATGGGTGAGAAAACCAATTCACTCCTGGGCTTCTCTGCCGGCTGTTAGAAGCTGACTGCCAAGCTGAAAAGGGTTCCCCACCTCCCTGCTTCAAGGAAAGGTGTGGCAAAGAATTAGGAAGTTAACTAAATAAGGTAACTAAAGCAAGCAAACAAAAAGCAAACATGCAGGCACAAAGTCAACAAGGATGTGGGGGCTTTTCAGTGTATGGGCAGAAGTCATGGGTATGTCTAAAGTGCAGTTGTCACAGACTGGTTGGATGCAGAGGAATGTTTGGAGGTACCAGCTGGGGAACCCCCAGGGGAAGAAAGCTCAGAGCCAGGGGATTGGTGGTGGGACAATGATGAGTTGTCAGAGGGAGATGACTGGGAAGAGGAAGTGTCAAAAACTGAAGAGGTAACGGGGCTTAGTGAGCAGGGGGAGTCTGCGGCAGAGAGCAGTCCAGAATCAGAGCTAAAAGCTGCAGCAGGAGAAGGGGATGAGGGAGGCCAATAGGCAGAGAGGAGTCAGGCTGGTGAAGAAGCACGGGTGTTTCCTCCTGCTGCTGTGACAAGTTCCTCTCCTCTCTGGTCTTCCAGAACCAGGAGAGGCACAAAGTGAGAGGAGCAAAGGCAGGCACACTGGCAGAGTCTCAGATTGCTTGGGGGAAAACCCTGGAGAGGAGGAGACTTAGGCAGCTGTGGATGGCAGGGACTTTCAGTCTCCACAACGGCCTCATAGGAGCAAGACCTGCTGCTGTGCTCATTAGGCCTGGCATCCCTGTGCAGATCCTGATTTTCTAATTAAAAGTTAACTTTTCTTGCTGTGTGTTATTTACTGCTGGCTCGCTCCTGACAGCAATGAGCTCTGGGAAAAGGTATGTTGAGGCCAAGGGGGCACAGTTGGAAATGGTAAGAGACGCAAAGAGACAAGTGGATAAGTCCCACTCCTGGGATGTGCAGATCTATCTCAACTTTTGGCTCTTTTGTCTTCCAGGTGGAAGGACAATGTGCCAGAAGATGACCTGCGAGTGTGATAAAGTAGCCAGCTTCTGTTTCCAAAAAGCCGCCTATCACATCAAATATGCCTTTTACCTAAACATTCTATGTAGAGGCTCCACGCCTCCTTGCTAGGATCCCGGAAAGTCTGCTTTCTCAACTGCCTTCCTGAAGGTGGTGCAGTTAAACATATCCTCTTGCTGAATGTTTATTTCATCCCATCATTTCTTAGAGTCAACCTTGCAGCGCCATTGTCATCACCTGACACACTTGAGATGCCGTGGGGGCCTCAACAACTGGGCAGGCTGCACCACTCCTACCTCTCCTGGGCCTCCAGTACCTGGCAACTTGGTCTGGGAGACGCTTGCCATTTTTATTTCCCACAATGCCCTTAGTGTCGTGTCACTCCAGGGCATTGTTGGAAATTTCAAGGACGGCTTCTCCACCTCAAGTGAGGCCCCCTCAGACTTGGAATTGACTCTACCACCTGATCTGGCCTCAGCCCCAAACTCGTTTTTCAAGTGACTTAATGATGAATTGTTTGTTCTTATAAATGCTTGTAAGCCACCCTGAGATCTATAGTGGATGATGGGCAGTTGAGAAGCTGCAGACATGAGTAAATAAAAACAAATAACATGGAATTCATTGTCTCCTCCATAATTTCCCAAACCGGAACAGAGTATTTGGGCGGTGAACAAAGCTGCAATGGAATCTCAGCTCGTCTGACACATACAGAAGAATGTTTGTAGGACTGAGCTACACTACTTTGAACTGCAGTTGGGAGGTACCTTTTTGAATGCTTCCCCTGCATTTAAGAAAAAGAAAATAGCAAGAAGAGAAGAGGTTCAGCACAATGAAGAGCAAGGTAGGGCTTTAGGGCTACTAACCACAATGACTATACTGTACTCTGCCTCCACAGATGAAGGCAGTTTTACCACTGAGAGTTTGTCACATGTAACCAGTGAAGGCATGGACAGTAACCAAGCAGTTCCCAGGAGAACCAAAAAGTATCCAACTAGAGACTCCAGTGCAAGCAGATGAAGAGCAGGCACTACTGACAAGCGGAGTCTAATCTGTGATCCCAAAGTGGGCATTAAGTAGCATGAATACTCGTGGGATTTGCTGCCCTGCCTCAAAGGCTGAGCAAATGTCAAGACCAAATATTTATCAAGCCCAAACAGGTTAAATAAGGGATCTGCCTTCAGGAGGAAAGATATGTGCCAAACACTGTAGGCAGTGAATATTATTTCTAGAGCCCTGAAATGTTTGCTCCACTTGGCTGAGTTCATCAGATGTTTGCAGGCAAGGTTAGTTCAGGACAATGTTGATCTTGTCTTATGATTTTGTAAACAGATCCCAAATATACTCAAAAGAAGCTATGGTGTTTTGCTCATCCTTCAAATGGACATATCCTTTGCAAATTCTTGAATTTCAGTTGGCATTGGAATTTGATAAATCTCAAATTATAGTGCAAGGTGGGCTAAACTGCCTGATGTGTCCAGCACGTTTTTGCTTGGGGAACACAAAGGCCTTGCTGCCCGTTCTTCCAAGATATGGGTCAAACACTCTGCTATCTTCAGGATTACCCAGAGGCAAACCACTCCACTACATGTGGCAAGTGTGTGTGTGTGTGTGTGTGTGTCAGGGTGGTTTAGCGGCTAGAGTGCCAGACCAGGACTTGTTGACCAGGGTTCAAATCCTCACTTAGCCATGAAGCTCCCTGGATGACCTCAGGTCAGTCACACTGTCTTCACAGGAGTGTCATGGGAATAAAGTGAGTTTGTTTTTCTGCACCACATAAAACTCTGATTCTTATTCCTGCCTTTGATGCTTTAACTGCTTCTATTGCTGGTTTTTAGCGCTGCTTTCCCTTAGTTCAGATTTTATTTTTTTTGCCCCTTGAACCTTCCTGCAGAGGCAAGTGTTTCATGTGCCAATGGAAGTCGGGGCCAGGGGCAAAAGTGGGTGGGACTAGAGTGGGCATACAATTTGCGCATGCTGGGGAAAGCAGTGGCACGTGCAATCCTGAATGCCAGCGCAAGACCTGCTCTTGGGCTGTGGGCCACTGCCAGGAAGTACCACAGGCTTGTAAAAGGGAAACGTGGCTGTTTTAACTGGTTGATAGCCCCAACAAGGCCAACTTTATTTTGATAACCACAAAGATGCAGAACTTTTATCCCCTCCATTATCCACCAAACATATTTACAACCTCAAACCTGGATCTCTGCTATGGCTCTCTTTTCCAGAACGAAGAGGACTGTCATTACTTGATGTCACCGAGAGGAAAAGTTCTTGGGGTTGCTGAACAGCTGTCCAGATTGTTGGCACCATAGAACTAACTTTAAGGAGAACCTTCACCAAACTGTCTGTCAGCCTAGCCTGGTGAGAGGCATGATTGACAGCTCTGGCATCAGCTTCCGTTCTAAGGGCAGGGGCAACCATTACAGCAGTCTTGGCCAAATTGCTGCCCTCCAGGTGTATTGAACTAACAGCTCCCAAGTGGCCAAGGCTGCACTAGCAGCTTGCATCATGCCACTCCCGGTGGTCCTAAGCTTTCCCTCTGCCCTTTTTTAGTTGCATGGCATTTTTTAGTATGCGTTGGCTAAATCCACCCTTTGGCTTATAAGTATCAGAAGCACCAGAACCCTGTTTCCAAACCGCCATCAGGCAAGTGCTACATTTTCCAACTGTCGCAGCACTAGGATAAAAAAGTTGCTTCCATCCAAATTTCGCTTTCCTAATCAACCCATTTAGGCACACTAAACCCACTCTTTATGGCAACTGCAGAATATATATATTGAAATCACACAAACCCTGTTCCACTCCAGTCAGCCTAGGAACTGGCCAGAGATGACAAGGATTGGAATCCAAAAGCAGCTGGTGGGATTGCGGGCGGGGGGTAGCTTCCCCTTCCCTGCAATATCTGCTGAATTAGCCTTTTAAAAAACCCAACTATAATAGAACTCTTTAGGGAGGAAAATAGGGGTTTTTTTAGCGAACAAAATTAAGGAACAAGTGTCCCTTGGAAGTTTGCCAGTATAATTTCTTGGGTCTATAAATTTTAACATGATGAAGAAGTAATTCTTTGAGTACCAAGTGTCTTTGGATGAAGGCCATGACATTCACAAGGAAACAAAACTGCCAATGTTCAAGATGAAAGTACACTTTGGTTCAGCCTTGTTTGCATCACATACTAGTAAGCTGGCAAGGATGGGGCTTGTCCATTTCCTCCCCATTGTTGGTGAAGTGGCCACAGTTGAAATCCAACTTGGGTAGCGCTGCTCAACCACTTCATACTCTGATTTGCCCACCCCCACAGGAGGAGCCCATCTCCCTGCATAAGTGGGGCAGGACTAAGAATCCCACAAGGGCAGGCACAAGATGAGATCTGGCCCTTCCCCTACAAGTCTGTAATGGTGGACAGCTGCCCAACCAGTGGTGTGACACAATTGTGGCCTATTCCTGCTAGGGGTGCAAGTGAGTAATTGATCAAACAAACCCTGCCGCAGATAGGAAAAGTTTCTCTACACTATCAGCCTGTCTGTATAGAATTTGCTACTATGCACACAACCCACAACCCACCACACACACACCCAGACACAAGCCACCATCATTTCCGTAGGCTAAAGTGCACGATTGATCATTGTCTAGAATTTAACAATATTGCCATGGGGAGTAGGATTGGGAGGAGAAAGCAACAATCTAACAGGCTCAGTACCAACTTTGGTAGATAAGTTTTCACTTTGGGATGTAAGTCAGAAGCAGTTTTCTTTTTTCCCTGCTGACTTTGCCAAAAAGAAGGTGTGTTCCTGAGCAAAGAAACCCTTTAACCCTCCTGCAGGCGAGGGTCACTGAAAATAAGACAAATTGGGAAGTGGCCATGGAAGATTCGGGAGCAAATTCCATGAGCTCTGCAGTGAGAGGATCCATGATTGGGGATTCCACCCCTAAGGCCTCTGTTGTCCAGGCTCCAGCACAGGAACTGCTCAGCCATCCCACACCAGTGTTCTTGTGCACAACTGAAGAATTGTTTAACTGTCAGTTAAACAGCATAGCAGCCACCCCTGTTCACAAAGACAGACAGGGGCGAAGTGTTTGCTCTGAAGAGGGTACTTTTGGGGTGCAAAGTTCAGCGGCCAGAGTTTCACTTTCCCACGCACATCAGAAATGGGGAAACACCATTAAGTCAGATGTTGAGAGCCGCAATGGTCTTCACCAGGGTGACCTGCGACTCAGACTCCATGGCATTCTTATTATTGTCTGAGAGGTTGCTCTTGCTTCCTAGGACTTTCTGCCGGTGTCTGTCTTCCTGCCTTCGCTTTTTCTCCAGTCGCTGTTGCTTCTTCTCCTGCCTGTTGGACACCTGCCGGAGGGGAGAATTAGCAAAGCACTGAAGGAGGAGGAGGAGGAGGATTGTGATCTAGAGGGATCCCCTGGGTAGCAGAGTCTGGGGGTGCAAGTGTCAGAAGAAGGCAGGGACCAAGGCCTAAACAAAGGGGACACCAAGAAAGGGATGGACTTTGCCATTGTCCTGGATGAGCAGGAGGAGACAGTGGCAGCACAACAAGCAAATAACAAAATGACAGGAGCTGCTTCAATCATTCTGTGGGACTTAGGGCTGTGCAATAGCTTTGGCCAAATTCAGAACTGAATCAGGCCAATTTTTCCCCTGTTCAGATTGGATGGAAGAAGCAACAAATCGCTGCAGAGCAAATTAGGCTGTCCCAGATCAATTCACGGCAATTTGTGCTGATTGGTAGCTCAACACAGCACTCAGAAAGCCAGACAGTTTCCAAACTGCTGCAGTTATTAATTATAAAGCCATGTAAGAAGGACACCAGGGTTGGGAGCTGGAGGAAAGTTACAATGCTATGAACAGGTCCAGACCAGATCTTATCTGGATTCACAAATATGGACTACAAATCAGATCAGATCAGTGTGTCTAGGGTATGTGACAGTAGGAATTAAGGGAATGACTGATTTGGCAAGACTGCAGTTTTAAAGATCACCCTTCCCCAACCTAATGCCCTGCAGGCAGTTTTGAGTAGAATTCCCACCAGCTCTGGGGCTGATGGAGTCATGAACCTGGAGGACACAAGGTCGGGCAAGGCTGTTTTGGATGAAGCACATGCATTGAAGGGATTTCTTTTTAAGTGATACCACCACAAGCCTGAGTGGAGTGTCTGGACAAGGAGATGGATGGCAATGCTGGAAGGACAAGTCGGGAGAGAGCAGATCTCAGAATTTCTGCCTGGGACGTGACTCTGACATCATCCAGGCAGATTCCTCTGTGGAATCCCCCATTAAAAGTATCACTGCAAGGCGGGGGGGGGGGGAACCCCAGGGCTCCCACAAAACTCCCCCCTTCCCCTCCCCTTCAAGATACCTTTGGTGCCTGTTTTTTACTGGCTTGGTTTCCTTCCAGCGAGCTCATTTGGGGCTTGTTGTTTTCTATTTCCTGGCTCCCAAAAATCCTAGTGCCACTTCCATTCTCTTCCCACAGGGCTGGCCTGGGATGCAGTTTTGGTCGGTTTGTCTCCTGGGCTTCCTGGGCTTTCTCAGCATCTAGGAGAGAGACAGTGATTTGTCAGAGACCCATCCTGGGCCAAGGGGGTAGACTAGATTGCCCTTGGGGTCCCTCCCCATTCCACAATACTGATTCTAGAAGATGCAGTGGAATGGGCCATTATTGTGGAGTGGCAGAGGGGAGGAAAGGGTAGCAAGGGAGAACCAGCAAACAGAAGGCTTAAGCCAGCCTGTCTCCCATCCATCCATTCCTTCCTGCAAGTGGTTCCCCCCCATGGGTTTATTTCCTGGTCTTGTAGCTGCCTGGAACAGGGTATCTGTAAATGGGAAGTAGCAAGGAGGTGGGAGAGCTAAGTACACCCCGCCATCCCCAGCTGCCAGAGGAGGTTGTGGCAGACACCAGCTTGGGCAGCTCTAGACAAGTAGGACTATCAGTAGCTACTAGCCAGCATGGCTACGTTCTCCCTCCACTATCAGAGGCAGCATGTCTCTGAATAGCAGCCATTGCTGGAAACCACAAGAGGGGAGAGTGCTCCAGCTTGCCAGTTTCCCACAGTCATCTGGTTGGCCCCTGTGAGAACAGGATGGTGGACTAGACAGAGGTGGAATAAGAACAGTGTGACCAGTACTGCTACACTGGGGGATCAAGCCTAGGGGGCGCTGCAGGGTGTCGCAACTATGATGTAGTGAATTGAACAGAAAGGAAGATGAGAGGCAGGAGGCATGAAATTTTGGCCTCAACACATGGCACCACTGAAATTTGAAAGATTGAAGTCCACCCCCGGACTAGATGGACTCCCTTTGGCCTGATCCAGCACCCAGGCTCTTTTTAGGTCCTTATCCCTCCATATCTATTCCATCTCTGAAGTGGCAGGGCATGTTTGACAGGTGAGATTCATGCACCTGCCTCATAATTCTCCCTTAGTTAACCTATCAGGAAGATGCTGTGAACACAATGGAAGACTGTGGGCCAGGAACACTTAACTGCAGCCTCTGGAAGGCTCTTAGAATCATAGAATTGTAAAGTTGGAAAGGGCGCCAAGGGCCATCAAATCCAAACCCCTGCAATGCAGGGATTTGGGGAGAGGGGGGGCGTGGTCCGCTTCCATGTTGCTTCCCTCCTTTATTTCAAACCGGCTGCTTTACTGTAATTGGTAATTGTGTGGCAAGAGCAACCCATTACTCACGGAGCCTTTTCACTTCATTTATCTGACACACAACAAATATTGCAGACTCGATATTGTAGTCCTCCGTTTCAAGGATCCGGATGATTAAATCAGAATCCTGAAAAGCAAACAACATGTGCCAGATAGACAGTGAATTTTACCGTTGTACAGCAGGCTTGTTTACGCACATAACCCTCTGTATTATCCACCCAGGCAACCAAGATGCGTTCTCAGAGTTCAATAACATATTCTAGCAGGAAGAAACACTTAAGGAGGGAACGACGAATGGCAGATGAGGGCTGCAGCTAGGGGAGAGGGGGCTTAGCCTAGTGCCAACTAGGGGCACATTTAGCTCCTGGGGCTGAGGTTCCACCCATCTTACAGCAAGAGAAGGAAAACTGTGGACCTCCAGACACTGTCAAGGGACAGCTTTAATCATCCCTGACTACTGATGGGACTACTGGAACTGATGGGATCTCAATTCCATTATCATCACCATCTGGGGGGCCTTGGGCTTCCCACCACTCACTGCCCGAGAGGCACCTCCACCAGCATTTCCCCAAGCAAAGGAATGGCACAGGCTCACCAGGCAGCCGGTTGCATTCCGCACTTTCTGGACAGCATCCTCAATTTCGTCTTGGACTTCCTCTTCTGATTCTGCTTCCTCCTTCTCTTTTTTATTACATTCATTTCTGCACAACATCTGGAATGACAGGAAGGCATTGCAATATGTCATCCTATGTCATGGGGGGGGGGTACGGGTGTATCGTGTGAGCAAGGCCTGCCATTTATTCCACTGAAAATATTTATAGGCCACTATTCAAACAAAATGGTTTGGAAAATATGGCTTACAAAATGGTTTACAAAAATACACAAATAAAACAAAATGGTTTACAAAAATTTTGTAACCCAGAATTGGCTTACATTTTGTAAACCAAAATGGTTTACAAAAATATACACAAATAAATAAACCCAGTGCCTTTCTGATGTAATCGGTCCCTCAGCAGGCAGACAGGAGACCACCCAGGTGGGAAAGAGCCATGCACAGCTGCTCAAGGACTCCCCAGAGGCTTCTGCACATGGAAGTGTATGTTAGTAAAAGAGAAAGAGAAAGTGAGTGTCAGTGAATGTGTGTCTTCAACAATTTCAGTTGCAAGCCAGAATTATTCCCACCTGCCCAGCAGTTTCTGGAAGGAAAAATCACCAGGAAACGGGCTAAATGATCAGAAGATGGTTGCAGCACTGCGTGAAACTGAGCAGCCACACGCTTCAGGGAGAGTGTCAATTCACCTTTGACAGTGGGTCAGAGTATCTGGTACCTGCTATCAGAGATCGTTTATTAGCTGGAGTTGCCAGGAACTACACCTGCTTCTTCTGCATGCCAAGCAAGTGCTCTACAGCTGAGCTAGGCATCCCTCCTAAACCCTTATCTTACCCAGCTTGGATAATTAAATCCAAGCAGGCTCCCACCCACTGCTTAATTCATTCCACAACATCTGTTTTAACAGGGTATGAAATCTGTTAAAATGCATTACTTTGCTTTTACAGCATCACTGTATTGCCAAGCTAAGCATCCACTGCTCAGCAAAAAGAGAAAGCCCCATGCCAGGAACATCTCCAGAGAGTACCTAGCAGGGCCCAGAACCAACCTCTGTCTGTAGCCGGGCAGGAGCCTCAGAGTTGTCGTTAATCTTCCGGACGCTGTCATAGTGCTCTCCATATCGATATGCAATGTGCAGCTCTCGAGCGTTGCTTTTGTCTGTTCCACGAATCTGAGAAAGAAGAGTGGGGGCAGATGAATGATGAGAGATTGGTGCAAGAGGGGCTTTAAATCTGGATGCTTTCAAGAGCAATCAACTTCCTCAAAAAGAAGCAATGCCTTTACTGAGGTAAGTGCTTGCCATTTCCAGTGTGGATTCATGTGATTTATTGGTTCTACAGTTTCCATCTATCTAGCTCAGTGAAGGGGAGGCCCGCAAGCCTCTCATAACTCTACCAAGAAGAACTCCCTTCTGCCAGTTCCCCCATCCAGCACCTAGATCCTTAGCAAGGATGCGTTTCATGGGTCAGCTGTGTCAGAAATACCAATAAAAGGAAAGCCCAAATTTGGAGAGACTGAAGCCCAGCTTATAAGTATGGCAGAGGATTTCAAGACCAAGGGAAATATGAATGGTGACATTATTCCAATGTAATATTTGTAACATTTTGTACCAGCCGCAATTCCAAACAAGTTGTCATAGACAGGCCTATGTGGGGTGCACTGAAATAATATAATCTAGATGCCTGTTTTGCATAAGAAAGGGGCTGGTCCCCCTTCTCCAAATTTGGAAAATTGTAAGCCGTATTGCAACAGGAGGAAAATTATGCATTAACCGGAGTAATGGCACATTATGACAAATGGAGTGTTTTGAGGCTTACCTGCCACAAAGGGGCATTGAGCTGGTGAATGACAACATTGACTTGATTGTTCTTTGCAAAGGCTACAATGGCATCGTTGCCAGCAAAAGTTCCAGGCTGTGCCAAATTGGCAACTGGAAAAGATAAGAAGAGAGGAGCAGAAGAAATGAAATGTACATTGAAAGAGGACAAAAAGCAAATAAAAGAAAGATGCTACACAGATAAGGCAATGGCAACAGCACAGAACAAAAGACCCTTTGACAAGAACAAGTGAAGTTGCCAAAGGGACATTCACTTGGAGTAATGCCAGGCAACCAAGACCTGCAGGATCCCATTCAGCTCTTGATGGAGTACATGGAGATGTTTTATCTATAAACCTGTGTCACTGACAACATTCACTCCCAATTTAAAGCAAATATGGGACTCTGAAACAGTTTATGACTACGTATGGAAATATTAATGGTTCTCCTATAATGATACAATGTGAATGTAGGCTGAGACTTATTCTGATGCAATGCATTGGAGTACACACATTTTTTCTTCCAAAGGCCTCCAAGTGTTGGTATGTATTGTATAGGGTTGCCATATTTCAAAAAGTAAAAACGCCAAGAGATATTGAGCTTCTAGCTTTTTTTAGACAAACCCCAAAGTTGTTGAGCCATTTCTTACAAAAACACCAAAAAACCAACATTTTTCGATTCACTTGCCAGGACAAACCACCGCCTTTTGGAAATTACCCCCTTTCATCAATTCTGCCTTTGAGATCCCTGGAATTATTACAGCCCTAGTATTGTACATACGTCCCACAATTCAAACAGGCTTCCTTAACTTGCCATCTTCCAGATGTTTTGGAAGATTCCCAGAGGCCCCAGACAGCAACTATGGAAATTATAATCCAAATATCTGGAAAGTGGCAAGGTGAGGAAGGCGGAGTTAGACAAGCATTTTAAACAGTTCAACAGCAACAACAGTAGTAGCACAGCAGGGCGAGACAAACATAAGAGCACAACAGGAGAATATATGTTAACCTAGATGCCTGGGAAAATAAAAACAGACATGTCCTAGGCAACCTTTCTAGGTTTTGAATGAGACCTCGACATACAGACCCTGATGCCAAGCCATAAAGCAGGAGTGGCTAACTCCCATCAGGCCCAAGCAAGAGTCAGGGATGCCAGGAATTGCAGTCCAGCACCCTCTGAGGGTCACAGGTTAGCCACCCCTGCAATGGAAAGCTTTAAATATAAGCACCAGCACTTTGAACAGAGCTTAGAACCAGTGCAATACACAGGGCCGTCTTAAGCATATCTGGCGCCGTGGTGCAAAGATACCTCCGGCACCCCGTTTCCCAGAGTTGTTGACTTGTCGACCTTTTCCTAGCCTCTGCAGGGATCACTCTCCTCCCACGGAGGCTTGGGAAGGAAGCTGCAGCCCGCTAGTCATATAGTTGGCAGGGCGCAGTTTCCATCCGAAGCCTCTGCAGGGATCGCTCTCCTCCCGCGGAGGGAGGCTTGGGAGGCAAGCTGCATGCCCGCCAGTCATATAGTTGATGGGGCACAGCTGGCGGGCGTGCAGGGAAAGGAGAGGCCGCCGGCAAACCTGCGCAGCTCCTCCACTCGCTGGGGCGCCCGAGAGGCCAGAGACCTGGCCCAACGCGCCAGTAAGCCCAATAGGAAAGACGGCTCTGGCAATACATATTCCCGCTGGCTGATCCCACTTAGCAGCCTAGCAGCCTGTATTTTGGACAAACAGCACTCAAAAGCAGCAGTAGGCACAACTTCCGCCTCTAACAAAGGGCACCCACCGTGTTTCTCAAAAGGAACATCATCCTCCACAAAAGGCTCAAAGTCCTCCCGTTGCTTTATCATGTAGTCCACAGTTTCCTGGCGGTGTTTGAGGTGGTCTCGGGAGTGACCTTCAAGCTGGTCCCCAAGAGCCCGGAACAAGCAGTTCCTGTGGGAAGACATTATGCCCAATTGAGTTTGTCTGAAGGAGATTTGTCAAGGGGTGGTGGAGTAAAATCATGGTCCTTGGTTTATTAACAATTCAGGACTGAATCAACAGAGGTCCATAAGAAGCTGCCTTACTCTGAATTATGCCACTGGTGCATCTAGCTTTACACTCACAGGCAGCCCCAGGTCTCCAGAATTTTCAACAGGGGCCTCCCTCAGCTCTACCTGAAGATGCCAGTATTGATCCTGGGACTTTCTGCATGCAAAGCAGGTGCCATGGTCTTACTAAGCTCTTTTGTCAAATCACACTATACACTATACAAGGTTTTCCCTCCAGTACAATACAATTTGGATGTCTGTCTAGCCAAGCCTATGTCCCTGATCCTCACATTTCCTTTTTGTGTTTATAATCATACTGCTTTTTTTTAAGGATCCCAAAAATAACTTATAAACTTAAGAACTGATACCTGGGTTTGCTTATTTCCTCCTCTATCCCAATCCATTTTCCTTTTGTGCTGCACCCAGTGCTTTTTTCTTTAAAAATGTTTAGGAGTACTGTACTGTGCTCTCATTTTGACTCAAGAAAGTCAACATTTTCTATTCAAACCGGGGGAAATACAGGAAATGGACAAAAGTACAAAGATTCACAAAATGTTTAGGGGTATGTATCCCCCTGCATCCCCACAGAAAAAAAGCTCTGGCTGCACCTTTTCAGACTGCCAGCCTGAGAACAGGGAAAGTCTGTTTTTCCGTTTTAGACTTTTTAGAGCATTCTGTAAGCTATTCTTGAGAACCTTTTTTGTCTAAAAAGCAGGAGAAAGATTCGTTGCATAAATAAATAAATAAGGGAGAAATGGATAAAGATGGCAGTCCTTGGGGAAGGAGCAGGGAGTATAATTCTGCTTCCTTTTCCAACTTGCTCCTTTAATGAATCTAAAGAAAACAAGGAAATTCAACAGCAGCTTTTTCCCCACAACTTCCTACCATGGAGAGAAGGAAAGCTTTACATGCCAGACTCCTGACTGTCTTGAGCTTGATAAAAACACAGGGGCCTTTTAAAAACGCCAGAAAATAAGCTGGCAATGCTAAAGAAAGATATTGGGAATGGAACGGGGTCTTGGCTCAGAACGTTTGCTGGGCCGTAGGGGCGGAGCCACTGAGAGTGGGCGGAGTTTGCTTCTAGACGTCAAAGTTGAGGGACGGAACAAAGCAACCACTGGCGCCTCAGCTGCAAAGGCCGTGGCTTGGAACCCTCGCGCGCAGAGGGCGGCTGTGGGCGGGGCGTGGAGGGTTGTAGGCGGGTGTAGCTAAGATCTCCCTCTCGCGAGCAGGAGCCGTTGCGGTGGGCGGAGTTTCAAAGCTGAGAGGGCGGGGCATGGCTCACCCGTCGCCCGGCACCTCCCTGAGGCGCAGCCCGAGCGCCTGCAGCTGCCCGGCCAGGCCTCCCTCGCCCTCGGCCTGGGGGGGTCGGTTCCGCCTTTCGCGCGCCAGCGCCCTCCGAGCCGCTCGCTCGTCCCGTTTCCGTTCCGTCTCCGCCTTCCCCGGCCGGGCCTTTGCCGCTTGCTTGCGGGACATCGTCGCGGGAGAGCCCGAAAACCGGCTCCTGTCAGTCGGCGGCGAACGCTGTTCTCGTTACTGCGCCTGCGCGCCACGCCCATTTCCGCCTGACGCGGAAGCAACTAAGAAGTGGGGGTCATAGAGAAATGGGTTGCAGAGCGGTCATCTGACGCATGGATCATAGAGAACAGGACCAGAGCGGTCACCTGGCCTGCGGGAAGCCCGTTGGGACCTTAAAAAGGGCATGTGTTTCATGGGTGGGATTTGCTTGCCGCTAGATGATCCTTGTGGTGTCTTCCAACTCTACAATTCTATGATCAGATTCTTCCGCCATCCCTTGTGGAGCTCATACAGATACTTAGGCTGAGCTTTCAGCTTCTAACTATTTTATGATCATCTAGCAGTTGGATCTCTGGCTAGCCAGAGATTATTTTACAAGCTACCTGGCTGTGATCTCCCTTGAAGCAATTGGAACCATTCATGCCACCCTGTCGTCCACCTCTAAAAGCCAAGCCATCCTTTACCAGCTGGAATCATGTGTTGCTCCCCAATCAATCTCTTCTTCAGTTTATCACCCCGACCTCTGTACTTTATTTATTGCCTTGTTTTCTTATTAGCTCCTGCTGACGTTAATAGAATTTGCCCAGTTTCAGGATTAGTCCTTCTGGTTCTTTCCAGTCGATTTCTAGTTCTGGGTGTCTCAAAAGACAGTGGGAGATATGTGGAAGAAGGACACAGGGTCAGAATGAACAGCAGTTGTAGAACAATATAGTGGGGGGTGGTTTTAAGGCGCTGTAACAAATCCACTATTTTCTTCCTTTTGAGACCCATGGCACCTGTTCACCCCTGTGAGGGGCATGTACTCCAGTTGACTGAGACCAGGTAACCTCCAGACTAGATTATTGCCACGTCTTCTGCATGTGGCTCTTTTGAAGATCTCAGAAAAAATTAATTCTAAGTACAACTGCTAGGCTGCTAATTGGGGGAGTGGAGTGGACAAATGGATCACATCTCATCAGTCCTTTAACAACTGGCTGCTTACCTTTTTTTAATGAGCACGATTCAAGGGGCTGCTGCTAATCTTTGAAAACCTAAACAGCATAAGTCATATAATCTAATTAACAAATCATCAGTAAAATTATTTGTTATTATTATTTATTGAATTTAAATACCACCCTATACGCACCCACAGGTCTCAGGGCAGTTCACAGGATAAAATCAGAATATAAAACCACTAAGTACATAATCAAAATAAAAACAACCCAATAACTCACAATGTTAAAATGTTGTTCATATGAGTTGCAAGAGTTTCCTTCAGGATTCAGCTCTCTGCTCCCAGGGTCTCCAGAAGTTAAATATCTGAACAGGAAATTGGCATATGAACATAGCCTGCTGGATCAGGCCCATGGCCCATCTGGTCCAGCATGCTTTTTCCACAGTGGCCAACCACACCAAGGAGAAACCCTTACCAGGTAGCAGAAAGGGAGATTCAGCAGGGACTTTTGCTGGAGGAGAAACCCTTGCAGAGCTTCACCCCCACTCCCATCATGGAGGCAAGCAAGGGCCATTTCTCGGGCATCAAAGCATCTCCGGCTGCCCCTGTATGCACATGCACTCAGAAATAAGTTCCATCAATTTCAAAGGGGCTTCTCCCCATGTGGGTGGGTGTGGAGGTCTGGTGGCTTAGACCCCATTGATTAGCCTCTACCTTTGTCCTGGATTGTGACTGAGGTCAGCAAAAATCTGTCAATTTTTTTTTCTTGGTTTCTCATTTTTCCACTCTTAAATTCAGCACCCAACGTTTCTCAGTTTGCAAATTTTAAAAAACTAGTCCTCATGAAAATTCAGCAGCATCTTAGTGCCTATTTCTCCTGTATGCAATCTTGACTAATATACATATTTTTGCAAAACAATTTCCCCTTCTATAAAGGGTTGTATGCTATTAATGTACACTTTACCCTAGCATGTGCATCTCTTGGCTGGAGTACTGCTTTGCAAAATTCAGAGAAGTACACATTTCAGAGGACAGTGGTGCTTCACTGAGCATGTTTCAAAAGATGCAAATTAAGATTGTTTTCCTTAGAAATGTAGACCAAATTGAATTCCTTCACCCCTAATTGTGGCCCTGATGTTTTCACATTGCACCAGCTGCAAGCCATAATGCACCTTATATATACTTCAATCAAAAATGCCCACTTTAATAGCGTTTCCATGCACTCTGGCTTCTGTCACAGTGTTCCGTTGCACCAGAAGCAGTTTAGTCATACTGGCCACATGACCCGGAAAGCTGTCTGTGGACAAATGCCAGCTCCCTCGGCCTGAAAGCGAGATGAGCGCCGCAACCCCATAGTCACCTTTGACTGGACTTAACCATCCAAGAGTCCTTTACCCTTTTTTTTACCATATTTATTATTTCTTACTTACCTTTTACAAATACAGTACCTGTGGATTTAGGCATAGGAGAAAACAGACCAGATATGTATACTTTGTAGATAAACAAAGATATTAACATTTATTAAAGATTATTATTAATACTACATAATGAGATTATACTTGCTGGTAAGTAAATGTGGTTTAAACATCAGATGCAATATGTTATTGCCTGCCTTAAATAGATGTTACAACAATGCTGGTGTTGCTTTAAGAAGATGGCTAGGTGTCTGCTGCTGTTCCTTTTCAGCCAGGAATGGAAAATATTTGACCCTCCAAATGTTTTTGGAATCCAACTCCCACAGCCCCAGCCAATATGGCCAGGTCTCAATGGAGTTGTAGTCCATAGAGGCGCAGGTACTACTATGCAATAACCAGGTACCATTCCCAACTCTACCTCAGTTAATTCAAATATGTTTGGAGTTCTTCACTTGAAGTTTGGTCAGGTTCACTTCCCCTCAGTTATCTGGCAGGCTTCCCTGAGGTCACCACCAGGAGTCTTCACTCTGGTCAGGAGCTTCTTCAGATGACTTGCCTAACAGCTGATTCACTGGGCTCCATTCTTCCCCAAACCTATTACAGGAGACCTCCTCTCCTCTCTCACAGACCTTCCTGGCTTCAGGCTCCTCCGCTTCCCTCTTCCAGAGTCTTCTTAAGTCCCTCGCTGAACTTCTTCACAGCCCTCCTAGGACTGTTCAACTGACCTCCAAACGGCACTGATCCTTGCCTTATATTCCCTGCAGCTGGTAGCCCACAACCAATCAACTTGCTTCCGATACATGGCCGAGACCCCCATTGGCCTAAAGTCCCAATGGGCTTGAATGGAATGGCCGCCAGAAGACCAATCGTAGCTGACCACTTTGGGATGCTGTTGCTCTGCATACAAAAGCTGGAACCTGCCAGCACCATGGCAACGGTGAGCAACTGTGGCAGTTTAACTGCCATTCGAGAAGCTCCCAGTAGGCCTTGCATACCAGCTATCCCCAGCCTAGTGCCCTCGTTCTGGACTATCAGCCCCACCCCATTAAGGGAAGCCTGCAATGAGGGCATGAGTGTAATTCCCAGCAGCCTCTGGCAATGGAGGTGGAACACAGTCATTGGGAGCCTTAATCCTCCAAGAATTTGGCTGGTGCTCTGTTATTTCTCATAAAATCCATATACCTCTTAATTGTAAAAACAAGCAAAGTGGTGTACAAAAAGAATAAAACAATAAGATTATCAGTCAAAAAGTTAAAAACAGAACATCCAAAAATAAAATCACCAACGAGCTAAAAACAGATTAAAACACATTTTGACATTCTAGGTATCTGGGTAGACTTGTCTAATCAAAAATGTTTTTAGCAGGAGCTGAAAAGCGTACAGTGAAGGCTCCTGCTTGATGTCAACAGGCAGGGAGTTCCATTTTGCCACGCTAAATGATTTCTTACAAAGGTAAAACAAGTATTAGGTGGCACCTGCAACAATGCCAGTTCTGTAGATTGAAATGGTCGAGTGGGCTTATATGGAGTAAGGCGATCGCACGGGTCAAGTGGGTCCAGGTTAAAGCCATCCATGTTGGTGACCAACCCTACCTCTTGTGGAAGAAGGTTCCATAGTTTAATCATTGCAGTGTGGGGAACTTTCAGGCGACAGAGGTGATGTGACTCGCTCTCATTCTCCAGGACGGGAGAGAACCACAGAGGCTGCTGCACCTCCACTTTGGGTTGAAGCAAAGCACCCCAGCTAAGGCCAGCCCCAAGCCCATGGCGATGCAGATGGCCCACTTCAGCAGCCCCTGATCCAAGATGGGTAGAATGAGGGCCGCAAGCAGGGCTGAGAGCAGCAGAAGGAAGACCAGCCTCTTGGCAGCCACCCTGACATTATCGCTGCTGCCGCCATCATCTGGGTTGACGTGGAAAGTGCCACGAGCCAGCAGCTTCCCTCTCCGAGCATCCAGAGGAAAGAGACCCTCTGCATTCCAGCCAGGGTTTGGCAAGGGCTCAAGAACGGCTTCCTCCTTATCGCGGAGGCTGCAGATAAGGCCCCCAAAGACGGAGGTGGCTTTTCGGCAGATGGGGCAAACAATTTCCCACGTCTTCCCGTCGTTCCTCAGGATAAGCTTCAGGCAGACGGCGCAGAAGACATGCTGGCAAGCCAGAAGTTTTGGCAGTCTGCTAAGACTGTACCGGTTAAAGCAGATGACACAGTCTGTGTCTGCGGCTGGGACTGCAGAGGAGCATCCAAGGTTCACTTTCTCTGCAGGGCTGTCTAGAGGAGTCGCTACCCAAAAGGCTGGAGGGAAAGAGTTGGGCGGGTTCATGTCCAGAGCCGGTTGATTTGGGGCACCTAGGCCAGGTCGTCCCGCAGGAGAGGCTGCGCCCTCTGAGCCTGAAATTCCAACCATGTGTCCCACATCACCTGTATTTTGCATTTCTTCTTCAGGAGGATCTGTGTTTTGCATTCCTTCCGCTGTTTTCAGAGATTTGCCCTGGTCTGTTCCTTCTTCAGCTCCCCCAGGAGAGGAACTTTCTCTTTCCAACAAGCATTTGCAGGGAGAATGAGATCTTGCTGCGCTCATCTCTGGCTGCACAGTAACCGCTGCAGTTTCCATGATGCTTTACTGGTATTGATATGAACGATTATTAGTGAGTCGGCTTTCAGCCATGCTGACATCAGGAAAATAATGCTAAGAAGGGTGTTAATCAGTAACGCCACACAGCTCCCTGGGTTCCTGGTGCTTGGCAATAACACCGAATTATTCTGCCCTTGATTCTCCGAGTCATAAAAATATGTAATGTCCATATCAGTGGCCACCAGTATTTTATTATTCTCTGAAGTGTAAGTGCTTTATGGCTCTTATCTAGCCTGCACACACAGGCATCACGATAGGCTGGATCCTATCACACCCTCCAAGCTCCATAGCTGAGAAACAGTGGGGACACATGAACTACAAAGATTGCTTCCTCCTTGGCTCATATCCATGCTGGTTGGTGACCACTGGGCCTGGTGGGGCTGCCAAGGGAGCCTCTGGAAGCAGCGCCAGTTTGCTCTGGGTTCCACCCCAACACTTGCAAAGATACTGTGGACACCTAAGGAAAGGAGCAATACGGTTGCTTAGCATCTGACTGGTCACAACCCTGTGAGGTAGGCTAGGCTGAGAGGCTCCACCTCCTAGATCTCTGGCACCCGCCCCCACTGGAGACAAGGGTGAAGGGTAGGACCTGCTGGCCACAGCCATGTTTGTGATTGACTTTGCTGTCCACTGCTGTGATTGGCCAGCAGATGAGATGGGCAGGGGGGAAAACCCCAAGTAGTCTTTGAATGATACAGAATTCATGCATGTATCGGGGTGGGGTGGAGCATCCTGCTTGGGACGTTGGTGGGGGATCTCAGGGTCAAGGGCCAAATGTGACCTACAGGCTTCTCTCTCTGGCCCTCAGGCCTCTCATCAGCCCACACACCCTCACCACCTTTCCTTAACATGGTCTGTGAGTCTTTTTGCCCATGAGCCCATGAACCCTGATAAGGCTTGCCTGGACGGCAAGTGTGTGCAGAAAGTAGCCTACCACATGGAAGTAAAATTTGTGTCCAGTGTTCTGCCCCCTTTTGTCTCTGGGCCTGCTCACCACTAGCGGGCGGCCTCAGAAGGTTGCCCAGAAAGGAATGTGATTCTCGGACTGAAAATGGTTCTTTATCCCAGCTTAAGCCACCCATTTCTCTCTCTCTCTCTCTCTCTCTCTCTCTCTCTCTCTCTCTCCAGCTGTTGCCATGTGGCATTTTCACCTTGCTGGAGGACTTTCAAAACAGAGGCTCCTGACTGCTACTGTGCTTATCTCTGATGCGATATTTCTGCATGCAATTTTTTCCATTAATGTTTAAGCGAGACTAGTTGGCCGATGATAAAAAGCGCAGGGGATCAAACGGAAGTGTGAAGATCCCTGGGGCCGGGCGAGGGGTGGGGAAGTCCTGGTGTGAGGGAACAATCAATGTTACCTCCTTCCGGGACCTGCCTTTTCCCCCCTTCTGCAAAAGAGACCCAGGAGAATGGAGAGTCTCACACTCTCCCTAGTTTCTCTCTCTCTACCATTTCTGTTTCCAAGCCAAGTGAGAGAGCAGAATGAAATGAAGACATTGGTGCCAGTTTTGCCGCATGTTTCTACCTCATCCTGTCTTCTGCAAGAAAGACACCCTGAGGTGTCTGATGTCAGGGGTGGGCAAGCTTTTTTTCTGTTGAGGACCACTTTGTTTTGGGGGTACTCTGTCAGGGTCCGCATGCTGGCAGCAGGATAGGCTGAAGCCACCACTTGGCAGAGACTAGAGACTAAAGAACCAATCTGTATACCCCACTTTTACTCTCTTTCTGCCACCCATTTTCCTCTGTCCTTCTGCCACAGCTCTCACGCGTCATCTGCCATCCAGTGGTCACTTTGAGAATTACACAGCATTGATTGAAAGAACGAGGACTTTTTAAATTGAAATTGAGAAGTCCCCCGTTTTGAACTCCAACCTTCTAAGGAACTTGGGGCATGGCCTTTTGTTTTTGATATGATTTTCATTCTGTGTGTATATACAGCATGATCCTCCCCCTTAAAAGTCTGAAATATCTTAGCCATGTCTTCGTATCTTATTTAGAACCAATGAAGGACTAGGAAATGATGGAACAGCAAAGAAACAGAAGGATAATATGTCTAACAGTCTCTTGGGATAAAATGTATATAAAAAGGAGGAGGGACCTGTGCAATAAGACAATAAAATAATCAGTAAAGATGGTGTTATAGAAAAAATAGGGGGATTGGCTTTGCTGCCCACCTCCCAAGGGACTGAGTCCCCTAAGTCCATGATCAGTCAGAGATGAATGGATGGAGGCAAGATCCATGGAAGGCAGGCAAGGCAGATCTTTATTTTTCTGTTGCAACAAAGTTCCCTCTCCTCATTGCAAGGAGGTAGGAGAGACCCAGAACAATGGTGCACAAACACCTATAAAGACTTTTGAAATTGCCCACTCTGTAGCCCAAGACCACCCCCCAAAACATCATGCATACATCACAGAAGGAAGCGGTCTCCAGCAGAGTTTTGAGAGTGTTGCTTCTCTCCTGTCTGCCAGGATTCCTGATCATGCCTTAAAAGGTAAAGGTAAAGGTACCCCTAACCATTAGGTCCAGTCACGGATGACTCTGGGGTTGCAGCGCTACCTCGCTCTATAGGCCGAGGGAGCCGCCGTTTGTCCACAGACAGCTTCCGGGTCATGTGGCCAGCATGACTAAGCCGCTTCTGGCGAACCAGAGCAGCGCACGGAAACGCCTTACTTGACTGCATTTTCTGGGTAGCCTGGCGGCCCTGGCCATTCCTTTGAGATGGTAAATACTTTAGTTCCCGAATCTCTTACACATATTGATAGTTTGCTCAGCCTAACAGATACTTGCCAGACTGTATTTGTAGGGAGGTGTAAGCCCATCCAGTCCAAAGACAATTGGAAAGCTTTCTCCATTTCTTTCCTCCTTGCAGATAAATATTTGAGGTCACTTTGGGAGAGTCAAAATGGCTTCAGGATTGCTCTCCTGTACTGTTTCAGACATGTGGTTTATATACAGGGTAAGTCCTTTAAAAGAGGTCCTATGGATACAGAGTACACATGTTCCATGGGGCCTCTTTTAAAAGACTCATCCTGTACTTCTGTATGTTTGTTTGCCTTGTATATTTATGAACATTTATTTGAGACTGTAGAATTATTATAACAACAGTTAAAAGCAGCCATTTAACACATTTTTTTAATAAAACCCCCCTGAAATCAATGATATTCTAAAGACAGATTATAACACATGCCAACAGTTTACATGTCTAGGTAGGCTTGTATATAGAGTGTATATGGAGTAAGGCAATCTCACAAGCAAAGTGGTCCCATGTTTACCATGTTGCTGAGGGTTTATAGGTACTAACAATCTGAAACTGGCCCAGGAGAAAACCGGCAACCAGTGCTGCGAGGGGGAATCACTCCTGTCAGCCACTGTGCTGCAGCATTCTGCACTAACTGCAGCTTCCAGTTCAAGCACAAGGCAAGCCCCACATAGATCACATTGCTGTAATCCAGGCTTGAAGTAAATAGTGCATGAACTTTCCCAGGAATGGCCATAGCTGTTCGCCTATTAAATGCCAAGCCTGCTGCAATCTGTGCTAAGTGCCAACCCTCACAGCTCACGGAACAGACCAGTTGTTACCATACCATTTCAAATCCGCAAGCACATGGCTCTCCTCCTCATGCATCTACTGGCACTTGGGCAAAGCCAACTCAGCACTTTTCATCCTGTGCTTCCACGATCCGCAGCCCAAGTATTTCCGCAGTTTTGCTCCGTCTCCTTTCCAGCTTCGTTCGCATGGTCTCTCCATGGATCATTCTGCACACAGCCTGCTAGCTAGTCCCAACTAAAGCAGTGCTATTATACAAACTAAAAAATGGAAATAGCCAGGCTTGGGGACAGCCTGACAGTGCTGAACCCAGTTTCCATTCCATAAAAAGATTGGTCATTGGAGAGAGGGGCAAAGTGAATTTGCAAATGGTAAATCACTTGGGGAGGAACTGCATTTCAATCCAAGCTGCTGGGCTTGAGCTCTAAGGTCCTGAACTTCCAACAGCCTGTCAGTATGGCCAGACCTCAGGAACGATGGGAGTTGTACCCCAGCACCTGGTGGGCACCACATTGGCCATCCCTGTCCTCAATGGTACAGGATCAGCCAGCTTCCTTTGTTCCTAAGACTCCAGCTGCTCTCTTCGGACAAGTGACAGTTTCTGAGCATGTACAGGCAAGACCTACACAAAACCTAGGCAAATCTTCCTGAACAGCAGGGTGAACTTGGAGACTGCTCAAAACCCTCCACTGGGTGGGCACATGGGAAGAGGCCCTTTTTGCAGTGGCACAGAGGCTGTGGAGATAGATCCTTCAGGGTCCACCTTTGCCCACCTTTCATCAGGTGATAGACACACAATGGCTCTCATTGGGTCTTAGTTGACTGAGTTGATTTAGCCATTTATACCCGAATGGGATGTTTAATCCCATTAATACTGCAGCCGCTTGGGAGTATTTTTGAACAGAAAAGAGGGTTGTGAAAACAAGGCAGTAAATAGCACTGCTAATGTAGAGGACAACTATTCAAAATAACCTTGAAACACAACAGACAAATCTGCAGGGAATGGAGCCAGCACTGTTGATGCCAACTAATCTACACATTCCTGAACTCTCAACAAAACATGGTTTGGCAGGAGGGGGGAGGGGATTCCAGGTTAAGGAAAACTTCCAATATAATATAAATCTAGCAAAGAAATCCAGAAGAAGGAAGCTGCTCACTTTACTACCCGACTTCAAAACATTGTGATCTTTAGCCCCAAAATTGGACTACTTGGGGAAAGGTTGCAGCTGAGCAACAGCTCAATTCACTCGCAGCAAAAGACTCCTGGCTGAAGCCCTGAAGAACGGCTGCCACTCCACCTGGAGACCCAAGGGATTTAACCAGAGATCTTCTGCATGCAATGCAGATGCTCTACTACTGAGTTGTGGTCTTAAATGTTGCCAATAGTTTGACTGGGTAGAAGGCAGCTTGTCATGTTTAGGTCAGCTTTCCCTTTAAGTCTGGGTCTGACAGCACCTATCAAGACATCTCAAGACTAGTTCAATACACATCATAGGAAATATGGGGCAGTTTCCAAAATATAAGAACGTGCTGGATTCGGCCAGTGGCCCATCTAGTCCAGCATCCTGTTCTGACCTGAGCATAAGAACTCTTTCCCATTTTGTGGCTTCTAGTAGTTAACTGGTATTCAGAAGCCTGCAGCCTCTGACTAGAGCATAGCCTTGTACATTTCTGAACATAATTCAAAGTGTTCGTGCTGACCTTTAAAGTCCTATACAGCCTTGGCCCTACATACCTGAAAGAGCATCTCCATCCCCATCGTTCAGCCTGGACACTGAGGTCCTTCTCCTTCTCCGAGGGCTTTCTAGCAGTTCCCTCACTGTGAGAAGTGAAGTTACAGGGAACCAGGCAGAGGGCCTTCTCAGCTGTGGCACCCTCCCTGTGGAATGCCCTCCCATTAGATGTCCAGAAGATAAAGAACTATACAACTTTTAGAAGACATCTGAAGACAGCCCTGTATCAGGAAGTTCCTAATGTTTGATATTTTATTATGCTTTTGTATGTGTTGGAAGCCGCCCAGAGTGGCTGTGGCAACCCAGCCAGATGAGCAGGGTTTAAATAATAAAATTATTATATTATTAGTAGTAGTAGTCACAGATAGCATTATCCTCCATCAAATCAACGGAATCCTTCCTGGGCAGATGATCTAAATCCCTCTTTGCCTGACCACTTGCTCTCAAGCATCATGCCCACATCTCCCACTCCACATCTTTGCCCAGGATCTAGGCATGGCATTGTTAGTTCCAACCAATGTAGGGAGTCTCACATTTCATTCATTCATTCATTCCCAGACCCATTATAACAAATTAAAATTCAGACCAAAGCACTTGAAAGTTGCCACACAGAGTCCAATTCTGCTGCCATTTTCTGTGCACACACAAGAATCTTGGCTGATAAACTGCATTTATTCTGGGAAGGTGAGCTACTGAGGATCTGGCAAACATTGGTATCCTGCCCAGGCACTCTACTGAAACAGAGAAAGGAATGCATGACCCCTGTGTTAGGGCTGGGGAACATGTAGTCCTCTGGTTGCTGTTGGAATCCAGCTCTCACTAGCCTCAGTCAGCACAGCCAATGCTCAGGGCTAATGGGAGCTGGGGTCCAGCAACAGTTTGGAGGGCCACAGGCTAAAGCCTTGCCCCAGCAGAGGAAACACTCACTTTTGGCAGCATTCAGTTCCCAGATCGATCATAATTCACTCGTCTATTGACAGCTTTAATTAAAACCTGTCATTTTGTTTGCTCTCAAGAACATCCCATTTCTGGAAAAGCTCTGCCATTTCCTTGGGGAGAAGGCAAGAACACAACACAACCAGTTACTCTATGTGCTTCTTTGCATTTGGTAAGAACAGGGGCTCTACCAGATGAACAGCAGCCTGTCCTCCACCAGAATAGAAAGGGTTACCCCTAGCACAGTAATGGCCAAACTTGGCCCTCCAGCTGTTTTGGGACTACAATTCCCATCATCCCTAGCTAACAGGACCAGTGGTCAGGGATGATGGGAACTGTAGTCCCAAAACAGCTGGAGGGCCAAGTATGGCCATCACTGCCTAGCACATCTGAACATCATTCCCTCAAATCATTGCATTTAGGAAGGGCTTACTCCCTGAACGTGAGAGCTTTGTAACATACACACAGGCTCTGAACAAGCAAGGTAACATTGGAAGTTGGGCAACTGGTAAATTTTCTAGCACTTTGGAATTTTTTTTTTAAAAAAGAACCGTTCCACTGACAAAGTTCCTTTTTACAATTTGCAACAAAGCCTGGCTGATCGTGACGCTGTAGATTTTCAAGGGAAATTCATGAAACTAGTTTGTTTAGATGCAATATGTGGATTATGAACGAAAAAAATTGGGGGGAAAAGGTATCCCAAAGCAATAGAAATTAGGGGGGTGGTATCGCATTTCTAAATTTCCAAGATGCATTGGTAATGCTGTGCCATCTTCTTGGCTTGTCTGCTGGGCTTTTGTTGTTGCCTCCTCAAATAACTCCCCTTCCTCCCAACTTAGCATCAGCGGCCATAGTTTCTTTCAGCTCCACATTAATAATAAAGGTTGCTATCAAGGCATGAGATAAAGCAACCTCCTTCTCCAACTGCTGAATATGCATTTAAAGAAACCAGTTGATACTTTGTTAAGAGCTAGGGAAACTCTTTCAGAGTGCTAGAACTTATTGGCAAGTATGAGCCCCGCGTGAAAAAAAGGCTATTTCCAAAATATCTACAATGACTCCACCCCCACCACAAGCCTACAATGTTTGCAGCCGGTGCTGAGCCTGCACAAACCAAATGATGCAGTATGCCAAAGGGAGGATAGCCTGCTTGAGGAATAAGAGAGTTGGCAGTTTCCCAGTATAGGGAATCACCTCACATACCAACACCTGGATACAACAAAGATGCACCTGAAGCTGGCAAGTTTACACCAAGCCCAAGTCTTCAAGAAGTGAAAAGGCCTGGTTTAAGTATGTCCAAAAAGCCCCAACATCTCAAATTCCTTGTTAATTTGGCCCCATTTATCTGTGTTCTGATTTGTGGTGGCAGGTTCCACCCCAAAACACCCCCCCCCATTTTTCAGAGCCTTTTGTATTAATATTCAACTAATCCTTTATTCCAGGTGGTTTAATTTCAGCACTATGTTTTACATCAGACTCACAACACATTAATGTCTGGGGTTTTGAGAAAACATGTCCTCCTCTGAGCTTCTGAAACCATTTATGTGGAGAGGGTGGGGAGGATCAGTTAAATCATAAACACACAACACCAGGCAATTCTTAAGACCTTTATTAAGAGATGCTTGCAGTTTGACTTGAAAAAATCAGGTGTATATTTCATACAAATTAAAAATGAGGTTCTTAAAAATCCGAACTGACCAGATATGAAACAATTTAAAAACCTTTAAAGGTGTATTGAGAAAAAACAGGCCTTTAAAAAACATGTTTGTCGCTCCAAAAAGGAGACCACTTTAGGTAAAAATAATAAAAATCCCATGCTGCATAGATAATGCAGAGAGTTCGAGTTATCTGGTCAACAGCAAAAAGCAAGCACTTAAGGTCTTCAGTTCCAATTCTTCTGTTCATTTCTTATTGCTGGAATTTCATATTCTCTTTAAAATTTCATATTCTCTCTTCTTTGATGACTAAACTGTAAAGAGAAAAACAAGAAGTCGCCTTACCATACTGGGTAAAACCCAAACCCCACAAGAGTAGGTCCACAGATGGCCTCTGGGCTCCACTTACACACCACCACCACATAGTGCAACATCTCAGCTGCACAACCAAACCTAGGCATCATGCATAACACTCTTTGGACTACAATGGGGAACTTACAGGGTGGTATGTTCCTCCAGCACTGAAGTGCTCCTTGTGCATATATAAAAGGAGACTGCCTGGGAGCACAGTTCTAACCTATCCATCTTGCCAGGCTACTTTTCTATGTGCAGGATTTCTGTTCTAACTGGCGAAGAATGCAATCATGCCATTCACCACTTGAAGGCTATAGTGGTTCAATCCAGACTCAAGTTAATGCCCTTAACTGTGGAGTGACAGAAACTAGGGCTGTGATTCAGCCTCAGTCAGGACATGTGGTTTGGCAGCTCTCCAAGGGCCAGGATTCATGAATCTTAACACACTACTGACTGCTTCTTGGAAGCCTCATTTAGACTCAGTACCATCTAAACACGAACTCAGGAAAGTTGCTTGAAGGAAATCCTATTAAAGCCTTTGGGATGAACTTCCAAGCATTTATTTCAAAGGGCTTGTGTAAGGATAATCTTGTAAGCCTTCCTAAAAAGACCACAAGCTGTCCAATGGGAGTGCCCCCAAGAGTTTCTTGGCTGATTTCCTATAAATGTTGTCTTTCCATGTTTGACCTCTAGAAAACTAGAGGGAAGGCCTGCAACTGTCTCCTGTTGTGAGTACCACAGAAGGATGCTGCTTGGCCTTGCCAATTCAAAACACTTCATCTCAGCTGTAGGACGTCCTTTCTGTGGTCTCTCACCCTTCCCAATTTCACCCAAAGTGACAATGAACATCTACCTGTCAAGGTGAAAACTGTTCTACATGTTGTAGACAAAAATTACGACTTTGCCTGACCGTACACACAGCTCTTCTAATCTTCACAGCGCAGTGAGCCCCCTTCTGGGCTATTCACTTAACGTCTGCTTGACCAAGGTTTCTAAAAGACCAACTCAGATATTCACAATTTAGACTGCATTGGACTCCTTTCACATGGCATCTTAGAACAGCCAGGGGGTATCACTACCACCCCAAGCCCTTTTTGTTTTTCTTACTACCCAATGAATTCAAAATCTCATTTACTCCTTCGTGTACTGTGGTTGGTCCTAAGGGCTTTCTTATGAGCTGCATTGTGTTTTTATCACCACCTCCAATTCATTTAGCAGGTTTCAAGTGCCTATCTAAGGGCAACATTCCTGCCAGCTGCCTACTAAACAGGGCTCTGGACCCATTTTCCCTCTCTCCTGGTGGGAATTGCAGCCCACTTACCCGGATGATGGTAGAGATGGTAAGCCGGCGTTTACTCAGCCCCGCCCTGCTCGGCCTCGGGAGCGGACGTGTTCTCAGCTGATGGTTCGGCTGCCTTTGTCTCTTTGCCATCTTGTGGTTTAGGGTTTTCTGGGCGTCTGCGTCGGTAATTGAAGTTACGGCGGTACCGACGTTGAGGTGGCTGCTGACCCTGGGCCTCATCACCCTGGTTCTCTTTGTCTTCTTCATTGCCTTCCTCCCTGGGCTGTCGTTGGCGAGGAGGACCCCTGAAAGGTGAAGCAAAGCTGTGAGCATCTTACTCCCACTTCTAGGGGCAAAAGCATTTAAAGCGCCTGAGGGTAGGACATGCTCTCTGAGGGAACTCACCTGCGATAGCGTGGTCTGTAACCCCGATACACGTTCTGTCTGACAGGTCTGCCTTGTTCTCCTGCACCCTGGTTGTCAGCACCCTGGAAGATGGAAGAGGTTATAAAATGGATTGTGGTTTGCATTTAGGAAAAAATCCTGCCCTAGGCAAACTGCAATAAAAAAGCAATTCATTTTAATATGTAACGAATTCTGAATTTGACTCACACCAAGATTAAACTGATTTTTTTTAGGGTCACCTCAGTTTAATAGAAATAAAGCTGTATTACTTGGCTTCACTGTAAGGAAAGAAAAATGCCAAAATGTTGTAACTTGCAGGTAGCACAGTGTAACCTGCTGGTTTGGCAGGTATAACTTAAGAATATAGCAACCCCCTGAATTTCAAAGAGGCCAGTGCACAAAAGGCAGGTCGACTAGCTTCTGGTCTGGGTATGTGCACTACTGGCAAGGAATCCCATTATTCAGGCTAGAGTTTCAAGTTTTCAAACCCGGCTCTCAAGAAATCTTCATTAGTAAAAATTACCTCCACTATCTCGCCTTGCACAGGAGCATTGGAATACTGTGGCCGCCGGCCGTAGGGCCGACGCATGTAGTAAGGTGGATACCGCCTCCTGCGGTAGGGGCGGCGCTGTTGGGATTGGCCTTCCGGGAGGCTCTCTGACCCCTCGTTCTTTTCCCCACTCTCACTGTTTTGGTAATTTTGCTGGTAGTTGCGTGGAGGACCTCGACGCCGTGGATATCGTCTGTACTGGTTACGGTCTGCTGCATATTTACTGCCTTGCACTGGAACGCCACCAGGACCTGTAACGTTGGCTGCCTCTGCTCCCTAAAAATAGCCATCAAGAGACAACATGAGCAAGTGTCAGCTGCGCCAGCACAAGCACAGAGAAACCTCCCTGCTGCACCCCAGACAGAAGGAAGCTGCTGGCCTTCACTTGCTCAGCAGCTGAGATCCAAAGAGCAGGAAAGCCCCAGAGTCAGTCCAGGACAGTCACCTCACCTTTTCTCCTTCAACCACATCAAACTCCACAGTCTCTCCATCTCCTACACTGCGAAGGTACTTCCTGGGGTTATTCTTCTTTATAGCAGTCTGATGAAAAAACATTTCAGATTTAGACTTGTAGACATGCTGTGAACTCACCTGAGATCTATGGGTGGTTCACAAATTTAATAAATAATAAATTTTAAAAGTGCAAGTTTTCTAGATTAGTGATATACCCATGAAAGACCAACAGCAGATGTATATCCTGCAATATTGAACATATAGAAGGAGCCATCAAATGTGTGGTAGGTCCCCTCCCAGTAACCTGTCCAGGGTAACCTTGGGAGTAAGTATGTGCCACAAACTTTGCAGTCATGCCAGAGATGCATAGGAAGTACATTCTGATTTACTACGTCCCTTCTAGCCCTAATTTTCTATGCCAAAGACATTAACAAGAAAAAAAATTAACTGGTGTTTCCTTCCAGAAGTCCATGTAATTCAGGGCAATCAGTGTAAAAACTCACATGAGTGTCATGAGCTAGTCTTTCTCTAACTAATAGAACAAATTCTGCCTTTTGAGTGGCTGAAGCTTTAATTCTCAGCCACTCATGTGATCACACTCTATTAAACTGACCTTCATAGTTTTGCTTACCAAACAATTTTCAGTGTCAATAGTAACAGCTGCACTAGGAGCAAAGTTAAATAGTGCTGACAACATATTCCTGGTACCCTGCTTCTGAATAAGCAAGCACCACTAACCCCATTTGAAACTAACAACCCTAATGCCCAATTCTTAAGAAACAGAACTACCCCAGGGGAAAGAACAAGTTGTTTCTCATAGGGCTTTCATCCATTTAGGCCTCCCAGCAAGGAAGCCATCAGACAACCCAGGGAAGGGAAATTTATCCACCACCAAGAAACAGATGGAAATGTATCCCAAACAGAAATCAAAGAATCACAGAATCATATAGCTGGAAGGGACCCAAAGGGTCATCAAGTCCAACCCCCTGCAATGCAGGAGGACCTTCCCTAATCAGACACCAGAGAATGATACATACTTTTTGAAACTGAATTAAGAGTCCTTGAATTGAGAATAAGACATTTGTCCTTAGCTCCATCCATTCCTCCTAAACGAAAACTGAGCACTAAATCATATTAATTTAACAACTGAATCAAAGCCAAAAATTAGTTACTGCCCCCCAGCCACTCTTATCAAGTTCAAAATGTTCCTCCCGGGCTTTTCTAAGGGAAAGGCCAGTAGGGAAAGCAATTGATTGGCAGCTGCTATTGGAAGGGCTCTGTGCACCTCCAGCAGTGATGACCGTCCCCCGACTGCTGGTCTTTCCCATGAAAAGGTTTGGCAAGGAAGAGATGAAGGCACCCTGAGCGCCTTTCAGCAGCTAGCTCTAACTCTCCCCTACCAAACATTCCTGCTTCATAGCAGGAAATGCTGGTGTTTGCTGTGGGTTTGCTGATTTGGAACCCACAGCCTTCCTCTGCGTGGGGAGAGCCATAAAAGCAGTGGGGCAATCTCTGCCCAGCTTCAAAGCTGGGAGGGTGGCTCTCTGCTGAACAATGGATGGCCTCACACTTGCTACTGCAGCTAGAGCAGGGGTCACCAACCTAAGGCCCATGGGCAGGAAATCATGTCTGCACAGACACCAAAAATCACGTGTTAACAATTGCGGGCGCGCACGCTCACGCAATCTGGCCCATGGAGGGATCTCCACTGGACCGATCCGGCCCAGATAAGATAAACCTTGCTGACCCCTGAGCTAGAGGAAACCTGTGCAGTGGGCAATGTTTCCTTCTCTTTTATCACTCTGCTTTGCCCCACCCCCAGAAAAATATTCATATTTGACAAATTATCATCCTGGTTCTTTGTTTACAAAGAAAAGTATCTTTAAGGAGCAGGATTCAACTAACTGGTCCTGAGAAGACCAGGAGGAGAAGGGGATTGTTCCATCTGGCAAACTGAAAAGCACTGGCTGAACAGAACAGCTGCTGCAGTGCTACACTGAATTCTTCCCAATGTGTCTGGCAGAGGCACCCAAGCAGCACCATTAATTTTTCAAGTGGAGTCCAGGTCATATAAATGACAGCCACTGGTGTACAGGAAAAAGCAGGAGTCCCCAAAAAGGTTGGCACCCAACCAATATGAAGTCCCCAAAAGCCTGTGAGTGCAAGGATAGATGATAAGAACAAAAATACTTTTGCTATTTTTTAAAAAAATCTTAACAGTGCCTAATAACCCAATTAGACAGAACAAAAAGCAGGCATAAGCCATTGTGTGACATGTGGGACGCAAAAGCAAAGGTAAGGTAGCAAAGGGATAAAGACCAACCGAGGACAAGCAGGACATGGGTGGACTGCAGGGAAGTCCTGACCACTTAGGCACTGCAGGCAAAGAACAGAGGGAAGAAAAGCACAATGAAGAGAGAAGGGGCATGAGATGCCAGGTAGGCAAACAGGCACAGTGTATTGAGCATTCATAGGCTCTTAAGATTGGGTTTTGGCTACCTTATGTCAACTGGTTTCCCCTATAAAAATTCCACACTTCATAACTTCAGTTCTGAGGCAACACTGACTTCTCCCAAGAGCAACAGAACTGATACTTTTCCACCTCTTTCAGCTAATGCACAAAGTGTATCATTTCATCAAAATCCAGCATATCTTGTTGTACAAGGAAACAGTCTCACCTGGTGGACAAACACATCTTCCTTGGTGTCATTCCTGTAAAACAAGGAGTTTCATATTCAGAAAACATGACACAAAAACCCAGCATTTTCCAGGAAGGAGTGGCACTCAATTTTGGACGGAGGCCAGCCTGTAGCATTGGGGGACTGCCAAGGAACAACGCATATCACTCCTCACTCCACACCCATGACTTTCTTGTGCTAAAAATACTGGGAGTGTATTAACTTGGAAGTTTCGTATTTCTTTTTGCGGACTCTTGCAATTCTGGCTACAATGATCAAGCAGGTGTAAGTTGAAAGTTTGCCAAAATGCCTTTTTGGACAAATGACAGACCTTTCCTGCAGAAACGTTTTCATTAATATTTGATTTACAAACACTCTCACATTGGAACACAAACATTAAAGGAATATTCCAATATATGCCTTATTATTCTATTGTATTTTTACTTCCTAAATAGGGATTATTCTACTTTCTCAGTAGAGATTAAAAAAGAACAAATAAAAGCAGGTAGGGTTTCTACATGTCTCAAAGCACCAAGTATAGTCATCAACCCTTCCCCTATCCTGCAGTCACAGAGCTGTACAGGAGGGAGTACAGGATGTAAACACAGTCAATGCCAAAAGACTTTCCTACCACACTGTATTGCAACAGCAGAATGAGCTAGGTGGAGTTTATGACTGGACACGGGTGGGGCTACAAGTAGGACAAAGATTTTCAAGCGTGATGTAGATAAATACAATGACTTTGTACAGAGAGTGCTTTCTGATCAGGTGTATCAACTACACAAGGAAGTTACATGCCAACATTAATTCATAGAATTACAAAATTGTAGAGTTGGAAGGGACACCAATGATCCTGTAGTCCAACTACCTGCAACGGGGAATCACAACTAAAACATCCTTGACAGATGCTTAAAAACATCCAATGAAGGAAAGTCCACCACCTTTTGAGGAAGTCTGTTCCATTGTCAAACAACTCTTCCTAATGTTTAGTTGGAAACTCCTTTCTTGTAACTTGAACCCATTGTTTCCAGTCCTAACCTCTGGAGTAGAAGGAAACAAGCCTGCTCCATTTTCCATGCAACAGCCCTTTAGAAATCTGAAGATTGCTATAACTCCTCTCTTTACCAGGCTAAACACACCCAACTCCCTCAACTATTCCCCATAAGGCTTTGTTTCTAGACCCTGGATCATCTCAGTTGCCCTACTCCATACATGTTCCAGCTTGTCAATATCCTTATTAAATTACAGTACCCAGAACTGGACATAGTATTCCAGCTGTGGTCTGCCCAAGGCAGAATAGAGCAGTACTAGGACTTCCCTTGATCTGGACATTGGGCATCTACTGATGCAGCCTAGAAAAGAACCAGCCTTTTTTTTTTTTGCTGCTGCTGCATCACATTGCTGATTCATGTTAAGACCCCTAGATCCTTTTCATAAGTGGCTGGGTATAAATAATAAATTATTATTACTATTATTTTAAAAATATAATAAAGCACTGTTGGAAAGCCAGGAGACCCCCATCGTATATTTGTGCACCTAGTTATTCCTTCCTAAGTGCAGAACATTACATTAGTCCCTACTGAAATTCATTTTTTAGTTTTTGCCCAGTTTTCCAATCTGATAACCCTGATTCTATCTTCTGCAGTATTAACTACCCTTCCCAGTTTGGTGTCATCTGCAAATTTGATGAGCATCCCCTCAATACCTTTATCCATATTGTTTATGAAGACGTTGAGCAATACTAGTCCCAGGACAGAACCCTGTGGCATCCCACTTTTTACAGGATAATGAGGAACCATTAGTGAGCACTCATTTGGTTTGGCCCGTCAACCAGGAGCTGTCTCATTTCAACTGCCATTTCCTGTAATAACCCATAGCGCGTTTAAGACCTGTGCATGCCCCCTTTTGCCACACTGCACATGTAATATCACAGCCATGCCAAGTCATATTCAGAAGTACATGACTGATGGAGCCTATCTCAGTATCTACCAAGGCCCATTTCAGTCCTGCCTACTAAGACCCTCAACTGATTGGCCTGAGGTAAACCAGACCCACCTGCATAGAGGCCAAACATACTAGAATAACCACTGTTTCATACATGACTGCTATTGAAACACTACAAAAAGTGCTGCCAGCTGTAGTGACATGGAGAAATGTCCCCAAAGAGGCAGCAACAGCCGCCCTGCCTTTGCACTTAATTGCAGCCATGGCATAAGAAAAAGCGAGAGGAAAACTAATCAAATTCCATATAAACTGAACTCACACTAATCTAAGGCCTTAATATAGATCAATGCCATTCACAAGACAGATTTACATATGGCAGGCAATGCAGCAGGGCACCTACACATCTCAAAGTGGACAATCTGCCAGAAGGTACATGTATGGCAGAGGTGGAGGAACTATTTAAGCTTTTTATTGTTTTTTAATTACCTACATGCTTTTCATTTGCCATGTACTTTAGAGAAGCCCCTGGGGCATTTCTCTGGGTTAGGCATAATGACCAGGAATCTAATTAACATAGTTTACTCACACCTGCTTTGAAAAACAACCCAAGGTAGACCCAACCCAAGGCAGACAGCTAGCAGCACTTTATTTTAAGTGTGTATGTTATACACACACTCTGTAAGAACATCTGTAGATAAAAATCTACTACCCTGTATGACCAGGGGGTTTGGTTTGCTGTGTGCTCCTTTGGCCAATGTTCAGAGGCAAATTAGCAGGAACTGTAAGTAAAAGATGGCTATTATCACTGTGGACAGTCCTCACCAGCCTTTATAGATATTTGGACTTGCCTTTTCACTCTCATTGCTGCTTTCCTTATTGAGGCTGAGGGACCCCAAAAGGAACAAAACCACCACATGGTATTTTACTAGCCTTCAGCCAAGGGGTATAATCATTTCCTAAATCTGGCCGTCTCTGTTACAGTATGCATGTTGAGTCATGCTCAGTTTAGCACTCTCTAGAAGTTCTGCTGTCTCAACTGCTCTCTCTCATAGTTCACCTATCTTTTTATACTTCTTGGCTCACATTTGATTTATTATGCCCAGTCTTCCTCTAATTTACATGTTGGAAGAACAGAAGTTACGAAGAACTGCCAAGATACCATATTAAAGAAGCCATCTGTGAGTAAACATTTATGTCTGCACATACAGATACTAAACCAGTGGTGGCCAAACTTGGCCCTCCAGCTGTTTTTGGACTACAACTCCCATCATCCCTCGCCAACAGGACCAGGTCAGGGATGATGGGAATTGTAGTCCAAAAACAGCTGGAGGGCCAAGTTTGGCCACCACTGTACTAAACCAATCCACTGACATGTACAGCAAAGAAGCTGAAGCCGAGTGCAATCGGTATCATTAAGTCCTGTGCACAAATCTAGCTCAGCCTTCATCCATCTGCTTTTGAACTACAAATCTCATCAACCCCAGCCAGCATGGTGCCATGATATGAGTTTTAATCCAAACAGCTGGAGGGCATCAAGCTGGGAAAGCCTGATCTAGCTTGATACTCAGAGGACAGCTTTAGAGTGAAAAGGCACATTTCACTGGCCTAAATCAGCTTTCAAAAAATGATCACATCCAGCCCCTTCTCACCTGTTGATGAAGCCATAGCCGTTCCTTACGTTGAACCATTTCACTGTCCCCAAAACCTTCGTTGCTACAAAAAAAAGAAAGAAAGAGTGACTGCAAGTTAAGATGTATGCTCCCTCTGCTCCTCTCTCTCTCTCTCTCTCTCTCTCTCTCACACACACACACACACACACACTATGAGGGGCCATTCAAAAAGGTCTGAGCCACATATAGATGTTTATCACTGGACTGCAGCATCATGGCTGCTGCTCTCATGTACCAAAAGATGAACTTTCCTGATGCCATGGGTCACACATGAGTAAAGAAGCTTATTGCCTTAGCCATGAGTTCAGTTTTGTGGCCTCAGGCAAGGTACCCTCAACCCTCTCACCTGCAATAAGGGATCTTTATTGAGATAATTTTGTACTGCATTTGCACACACATATAGTGCAATTACATATGTGTGTGTGTACACACACTATATATGTGTGTTTATAATAAAAAACTAATTTTTAATTAAAATATAGAATTTATAATTAAAATATGATGTATTTCAATCTATTTGAAAACATGAAAGGAAATGAGGATAAGACACCGTCAATATTAAAAGAACTTCACAAAACATGCAGCCCGTTCCTATACATTCATTATACTATACCCATTCAATAAGGTAGATGTATGACTGCAGCTTTCAGATTTTTAAAAAAAAGATATATATAATTTAAACAAACTTTAACAGTTTTTTTTAAAGGCTTTAAGTTGCAGGAATGAAACTTCAAAACTGACTCCAATGGGCCTTGTGACATCCCAAAGTCCTGAATCAAGGGATGAGCGATCAAATCATGTGCACATTTCTGTCAATTTGCCAACCAGCCCCCAAAAATAACAGCAGCAAAGCAGAGCCTGGCCTGCTCTTGTGCATTGAAAAGCCATTTGATATGTGGAAAACAGATGCAGCTTTTCACAAGGAAAGGAGCATGATCCACCCGCAGACCAAATGGCTATTTAAAAATGGACAAATAGAGGGGAAGGGGAGACTCAAAAGATGGCAACCTGCTAATGGACAGTGGCATGGGAAATGCTACTGTCATTGTTGGTTTTTGTGTAAAAAGAAAAAAATGGATGTAGCTGAGCACATACTTTAGCATGCAAAAGGTCAAAGAATTAATCTCAAGCATCTACAGCTAGGGCAGAAAAAGACTCCTTTCTGAAACCAGGCAGAGCTGCTATCAGTCTGCAGATTAATATTGAGCTCAGTGTAATTCAGTATAAGGCAGTTCTTCCTACTCACACTTCAATGGCAAAACACACCTTTTGAAGCTGGAAGGTCTCATGTTCAAACTCCAGCATCTCCAGGTGAGGCTGGGAACAACTACTGCCCCAAACCCTGGAGACCTGCTTCCAGTCAGTGTAGTCCATTCTGAACTGCATGACCCAAAAGTCTGATATGGCAAGAGGCAGCTTACTATATCCCTATAACCCTCAACCTGAATCTACTCCCCATCCCCGATTAAGGTAATTTTTAAAAATATTAAAACTGGCCCTCCAGTAAATAAAACAAGCAAATTTAATTAAAACTTGCAGTAATAAACTATCAATTAGTTATATACACAAGCACACACACTCTCCCCTCAACTGTCACACTGTGGTAACCATTCCAGCAGTGGGAAAACTGAGAAGCAGAGTTCACTCAATCTGCTCTGCTGTGACAGGCCAGTGGCACCATGCCTCCTCTCCCCTCATCTGTCACCTAGGGGCAGCCATTCCATTAGGCTGCCCCAGTGGGAAGAACAGGAAGCAGGGCTCATTCCACTAGCTTTGCTGGAGGCCCAGCTTCCTCAAACACCTCCTGCCCCGGAACTGGTGCCTAAATTTAGATTTCCCCCACTTCCCTTGTGTATCATGTTTTTTTAAAACTGTAAGCCTGCGGGGCAGGGACTGCCTTGATTTGATGGTATGTAAGCAGCTCTGGAAGTCTTTCTGGCCCAAGAGCATGGTATAAAAATGTACCAAAAATTCAGCTACATGAAACATCACAGCTACTGTTCAGAGAACAATCTGCGGCTAATAGCATCAATAACCGGGATTAATGGAGAGCAGGGAGGGGGGGCTCCCCCACGGCAATCACACAAAGGCTGCGCGCGTGGCGGACATCTTGCGCCGTCTCCTCGGCCACGCCCCCTCCCACACGCACGCACGAGCCGCTTGCCTTCCCTTTCCCCACCAACATTTTCTCCGCGCAGGCGCGCTAAGGAGAGGGAGCGCGAGGCAAAGCGCCTCAACGGCCGGGGCACGCGCTCGGACCTGAAGGGGAGGAGGGGGCGAGTCTTATTAGAATATGAGGAACTAGGGGAGGAATAAAAAGACTCAACGCGGCCAGCCAATAAAGGAGGGGAGAACGGAACGGAGGCGGAGACAAGAAAAGGCACGAGCGCGAGCAACCAGCCCACCCTCAGCCAATCATCGAGGCGGGAAATGGAACGTGAGTGAGGAGTCGGGAGGGGGGAGAGTAGGGGATAAAAAGCGCGCGCGGGAGAGGAAGGGGGACAGAAGCCCACGGAGCCAGCCCAGTCTGTCAGTCGCTCAGCCGCGCCCCCGTTAGCACTCGCGCGCGCGCCCCCGCAGGCCCCGCCCACCCTCCGCTCCTCTTTCCCCCGCCCGTCGTCCCTCACACGCTCCTTCCCTCCCTCTTTTTTTCCGAGCCCCCAGCCTCACCGATGACCTTCTTGTCCCCGCCGGCGGGGGGCGCCGCCGAGCCCAGGCCGCCGCCGTTGGATCCGTTGCCGCCGCCGCCGCCTCCTCCGCTGCCGCCGCCGTTCCCGGGCTTGGCGTCCGGGGCGACGACGATGGCGGTTGTCGGGGACGGGGGTGCGGGCGCCGCCAGGGGGGCCGCCGCAGGCGCCGCCGCCGCTGGTAGAGGGGCGGCTGTGGCTGTGGCGGCTGCGGCGGTGGGCGACTGGGTCTCGGCCTCGCTGCTCATGGCGGCGCCGGTGTCTGTCGGCGGACGGTGGTGGTGACTGGCTTTCGCAGCAGCTGCAGCAGCGCCGCCTCCCGCGCGGTGTTGATGGTGACTCGGGGGCCGGCCGTTGGCGGGGGGGGGGGCTGCTCCCTTGCTCCGGGCTTGCTGGGCTCCGCTCTCCGCTCCCGATACCGATCGAACTGGCCACAATGGCGGCGCGCACTCGCTAGCCACCCCGCAGGCGCCGCCCACCGTGCGGCGCCTATTGGGCGCCGGATTCCGTCAGTCAGTTGCCGCGCGTAGCGATTGGGGTGTCGAGGCGCGCCTGAACGTTCGGGCCTATTACATTGGCCTCGGGAGCCCGTCTGTCAGAAGCTGCGCGCGGCCATTGGCTGGGCTCCAGTCCTCTTTTCCTCCCTCCTCCTCTGAAAAAAGAGTAGATAGGTTGTAACATGCGCTTGCTTGCCTCGCACAGTCTGCCAGTCGATGGGTTTCGGGTGGTGATTGGGCGAGAGCGCTCCCTTTTCCTGCCCCTCCCTTTGGGGGAAAGGCACAGTCAGGAAGTGCCCTTTCCTAACCCTACATGGGGACCATGTGGTCGAGGGAACCTAGGTTCCCTTGCCTTGTGGGGCCGTTGCCGCCCTTCCCCGTTCAGGGCCTACACATTCTCTGCCCATGCAGTAAACCACGTTTACTCGGAAGCCCCATGTGGTTTAGTGAGACTTACTCCCAAGTAAGTGTGCACAAGATCGTGGCCTCTTGTCGCTCCGTGTGTTTACTCAGCCTTCGTTATTTTCACTGGGGCTTGCCTCTCGGGTAAATGTGGCAGAACGGCGGTGGAGAACCGGTTTCGAAGACCAAAGGCTTCTTTCCCTCGCGGGCCAGCACCTAAGGGCCGCGTGGCAGGGGTGGGCGGAGCCGGGGCAATAGTGGGTGGAGCAACAGGTGCGACTCTTACCTTTGTATGGGAGACTACTTCCTGATCCCACCCACGCATTGATCGCCCCAGCAAGCAGCACTTTTGCTATTCTATAGCGTGCAGAAGTCTCCGAAAATGGTGTGGAGCCAGGATGGTGAAAAGGGAATGGGCTGGGCAGAGTCCCAAGAACCAGGTAGTGGATAGCTACGATCCGCCTTTCAGGACCTGTGGTTCTACACCCCAGAGCCTTAGGGCAGCTCCACACTAAACATTTTAAATACATTCAATGCACATCTAAAGCACATGGAAGGCCAGATCCTGAAGCGGAGGCTCCAATTCTTTGGCCACCTCATGAGAAGAGAAGACTCCCTGGAAAAGACCCTGATGTGGGGAAAGATGGAGGGCACAAGGAGAAGACGACGACAGAGGATGAGATGGTTGGACAGTGTTCTTGAAGCTACCAGCATGAGTTTGACCAAACTGCGGGAGGCAGTGGAAGACAGGAGTGCGTGGCGTGCTCTGGTCCATGGGGTCACGAAGAGTCGGACACGACTAAACAACAACAAAAGCACATGGGTTTTCTCATGCTTTTTTCTGGGGGGATGCAGGGGTACGCGTACCCCTAAACATTTTGTGAATCCAAGTTTGGCTTCATTGGGGGGGGCAGTATTTCAATATGAATAAGAAAATGAGAGTACCCCTAAACATTTTAAGAAAAAAAGCACAGGTTTTCTCAAAGACCTTACAGAACTCTAGTTTTTCCCTCACAGAGCTACCATTTCCAGCACCCTTAATTCCCAGGATTTTGGGGGGGAAATCATGTGCTTTAATTTCGGATCTGCCCTTAGTCAGTGGATAATAATAATTTTATTATTTGTACCCCAGCGCCTCTGATGGGCTTGTCCCAGCCACTCTGGGAGGTTTCACGAAATATTAAAAACTTCGCTATACAGGGTTGCCTTCAGATGCCTTCTAAAAGTTGTATACGTAGTTCTTTATTTCCTTGACATCTGATGGGAGGGCATTCCACAGGGAGGGTGCCACTGCAAAGAAGGCCCTCTGCCTGGTTCCCTGTAACTTCTCTTCTCACAGAGGGAACCACCAGAAGGACTATTACCCTTCTAACTTGGAAGTAAACCCTGCTGTTTTCAATGGAGTTTTCTCATGCATCCAAAGCAGAATTACCTAAATGTAGTTCTTAATTGTGGGTATACTTGCATAGGACGGCTGCATGCAGATGAAAATGGCTTTATTTTCCCTGATGTGAGTGTTCTATTGCAATTGTCTTCAATAAGGCTCGGAGCCTGATGTACACTTACCTGGGAGGGAGGCCCACTTACCTCTGTGGAACTGACTAGTTAGTAGATAGACATGCATAGAATGACACTGTAAAACAACTCACTCCAGCACCTGAAAGACTTCCTCAGTTTTGCTTTACCTATCTGTCTATGATCACTTAGGAACAGAGGAACCTTGCTTATATAGTCAGAACATTCGTGCTATCTACACTGACAGTGAGTCTCCAGGGTTTCAGGCAAACCATGTCTCTCAGCTCTGCCTGGGGTGATGGGGTATTGAACCCAAACCTTCTGCATGTAGAGCAGATGCTGGACCACTGTGCCTTCCACCACAAGAAGACTGGGACTGGCAGTGTTCACAAGCTCTAACCCAGCCTTAATGAGAAAACAGATGGGTTGGTTTGTTCAGCCTTACACCAAGGCCATCAGCATCCTGTTAGAAACCAGAATTTTGTATAATTAATGACACGCAAAGCACCCCTATGTAGTTTTTACTCAGAACTAAGTCCAACTGTGTTCATGTATGATTTGAATCTGGTTCCCCAAGGACATGTTCTTTACTAATAATCCTTGAACATGCCTTGGAACTTTGTGTCCCTCCTCATTTGAACAAGCCAAGGAAACTTTGCCAAAGTGAATTCTAGCTTCCCCCATTCATCCTGAAGCCCCTGTGAACATGATGGCTTTGAAATAAGCATGGTTTAGGTTCATTCGACCCTCTTACTCAGACCACATTTTGTCCAACCCACATCAGCTCATCTTCCCAGGCACCAACTCCTAGTTCTTACCTTGAAAACTCTCCCCAACTTTTTCTATCTGCTTTTATTTCCTTTTAAATGTTTGTCTGAGACTTTTGCTCCTCCAGCTCCGCCACCCTCAGGCCATGCAATGTCAGCCATTCTGCCTTGTTTCCCCTTAGGCAGCAGTGGTGCAAAGTTTGGGGCACCCTATGCAAGTGCACCTGCTCCTAGCATCTGGTTGCTCAATATTTCAAAGAGTAGACAGACCCTTGGTGTGGTTTTTCTTTGTTTTTACACGTCTGAGTTCTGATCGTGCTCCTCAACACTGAAGAAAAAGAGCTAAACACCAGGAAGATCTATCTGGCAGTAAGAGCTGCTTGACAGTGGAACGGACTCCCTCGGAAGATAGCGGACTCTCCTTCCTTGGAGGTTTTTAAGCAGAGGTTGGATAGCCCCTCTGCCATGGATACTTTAGTTGAGATTCCTGCACTGCAGGGGGTTGGACTAGATGACCCTTGGGAATCCCTTCCAACTCCGAGTCTATGAGCAGATATACTTGCATGACACAGACTGCTGACCTAGTTCAATCCCAGTAGAATGACTTTTGCGCTATGGAAGCATCTTGCTTCTCTCCTTCACCCAACCCTTTGCCCATTCATCCTCTTCATGGCAGGGATGGGAAAATACGTGGCTTTCTGAATGTTGCTGGACCATGGTTTTCACTGGGGGAATTGGCCATGGTGTCTGGGGCCGACAGGAGCACAGCATCATCTAAAGGGCAGCAGGTGTCCCATAGACTAGTGCTTGAAACTGAGTATCTGATGGAACCTGCTGCCATAGCAGCAATGAAGACTCAGCTGCATCTACACCCTGTGGTCATTGCCTGATCAAAGTATCTGGCAAGCCAGGAAGCTATTTTGCCAAATGTCAGAAGGGTAAGTCTGTGCAGGCACCACCTGCGAACAGCACACTGGGAAGCAAGTAAGAGTTGGCAAAGACATTTCTGTAATCTAGGAGAGTGCTAGCTCTAATCCCTCTCTCTTGGTCTGCCAGAAATCCCATTAGGATGTTATAGGCACACGGACTAGCAGAAAGTTATAGACAAATAGCTTTTGTGGCGTATTGTGCGATTTCTCAAAAGGGACACTTTAGATCTGTATCTGTTCGCTCTATTACTTCCTCTCCCCCAGTAACCCATTAGCCTCTGCTTGAAAATCGAGAGGTACACATATTTTTTTTATATAAAGTAGGGTGAGATCCAATAGGCACTTGCAACTGTGGCAGCTTACCAACTGCCCCTGCCAAAGCTGTTTCCTCCCTCCAATTATTTTGCTGACTTTTATGCTGTTCCTTCAGTTAATTGCTTATTTCAACCTATAGCTATACTGTATCCTTTTTGGTTTTTTGGGCAATTTAGGATATGCTTTTAATAATAAAGATAAAGCATTTTGTGCAATGCTAATTCTACTGTATACCCACTTAAATTATTGAACATGACTTAGGCCCATTTCTTTCACTGAGAAAGTTAGATATAACCCATTATTCCTGCTACACCCACACAAGATGAAAACACCAGGCTGTGTTGCTGTATACTCCTTGCTCTGCTCTTCTGGGGAGAGGCAGTGTCCAAATACCCAAACAACCACTTCCTGGGCACTGTGCTTGCTGTCTGCTGAGGATTGTATCCAGTTCTGTCCCTACTCCGGGTAGGACCACTGGAGTTAATGAACACAATAACTTGAGTCCACCACTTTCAGCAGGTCTCCTCTCAGAGTAGGACATCATTGGATACACCCTTAAGACTGAGCCACAGGTGCTTAATGAATCACACAAGGTTTCTCAACTGGATTTTTTCCTTCCTATTTCTCTGAGTAAAAAACGGACTGCCACACCTAAAAATAAAATGACATATACCTATCATATATACCGAGAACAAACTTGATTCTCCATGCCATTCCTCCTCCAAAACAGCACCACCAATGCAGAAAAGAGAGGGAACAGCAAGGCTTGAGTGAACCCAGTGGTTTGCAAAAATAAATTTCATGGGGCAAAAGCTTTTTTTGGGGGGTGGGACTCAACCCTGTAAGGATTAAGAATACTCTGGTCCAGAATTTTTGGAGGGTTGGACAGAAAACGGGGGAGGGGGAATGGAATGGAGAGTTCAGGAAGAATCCTGGTGGAATCCTGAACAGGAGGCATGGTGCACTGCAATGTTTTATTGTAGGCCTCACTTGCAATTGACCCAAGTCCAGGTTGCCTGGGATGACTCACTCGATGGACTTTGCTGATGTCACAAGACAATGGCCCCCAATAATTCTTCCCGTTTGGCAATTCCTTGTGCATTCCAATGGAACAACAGACACTTAACCAAATTTCTTTATTTACAATGGGGGGAGAAAATTAGTTTGGAATGTGTGGTAGATGAGGCACCACAGGAAAAACATGGAACAACCAGGAGGTGATGGTGATCCAAGATGGAAAGAGACTAACCTGGAATCAGGAAGAGGCAAAGAGTCAGTCATCATCACAGCTCTAACACAGTGTACCAGAAACAGAACATTTCAGCCCAAATAAGATGCTTTGTGAATGGATCTTGGCAATGCCACTAGAGGTCCGTGTGGGGTTGCAGCACCCAGAGATACTAGTGATCCACTCAACTATGCAGCTGGGGAGCCCACAGGATGGGTAAACTCTTTCTCCAGCTGGAGGGCCACATTCTCCCTTGTCCAACCCTACGTGGGACTTTATGCCATTTCTGGATGTGGTCACACCTGTTGTAGGGACTGGTGATTGCCAAAGCCTAAGAAGGGTCTTAAAGAGGATGGATTTTGTGCCAAGGCAGCTCACACGATGCAGTATATGAGTGTCGTCAGCAGACAAACCTGATTTCCTTTTGATTAATATTTTCTGCATTTATTGTACTTAATATAATTTATTTAGCAATGTGTTGCGGGAACTTAAGGGCTCTCAAGGAGAGTGTAGCCTCCACTCTTGACCACTGTAAACCTTTATTCAGCAACTGGTCTGAGTTGGAGACTCCACCAGGCCGAAACAGGATTTCAAAACCAGATGAGCAAAACATTCACCTTCAAAATGTTACCTGATAATTACATACCTGTCTCTAGTTTGAATGAATGTTAAGATTGTTACAAAGCTGAATTCTGCACTTTTATGGAGCACAGCATACACTACGGTTTCATTCAACTGAAGTCAGATTCAGAAGTATACCCACTGAAATTGATAGGCATTATTAAGTTTGACAATTTGATGTGGTCTACTTTGAGTCTGACTTGGCTGTATACAAACCTTGGCATATGCTGTCTTCCATAAAAGGAAAGAATTCAGCTTCCTAAAAATCTTTATTTTTTACTCAAGCTAGAGATAGATATGCAATATAGCTTATCCACCCTCCCCAGCTTCATTGGGCCAGGTTGTGGCTATCACAGCTATGGAGATGGGTACCTACCTTGAGAATCGTTTCCCCCTACATCTCACCACATTGGGCAATCACCACTGGCAGTTTGGGCTTGTTATTTGGACCGGTGGGCACGTTCTGAGGAGGGAGCAAAAGGCAGCATTATGAGGAGACCCTCAGCCCCTGCTGGGAAGAGCCATTATATACTTTCCCCACCCCTTAGCAAGCCATTTTCAAGATAATTTTTCTCATCTATGATTGGTTGGTGTCCTCAGGACCTTATTTTTCTACTGGCAAACCTGCAACCCACAAAGTTGTGTCTCACAAACTGACGGAGATCATTCTCAGTTTTGAGCTGAAGAGCTGCCTGCCACTTTGAATGATGTAAAGCAACATCCCCATTTACAGTTAACGGATCAGAATGGTCAGAAAGGCAGCAGAAGTCAAGCCTGATCACTCAAGCCCAGGGTGGTCAACATCTTCATGTGCTTTACATTCTGCCACAATAAGGACTAGAATCTTAACTTAGATTCCTGAACTGCCCAATTCTGCATGGTAATCTGACTGCCGACTTGTGCACCAAACCCGCAAATTAGCACAATAGTTACTTCTCTGGCTAAAATACTTACTTCAATTTTTCTCATGACAAGCAGCCCGTCAACTATTTTACCTGCCGGGTTTTAAAAAAAGGATGATTTTAATTTTTCAAGTATTTCCAACTCAACATCAGCAAAATTAAGGTCAAACAATGCAAGAGAGGACTGTGTACAGATGTGGCCTTGCTTGACCATGGAGAGCTCTTCTAGGGGTTCCCCATGGCTCAGACACACGACTCATATCTACTAGGATCTGTGCGTTTGATTGAGTCTGTGGAACTCCTGACTGAGACCCTCTTCCTGTTAAACTTCTGATGACCAATAAAGACCTTTCTATTTCAGCCAGCATATAAGTGAACACTCCTGTTTTTATTACTGATTCTATCTACTTCATTTCCTTTGTAACTTTATTGTATGCTGCTTAGAAGCTATGTGTTACGGGCTAAATAAGTTGCCTAAATAAATAGAGAAAAAGGGAATCATTCAAAAGCAGATTGCAATACGGGGATGGGTGATGGGTTTGGGTTGTTTTTTTGGGGAGGGAACTAAGTGAATTCCCACAGGCCCTCCCAAGGCCATGGACACACCTAAAGGAGCTTTTCTGATCTTGGTCCTTGCCCAGATTGGAGCTAAGAGCATAAGAAGAGCCCATGGCCCATCCAGTCCAGCATCCTGTTCTCAGAGTGGCCAACCAGATGCCTCTTCTGGGAACGCTGCAAGCAGGACTTAAGCACAAGAGCACTCCCCTTTCCTGTGGCTTGCAGGAACTGGTATTCAGAAGCATTACAGTCTCTGACTCCTGGGTCAGACCACAGCCATCTATAACCCTCTCTCCTCCATGAATTTGTCAATTCCTGTTTAAAGCCATCACTGCCTCCTCGGAGAGAGAGTTCCAAAGTTTAGTTATGCTCTGCGTGAAGGTAGGACTTGTCCTGACTACTCACCAAAGACTACATGCTTCCCATCCAGCCAGTCACACTTGGAGCAGGTGATGAAGAACTGGCAGCCATTGGTGCTGGGGCCACTATTTGCCTAGCGGGGGGGAAATCCACATAAATCATGGAAAGCAAACGCCCACACTCAGCCTCGCTCTGCCACAGCTGGTCTGGTGCACAGGATCCCAAAGGAACAAATAAATAAAAGGTAGTCCTAAGACCACCCTACTATATGTGGACTAGCACAGAAGCTCTGATCTGGGCAGAGAAATGAAAATCACTTCTTTTCAGGGTGAATAAGCTAAAAACAGATTAAAACATATACCTGGACATGCCTGACTAAACCATAATGCTTTTAGCAGGTGCTACACCAGGCCTTTATGATGGCAGGAAAGGTCAAAAGTACTCTGAGCCCCTGCTGAACGACTGCAGTTTCAGACAGATTATGAAAAAATTCTGTTTCTTAAAAACTGTTTAATGAGTATTGTGCAATGTATTTGGTTATCTGTATTATAATGTACATTGTGATGTGTTTGGCAGAGGAAATCTTTTCTCTGGTCAACTGAAAGTTAAACTGTCACTGGGGGGTCTTAACTGACAGTTGGGGAGGGGCTGGAGATAGAACTCTCAGTATGCAACTGAAGGATAGAAGAGATGTATACTCTGATTGGTGGTTGCTGGTTTAGAATTCTCAGACTGACAATGTGATTGGATGAGGATAGACTGGGAGGGGCCAGAAGAAGTGAATATAAGGCTGGGTGCTAGATAGCCGGAGTCAGTCTGTGCTAGACATCCAGAGGAAGAAGATAGCAGAGGCTGAGAACTGAGGAAGAGTGGAGAAGACCTGAAAGGCTTGGCAGTCAAAGAGTAACTGGGGTAGCCAAGCGACTTGACTAGCCAAGACGGGAACATAAACAGATCTGGGATTCAGCATGGCTGGAAACAGAAGCTTCAATGAAAGCTCAGTTAAAGTGTTGGTGAAGTTTGACTGAGGTGGAGTATAATATAAGATCAGTCTGTCAGAAGTTTTATCAGGATTCCTCAAAGCTGCCTTGGTTTAGTCATAGTACTGTAAAAAAAGCTGCTGTTATTAAGTATATACACATTTGAAGACACAGTAACTTACATAAGCTTGTGCATTGCATCATAAATGTTAGTACCTTGTCAAATACAGTCGTACCTCAGAAGTCAAATGGAATCCGTTCCAGAAGTCCGTTTGACTTCCAAAATGTTTGGAAACCAAGGCGTGGTTTCCAGTTGGCTGCAGGAAGTTCCTGCAGTCAATTGGAAGCAGTGGAAGCTGTGCCAGATGTTTGGGTTCCAAAGAACGTCCGCAAACCGGAACACTCACTTCTGGGTTTGCAGCATTCGGGAGCCAAAACATTCGACTCCCAAGGCATGAGTGCATTTGACAAATATATTAATGACATGATTGGCTTTGCCCCACACTTACATCTCACAGGGTTATTAGTTGGTAAAGGGTGTAAGTTATACTAAATGGTGTTAGCAGAATAGGTTTATGAAAATCATTACAGTGGGAGCTGGGTTTTCTTGTTATTAAGAAAATTATCACCATGGGCTTCAATGCATGTACAACTCTCACATGCCGCAAACTGATGGCTCTTAAGGTCCAGGAGAGACTGCTACCTTTGCACATGGGCAAGAGCAACCCCAGCTGCACCCTAGTTCCAAATGTAGCCAAGTTGCTTCCAAATCTAACTGAAACGTGAGATGGTGGATGTAGGGTGTATCCCATTCTATTATTACAGTCACCCTGCAAGGTAGGATGTGTGAGTGGCTCAAGGTAATTCAGCAGAGCATCATGCCCAAATAGGGTACTCCATGCCAAAGACACTTGACGTCCCACTGCTTTTAAAAGGCACACCAAATGGCAGGCCAACCCCATCCCTTTATAGGGGTCAGAAAAGGGAGCCTGAAGTCGAATTAAATTGCTGGACCACAATCATTTTCTCCAGGCTACTTACCATGGATAGCAGACCAGGAGCAGAGTGTTTCAGCTTGAAGTTTTCATCTGCAAAGGGACCCCGGTAGATGCTTGCCACTCCGGTGCCATCTCCCTGTTTTAGAAAGTGGTCATGCACTCAATTCCACAGCTGAAGTTTTATTGGGAGTGAGTAATGTTCTCATTTATTGTTTATTTTGGATGCTGACAAGTGTCTCTTGATAAAACCAGCCACATAATTAGAACACTTGCAGAAATGTGTTTTGGGAACCTCTTTCCCTGAACAGCTACATGGTCCTCCGATCTTCTTTCCTTCAAATCCGCCCTTAAAAAACAGACTTTCTCCAAGTGGCCTTTGGCTCATCCTCTTAAATGTGTTTCCAGCAGCAACATAGTTTTGCAATACAAGTGTAAAGGCACATTCTTGGGCTGCCCAGGTCTGTCTCCTGACACTTTGGCCACACTCATTTTTATACTTTGACTATGTCCACATTTACTTGTGGCCCTAGGGCAGTTGGCCACTGCTCAATGTGGCCCTCAGTCTGAAAAAGGTTAGCCTGCCCTGATTTACATAGATTGCATGTAACAGTAATAATAAATAGCTAATTGAGGAGTTTTGTATATGGTCTAAATTAAAGTGCTGTGGGTTGATTATTTATTGCATTTATATACTATTTTTCTGTCAAGACACCTAAGTTTACAATTTTAAGGTACTAAAGCAAATTATATAACATCTAAAGTTGGCTGTGGGGCAATTGAATGTTGTCTGTACCTGCCTCCCTTGACTTCCTCTTCCCTCTTATTTTACAACTGAAGTATCCTGTGCAACATCAAGGCTTGTCTATTCAGGCACCAATTCAGGTAAGTCAGCCAGAACATATCAGACTACCTTTTTTGTGAAGCTTAAGGGCAGTTACACAAAACTTTCTGCGGCCTCAGTTAGCTTTTCTTGAGCACCCACCACAGAATTATATTTGGTTGGGCAAAACATGGCTTAGGGTGAACATGCAGACTCCCAGAGAGGAGCTCACAGTTGCTTTGCTCCTCCTCTGGCCCCCCTTCTGTGGATTAAGCCATGGTTTGGCTCAGCATGTTGCCTGAACTTGGGTTCAACTCAGCCAGATGGGCGGGGTATAAATTTATTATTATTATTATTACTACTACTACTACTACCTCACTCCCAACAAGCAACAGGTTGTAACCAAAGGTAAGATTCCAAGAGGAAACACTGCAATGTCCCTCCCCTTGATGACAACAAAGCAGAATGAAAAAAAATGGAGCACTTACATTTACAAAATCGCCTCCTTGGATCATGAAGTCCTTAATGACCCTGAAAAAGTGGGGGAAATAAATAAATTGTAGGCTAGACAGACAAAACAGTTACTCTTCAGCACACAGCTGGGAAGACTGCCAGTTGGCTGTGTGTTCTTCAGTCGCCTTGCAACCAGCCCAAAAGCAAAACTGCACCCACAGGGCCACCTGCTGATCATTGCCGGCACTGGAGTAGTTGTTAATCCTACTCAGAGCAGATCCACTGAAATCCATGGTCATAGCCATTTCTATTAATTTCAGTGTGTTTACTCTGGAGTAGGACTGATGTTGGCTACAACAGACACTGTTTTTAATGAAGGAATGGGAAGAAGCTATTTGTGCGGCTGTTCCCAAATCCTGCTATATCAACAGTGGATGATCCAAGACAAGCTCTTGAGAAACCCTTCAAGGCTTGCCCCTTGAGCAACACTTCCCAAACATTGGGTTGTTGCCATGCATTGAAAGCTTCACTTTAAGAGTCAGACAATTAATGTACCTGTGAAAAGTGCTGCCTTTGTAGCCGATAGGAACTCCATCTTTCCTAGAATACAAAGGTACAGACATGGTGAAGTTGTGCAGCTTCGGACCACAGGGACTACCCCATCCCAGTCCTCAATGCATTCACATCTGCAGTGGGCTTTGAATTGGTGACCTGAAAGATCTCAGATGTGGTTTCATTTGTGTACCACCAATAAGCTTTGGCCAAAGAAGTGGATTGCCAAAGGCCGCCCAGCCCCAAAAGGTCAAGGCAAGTCATGTGCTACTTTCTGACCCTCAGCAGATGTGTCTGGGTCATCTGGCTACATATGGAAAGCAGTCATAGAAGCCAGCTTGGACAAAGTGAGAGGCTGGCTTTCTGTAAGATGGACAGAAAGTGTCCTCCTCCCCCTTCAGCCTAGTGCTCTTTTTACACCTGCCTGCACACCCCAGGTGAAGGGCAAGAGAAAATACCACCCAGAGAGGCATCAGCCTTCTGATTATATTTAGGACTTATTAGACAAACACTCATCAACACACAAGGAACTCAGACTGCAGAAATAAGTACTTGTGGCTTAAATTGAATGGGGAAAGTGTGAGGTAGAAATCAAGGCACAGTATTTCTGCAATCTAGGAACTCATCAAAATCCCAGTTTTCAAACTTACAAATTCCCAGTTCTCAAGGAATGTATACACCAAAGAAATTGCTGACTTATGACCACTGTAAAATAAACTCCCATGTCACTCTCTGAGCCTTTCCTTTTGCACCCCAGGTGATAAGGAACAAAAACTCCAAACAACAACCAAGTACATCTCCGGAACCAAAGAAGTGTTGTACACAAGCAGAGATGAGGCATTTGCAAAGCCAGGTAGGTTATTCTTTGGGGGTTTTTGATTCTTCTTCCAAGGAGACAAGCCACCATTTGATCTTTAAAATGGTTTGTCTCCTTGATGTTGTGCACTGCTGCAGTGAAAAGTGCAGCCACCTCTGGTTCTCCTAAGCATATGTATCACAGCTTTAGAACCCAGCCAGGGATGAAGGTTTTCCTGTTTGCTCAAATGCTTATTTTTTTACACCGAGACAACATACCTGAATTCACCTGTGCAAAACTGCCTGAAAAGAAGAAGAAATCTTCAAGTTAGTTCTACTTACAGGGATGTTCTTTTTTAAGTCCACAAATTTAAGTATTCCTGAATACTGGAATAACTGTTAAGATTTGAATTCAGTGTTAAGTTGGAATTCTAGAATTCACAGCAATTTCTAGAAAAGCAACTTAAAACTTTTAAATTATTTCTGTTACAAAATAGTATATACCAAGTAGGAAGGGACCAATAATAATCTAAGTTCAGTACTGAGCAAATATTTTTTGGCTAGTGGGCTACTATGAAAAAGACAGAGAAAAACCATTATGTTCTCCCTCCATGGTATGCCATATTCTTTCAAAAAGGATGGAGGTTTGCTCTGCATTTAGAGAAAGACGTTTAGTCCAATACAGTGATATCTTGTTTCTCAAACGCCTTGGTTCTCAAATGCTGAAAACCCAGAAGTACCGTATTTTTCGCCCCATAGGACGCACAGGCCCATAAGACGCACCTAGTTTTTTGGGGGGGAAATAAAGAAAAAAAATTTATTTCCCCCCCCAGGTGCAGGGCTGGGGCGGGGGAAGCGCCCCACGGCTAGCAGAGCACTGCGCGAAGCCTAAAGGTTGGGGCGTGCTGAGCTCAGCGCGCCCCAAGCTTCTGGGTACCGGCAAGCTCTCCGCTAGCCGTGGGAGAGCTGCGTCTCCCACGGCTAGCGGATAGCTTCCTGAAGCCTGGAGAGCTAGAGGGGTCGGTGCACACCGACCCCCCTCGCTCTCCAGGCTTCAGCGAAAGCCTGCATTCGCCCCATAGGACGCACACACAGTTCCCCTTCATTTTTGGAGGGGGAAAAGTGCGTCCTATAGGGCGAAAAATACGGTAAGTGTTCTGGTTTTCTAACATTTTCGGAAGCTGAACGTCCGATGTGGCTGTCAGCTATTGTTTCCAGGGCGCCTGCACCAATCAGAAGCTGTGTCTTGGTTTTTGAACATTTCAGAAGTCCAGAACGGATTAAGTTTGGCACTTTTGTTTTTGCTATTTATTTTGTGTTTTTGAGGTTTTTTCAGTTTTTGTGTGGGACCCAGTTCAGCTACTGATTGATTGACTGACTGTGTGATTGCAGAAATGGATAAAAGCCCCCCATTCCAAACAATGACTATCATTAGTCCAGGTAAGAAAAAAAGTTAATTTTTATTTTTATTATCTACAATACTATCTCATTTATTTTATAGTATAGTACATTGATTATTGCTTTCATTTTATGGACCAATGGTCTCGTTAGATAGTAAAATTCATGTTAAATTGCTGTTTTAGGGGTTGCTTTTAAAAGTCTGAAACGGATTAATCCATTTTGCATTACTTTCTATGGGAAAGCATGCCTTGGTTTTGGAATGGACTTCTGGAATGCATTAGGTTTGAGAACCAAGGTACCCTTGTATACGAAGAACAGATTATGTGTAAGTCTGTTTTTCTCTTTCCACCCATTGCTTTCTTGCACCATGTGAGGGATTGCCTGGGAAAGAGATGAAGAAAACCCAGAAGCCTTCCCAATCTACTACCTTTGTAGTTTCGAACTACAAGTCCCATTAGACCTCCTCGTATAGGGTGGTATATAAATTCAATAAATAATCATCATCATCAGCCCCAGTCAGCATGTCTAAAGGCTGGCAATAATGGAAGGTGCAGTCCAAAATACCTGGAGGGCACCAGATGGGAAAGACTGTGCCAGAAGAATGGCATAAGGAATAATATATTTTCACGTGCACTGGCTGAACCAATCTGAGGAAGGGAGGGGAGGGTATTTATCTGGAGATGGTGAAGACCAGATTCAGCCAGGGAGCTGCCAGTTGCTGACCTCTGATCAAATCCAAACCTACAGGCAAGAACTAGCTGTGTGGTGAGAGAAGACAGTCCCCAAGACAAGGTTTACTGCTGTCTTAATACAGATCTGCCTAAGGGCACATTTTGCCATGAGAGGTTTTCTGCCAGGATGGAGAGCAAGCCAGTAAAACCAGTGGTTGCATTGTTTACTAGACTCTATTTAAATTCTAGTCAACATGAAAAGGCTGGGGAAATCCAAAGTGCCAAGTCACTATGATAACTAGTGACTACTTGAGCAAATTATTAGTCACTGGATCACAATGAGTAAGACTTTGAGGGGCTTCCCATTTCATGAATCTAAGAGTTGACAAAAGCATAAAATAAGGAAGCTTTGCTATAGGGAACCTGTGGCACTCTTAATGTTACTGGATTACAAGTACCACCAGCCCGCAACCAGTATGGCCAATAGCCACGGATGATGTGAGTTGTAGTCAAGTGACATTTAGAGTGCCACATAATCCACACAAGTCTCCTGGTTTCCAAGTCTTTAGAGAAAGATGCCTTCAGTGGACTTCCTGAGTGGGCCCATCTGCTGCCTCCTCACCTTTGTTAATTCATGCAGTTGCCCCTTCATCTGATGTCTCCCCTAAAACCAAGACTGTGCAACTGCCTAGGAAGGGAAAACATCTGAAGGTTGGTCTCCTGTCTCCTCACCACTCCCCTGCGAACTGGAGACAGCAGTCACAGTATGGCGGGGCCACAGGAAGGGCAGGCCCAGGAGGCTTTAGGGTTGGCAGTGGGGTCCCTGCAGGTGCAGGGCAAGGCCAATCCGTAGCACCAGTCCTAGGAGCAACCCAGAGTTGTGACTGGTCACCAGCCGACCCAGTGAGGAGCTTCTGCTTTTTCTAACTCAGCATTTCTTCTTTTTTTAAGTTCCCACACAAAACAAGATCAGATTTTCTAAGCAACCCCACTTCGCTAACCCCATTTCTGCGTCAGACATCTAGGGTTGCCCGTGCCGATTTCGACAGAAAAGGGGATTTATTTATTTAAAAAGGAAAGGAAATCAGCCACGTGGGACCAGCGCAGCTTCCCGCGCGCATATGGGCCGAGACGTGTCGCTCTAGGCCTGCAACTCACTCGTTACCCGCCGCTACCATCATTGGCTGCCGGAAGAAAAGGAGGCCGGGAGACTATGCGGCCTGGGGCCCAGAGGTGTCGCTCTCGCCGCGCATCTTTATGGCATGCCGCATTGTCTGTCACACACAAACACACGACCAATCCTCCGCCGAGTTTTCTCCTCAGGCTTACCTGAAGTTCTCCGCCGTCTTGGGTACCACGTCGGCGAAGAGCTCCACTTTCATGCGGCCGACCTCCTGGGCATGGGCAGAACCGTCAGAGCCTCCTCTTCCTCCTCCTCGCGCGCCCCTCCCTCCCCCCCCACGCCCAGACCCTTCCCCCCCCCTTCAGCCTCCCCCGAGCGAGCCTTACCTGGCCGCCTATCGTGACATCAAAGAACACCACAGGGTTGTTAGGATTGGAAGCCAACACCGCCATGGCGACCACCTCTCACCCGGAAGTGGAAGCTCGGCCCCCTTCGCGGTTCACGGAGAGGCGCCCGGTTGGAAAATACGTCACATCCTGTTACTTGCCGGAAATTTTAAATGCTCATCGAGTAAAAGCTGCCTCGCGGTCTTTGTACGGGTTTCCTGTCTACCGTTGCGCTTCTATTCGTTCGAAGCTTCGACGGAGGATTTTTGTTTCTTTTTCCAGAGATGGGTGGGCTTACCTGTTGCCCTCCGTATGGCGCTGAAAACCAACTCTTTATCAGCCCCCTGCTAGCGTGTACAGCAGTCGAGGTTGATGGGAGTTGTAGTCCAGCAGCCTCAAGGCAACCACGGGGTGGGTGGGACTAGCACTGATCTGTAGTTTAGGAGGAGAGGCTGTTCCACCCGATGAAGGAGCTGTGGTGAGAAGAGTTTTCATTCCCCCCACCCACTGGAAGTCTCTTAACTTTGACTACCCAATTAAATAAAATTAATTAAATTTGTATACAGTGGAACATCGGGTTACGTACCGTCCTCACAATGGGTAATGAGCTCTGCTAACATGGGAGTAGATGCCCCCAGTTTGCCCTGGGATGCAAGCGGAAGACGCCGGCAGCGGCGGGAGGCTCCATTTGCGAAAGCACGCCTCATGTTAAGAATGGTTTCGGCTTAAGAACGGACCTCTGGAATGAATTAAGTTCGTAACCAGAGTTACCACTGTACTGTCCTATACCCGCAGGTCTTGGGGCGGTTCACGGGATAAAATCACAAGGCAGCTTCCTCTGTTGGCACAGAACCACGCAGCAAATATATCTGTGTGGCATTTTAAGTGAGGAGAGGGAAACGTGACGTTGGTGCATCTGTTTTACTCTAATACACATTCAGAGATTAAAGATGGAAAAAATGAAGATGTTGGATGTGAGCACAACAGAAGGAAATGTAGTGTTGATGAACTTTGAAGAATGTTGCCATTGACTGATGAATTGATAGTTAATGGTTACAACTTGGCCCTTGTGATCTACATGGTATTGTTGGATCTTCAAAATCTTCATTCAAAACGCTGCTCAAAATAGTGCTTTGAACGGGGCTTCTGAAGATTCCTGCAGGTGATGTCATTGTGATGTTGGGTGATGCACATTTGGACTATCAAACTTGGCCTGTGAGGGCTGGGGAACATAAGCACCTGGCTTGCCAGGCTAGAAAGGTTCCCCCAACCCTGTCCTACCTCAACAAATCCACCTTAAAAACAAGAAAATGGAATTCCTCAAGTTTTGAAAGCAACAGGAAAAGCATTGAAAATATGGGATGAGCGTCCAGAAGGCAAGAAAGAACTAACCTGAATAAGCTATGCGACAGCCAGTTAAGATGAATGCTCAATAAACATCTGGAAGGGCCCTTCGTCTGCGATAAAGCTGAGATTATATAAATCCATGCTATGAGATGGAAGGCATTGGACTTTGCACCACTGAAACCAAGTGTGTTCCTCTGAGGCCTGTTGCCTATGGTGTGATCCCTCCCATATTTTGCATTGACTGTATGAGATGGCAACAGCATCTCAATACCATTCAAGCTCCAGGGGTTTAGGGCCCAGAGAAAGTAAATGCATATGGAGGCCCAAGGTGCATGTCCAATGTTACTCTTACTCAGAGTAGACACACTGAATATAATAGGCATGACTACCACAGGACTATTAATTTCAGCAAGTCTATTCGGTGTATACCTTAGTTGGATGCAACCTTTTGAGTCCTCCTTTGTTCAAAAAGTTTGTCACAGATACATTTCTGGAATATTTATTTAAAAATCTGGCACAAGATAAAAGACTTGTAACTAAAATAGTATGTGGAATATCCAGCAGGAGAAGACAAAACAATTACAGTATTTTCCTTACAAGAGGGCATTTCCTTAAGGTATGGAATCCCCATGCAGACTTGCCAAATGAAAAAATGAAGGAACGAACAGTTTTGTTGTTTTCTTTTTTTTTTTGTATGTAAAACTATCCCTCTCTTGTTATAATTTACAAATTTTAATAAAAAATATATATTTTAAAGACTCATAACTACATCTGTACAAGTCACATTTTTAACAAAGACAGTAAGGTCTTTAGAAAGTTTTCTTTAAAGCTAAAAGTCTGATAAAGCAGCCTGACAAATGGAAGCAATACTACCTAGCAGTGACAAGAGGTTTCTGTACTGTTATTCCACTTCGGAATTTCCCCCTTGTCCCCTTAGACGTGATCACAGCACAAGGCTTGAGTCTGCTCCTCTGTGCGTAAATCTGAGGTTTCCCCGGGAGAAGCCACGTTCAAGTAGCCAATTTCCGAAGGTGGGCAGGGCAAAGAGGCAAGCAGAGACCTTTCTGTGTGGTCCTCGGGTTTGCCATCCTGGACAGCTTTCAGAAGGCCGTGAGAGTCCGAAAGCTCCATCACTGAGAAGCTGGAAAAGAAACCATTAGCCTCACATGGGCCACTCAGGCTCATGGCATCATCTGACTGAACCTAAACACATCTCCGAGTCCCTGGAGAAAGGCAAGGAGGCCTGCTAAAGAGGTTGGCAGAGCTTTATGCATATTAAGCATAGAGCCAAAAAACATGGGAGGCAGTTACAGAGGAAACAAATGCACCTGAGCACATGCAAAGGGCATTTTCTATTATTACTATTCCCTCCACCATCCCTCCACCCTCCCCAGCCCCCCACAGCTCAGGGGCACAGTACCTTACGCTGCGAAGGGGGAGAACTTTGCTTTGCGGTTGGAATTCAGAGAAGCCGATACTCTTCAGCTCCTGGAAAAGGGGAACATGCACAAAGTAAGACCTTTAACAAAAAAAGAAGAAGAGAGAGGGAGGAAGAAATCGGGCTGTTATCCATAAATGCTTTGGGCTGCAGCCAACTCAATTTTACTCAGAGTAGACCCAGTGAAATCAATGGACCTAAGTTAGTCCTGTCTAATTGCAGTGTGAGGAACGGCCAGCTGGCCCAAGCAAGCAGGGAGAGGCCCTTCACCCAGCAGTTCAGCAAACTGCTCTGTGCAGCAGCCTCCTCTCATTTAAAAGGGGGTGGAGTGGAGGGGCAAGGAGATGGGGAAACTGTAAAGATTTTTTTGGGGGGGGGATGTTGGTCAGAAGCTGCCAAAGTGGCAAGAGGAGTTGGTGATCAGAGTAAGCAGGGGGAAAGCTATGATACATGATATTTTTGTGTGTGTGTGTGTGTGTGTCCAGCTAACTATACTGAAATTCTTGGTGGCAAATGAAATACCACGAGGGAAATCATGGCTGTGATCTGAGTATACGTAGCTACTAGATAGAGCCAAGCGGCAACCAGAGAGAAGAAACGGAGACCTGGTGGCCCAGCTGAAAGGGCCCAAGCCTATAAATAAGATGGCCCATAAAGACACTGACTGAGCCGCAAGGGTCTGGGGTGGATCTTCACCCCTCGCAGCAGGAGAGGAACAGTGAGTACCCCAAGCCCTGATTCTGCAGAGGAGAAGACCAAAAGCTGCCACAGCAGCCCATCCTTACCTCTAAGCTGTGGCTATGAATGCTCCTCAGCGCCCGCTCCAGGAGCCCAACCTGACCCGTCAGCTGCAGGGTCCATTCCTGGAGCTGCTTGTTCTCCTCGTCTAGAAGCCGCACTCTGGAAAAAGCCACAGGGAAGATGCCTCAGTGGCACATTCATCCCTGCCAAGACGGAGCTGTGGGAAAGGATGTGGCACAGGACTGCAAGGGAGGGAAGCGACTGGGGGCCAGAAGGAGAGAGGAAGGGGAAAGTCGCTCTGGCTGGGACCAGAGCCACTTTCCCCTTTCTCCATGACGTCCACTGCCTCCTCCCGGGAAGGGAATTGTGGCATATGGAGAGCAGCCTGACCCCATCCGTCAACCAGAGAAGGGGCAGGGTGCTTGCACTCCCTGCTTGAAGAAAGCTAAAATAATTAAATCACCTGTTCAGGCCTCTTCACAACTGTCATTACTGAATATATGGACCAATAAGATGAAAGCTTGTTGCTCTAAAGCGCTTTTGACATGGATGTTAGCTACAGCTAGGATTTCAATAGCTCAGCAATGGAAAGCCCTGAAAAATCTGCGGTATAAGAATTTATGGACTTTGGCTATTGCGGAAAAAATAGTCTGCAGAGGGATGAGGGAAGATACAAAACACTTGTATGTCATCTGATCTGCTTCAGACTTAGATGCCCAACATTCACCATCCATGGCAGCTCAGGAAATAGAGATATCTTGATTTATATTGGTGTGTTACCACTTCTTCCTCTAATTATTTTTTGTTTCCTTGCTTGCTTTGTATAGGATATGGTGTATTACCCTGCTACTGCACCTTTGGGTGGTTAGTAATGGTCATCATGTTACAATAAAAAATAAAGAAACAATTAAAATAAATACTTATAAAAGAAAATTTTATAAAAGCAAAAAAATGAAAATATGGGATGCTGATTTATCTTGTCTCGTTTTTATCCAAGTGCTCCTCTTTATCTGTCTTGGTTAACCTCATATCTTTCTGATGTTTTGAACTACAACTCCCATCATCCTGTGCAAGCGAGGTGTGTATGGGAGGTTGGTGAAGGCTGTTCTATTACAAAGGAGACAAATTTAATATTTGGACAAGGTCTTTGGACAAAGCGTGCATTTCATACATTTTAAACAACAAGGGTGAGACCAATGTGGTCAAGATGACTCCTGCGGCTGAATGCCAAACAGCACAGACACCTCAAGCTGCATGGCACTGAATCACAAGGCTTGCAATTCTTTTTTAAGATTTTTTTTATAAAAAACAAACAAACTGCTGCTACCTGCTCTGGATTGTGGAGAGTTCCTGCTTGCTGCTCCGCTCCGCTTCCTCCAGTTTGTGGAGCTGCTGAGTGAGCTTCCGCTTTTCTTGGAGTAAACTGTCGTTCTCAGTGGTCACCTGCGCGATCAGCATTGCATCCTGCAAGGAGGGATGCCACGCAGAGAAGCCCCATCATGGGATATGTTTTCCAGCATTCTCTGCTCCTCTTCCCTTCACCCGCCAGAATTGTAACCCCATCAAACCATGGTTAAAATGCAAAGGGGAAAGGGACCCCACTCAAGGAGCCTCCAAACCGTCAGGATTTTGCACGAGGCATTCAAGCAAACAGGAAAACATCTAAGAGTTGGCACCTGGAGGATTTGAAAGCTTCCACATTATTTTATGGTGACATTTTCATGGGCCTAATAAAGGTCTTGCTCTCTTAGGGATTTTGGTGTTATTATTCTGCTACATGCTTTTTTCGTCTAGCACTTTGGCAGACTGAACTCCTTTTTCTTCTTTGACATTTACGATCCAACGTGACTGGGGCTGCAGTTGTAAAACATATCTAACAATAAATTTTATTGGAAAGCTTTTTTATATATATAACAATTCAATTACTGTTATTATTTTTAGAAATAAGCCACCATCTGAGAGGGCTCTCACCTTTTCTGACTGACTTTTGGAGAGCTTGAGTTCGTTCTCGAGGTGCCTGATGCGGACATCGCGCTGCTTCACTTCGCAGATGAAGGTCTCCTTCGCTCGCCGGAGCTTGGCCTTATGCCGGAGCTGTCGCTCTTTCTGTTTCCTGAGAAAACAGGCCGCAGTCATCAGAAAGGGGGCCCTGGTGCCCAAAACACACAGCCAAGTCAGCGGAGGCCTGGCAATCTGTCCTCCCTTAGTCAGCACCCAACTCCTGACTTCCACCCAGTCCAGGGGGTGGTTTCCTCCTCATCAGTGGCACTTAGATCTACAGATGAACATGAAAAAGGAAGAAGCATATGACCGATCCCAAATATTTGAGACGTGTAGTATTTATTGCCACTGGTGTATGCAGGAGAAACCCCCTATGGATGATGATAATAATAATAATAATAATAATAATAATAATAATAATAATAATAATTTATTTGTACCCTGCCCATCTGGCTGGGTTTCCCCAGCCACTCTGGGCAGCCTCCACAGAGACCAAAAATACACTAAAATGTCACACATTAAAAACTTCCCTGAACAGGGCTGCCTTAAGATGTCTTCTGAATGTCAGGTAGTTGTTTATCGCTTTGACATCTGCTGGGAGGACATTCCACAGGGCGGGCGCCACTGCCGAGAAAGCCCTCTGCCTGGTTCCCTGTAGCTTTGCTTCTCGCAATGAGGGAACTGCCAGAAGGCCCTCGGCGCTGGACCTCAGCATCCAGGCAGAACGATGGCCATTCCTGCCATTAGCCCAGGGCTGAGGAATCTTTTCCAGCCTGAGGCTACATCCTCAAATGGGCAACCTTCCAGGGACCACAAACCAGTGGTGGGTGAGGTCAGAGGCAAAGGTGGGAAGAGCAGTGACTGCCCAGTAGGCTGGTTTCTGCATAGGGACCCCTCTCTCTGCTGTCCACCCAAGCAAGCAAGAGGCACAATCAGAGTTCAAGGACACAGTCCAGGCAGACAAAAGCACGCAAGGAGGCAGCAAAGCAGAACCAGGAAGGAGTGTGGCCTGAAGATAATCCCAAGGGAAAGGCAGATAAACCTGGAGGGCTGGATTCAGGCCCCAGGCCAAAGGTTCCACAGCCATGCTTTAATCTCATTTGTGTAGTCACCTGACAGAAATGGCCACCTCCTTCAGGATGTGCTCATACTCTTCCCGGAGGGTTTCCCTCTCCTGTTGCAACCCCAACAGCTGCCCTGAAATCTTCTGGCTGTATTTCTGACACTGGAGATGCTGAAAAGGAGATTTGGCATGGGGTCATCAGTCAATTGCCGACCAAATTCAGCCAGAGGCCAGCCATGTGGACAAGCTGGCAGGCGGTCACTTGTGATAGAGCACATGTAGCTGCTGTTTTAAAAGGACAACCCCTGCTCTCAACCTTGCAGAGCCTGGAACCAGAGCATCTAAGGGCTACCTGCTCCCATATGCTTACCCAAGAGGCACTGCATAGGCTACCAGGAAAGGGTCTCTGTGATGTTGTGATAATTGTTCAGGTAACTATAATACATGATTTAAAGTATGTGTTAGGTTAGGAGGGGAAGACAAAATGTGCTTGGAAGTGATTGGTGATTGAATAAGCATTTGAAAGGGAGTTTGAATGCTGATGGGAGACAGTTTGGGGTGGGGCTCAGCTGAGTTTGGGAGTGGGTGGCAGTGGAGAGAGTGTTTGGATGGTGGCAGGGCTGGTTTAATAGAATAGGATCAGTATTGTTATCAGCCACTGCTTTATATGAGACAAAGTAACAGGTAAGAGAACACAAAATTGAAACCATCTGCTTCTGTATACTAAGTAATCACAAAAGACTTATTTATTATTTCTGTCTTCATAGAATGAAAAAATGGTAAACTGAATTCATTGCTGGATTTGTCCATCCCTAGCAGCGGCCTTTTCTCACCTCATTGGAGAGGGTTTTCTTCTCTTCTTCCAGGATCCGCAACTGGGCCTCCTGATGCTGATGCTGGATCTGCAGCTCAGCAAATGTCCTGGCCAGCTGCGCCTCATTCTCCTGGGAGTGCCTGAGCTGCTGCTGCAGGTCTTCTGTCTGCTGATCCAGGAGCTTCCTGGCAGCCAACAAGGAGAAAAATCCAGTGATACAAAACAGGAAATCATCCAGTTTGGTTCATTTTTCCATGGTCATTAGTAACAATGGGTTCTACTCAGAGTAAACTTATTAATGTACCTGGGTTAGTTAATACCAGTGGGTCTAGCTTTGAGTAGAACTTGCACTGGGCATAACCTAATGACTGGATGCCAACTGCAAATATGGAATTTGGCAAGTTTGGCAGTTTTGAAGCTTTTCACTTTGTTTACTAAAGATATCTAAAATAAACATGCTAAATTGGATCACTCTCTGGGGCATCACTTTTTTTTTGGTAATGCCAATTATCCAATTCAAAATTGCAAATTATCCTTTGCATCTTATCCAATTCAAAATAGCCCTATGCAGATTACTCCATTCATAGTCTCTCAGCCAAGCCTACGTCATAGAGTTCTGAGGATAAAATGGGAGCAAGAAGAAACGTGCATGCCACCTCGAGCTTCTTGGAGAGAAAGTGGAATGAAAATGTAATAATTAATAAAGAATAAAGAGCAAACTTTCTCTGGACAAATCCCTGCTGCTTATCAGCTGGCCAAATCCCCCTACACCACAGAATCCGTTCCTGTCTTACAGAAGAGAAACTGAGGTTATTTCTGCTACCTTTTTTGCTGCTCCTCTTGGAACTGCCGCTGGGCCTTGGTTTCCTCTTCCCTGGCCTCCTTTAGCTGCTCCTCCAGCTGCTTCCTCACCAAGACGTGGGTCTCGGAGAGCCGTACTTGGTGGTGAGATTCCTTCAGTGTTTGCTGCAGTTCCAAAATCTAAGAAGAAGGTGATGCGAGACAGCAAGGGCTCTGAGTGGCCCAGGTAGGTAACCATTAACAAAAGGGACCTGAAGAATTTAGGAACTAAATAGTCACAGCTGTATGGGATGCACCTTCCCAGTCTGCCAGAGAAGTTGGAGGGGAGGAAAGAGCAGCCTCAGGAGTAGCAGAGATTTGGAAGGAAGAGATACGTAGAAAGCAAAGCATTGCCTCAATGTGGGAGATGCAGCAGGAACGAACAAGGAACTCTTCATGGGCTACAACACTGATCAGGAAGCAGCAAGAGGGCCAGAAGCTGCAAGGAGGATGTTTCAAACTAAAGAACATTACTTAAGAACAGAAGAAGAGCCTACTGGATCAGGCCGGAGGGGGCCTGTCTAGTCCAGCATCCTTTTCTCACAATGGCCAACCAGAGACCTAGTATGGGAAGCCCACAAGCAGGATTCGAGCACAAGAGCACTCCCCCTCCTGTGGTGTTCAGAAGCATTGCTGCCTCCAACCATGGACGCAGAGCGCAGGTATCCTGGCTAGTAGTCCTCAATTGCCCTCTCCTCCATGAACTGGTCCAGCCCTCTTTTAAAGCCATCCAAGTTGGTGGCCATCACTGCCTCCTGTGGGAGCAAATTCCACTGTTTAACCAAGCCACATTGAGGCACATAGTGCAAAGCAGGGTCTAATTTTTTTAACTAAACAAATACTTCTGCAACTCTTCAGGATGGCATTGTCGAAAGCAGCTTGGGACCGTGAACCCAGCTGGGGCCACTGACCTTTCTCTCAGCCTCAGTGGCCCTGGCTTTCTCCTGGGCGATCTTCTCCCTCAGGCCGCTCAGCTGCTTGGCCGCCTGCGTCTGCCTGAGCAGCTCCAGCTCCAGCTCTTTGACCTTCTGCTGGCTGAGCTCCCACTGTGAAGTGAGTGACGAACAGGCCTTGGCGGAGTCGGAGAGCTTCAGCTGCATTTGCCTCAGCTCGGCTTTGACCTGAAAGGGTGGGGCAGAGAAAAGGTGGCACTTTCAGGAAAGTGGGACAACAAAATGGCAGTTCCCTGATAACTGTCCAGGCCCTCATTGCAAGGCAAAGAACTCCAACTCCCAGCTATGGGTCTGCCAAAGGCTTCAACACTCAAATTGGACTGGGACATGAGGCAAACAGGAGGTGACACAGTTCAGCTGGTACATAAAAGTATTGATACAAGGCTAAGTGGAAGCTAAAATGGTGATTCAACAAGCAACACATTCCGTTTGGAGAGCTATTTGCATGGCAAGACTAGGCAAGCAAACGCCAACTGAGACTTACTCAGAGGAGACCTACTGAGATTAATGGACCTTAAGTTAGTCATGTCCACTAATTTCCAAGGGTCTGCTTTGGGTGGAACTTGGTTGGCCACAGCCCACAAAATCCAGCCTGAGAGGGCCAGGAATAAGCAAAGAGATGTCTTTTCAAGAACCATCTCATGAATATCATAATGAAAATTATGTGTTAGTCAAGTGAAGATGCTTTGGCCTAACAAAGCCAGGGCATAAATCTGTTCAATGAACACATGTCTTAAAAGGAGGAGGAAAAAGAGGAGGAATAAGAAGACAAAGAAGAAGGGACATGTCCCCATCTCTTTCAAAACTGTCACTTGGATTTCCTGCCCCTATGGGGATGGGGTCACCTACCTTGATGTTTTCTTGCTGAAGCAAGATGTTGCATTTCAAGTTCTTCTCCCTTTCGTACCTCAGCTCCTTCTCGGCGGAGCTGCCCAAGTTCTGGATGCGCTGAACATCCTGCCAGAGAAGATGCCCGTCCTCCTTCTGCTCAGGTCTCTCCCCCAGCAGACCCTGTGAGACAGAGCAGAAGCTGTGAGGAAGGCAGCTGATACAGTTGCCAGATAAATGCAGAGAGGAGCAACACAGGGCTTGGACTGGGACTGGCACCATTTCCTGCTCTCTGTGACACCACCTGAGCAGTATTGGCCACATGAGTTGAGGACATGCCCAACACTGCCTAGAAGCCTTCTGGGAACCAAGTGATGCTCAGCAGCCAATACCTGCCACAATGCTCCCAGATCTGCTGAGCTCTCCCAGCCTTACCGATAGACCACTAAGGGTTGCCAGTAGACCATGGGTTGTATACATCTATCCAATGCAAGTGCTACTCAAAGTGGACGCACTGCAATTAATGCATAGTTCAACCGCAGAACTTGCTTTCACAGGAGGCAGTGAAAGCCACCAACTTGGATGGCTTTAAAAGAGGATTAGAGAAACTCCTGGAGAAGGCTCTTGATGGCTACTAGCCATGCCAGCTATGCTGGAAACCACAAGAGGAGAGAAGGTTCGTGAGCTCTGGTCCTGCTTGCTGGTTTCCCACAGGCATCTGGTTGGCCACAGTGAGAACAAGATGCTGGACTAGGTGAGCTGCTAGCCTGCTCCAGCAGGTTCTTCACATGTTCTTAATGGGAATGACTAACTCAGGTCCATTCTTTTCAGTGTGTCTACTCTGCATAGGGCATAGTTGAATACACCCCTACACACCTGTGACTATGGACTATCCACCCACTGATGAAACATTAGGAAGAACTTTGAGCATAGGAGCTGTTCAACAATGGAACAGAACATGGAACATGGTAATGGAACATTACCTCAGGAGGTAATGAAGTCTCCTTCTCTGGAGGTTTTTCAACAGAGGTCGGGTGGTCATCTGTCCAGGATCATTTAGCTGTTATTCTTGCACTGCAGGGGGTTGGACTATAAGACCCTTAGGGGGCTCCTCCCAACTCTACAATTCTAAAAAATAGCTTTGGAAAGTTTTAGGTTCCTCTGTTTACATCTGCATCTGCAATGATTCTGTGTTCCTACTGAGACCCCCCCCCCCAAATCACAGCACTTTCTCTTTTTTGCAGGAGGCTGTCTTACTTTGGGGGACCTCTGTCTTGCAGAGAGGTATTTCTTTCAGGAAGCCTTCTTACCTGCTTTGGTTCCCCATCTGTGCTCCCCATGGGAGTCTGGGTCTTGCGGGGTGGATTCTCTCCAAAGCCAGCCTCACGCTTTGCCCTGACGTTTGCCGTGCTCTTGATGTTAAGCTGACACTGGAGATCCAGCATGTCTTTCCTTAACTGCATGTTTTCTTCCCACAGGCGTCTTCTCTCTTCATAGCTCTCCTTAACCTTCTTTTCTAGTTCCTCCGTTTTCTTCTTGCTCTCTAACAATTTAACACTTCAGGTTGAAGGTGGAGGGGGGGAGGAGAGGAGAGAGAAAGGCCGGCAGATATATGCCATTTACTGCAGCATAACCTGTGTGAGTTTTGCAATTCCCCCAAGATAAGGGACAAAAATATAAGCATGGATACTTGCTGGAGTATTGGTGGCTTCTTGACATGGGCTGCGTACAAACCATCCATTTAAAGCACATGACATTCCCCAGGGAATCCTGAGAACTGCAGTTTGTTAAGGGTGCTGAGAGTTGTTGGGAGACCCCTCACAGAGCTACAGTTCCCAGCACCCTTAACAAACTGCAGTGCTCATTTATTAGGGTGGTGGCAGGGAGAGACATGACTGCAAATGTGGTATCAGAGTGCTTTAAATATATGGTGTAGAAGTGAGCCAAGCCCTATTCAGAGAAGCCCTATGAAAGTCATGTCTACTTATTTCAGTAGGTCTGCTCTGAGCAGGACCGACACTGGAGACAGCTCAGTATGCTTAGAAATGCATACATTGGGATAAAATATACTTTTTAAATCTTTATTTAGATATTTTACCGCAGCTGCTCTCTTTCTTCTCCCTGGCTGTGGATCTGATCTTCCAAAGCCCTCTCCTTAGCTGTCAGCTCAGGGCACATCCTCCGGCTTGCCAACAATATTTCCCCGGGTTTTTTCCCTTCTGTAAGAATGTGGTTCAGCTGCTCACATTCCTGGAAGAGCTCTGACACCTGCAAGGTTAGGAATGCAAATATCCCAAGTTTAGAGTGCTGACCAGGACCAAGTAAAGTGTGGCCCTAAAGGGGTGGGCTTATGCAACTCAAACAGCACCATCACCCTTCCAAATATCATATGGCAGTGTTCTGAAAATGTTGGGGGACCTCACTCTGTAATGTGGCGTGGGTCCTCCTGGTTCAAGGTGGGGAGTGGGAGGCTAAGATCCAGTCATAGTGTACTCGATTGTCTGTCTCAACAGAAGGAAGCTTATTCATGGGTATTGTTTTCAAAGCACTTCTGATTACTAAGCTTCCCACAAGGCTCACCTTCATTTCCAGCATCACATTCTCCTGCTGTAGTTTCTCAAGAGTCACGTGCAGAAAATCTCTTTCCTCAGCTGCTCCCCGAAGCCGCAGAAGCTCTGACTTGGAACTGTGCAGCTCCTGGTTGAACAGCCAAAGGAGTTAGCTGGGCCGGCTTGCAATGAGAGCTCTTTAGCTGGCAAGTTACTGTTATAGTTTGGGGGGTGGGCTCAGTCTGGATGATACCCAGGGGTCCTTTCCAAGCCTGTGATCTTGAGTATGTGAGGCTGGAATCTCTAACAGGAAACTTGCTGAACCAGTCAAACTATTTCCTTTGTCAAGGCATCAGCTGACCTAGTCCTTGGAGGCTCTCTAAAAGCAGCTGACAATAATAATTTGGGGACCACTCACCTTCTTTCCATCTTTCAATGCTTTCTGTGTCATTTCGAGGTTGCAGGCCAGCTGCTTCCTCCACTCTGTCTCCTCCAAGAGTTTGCTTTCCAGCTCTTCCACTTTCTCTCGCTTACTTTTCTCCACCTGAGACCAGTGAAAATTGCAACCATTGTCAGCCTGCTGAAAGGGGAGGTCTGCAAGTATGGACCATGCAATCCAATGGTGATGGGCCTCAGAGGTGCACCCCCACCTTCCACCTCCTTCCCAATCTAGGGGCCCCCAAAACACCCCCTTCAACCTTGCTCCTTGCCTCTTGGGAATCTGCCACTTTGCTTGTTTCTTCGTCAGTCATATCGGATTTACTCTTCTGCGCTTTCCAGAGTTCTGCCTCTAAACGAGAAATCTTGACACACACCCCAAACAAGAGGGAAGAGGTTTTATTTTAAAAAAGAAGTGCCTTTTTCAGTCCCCCAACCCCTTCACACAACTCCTGATGTTGGAATACATGGCTTGGGTGCCCAGGTTACCTGAAAGCTCATATGTCCCACTACAAGCCTGCCCTAGTTTTAAGATCCTCAGGGGAGTCCGAGAGGCATGGCTGGTGATGACATGAGAGCCTTTTCTGTAGCTGCTGCCATATTGTGGAATTCCCTCCCAAGAGAGGTTACACCCTCTTTATTAACCTATCGCCAACAGGTTAAGACCTTCCTGTTCAGATAGGCCTTTGGAAACGAAGGGGCAGATGATGCTGACCTGAAGTCAGGGCAAACTGGATTTTAATTGCTGGTTCTGAATGTGTTTTGATATATTTTAACTATTATTTGTATTTTATAACAATGTTTTTAAATGTAACCTGAGAGGAAGGTGGGATAGATGTGTTATATATATTAATAAATTATATTTTAAGATGTGGTAGATATAATATTTAATATGCTTTATACATTTGCTGAAATTTTAGCAGCCAGTATTCTTTGTATTTTGATTTTGGGATTCATTGTTTAGATTGTATTTTTATGCTGTTTACTGCTCTGAGCTCCCACAGGAGGAAGGGCAGTATAGAAATGGAATCAACCAATCAATCAATCAATCAATCAATCAAAGAAAAGCTGGTTGAGAGTGTGAGCTGAGAACTCATGAGCTCAAACCTCATCTTCCCTCTGAATCCTTTGGAAAGTGGGCTATGCACCGCCACACATGTATGCCAAAAAAGGCCTGGCTTCAGGTGCCGGCATATCTCATGTAGCAAGGCCGGGTGCGATGCCTCTGCTTGGGACCACACAGGATCACGGCCAGTGCGAAGACACAGCTCTGGGCTAAATGGAGCACAGGCCTGACTCAGGACCAAACAGAAAATACGTTAAACTGGGGCTCCAGATCCTGCTAGACTCCAGCTCCCATCAGTCCTAGCCAGCTGGGTCAATGGCAAGAGAGGATGGAATTGCTGCCCCAAGCCCTATGTTAGGGTGAAGGACGGGCAATAATTATGATTTAACAACAACAACAACAACAACAACAACAATGTCCTATCCAGGAGACTTTCCCATTGAGAAATGCCAGCCACCCCAACCATTCCCTCATCTTCTAGTGCTGTGGCACCAGAACAGAACCCCGCTTAGGAGCAAAACTGAGAATTATTATAGTTCCGTTCAGTGCTTTTTTTTCTATTAAAAATGTTTAGGAGTACTCTCATTTTCCTACTCACATTGAAATACTGCCCCTCAATGAGGCCAAACTGAAATTCACAAAATGTTTAGGGGTATGCGTCCCCCTAGAAAAAAGCACTGGTTCCATTCACCTAGGAGAGATAGGGTTGTTTTTGGTTTTGCAAAGAACCCTCCATCTCCATCAAGAGATGAAACCCAGGACCTTGTGGTCTGGATGTGGCCAGGAACTGGGCTTAGTAAGAAGCGTTGGCCCTACAGTTAGGCCAGGGCTAAGGAACCTCTCTGAGCTCCCAGATGTTGTTGAACCACAACATCCATCACCCCGGACTGTTGGCCATGCTAGCTAGGGCTGATTAGAGTTGTTGTCCAGGAGCATCTGCAGGGCCACCCTTTCTACAAAGCGAGGAAAACCAAATGAAAATACTTGTGTGCCATGTTCTCTCACTGATCTCCTCCAATTGAGCTACTCCTGGGCATATTATGTTTCTTTCTGGCTCCCTATCACTGAAGTATTCCTGTAGCTCCATCTTATGAAGGGAGGCACACGAGGCCCTTGGCTCAGGAAGACTCCAACTGCTCTTGACAGTTGGAAACTGTTAGCTCAGCCTTATAGCTTCCAACTGTTCGGGGTTCTAGATGGCTTTCCTGCCAGGGAGATTTTCTCTGCATTGGATCCAGTGATCATGCCTCACATCAGTCCTTTTTACCCACCAGCGTATATTCACCAACACAGCATACAAAAAATATGTTATGTAACGGCAAATGGCTGACAAGAATGTGCATATTTGTTTATTCAGAAGCCTTCTTCTGTTTCAAATTTTAAAATGTCTGCTGAAAACTCTTTTATTCTTCAGTCAGGCTTATTGCAGGCAGTTAAGAAGACATCTTTCCACAATAGTACAGTACGATGATTTCTTATTTTAACCTTTCAAATATGGTTTTTATTGTGTGGTTTTATGTGCAAATCACTGTGATCACTTTGGTATTTTTAAAATGAATTAGCATCATATAAATGTTTAAATAAATAAAACATACGCCACTTGATTGTAAATTGGGAAAAACTGCATATAACGCGTATGTTACGGGAAATGTGCCTGAATTTATTGAAGAAATAAATAAATAAATAAATAAATCACAAACTGATGTGGAAAAGGGGTGAACTGAACTCAAAGTTGTTTAAAAAAAAGGAACCCAGAGAAATCAAAACTGATAGATTGTCTGTCCTAATAAAACAACAACAACAAATAATAAATTATTTATACTCCGCCCATCTGGCTGGGTTTCCCCAGCCACTCTGGGCGGCTCCCAACAGAATATTAAAAACACGATAAAACATCAAACATTAAAAACTTCCCTAAACAGGGCTGCCTTCAGATGTCTTCTAAAAGTCAGATGGTTGTTTATTTCCTTGACATCTGATGGGAGGGCATTCCACAGGGCGGGTGCCACTACTGAGAAGGCCCTCTGCCTCACGTCCCAGAACTTAGAGACTGTCTCCTCCCTCCAAATCCTACCTCAGCCTTTACCCTTTTTCGAAGGTCACTGCCTGCTTGCCCTCCAGTTCAACCAACCATTTCACACCGTACAGACGTTCAACCCCAGCGGAGAAAAACAACAACACAAAATGCCTTGATGGTCAACAGGAACCCAGCTTGCAAGAGTGTGAACTGGGCTTTGAAAGCCCCTCCTGGACCCCAAGGTCTAGAGGAAAGACAGCCCTGTGACTTGCCTCAGTGGGAGAGGCAGGAAGCAGAAGGCTTATTCCATCAACTTTGCCAGAGGTCTGGCTCCACCAAGCACCTCCTGCCCCTGAAAAGGGGCAGCTGATCATTATAGGAATAACTGTCTAGAAATTGGTGTCTGAGTTTTGATTTTCCTCTTCCCTCCCTATTCCCTTTTCCCTTGCATGTCATTTTATAAAAAACTGTAAATTTTTGCAGGCAGGGACTGTCTTGGTTGTATGTGGGAGCCTTTGGGGCTGATGAGCGGGGTATAAAAATGCTCTAAACAAGTAACACCTCGCCAGTCGGGGTTACCTTCCTCTGCAGTCCGTCTATCTCACACTCAAACTGCTCACGCTCATCCTTAGTCTGGTTCTGTGTCTCCCCTAGGAGGGACTCCAGTTCCTCATTCCTCTCCACCAGGTCCTCGTGTTCCCGCTCCAACTTCCGGAGCTTGTGCAGGAGCTGTGAGTTTTGGCATTCCACGCCTTCAATGGCTCGGCGGCACCTACGTCAAAGTGAAACACATTGGCAGGAGGTCCCTGAAGCAGCTGGAACTGTTTAAGTTAAAGATTTGAAATTAATGTTGCCATCTTCAATTGGGCCCGGAAACTGACTGGCAATCAGAGGTGCTGTGCTACCTGATGTAACCTGAGATTCTACCAGTATCCGCTGTGTGAATGGACCAAAGCAGAAATTCACAAAATGTAGTTTTGCAGAAGCAAGGATCGTGGGCAATTAAACAACAGCATCAAAGAAAGCAGCACATTTACATAATTTAAGTGATCACAGAATCACAGAATTGTCGAGTTTGAAAGGACCACAAGGATCATCTAGTTCAACCTCCTGCAAAGCAAGAATCCTTTGCCCAATGTGAGGCTCAAACTCACAACCCTGAGATTAAAAGTCTCATGATCTACCAACTGAGACTTGGTGGAAATCATTTGCTTTTTGATATTTGCTTAGCTTATTCACCTCTGATGAAGGGCCTTGTTATGTTCAGATTCTGAGGCAGCTTCGTCCAAAATGCTTGTCTCTTCTTCAGCTTTCAGATTTCCCTTTTTATCCTGTGATCCAAGAAAATTTAGGAGCATAGTAAACTACCTTATATCTAGACAGACCACAGGTCCATCTAGTTCAGCCTGGCCACCGGCAGCTCTCCAGGTTTTCAGGCAGGAATCTTTTCCAGCCCGTCTTGATCTGACCTCATGCATGCAAGGTGGGGCCCCAACCACATTGTCCCATAGTTGCAAATCCTATTCAGCAAAGGTCCTCCTACAATGTTAATTAGAAGCTCCCTTCTCCAATTACTTTTGTTCATCACAGCTAATGAACAGGCTCTTTACTGGTCCATAGTTAGCCAGTTCTGTTCTCTGCTTGAAGGCCCATGTTAATTACTGCTTTTTTCTATTTTTTTGTCAATTCTTTCAGGTCTGTTTCCTACCCTCCATGAGAAGTGGGGTTCCTCTACAAGTGCTGCCAGGGCTGGGGGTAAAGCACTCAAAACATATATTTAGAACAGCATGATTCCCCTTTAAATAGTCATGGCTTCCCGCAAAGGATTCTGGGAGCTGTTGTTTGGTTAAGGGCGCTAACAGTCATGAGGCGGCACCTTAGTCCCCTCACAGAGCTACAATTCCCAGAGTTCCCTATGAAGTGGGAAGGATTTTTAAGCCACTCTGGGAACTGTAGCTTTCAGAGGGGACTAGGGGTCTTCTAACAAATCTCAGCTCCCTTAATAGACTATGGCTCCTTTGGGAGAAAGCCATGACTGTTTAAAGTGGTGCTTTTAATATTTCTCTAACTGTATGGGGTGAATGTGGCCTAAGTGCTGGAAATAAGTGGTGGGTAGGAGAAGTGTTGAAGCCCCTTCAAATCACAACCTCCCCTCTACCACTTAAATCTGACCCTTATGTGGGGTGGAGTGAGAAGAAATAGACTGCCAGTATGGCATAGAGGATAGACAAGACTGGGAAGATCCAGGTTCAAATCCCCTGTTGGCCCCAAAGCTCACTCAGGAAACATGGGCCAGTAACTCTCTCTCTCTCTCTCTCTCTGACTAACCTACCTCACAGGGTTGTCATGAGGATAAAAGGGGGGAAATCAATTTATGCCACTCTTAACTTCCTTGGAGAATGCAGGGGACACAAAAATAACAAACAAATATGCGAACAAATAAATAAATTTAAAATACCTGCAACAAGCAGCCTTCTTGTTCTTTAGTTTGGTCCGTCCTGGCTAATACATATCTTGGCTCTTCCTCAGTCACCTGATACTTGGGAACCTCCTCATCAAGCTTTTCAGCCTTAAATGCCAGAAAGAAAGAAAGAAAGAAAGAAAGAAAGAAAGAAAGAAAGAAAGAAAGAAAGACTTCCAATGGTTTTCATTCAGAAGAGAGAATTCACATCTAACCTCTGCTCTCCTGGGCCAGTTCACCCAGGTTAGAAAGACCCTCTCAGAGCAATTCCTCGCCTGCTGAGGATTTCCCCCTCCAAAATGATCTTGCATAATCTAAAAACAGTTTCTCTCAGTTTCTCATTTTTCCATTCTTCAGTTCTCCACAATTCCACATATTTATGTGATTTTTTTAAAAGTAAATTCTCATGAAAAAGGTACCAGAAGTTTGGTGTGTAATTCTCCTAATACACACATTTTTGCAAAGCAATCCCCCCTAATATAATGCATTTTTTATGCTCCCCCTCCCCAATATATGCACTTAGATGCAAATTTTACCCTAGTACTGTATAAGTATTTTTGTACACATTACTTGGCTGGAGAGCTGCCTTATAAAATTTAGAGACGTGTTAATAATGAAAACTGAATCAGAATTCTCCCCTATCCCTACTCAGCACTGAGAGGACCACCAAGCATGGGTAGTTGCAGTTAGCGTTTTGGGTCGGCAGTATAATAGGGTCAGCAACTTGGGCCATTGGCAACTGCCTGAGGATGCCAGCCCTTAGCGGCGAGCCTGTCTGAACAGATCAACACAACAGTTTAACTAAAAGCCAACCTGGTGTTCCAAAGGTTCACGTGCACAACCCCAACCTCCCCTGCCCTGCTCAGGTAAGCTGCAGCAATGCTGGTGATGGATGGGTGGCTCTTCGGCTCCACCACACACACCACACCGTCAACTATGGTCACTAGTACTCCAAACATTAGTGACCCAGACTGACCTGCTCCAAGAACATTTGTCTCTCCGAGTCGAGGAGTTGGACTCTGCTGCGTAGTGCCAGGATTTCTTGGTCCAATCGGATGTTCAGCTCCCTGGCCTTCTGTAGCTCTGACATTTCTAAAGGCAACCAGGGGCCATGACCAGCAGGTATCCAAGTAGACGCTGTTTTACATCTCAGAAATGGCACCGTTTTGCATTTTCTGACAGTGGCTCAGGCCACGATTGCCAAGTTTTGGAAGTCTTTTATCTCAACAAGCTGGAATATTGGTATTCCAAAGTGTGGCATAAGCAAAAAGTGCCCAGGGGCCCAAGTGCTTCTTTGCCATAGGGTCTAATCTTATTTTATATACAGACAGAGAGGCTCAGGAGCATCAGGTCCCACAGGACCATACGACTGTCTTGGGTTTAATGCAGTTCAAGGTTACTTTTTATCTTTTTTTCACATCAAAAAACATAATTGTTTTTTATGTTTCTGTTTTTTATTGTTTTTATGTTATGGAAGCCTTTGTAATTATTGATGACATATCCTTTCCCTCTTGGTATGTTTTACTACTGTATCCTCTACTTATTTGTTGGCAATGTGACAATTTTTTTAAAAAACGGGGAAAACTTGTTGGTTACTAAAATTCAATTAAAAAAATTGTAAACAAGAAAAATTGACGATCCAGTTCTTTAGAGGAGGCACACAGCCCATGATGTTTCCTGGGCACATGACCAGAACATTGTTACTGAGTTGTGTCATACAAAGTGCTTTTTTTTCTGGGGGGACAGAGGGAGACACATACCCCTAAACAATTTGTGAATCTTTGTACTTCTGTCCATTTACGGTATTTCTTTCCCCTGATTTGAACTATAAAATGGTGATTTTCATGTCAAAATGAGAGTACCCCTAAACATTTTTAAAGAAAAAAAGCATTGGTCATACCCCTGCTGGAAGAACCCTCTTCAGAGTTTAGCCTGGAGCTCCCAAAGCAAAACATCACAGGGGAGCAGTCTGTGAGGCCAACCAGGGAGATCCAGGGCCCTCGGGGGAACTAGCAAGCCAGCCTACCCCGCATGACATAAGTAGCCCCTTGTCAGGCTGCATTCAGATGACACTTTATTCTGTCTTCTTGACATTTCTTTACATGCTCAGTTTTCTGTTCTATTTGATCTTCCATCCAGCATAAAAGCCACTTCTGGGAATCTAGTGGAAGTTTAATGCTCATCCATGTTAATTGTTTCCAGGGGGAAATACAGCTGTACCACTTCAGGCTACAGGTGGGTCTCAGTTGACTGGATGCTCTTTCTGCACAAAAAGGCTCCTTCTGCCTAGAAGACTAGACGGTGGCTCTAGCCCAAGCTTTTCCCCTGGCATGTTTTCAAGTACAAGGAATAACTGGGGGTTGAAGGAACATCCAGTCATGCCTGTTCCTACAATGTGGAGTGGTGCAGCTCAGATGCTAGTTGACTGCCTCAGTGAAAATGTCGCAGAGAGGGACTGGGACTGAGAAAATACATGGAGACACTGCTAGGCAAGGCCAGGATTTGGCTGTTGCCCAGAAACATTGATAGCCAATGAGGGGGAACCAATGACCTGCCTGGGCAGATGCAGCTATGATGGAACCGAGCAGGACAGCACAATTCTCTCTAGTAACAAAATCAGCTGGTTGAGTGCCAATAGGATCATGCTCTTAAAAGCCACAAAGAAATAAGAGAGGTATGCCAGCATGCTTGTGGGGAATACTAATGTTTGCAGAAGTACAAAAAAGAAAAGAAAGAAAAAAGAACAAGGATCTTAAGGAAAATCCTTGCGGAGGAGAGAAGGGGAAGCTAAGGGAGCAAACAAACCCTGTTCATTCACCCCATCCCTCCAAACAGCTAAGTGATTTTTAGGAAAAGAAAAGGAGATGAGGAATGGAACGGAGTATCCAGGTCACAAGCATGCTGGGGCAGGAGAACTCCATGCTGCCTCTAGTCTCCATTTCAGATGATGAGTGCGACATTTTGTTGCAGTTCCCCCCACTTACACCTCTGAAAACCAAATGCAGAGAAGGCTGTTGCCTTCATGCTCTGCTTGTTAAACATCTCTTTTGCCACTGCTACAAACAGTAGGCTGAACCAGATTGTCCTTTGGTCCAATACAAATCATAATTATTCCTGCAAATGTGCTAAGCGAGTGATATATGCAGCATGCAACTTACCACTGTCTTTCACCTTATTCACCTCTTCTTTCAAGCTCTCTGCCATGGATGGAGCTGAATGAAAAATAGAGCAGTTTTTGGGGGGTGGGGGGAGGAGAGTTATAGATTACTGCTGTCCCTATAATTAAACACATACACAGTAAGTACAAACAGTGTGCTGGAACAGTGTTCTTCAACCTTGGGTTCCCAGATGTTGGGACTACAAAACCCATGATCCTGGTCAGGGATTATGGGAGTTGTAGTTCAAAGGCATCTGGGGACCCAAGGCTGAAGAACGCTGCTAGAAGAACCGTCCCAGAAATCTTCGATCAGAGGGGTCTGTGTGCTTTAGGCAATACTTCTCTATTTACTAATTTTTTAAAATCCATTAATTTATATTTTAAATGGATGTGTGTGTGGCACCAATAAACAACATTAAAGCAATTGCTAGGGTCTAGCCACATTCATCTATCGTTGCAAAAACAAAAAATAATACTGTTGTTAACCTATAATAACCCACAGTGATCTATTAAAAGTGAAAAAGGTTAGGAATAGCTGCTTTGTACCTAAAATAAATCAGGGATTCCATCTGATTTGTTTTGAGGAGGTAGAATAAATCCTTTACAACAGCTTTCACAAATTATTAAAACACACAGGTCTTCTTAATACATCACCCAGAAGCCCAAGTTTAACCTAAAGAGCCTATCTGGATAAATTTCTAACCTTGAAACATGGAATACCCTAGAATAACATAAAATTCAAAATACTAAAAGCCATAGATACACAAACAAGTGTAAAAAAAGAAAACACCACTTGCAAATTGTAACAGATTTCTCACTGGCTCAATGCACTCGAGGGTCACCCAGAAAATGAATCCACCAGCAGCTCTGATGGGGATCTGGCAGCGCACTGCTGTCGGGAGGCTGAGGCACATTGTGCAGAACATGCCCTCTGAGGCAAAAGCTGCCCTAAAAAGAAATTGATCAACCAAAGCAGAGCAGGAGGTTGGACTGTGCTGAGCAGAGCAGCCAGTCTGGGACCCACACTAACTGAAAGTTCTATGGTGATTTTGCAACACTCTCTGCCTTGAGGGAAAAAGGAGTTTAGAGGGTCACATTCCCAACTTGTCAAGTCTTCGGGGGGGGGGGACGACCCTCCTGGGGAGCCTCCTGTGTTTCACAAAACAGCTTCCACGTCTTTTTCCTGGAAAGTAGTTATTTTGGGGACAGAGGCTGAATATCTCTCTCCTTGAACTCAGTTTCCAGGTGAGAGTTCTTGACTGCCTTGAATGCAAGTTAGAAATCTGAGCTGGCACAGATACCAAAATGTGTGCCAGGCTGTGTCCATCCCCATTTCCTCTTGATGGAGATCACCTGGTCACAGTGGCCCACGCTCTGACAGCACCCAGATTAGACTCCTGTAATGTGTGCTACATGGGAAGTTGCCTTTGAAAACATCTCAAAAACTCGGACTTCCGGGGTGGCGCCATCGGCAATGGCGGACTCCCTCTGAATTGGAGGGACTAGCTCCGCGCGAAACGGGTCTTTTCCGCTACGGCGAAGCGGGGACCCTTTTAAAAACCACAGGCGAATGAAGCCTGTGACCATGGGACTCGGCGGGCACCCTTAGCGCCCCCCCAACCCGCAAAGGAACCCACTAACGGGCTCCGAAGCGAAGAGGGGGAAGTGGCGCGGTGCTGTGAGTCAACTGCTATTTCCGTGGAGCGAAGCCACACAGCTGTTGCCGGAGAGCGCTGCCTTTTTCCTGGGACAAATTGGCTTCTAAAATAAGCACCTGTGAGTACTTAAACTTTGAACAATTGGACTTTAAATAAGGACTTGCGAGCAGAAAGGAATTGGACTTAAAAATTTTACTTCAATTTGGTACTGAAACGGGAAGGTCTAAACAGGAAGTGAGCCTTCCGTTTCTTTGTAGACAGAATAAAGCAAAGACAACGTAAACTAGAGCTCAGAAAATCGCCTCTAAAGGATTGGCTTTCATCATTTAAAATTGTTGAACCCCCCTTCGGCAGCAGGAGAAGAAGGGGATCTTTTCTGGACTGTTTAAACCTGCAGAAGTGAGTTTAAAGTAAAGTAACTTTCCACCGTCCTGATCCTGGAGCGGGGTGTCAGGACTGACGTTTGAAGCTCATCGACCAGAAATAAGCGCTTTTGACAGATAGCTAAAAGAAGAGGAACATAGTGATTCCACTGTTTCCTTTCGCACCTTAAAGGAACAAATATTGACAAAATATCTGAAAAAAGGAAACTCTGTTGCTAGACTTGTCTTTAAAAGAAAGATTAAACAGAAGTTTTCCCCCTAGAGGGAGACTGTGAAACTGTAACCAACTCCTGGGAGCTGGCATCTGTTACAGATTACAATCATGGGCATAGACATCTGACCTTCAGGACAATGTATTCAGAAGCTCTGTTGTGTGCTTTCTATAAAACAAATGCCCTACTGGAACAGTTACATGAGAAGACGAATTTGATGGCTGATTTGATTAGAAATTTTGAACAGGCAGTGGGAAAATATGTGGAGCCCACCCAGGAATTAAATCAGGAGTGTGTCTTGACAGAACAGGCCCTACAGGAATATGAGCTTTCGGATTTGACAAATGAACTTGGAAAAAGCCAGATTTGGAAAGAAAAAGTTTGGTTTGGTTTGGAAATGGGGGGTTGGATAGACCCTCCTATGAAATTGGACTTTTCAAGTCTGGCAATGGGCCGTGAGATGTTTGGGATTGTGGGGGCTCTTAATTTTGGAGGGATTCTGAAACATGTTTTTAAATACCACATGGAATTTAGTGTCGATTATGGAAAAGGGGCTGATCTGTCGAGAAGGGTCAAAAATACTGCTAAGTTGGAGTTCCCACGAATGAAAGGAGCAGGAGGCAAAGGAAAATACAGCTATAAATATGAAGAAGAGCTGCGGAAGGGACATGGAAGGGACTTAAGGGCCTCGGATATAAGATTACCAGGTTAATGCGCCAGATTGATGGGATAATAAGGACTGACAAAACCCGGGACCAGGAGGAAGGGACGCTGGATGAAGATTGGATTTGTTTTTATTTCTTTTTTCACTACTAGGACTGTTTTATAAAATTGATGAATGTTAGAAAAATGTTGGAATGAAATTACTTGGCTTTAGTAAAAATGTTTAAAGAATTATGCAAGAATATTATGGTTATGAGAAGTTGGTAAAAATAAGATTTAAGTTTTAAGTCTCAAGGTTTTTTTATAGTAAGATAAGATTAAAATAGTTTAAGGTAATGTAACGACAGAATATTATGAAATATGGAAAGGATTTGCTGTGACAATTAACAAACAGGATACAAGGAAGGGGAGGAGGAGGAGGTCAAGGAAAGAGGGTAATGACAGTTGAGGAGTTGAGAATAATGGATTTGTTTTTAAATGTTTTTAAATGTTTGTGGTGTATTTTTGTTTTTTTCTTCCTTATTTTGAATTTGTATATGTATGGGTGGAAGTGGTTTGTTTTTCTCTTTTTCTACTTTGTTTTTCTTTTGTAACTTTAAAAAAAAATTTTTTTCCAATAAATATCATTTAAAAAAAGAAAGAAAGAAAACATCTCAAAAACTCTCTTGGATAAAACCAAACCAAACCATAAGTGCTACACCACTAGCTGTGGCTGGCTATATGGAGCACATATTGCCAGTCCTTAAACAGCAGTGCAAATTCTTGGATACGCAACCAGGCCATTGAGGGCAAATAAAGAGAATAGATCTGTAGCCCCCTTGGCCGTTGCCAATATTTTTATATGCTAACATCATCTTAATGTATTCATTTGTGTTTATATCTTATGTAAGATTTGGGGGGGGGGGGCGGTTTGACATAGTGTGCCATCTTCCGGAGAAGAATAATGGATCACAGCCAAGGTCCACCAAAAAGGTTTGAGTTGTCAGTGGCTGCAAGCAGTTGGAACTCACCCAGTTTGCTCTGGTTTTCCTTCTGCGTGGCCAATTCTTCTGTCAGCCTCCGGATCTCTGCCTGCGCCAACTGCAACCTGTGTGTGGCTTCCTCCAGGTGCTGCTCAGTGTGCCTAAGCAAGGCACTTTGTCTAGCCAGCTCTTCAGCATGAGACTAAAAGACAAAGTACAATATTTAGAGGAAGGGCCCTGGCTGGGGATGGCCTCTCTGCATCCTAGGTGACAGAACCTTCATTTTTAACAGATGGACACAAGCAGGCAGAATTAAGGGCCAATGACATTGCTTCTCACTCAGGGATGGGAAGGTGGTTGTGGGTGGAGCAAAGCTTTCTTAAAACTGGTGGCTTCATCTTACAATAGCACACAGCCCCTAGTACAGAGGTAGCAAATGTGGTGCCTTTCAGGATTACAGCTCCCATCAATTAAAACAAACAAACAAACAAACAAAAATCTGTGGGCAAAATAGACCAATCTTTTCCTGACTTTGTACAGGACAGCTTCATAAGTTCACATAGATCTTCATCCCATAGGGGACTTTCCATTTCATTTCCCAAGGTTTCTGTCAATGCTGTGTCTGGTCCTTCCACTACAACTTCTATAGACAACTTTTTCCAGGAATTATGTGATACCTTAAAAAAAATCCATGCATGGCTGTCTTTCAATTGACACCATGTTACCCTTGATGCGCCCAAGATACACTACGACGCTAAGCAGCATGAGCAGAAGTTAAAAGGGTTGGACCAATTTCTTCTCTTTATTACTTTATGCGTCATCTCTTTGGTGCACTGCATAGATTTCCGTTGCTCCTGAAGCTCATCTTCTAGTGTCCGCTGGATATGATCCAACTGATCCTTAGACAAAAAAGAAAAAGGAAGAAAGAAAGAAGAATTATTAAAAATACATAACTTCACCAAAATACTTCCCCTTGCATTTCTTCATAGTACTAATATAAATAACATGGAGAGTAAAAACAAACATAATGTTTTATAGGGTGAGCAGATGTTATCTGAAAACACCTCTTCTGCTCCCTGAATATACATACTTCTCGCCTATCAATCTGGAGGGAAATTAACTGGGAAATCTTATGTTTTCCTGTCTTAGTGAGACCTGGAAACATAATGGACAATTATTTTTTTTAAGGAAAAAGCCAGCTGAGATGGCTAGCACATTAAGAACATAGGAACAGCCTGCTGGATCAGGCGAGTGGCCCATATAGTCCAGAATCCTGTTCTCACAGTGGCCAACCAGATGCCCCAGAGGGAAACCTGTAAGCAGGATTCGAGCACAAAAGCCCTCACCCTTCCTGTGGCTTCCAGCAACAGGTATTCAGAAGCATGGCTGTCTCCATCTATGAAGGGCATTGCAGAGTCATTATGGCTAGTAGCCATCAATAGTTCTCTCCTCCATGAGAGGTCACTGGTCTTCAGCTGCTGAGTCAGGACCCTGTGCTACAGGGCGGGGAGCCTGTGGGCCTCCAGGTGTTGTTGGACTCCCGTTCCCATCAGCCTTGACCAGCATGGCCAACAGAAGTTGTAGTCCTCATCAGAAACCATTGCTGATCTACAACACATCACCCAGAGACCTACCAGTAGATTGCAACCTAGCTTTTGTCCACTGCTGGTGCAGACAATACTGAGCAAGGCAGACCAATGGCATGACTCGGTATAAGGCAGCTCCTTATGATTCTAGGGCAGACAATGCTGCCTCAGTAATCCTAGCCCCATATGGACACCATGGCATTTCTGTTTCCGATGCTACACTTGAATGAAGACTATACTATGACTCTTTGCAAGTTGCTCTGGGAGCCTCTCAGGGCTTTAAGGCAGAATACAAAAGCGTTCCAAATAAAGAAGGGTGATATACCTGAAGCTGAGCAGCGCAAAGGCTTTCCAAACAGCTGGGGGATTGCAGTTTTTGCTCCAGTGCATCTATCTTCTCCAGCAGGGTGCTTCTCTCAACCAGCAAATAAGCAACCTGTTCACTGGGGCTGCTGTGGGCGATATCAAACAAGCCTTCCTGCTCCAACATTTCTTCCACTTCCTTCTGCTGAGATTCTGGTGGGGTGGGGAAGAAATGCACACCTAAGCATCCTAAAAAAGGAACCAGCTTTCTTGGAAAGAGTTGCTGGGCTTCAAAACAAGGCCAGAGACAGAAAAGACCCACCTCCAAGATCCATAGCCAAAGAGGGGGCTGCCTCCACGCCTGCCCAGAGAGCTGAAGGCAATTCAGCTGCTGCTTTGTTGTATTCACTCATTCCACTTCCACCTCCAGAAAATAAGATTTGTAAGATTTTTGTCCCATTTAAAAACAAAACAAAACTCTGTTCTGCACACTTGTCTACCTCTATTCATAAAAAAATATCACTATCAGAGCACTTTACAATAACCAAATACATAGACAATAAAACCCACATAAAACCATAAAGGATAAAATCAAAGATCATCAACTGTCTGCAAAAACTTGGTGGCACAGAAAAGTTTTGAGCAGACATTTAAATGTTTAAACAGATGGCACTTGCTAAATCTTTCTTGGAACAGCATTCCACAAGACTGGGCCAACAACCCTAAAGGCTCAGTTTTGTGTTACTGTCAGATGAGGCCTCCCAACTTGGGGAACAACCAACGATGCTCCTGCAGGTGATCTCCATGACTGAGCTGGGTTAAAAGGGTTCAAGAGGTATCCAAGTACTCTGAGCCTAAGTTGTTTAGGGATTTGCAAGTTAATACAAGGCCCTTGAACCCAGGATGGTAGTAAGTGGGCATTCAGTGTAGCTGTTTCAACAATGGGGTCACATGTTGTCGGACAACAGCTCCCATCAACAGTCTGGCCGCTGCGTTCTGCACCAGATGGACCTTCCGAATCAGGCCCAAGGGCAGCGCATTGCAGTAACCAAGCCTTGTGGCTCCCAATGCATGGACTGCAGTGGTTGGGCTATCCCAGTCCAGGAACAACCATAGCTGGCAAACCAGACATCTAGGGTATCATTTGGCTACTGTCTCTAGTTGACCTCTGATTTTAAAATTTTAAGTTGTTTTATTGCATGGTTTTATGTATGATTTTTACGTATGTCTTTTTTTCCATGAAATATTTTTATAAACAAGGAAATAACCCATGCAGCGTGGTCCTAGCACAGCCATTTCTGCTTCCCTCTTGCTCCCTTTTTGGTCGTTACTGCCTATCCTCGGCCTTTTGTACACCCCCTTTATTAAACTGCAGTTTAAAATCAAAGGGGATAGTACAGATTGGAAACGGCAGAGATGTTTTCGATTCCAAGAGCAAATGGAGCCGGCAGCACGGCCTCTGAGTGGAAACATGCAATTGATTTGGTCAGGGAGTGGACAGTCTGGCTTTTGCTCTGTTTAAACATGTGGAGCTCAGGGAGTGGAGGGAGGAACAGTCGTGCCTAGGTCCCACAGCAATGATTCCTATGTACTTTCCGTTCACATAGCAACTGGTATTCAGAAGCATTGCTGCCTCCAGCTGTGGAGGCAAGTAGCCATCAATAGCCCCTCCTCTATTTGTCCAGTCCTCTGTGAAAGTCATTTAAGTTGGTGGCCATAACTGCCTCTTGTGGGAGCGAGTTTCGTAGTTTAACTTTGCTCTGTGTGAAGAAGTCCTTTCTTCTATTTCATCTCAATCTCCCAACATTTAGATGTGTTGGATGTCCACAAGTTCCAGTGTTATGATAGAGGGTTTTGTTCACTTTTGTTCTGTAGGTAAAACCACTGTTGCTCTCCTCTCTAGATTTCTTCCTTCCTTCCATGTGATAAACCCAGGCTAATCTGGATGGTTCAGACATCACTGTCACTGGACAGATTCTTTTGCATTCACTGGGTTCACATTCCATAAAGATGGCACAGGTCTTGCTGATGACAGACTCTACTCTGCCAGCTGCCTCAGGCTAGCGGAGAGTAAGTCGCAGCTCTCCAGAAGTTGTTGGACTCCAGCTTCCATCAGCCTCGCCAGTGGCCAAGGATGATGGGAGCTGGATCCAGCAACAGTGCACCTTGGACCTTCTGCATGAAAAGCAGATACTCTGCTGGCGAGTTTCAGCCTTTCCCCTTACTTTTTTCAGCAGCCCACTTAAGTGGTCAGCTTTCCTCAGTGGCTGACCAGATGCATTTGGGAAGCCAGCAAGCAGGACCTGAGTGCAACAGTAACTCTCCGCACCTGCGATTCCCAGCATACTGCCTTTGATTCCCCACTTCCCCTTCCAGTCCTGGCAAGCACCAGCCACCAATGGTCACTTGGGAGGTGTGAAACCAGGGCACTGTGACTCTCATTGGGGAAATATGCTTTTGTTGGGAACTGTCTACTAGAAGGAGAAGAGAGCGCTGGGAACCAGGTTTCAAAGTTAAGGTGTGATATGTGGCATGGGATGAATCAGATGAGAGCTGCAATACCAATACTGTTTTTGAATATGCTGGTCTCTTCTACTTCCATCTCTTTGAGGATACATTGAGAAGGTTATGCCTGTTTTATCTTGTTACTGCTCTCTTAATTATTTTCCATGTAACTTTTCTGTGCATTGGCAACTGAGATTTAAACTGCCGTAAGCTGCTTCGGGAGGCCAAGTCAGCTGCACAACCAGGCACAAATACAATAAACGAGCAGGACAATTTTAAAAAAACACTTATTTGATTCTAACACATCAGCAAAAACACCTTCTCTGTGAATGCTTAAATTGCTCCATTCTTTTGCTTGGTTGGTTTGTGTGCAGGGCAATTTGGGCTTTGTGGTTTGGAGGCTGAGCACGCCCCCCCCCCCCGCACTAAAGCTGTTGATCCATTATCACATAATGCATCGATCCACCCACTAAATGCATAGCATGGGTTAGGCAAGAGCTGTGGAAATAGCTTCTTCCTCAAGGTCAGCTCTCTGCTTGCGGCACTGTTGAGAACCACTGTGGGCAATGAGCAGAGGAAAGCAGCAAGAGCTCAATTCTGGTTTTGCAACTATACTCATGAGTATAGTTATTACTTTCCTAACTCATGTTCAACCCTTTAACCTAACCACCTTATGTTCAACATTTATTTAACTGGATGAACTTAACAGGATTTAACAGCTAAACGGTAAATATATTTAACAGGATTTAATAGGTTATCAATGGCTACTAGCTATCGATGGCTATACTCTGCCTCCACAGCTGGCAGCAGCGATGGTTCTGAATACCAGTTGCTGGAAATCACAGGAGGGAGAGTGCTCTTGTGCTTGGATCCCAATTGCTGGTTTCCCACTGGGGCATCTGATTAGCTACTGTGAGAACAGGATGCTGGACTAGGTGGGCCATTGACCTGAACCAACAAGCTCTTTTGTAATTAAAATAAAGCATACTTGTTGCATACACATTTACTGCCTGGTTTGTTTTATATTGATTCCAATGCAACAAAGATGGAGCCAATTTTTCCTTGAAGCCTCCACTGAATGAATCTCTCTCTTTTGTAGCTGTGTGTTAGAACCCAGATGTTTGCCCACTTCCTGTTTAGTCATTTTACAGAGAAAATAAGTCTCCAAAAAGGGCCAGAGGAAAGCCATTCTGTAGTCCAGAAACATCTGGAGGGCCACAGAATCCTTTTCCCTAGTCCAAAGTAAATATACCTCTAGATAACAGATGCCGAGGTGGGGGAAACATCAGGAGAGGCTCTGGCCCTCAAGCTCTGTTTTAGGATAAAATACATTTGGAAATGTGTACACTGAAATAAAATGCAGGTCATATTGAACTAAGCTGTACTCAGGATAGAATCACTGAAATCACAGAGTCCATTGACTTATCTTATTTGTACGATAAAATGCATATTTAAGAACATATTTAAAACATGGATTTCTGTACAGACTTAAAACCACAGATTAATCCAGTAAGCACATCACAGACACCTGGACTGTGATTCTCAGGGCTCCTGAGGTGAGCCATTTCATGACTTCCCCCGGAACAGTCAACCTGCCCAGCACCTTTTATTTAGAGAAACTGGGGGTGGAAGTATAAGAGGAAGAAAGTTACTTCATTGGGAGAGATGGGAAGCAGGGCTCATTCCATCAGCCAGCAGAAAGACCAATTCCATCTGGTGCCTCCTGCCTCTGAGCTGCTTCCATGCCAGCTGGCCATTATATTTATTATTTATTTGTAAAAATATTTGCATACCACAGTATCATAAAAATGTGCCAAGCAGTTTACAATATACAACAATATAAAAACAGAAAACCAGACAATAAAGCAAACCTCAATAGACCATTGTAGTCTAGTTATCGTCTTCCAAAGCAACTACTCTATTCCAAACTTAAAAATGGAAAGCATAATGCTGGTGGTCAACAAAAGAGGTTTAAGTCTGCTTTTTTCCTTTTCCTTCCCTATCCCTTTCCCCTTGTGTATTGTGCTTTATACCTTGTAAGCCTGTGGTCAGGGACTGCCTTGTTTTAATTAGTTGTATTTAAGCCACTTGGGGAATGTTTCTGGCTGAAGAATGGGGTCCAAATGCTCTAAGCAGATAAAGTAATAAAAAGCAGGTCTACGCCCCACTTTCCAGTTTGATCAATATCCTTGTGAGCAATGGGCTACCTAAGGGGACACTTTTGAGAGGGTGGCCTCAGCTTCACGGTCCTGGACCTGACACATTCAGCAAAGTGAGGGAGAGAGAGAGTACCTTGCTCAAGTTGTAGCTGTGTAACTTCCACCCTAAGCTGCGCATTTTCTCTCTCAAATGCAGTTGCCAAAGAATCCCGCGCTTCCGTCAACATACGGATGTGGGCCACGTAATTTTCCACCTGAAAAGAGAAGGACAAAGCAAGTCTATGATTCCCAATCAGCAAGGACAGGTCAGGCTGCATTATTTGCCCATTTATTTATTTACTTAAAAGTACATGCCGCTAAATCATAAAAATATATCTATGCACTTTACAACATGAAAAAGATAAAAACCGCACAATAAAAGTATAAAAAAGGGGGAAACAATTTGAAAGCAAGAAAGTTAAAAACAAGCATCAATAAACCACTGCAGAAGGATGAACTCTCAATTGCCTGCATAGGCCCTGAGGAAAGGTTTTCAGCAGGCATTTCAATACTGGCATAGAAGGTGCCTGAATCACTAGTGGAAGAGTTCTACAGAACTTGACCAATGACACTAAAGGTTCAGTTTCTTATTGTTGTCAAATGAGCCTCATCAACTCAAGGAAATACCAGAGATGCATAGCTGTCAACGTTTCCTATTTTTTAAGGGAAATTCCCTTATTCCGAATAGGATTCCTCACAAGAAAAGGGAAAAGTTGACAGCTATGCAGAGATGCTGCTGTAGATTATCTCACCAACTGAGTTGGGTTTAGGTGGTAGCTGTAAATTAACACAAATCCCTTGAACCTGTGTCATTAGTAAATGGGGAGCCTGGGCAGCTGTTTTAACAATTGTGCTGCATGTTTTCTGCCAGATGCTCCCATCAGCAGTAACATCTACTGTGACTGGCACCAGCGCTCCAAGGTCTCAGGCATAGGTCTTTCCCAACAGCTAATAACTGAAACTCTTTCACTCATGCATTCATTCATTCCTGTCTTCTATGGCAAAACCCAGTTTTTGTTTCTGGGCTCAGTTTAAAGTGATGGTATTAAATTTTAAAGACCTGATTTATTTGGGATCAGGTTGTTTGAAAGACCATATACACATACTAATCTGCACTGTGCTGAAATTAGGTTATTTCTTTAACTGTCAGCAGATGGAGTCATTGCTATGCTTAACTCTTGCAAATGAGTTTTTTTCAGTGGACCAACTCACTTCAACATTCCTGAACTTGCTTCAGGATCACAATGCAACTTCCTGTCAGATCGTGCAGCTCTCCAGATCTGACTATGCGGTTTTAGTGTACAAAAGGAAGGGCACACAAAAATATATATTTTAGGTAAAATAAGCCACACAAAATGTGTAACACAGAGATGAGTTTGGGGCACATTTTTTCAATGAAGCTGTACAAGACAGAATGGCACAGGCCTATGCCTTAGCACCCAGCGAGTCAGAGAAAGAACAGAATTAGGTTGCTCAGTCCATCCCTACGAGTGTCCTGCCTGAAAACACTATGGGACTTCCTACACCAGAGCTTTCCAAACTTTTCATGTTAGTGACATACTTTTTACACAAGCATCATTTAGCAACACAGCAATTCAGTTTTACTAGCAAACTGGAGGTAAAACTAACTCCTTTCCAGCCCCGGGAATAGTGTAGGGAGCATTTGCGTGACACAGGTATACGCTGCAGCCGACACACTAATGTGTCACGACATACAGTTTGGAAAGCTCTGTCCTACCTTCTGCTCAATACTGAGGTTAACCTTCATGTGGATTTTCACATGTTTGAGAAATCTTCAGAGTCCCGTAGATCAGAATGGATTTATGCCGTTCATAGCTAAAGAAGAAGCCTTCAAACTGTCTAGTGCTAGAGAAACATTTCCATGTTAACTGGTGGGCATGGGACCGTTGGTACATCTGCCACAGAGAACTCCTGCACATCACAGGGGATTCAGGTAGCTTTCTTAGATTATGCCCTTTTAATCCAGTGCTCCACTGTCAGAGTGGCCAACTGGATGTCCTAAAGGGAAGCCTACAAGCAGGTCTGGAGTGCCACTTTTCAAAGGTGGCAGCACTCTTCCCACCTATGAATCCCAGCAACTGCTATTCAGAGGCAGATTACCTCTCACAGGGGAGAAAGAAAACACCATCTTTTGGGCACATAGATCCATCATGACTGATCTTCCCCTTATAACCAAATGGAAAAAAACCAACAAATCACAGTTGAAAGCAACTGATCTAAAGTTTGAATCAACAAGAGTTTAAGGTCAAGACAAGGGAAGCCTGAAGCCCCCTGCCCACACCAATATATTTCACTAGAACAAAAAAAGCTGTCATACTGCTTGCTCAGTATTGTCTGCACTGAATGGCAGCAGCTTTTCAGGAAGGCTTCAGGCAGAGGCATTTCCAACCCTATCTGGCATTGATAAGAATTGACAGGCTCTTCCCCACTTTATCATTTCCAAAGAAGTCCAGGTCTGGTTGTGCTTGTTGACACTTCCACAAGCACTTGGCCTCAGACTGTGATATGACCATCTCTTAAGTGGACTCATGGCATCCCTGAAGCAGGACACATCCAATGAAATGTGCACATGTTCAAAGGGTCGTATTCAATCCAGGACAGGTTGAACAGTGCAAGTAGGAACTGAAACCACCTGGATCACTTTTAAATTATATATTTCCAACTGTCATTTTAGACTATCAGTTCCTTAAGCGCAAGGGTCCCATCTTTTCTTTTTTTTAATTCTTACATTTCCAGAAATGTGAATGGTGCGCGGGGCCAGGAACAGAAAAGCCACACAAAATGGTTGCTGTCTGTACTGTCTCTTTGAAACACTTTGCTGATTTGAGGATTCGAACATGCTTCTCCATTCATGCAAGGGGCTTTTGCCATGTTGGAAGTCCATTAGTCCACACAACCAGTTTTCTATGCTGAGGGGACAGTTCCAAAGCAAACAGCTTTGGTGTCATCCCTGCAAGCCACCCCACACTCCAGGCCCTTTAAGGGGATGTGGGAAATTGCCCTATCTCCTGGAGCGGGCAACATAACAGCATAGGAAGAGCCTACTGGATCAGACCAATGGCCCATCTAGTCCAGCATCTTGTTCTCATAGTGGCCAACCAGATGCCTGTGGGAAACCAGCAAGCAGGATTCGAGCACAAGAGCACTCTCCCCTCCTGTGGTTTCCAGCAACTGGTGACACAGGAGACATCTGGCTGGCCACTGTGGGGAACCAGGACACTTTTTTGAGATGGACTTTTGGCTCTTATCCAGCCGGATGATTCTGGCGTCCTTCAAGTCTGGGAAAACCACCAACCTGAGACATCTATTTTGCTCCTTTTCCGTTCAATTAGCACAAAAAAGTCAAATGGCATATTAAATATATCCAAACATATTTTCCAGACATCCTCTGTTCAAAGCAGGAGATGTGCTTACATAGCCTTCTGTTGCTCACCGTGGGCAGGGGGTTCTTTACAAATGTGATGTGGGCAGATTTTTCTGTGTGGACATTCAAGCCACATGGCAAAGATCTAAATTTCACCTTGTCAAGCTGACGACAGTTGAGAAACGCAATCAATCCTTTGCGTCAGACATAAGAAAGACCCTTCCACCTGCTGTTCCTATTATTTTTGCTCTTCTCTTTGAAGGCCACAGGGAAAAAACCCACCTAGAACAATTCCCATCACCAGCCAGGCTGAATCAAACGGGACTTGCCCAAGAACAAAGGATGCCCTCCTGTGCAAATCCTGTTCCTTTCAAGAGACCTTGCACAGGAAGGTTCCCTGTGAGCTATGCACTATGAGTACTTTTCCTCTCCTATTGACAACATACCAAACACCTATGACAACCGGATGCAAATTCCAAAACAAAAACCAGGAAACCAACAGAAATCATGGAAAATTTTTCTCCCCTGCCCCATGCCAAGGTAAGTAGGATTTTTTGTTAAAGGGACAAAAAGATAGAGCTGTGTTTATGGACATCTTTGGGAGGCCCTAAAATATGAGAGGGATAAGCAATGGGCTGAACTGGGACTCATTCACACAAAGCTAGCCCTCTCTGGAGAAACCACATCAATTCCTAGTAGCTGTCATGGTAAAGCCTGGAAGATTAAAATGTACAGTTCAAACATGCTCCAGCTTTGTTAGAAGATTTGTGCTGGGACAGAAAGAAACCACAGATTTCTATAACATGTTCACACAGCAGCTATATCAGCCTTCGCTAACAGGGCACCCTCTGTGGGTTCTGAACCACAACTCCTCTCAGTCCCGGTTGAGGGAAGCTGAGCTAAAAGCTCAGTTCCTGTTTTGTGCCAAAGATGGAATGTAATGAATAAACAAGCCCAGGTACTATACTGCACATTATTTAACATTATGGCCCAGAGGACAGACCCCTCCTGCCCCTCTTGTTGTAGTCTGGGCACCTTGAGAGCAGCCATTTTCAGAATAAAAAACATTGTAAAATAAGCACAACATGCCCAACAACTGTGGTGTAACATCCACCATATGCATAAAAATGGCACACAACGTACAGTGGTGCCCCGCAAGACGAACGCCTCGCAAGACGGAAAACCCGCTAGACGAAAGGGTTTTCCGTTTTGAGGCGCTCCATAAGCAATTCCCTATGGGCTTGCTCGCAAGACGAAAGCCCATAGGGAAATCTCCGGGGACCTCTTTTAAATGCTAGCGGTGGGGAGCAAAGCCTTCCCCCCCCCCTCCGGCCTTCAGAAGAGGTCCAGGAAGGCTGGCGGGGGCCGAAAGGCTTTGCTCCCCACCGCCAGCATTTTAAAAGCAGTCCGGGATAGCAGGGAAGCGCTTCCCGCTATCCCGGACGGCTTTTGAAGGCAGGAGAGGTCCGCGAAGCCTGGGCGCGCTGATCTCAGCGCGCGCAGGCCTCGGCATGCCGGCAACTCTCCGCAAGCAGCGGCAGCGCTGCCGCTGCTCGCGGAGAGGTCCGCGAAGCCTGGGCGCGCTGATCTCAGCGCGCGCAGGCTCCGGCATGCCGGCAACTCTCCGCAAGCAGCGGCAGCGCTGCCGCTGCTCGCGGAGAGGTCCGCGAAGCCTGGGCGCGCTGATCTCAGCGCGCGCCGGCTGCGGCATGCCGGCAACTCTCCGCCAGCAGCGGCAGCGCTGCCGCGGCGCGCGGGGCGGTCCGCGGAGCCGGGGCGCGCTGCTCGCCGCGCGCGCAGGCTCGGCATGCCGGCAACTCTCCGCAAGCAGCGGCAGCGCTGCCGCTGCTCGCGGAGAGGTCCGCGAAGCCTGGGCGCGCTGATCTCAGCGCGCGCAGGCTTCGGCATGCCGGCAACTCTCCGCAAGCAGCGGTAGCGCTGCCGCTGCTCGCGGAGAGGTCCGTGAAGCCTGGGCGCGCTGATCTCAGCGCGCGCAGGCTTCGGCATGCCGGCAACTCTCCGCAAGCAGCGGCAGCGCTGCCGCTGCTCGCGGAGAGGTCCGCGAAGCCTTGGCTGGACAGCTTTTGAAGGCAGGTGGGGGGACAAGACTTTCGCCCCCGCCAGCCTTCAGAAGAGGTCCAGGACCTCTTCTGAAGGCTGGCGGGGGCAAAGTCTTTGTCCCCCTGCCTGCCTTCCCAGAGGCTTTAAATTGCCCCGGACAGCGGAGAAGTCCTCCGCTGTCCCGGGCAATTTTAAATGCCGCCCGCCAGCATTTTAAGATCGCCCCGGACAGCGGAGAAGCCCTCCGCTGTCCCGGGTTTTAAAATGCTGGGGTGGGTGGGAAGAAAGCCCTTGTCCCACCCAGCCTTCAGAAGAGGTCGGGGGACAGACTGTCCCCGGACCTGGTCTGAAGTCGGTTTCCCTAGGAACGCATTAATTGATTTTCAATGCATTCCTATGGGAAACCGTGCATCGCAAGACGAAAAACTCGCAAGAAGAAAAAACTTGCGGAACGAATTAATTTCGTCTTGCGAGGCACCACTGTATGTTCATTCCATGTACCCAATACGTATTTGCTGTGGGAAGTTCTTCAGCATGGACTTCTATCTTGAGCAAATTGTCCACACCTAGCTTGGAACAATCCCAAGGGCTGTAAACCTGAAAGCATCTACCTTTGAAAAACCCTTTAGAAGTGGTTGGCCTACTCCAGTGTCAGCAGCCGGTGGCTGGCAATCTTCCCACCTACCTCTCTCATCTCTTCCACTTGCTGTTGCCTGAGTTTCTCTAACTCTCCGGCAGCAGAATGCAACTCCTCTTGACTGCGTAGGAACAAACTCCAGACATAACAGAGCTGGTCCTTTGCAGGCGCTGTAGTGTCAACCCCTTCTTCCTTAAGCTGCTGAGTTATGTCTTCTATATGTGCTTGCTCCTGTATAAAGGAATGTAGAAAGGAATCAGAAAAGGGGTCTTCCCTAAACAATTAATCTGTATTTTTATTTATTTATTATATTCAGTCTTCTCAGCTACACTGCTTCAGCAACTGTATTTGGGAACATTCTGCTAGCCCTCGTGGCTAACAGCTATGGATAGATCTCTCTTCTGTGGAGCAGGCTGTATCTTTTGACACTGTAAATCGTAATGCCCTGTGGACTGTCCTTCTGAAAATTGGCTGCCCAGATAAATTTGTGAACATCACTCAGCTCCTCCATGATAATACAACAGTAACAATTGCAGATAACAATGGCTCACAAAGTGAACCATTCACAGTGGGATCAGGTGTTAAACAGGCTTGTGTTATTGCCCCAACTCTATTCATTATTTTCATTGCTATGATCTTACACTTTGTCGAAGGGAAACTCCCCACCGGAGTAGAAATCATATATTGAACAGATGGAAAGCTCTTCAATCTGAGCAGGCTGAAAGCAAAGAGTAAGGTTACCGTAACTTCCATCATAGAGTTTCAGTATGCCGATGACAACGTAGTGTGTGCACGCTCAGAGGATGCCCTCCAAACCATCCTAAATATCTTAGCAGAAGTTTATGAAAAGCTTGGCCAATCACTCAACATCCCAAAAACCAAAGTGTTGCACCAGCAAGTGCAAAATAACCCCTCTGCAGAGCCACAAATCCAACTCAATGGTGTAACGTTGGAAAATGTCGATCACTTCTCCTACCTAATTATCTTTCTACAAGGGCTGACATTGATGCCGAAATCCAGCATCGCCTGAGCTCTGTGAGTGCAGCTTTTTCCCGATTGAAGTGCAGAGTGTTTGAGGACCAGGACATTCACAGGGAAACCAAAATGTTTGTTTACAAAGCTATTGTACTACCAACCTTACTGCATGCTTGTGAAACATGGACCACTTATAAACACCATCTCCAACTCCTTGAAAGATTCCATCAAAGGTGTCTCCGAAAATTTTTACACATCATTTGGGAAGACAGGCAGACTAATGCCAGTGTACTGGATGAAGCAAAGATCACCAGTGTTGAAGCAATTATTCTTCAACATCAACTTCGTTGGACTGGTCATGTTGTGCAGATGCCTGATTATCGTCTTCCAAAGCAACTACTCTATTCCGAACTTAAAAATGGAAATCATAATGCTGGTGGTCAACAAAAGAGGTTTAAAGACTGTCTCAAGGTAAATCTAAAAAAAATGTAGTATAAACACCAACAATTGGGAAACACTTGCCTGTGAATGCTCCAATTGGAGAACAGCCTTTACCAAAAGTGTCATGGGCTTTGAAGTCACTCGAACTCAGAACGCAAGGGAGAAACGTGCTAAGAGGAAGGCACGCTTGGCAAATCCACACCATGATCAACTCCCGCCCAGAAACCACTATGGAAGGACATGTGGATCCAGAATTGGCCTCCACAGTTTCTTACGGACTCATTGTTAAAACCGTGTTTATGGAAGACAATCTTGCTTGGCTACGACTGAGCGCCACAGAAGGACAAATCTTTGGGCCCAATTCAAAGTGCTGGTTTTGACCTATAAAGCCTTAAATGGTTCAGGACTGCAATACCTCAAGGACCACCTCCCCACATATGAACCGACCCAAACCCTGTGTTAATCATTGGAGGCCCTTCTTCATGTGCCCTTTCCACAAGAGGCTCAGAGGGTGGCAACACAAGAATGGGCCTTTTATGCGGTGGTTCCGTTTGCAGAATGCGCTTCCCAGGGAGGCTCCCCTGGCGCCTTCATTACATATCTTTAGGTGTCAGGTGAAAACATTTCTCTATAACCAGGCCTTTGGCTGATTGAACATCCCATGGCCTTTAAAATGTGTTTGTGGGTGTGGGGTTATTGGTTTGTTTTGGTTCTAGTTTTAGTATGTATTTTGTGTTCTCATTTTGTATTTTTATGTTGTGAACTGCCCTGTGATCTTTGTATGAAGGGTAGTATACAAAATAAGCAAGCAAGCAAGCAAGCACATGCTCTGCATGCAAAAGGTCCCATGTTCAGTACCTGGTATCTCCAGGTAGGGCTGGGGAATGCTCCCTGTCAGAAACCCTGGAAGAGGGGCTTCTGGTCAACATAGACTAGGGATGGGGGACCTATGGCTCTTCAGATGTTATTGCACTCCAACTCCTAACATTCCTGGCCACTGACTATGCTGGCTCAAGGAAGTCTAGCAACATCTGGAAGGCCATAGTTTCCTAATCCCTACTGTAGACATTACTGAGTAAAGCGGAGCAAGGGCTTGGCTTGGTATGTAAGGAAGAATCCTATGTTTCCTCCTCCCTTCAATTAATGTATTTAATTCCCTTTTGAAGCCATCAAAGTTACTGCCCCTCACCTCATCTTGTAAATCAACATCTATCAGCTGCAATTGTCAATTTTTCAACCAGTCCATGTAGCTGCATCTTCAACAGCCGCATTATCTGCAGCAGTTGGTCAGTTACAACACTGGTCTCCAAAATATTCAAGACACAGTACAACTTCCTAGAAGGACACCTGGGTTCTTGCCAGATTGTTGGCCCATTTTTCTATCTTTGGTGGGAATGCTCCTTGGTTTCTAAATTCTGAGCTGCCGTTTAAATCTCTAATATATATTAAATCTCTGGGGTGGCTAAGTGTGTAATACACACCTGAAAAGATCTGATAACGTGGATGCTCACTGCACCCAGAATCTCAGTTGCCACAATGGTGGAAAACATTGAAGCACTGACATTTAACACAAATATAAAAATACGTGGACTCTAGGGTTTTTCGGAGAAACTTTCCTGATCTCCAGTGGGTCAGAAGACCTGGAGTGGCTTCACGTTATATGGTGGGACTTTATTTCTTACACTTTTGAAACAGATGCACAAAATTGTCTACATGCACCGATGATGGAAATCAGGTTGTCTTGATGGACCCTTTTCCTGGATACGCACGTATGATGCAAAACTTACTTTTGATATTCCGATCCAGGAATCACTTTTTGTGTGTGTAATTGTTTAAATAAATTTGTTGGCTTTTTTGTTTGTTTTAAAGAATCACACACAAAAGAAACACAAGGGCAGGGCAGGGTGTGAGTGTGCAGCAGTTCAGAGGTAAACTTTTACAAGAAACTTACATGAAACAGAAACTTGGCAGCGTAGCGCGATCTTGTTCCAGTTTTCATTAATCCAGCAGGGATTTTTTTTAATCTAGTCAGTATGATGTAGTGGTTAACAATTTTGGGCAAGACTTGGGAGACCAGGATTCAAATCCCACCATTCGGCTACTGGGTGGCCTTGGGCCGGCATCCTCTCTCACAGCCTAACCTACCCCAAAGGGTTTTGGGGGTGACTTTGGGTCCCTTCCAACTCTACGAAAAGGCCAGAAATGTATCTTGTCAGGCAAATTCACTGTTGAGCCTCCCCTGGCCAGGCACAGTCTACCTCTCGCTGCCGGGGCGAAGACAGCAGCACAAGGGGAGGTTCGCCGGGGGCTTCTGTGGCCGCTGCTTCTCGGCCGAATGCCGCGCGGCTCTTTTCTGAGGCGCTTGTCGTGTGTTTTGTTTCTCTCCCGACCAACAGCCTCGCCGGCGCAAGGAAGGAGAGAGCTCACGCTCCGCTCCCCGCTATTCCCGGCTGCCCTTCTTTAGCCTTCCCCGGAGGAGCCGCATCCACCCCCTTCCGTACTCACCGGCTGGGCTCCCTCCATGCGAGCTCGGCAACGCCAGCTGAGAGCCGGTTCGGATTACCCGAGCCCAAAGCTAGGCCGCGGTCACCATGGCAACGAGGCCTACCCTCCAGGCCCCGGCTAAGCCTCAGCGCAGTGGGGGGAGAAGGGCGCCCCCCTCCCGCGGAGCATGTAGTCGTGGCAAGGTGGCAACGCCCCCGCCGCGGGTAAAACCCATTTCGCTTGCATTGCATGCGTTACTCGGAAGTAAACTTTGCTGCTTTTCTCCCTAAAGCAAGCACCCACAGGGGATTATTTCATTTATGTCCCATATTTTTCCGCACCCCCTCCCCAAGATGTTTAAAATGGTGTATAGTTCTCCCCAATCTCCTTTAATCCCCCCTCCACGACAACCCTGCGAGGTAAATTAGGCTGAGAGGCAATGACTGAGGTAATGTGACTTGCTAAACGTACACAGGATTGTGCTTGCTGTGGGAACTGTGCTTATTTGGAAGTTAACTCGCCCAGCATTTAATGGGGCTTACTCCCAGGTATGCAGGAATGGTAGCACTCGTGGCAACCTAACAGAGTAAATTCAAAGAGTTCACTAGGTCTTGTATGTAAAAGACATGCATAGGTGTGAAACCCTAAAGCATGCTTACTCAAATGTTAAGTCCCAAAGAGTTGCTGGGATCAACTCCAATGCAAGACAGCACAGAACTGAAGCATATGGGGTCAAAATAGTGACAGGAAAATCCTATACATTTTTGGATGAAAGACATAACAACTGGAATAGAGTATTCCCACATAAGGTATGTATGTATGTATGTGTGTATGATTAATCTTATTCTATCTACCACACATGCCAAAATGTATGTATAGGATTGCAGCCACACAGCTTAGACAGATACATTTCTAACTCTGCTTTGGAACACAGCAGAAATTATCTGTGCGTAAATACGCACAGGACCCAGCTTCAGAGTCAGATATCAGACCAACCTGCACAGAGATACCTGCTGCTCTCCACTGTGAGCCAACCTTTCTCCATACCCATGTCCCTGGTGAGCAAGATTAGTGTGTGGGGTGGAGAAATAATAGGAAGCCTCAAAACCCAGGTTTTGCCACCCTAGCCAGTTTTTGTGACATTGCTGCTTGATTTTCTGGCACTGAAAAATCACAACATTAATTCCAATTGTGGGTGACTTTTTCACTGGCATTACAAACCTATGCTCCAGCTTTTCTCAAACTACATACTTCCATTTCCTGGCACTGCTACCCTATGGTGAAGTCTGAGGGTTGTTTCCAACTAAGTCCTAGACAGAGTAAACCCAATTGAATTAAGGGGTCTAATTAGTCATGTTCATTCATTTCAATGGGCCCACTCTGAGTAGGGCTAATGTTGGATGCAATCCATTCCTCTGTCAATTATTCCCGCAAGGAGACTGAATCTGGATCCTGTATACCTGTGTACTCTGTTATTACTGCTGTTGTGAAATCTCGCTGTGCTTGTTTTCAACATATATATGCCATTGCAAAACTCCTTTTACTTTTGTACTTTACGTATGCAGGCATATGGGTGTGTGTACCCTGATCCCCGTTTACTGAAAGACTAATTAAGAGATTTAACTTCACCAGGACTGAAACAATTAAAGAACAATTTTGGTCATCTACCAGGTTCTGAACATGAACAAATACATCAGGCCTTGAAGCAGCTTTCTTCAGCCTGTTGCCCTCAATATTTTGGGCTGAAAAACCCATCATCCTCAGGCAGCACAGGTTACTGAAGAGTTGCTGGTGAGAGTTGTTATCCAAAAGATCTATAGTGCAGAAGATGGGGGAGGCTGCCTTTCAGACCATCTAGCACATGTTCTTCCCAAATAAATACACTTTAAAATAAATGCAACACCAGACATTTTGGTGGAGCTGTGCACTCAAATACATGAACACAGAAAGAACTGAGGAAGCATGGAATCACATGGCAGGAAATGGACAGACACAACATTCCTATACCGACTTGGTAGGAAGCACTACTGAATTCACGGGGGTTCACTTCTGTGGAGACATGCATTGCTCCTGCACTGATGTTCTGTGCTGCTCTTTTGTTACCTTCATCATTGGTTAGTTTTGTGATTTCCTTTTTGTGATTTTAATATTAACTGGCGTTTTTGTAACCTACTCTTGTGCCATTTGATTAAAGTACAAACAAATATATGTAAGATTATGCTTTGAGAAGCTGATGGGATTTGTAGTAGAAAACATCTGACAGGCACCAAGTTGGGGAAGGCTAGCAAAAAATGGTACTACAGTGGTGCCTCGCAAGACGAAATTAATCCGTTCCGCGAGAGTCTTCGTCTAGCGGTTTTTTCGTCTTGCGAAGCAACCCTATTAGCGGCTTAACGGATTAGCGCTATTAGCGGTTTAGCGGCTATTAAAGGCTTAAAGGCTTAGCGGATTAGCTGCTAAAAGGCTATTAAAGGCTATTAAAGGCTTAGCAGATTAGATAAAGGGGAAAAGCGAAAAAAAAATCTCAAGACTTGCAAGACATTTTCGTCTTGCGAAGCAAGCCCATAGGGAAATTCGTCCTGCGAAGCAACTCAAAAACGGAAAACCCTTTCGTCTAGCGGGTTTTCCGTCTTGCGAGGCATTCGTCTTGCGGGGCACCACTGTATATACATCACTGCCTCCTTTCAAATTGATCCTCAAAACCACCCTCTCTCAAACCCTGGTCTTAATTCCCAAATGGAAAAGTCTTCAGTATAATTATTTCCTTCCTTCCTCTCCCATCACACTATCATCTTATCACCCCCAACATTGAAATTCAGATTATAGCCTCATGACATGGCTGTTGTCCTTTTCAATGCTTATGGTGCCTTCCCACTTGTGATGTACATGAGGCACCGTATAACAATTTAAACTATGGAAAGTGCAGCTGAATACACAATAGTGAAAGCAAAGGCTCTGCCACCTTGGCAGGAGTAAAAAACTGAACCCAAATTAGTGGCACATGGTACAAAGGTGAACACCTCTAAGCCAGAGGTGGGTTTCATGCAGTCCTACTGCCTGATTTCAAAAGGCCCTATGCACAATCAGCTCAGGCCTCCAGCAAGAGTGAACTGCTTCTTCCCCATCAGCCCACAGGGTGGAAAAGAAAAACCATGCCAACTTCTGGCTCTGCTCACAGCTGGCTTCTGTCCCACCCACTGCCAGCACAGAGTTTACCACTGACAGGGATGCAAAAGGAAGGTTCCTCGGCCCTGCTCTAACCCTATATAATATTTTAACATAGACCCAGAAGGTTATATATTAGCAAGAACCTTTATATGGCAATGCAAACAGCACCAGGGCCAGTCCTGGTCAGACTATGACCAAGTGAAATGGCCAGAAGTCATTATGGTCAAGGTGTAGCCATCTAACCTTGCTTGCAAGGAGAGAGTATTCAAACATTCCCTAAGGTTTGATCACACAAGGCTAAACAAAACAGGAGATAGGGATGGTACACTCAGAAAAGCCGTGACTTAGGAATGTTTAGATTTATATGGTATATATTTCTAACAAGCAGCAAACGTGTGTTGTGCAAAAATAGCCCAAATTATGTCAGAATTTCACCGTTTTGATCCTATACACCATTGTAGTAAAGTTTTGACACGATTTAGCAGTAATAAAAACATCTTCGGTTCACCTCTTAACCATTTGTCTATTCTGTTCTGAGGAATCAAACAAGTCACTTTTACTCAGGAGAAGTCATTTCTCCATAAAAGCCCTGTGCTGGGACTCAAGATAGCTGACAATCTTCTCTTCGATCTCCATGCCTTGGGCCACTTCATCATCAGAAAGCGACAACTGAGTCTCCAAGTCCTTGGTGACCACAATCACGGAGGTTCTCCGGGAGTCCAGCACGTTGGCAACCACCACCTGGTGGCGATATTTCTCCAATGCCTGCTTTGCTTTGTCAATCAGGATGGAAGGGTTTGTTTCCAGCTTGAATGAGATCACAAATGCCTCTGGAGCCCATTCCTTAACCAGAGGGGACAACATCTTTGGCACCATCTTCATTGTGATCTGCAACAAGGGAAGGAGGATTAGACAAATTCACAGAGGAGATGGCCATGGTTGGAGGCAGTAATGATTCTGCATGCCAGTTGATGTAAACCACAGGAAGGGAGTACTCTTGTGCTCAATTCCTACTTGACAGTTTTCCACAGGTAGCCAGTTGCCCACTGTGATATAGGATGCTGGACTAAATGGCCCCCTGACTTGATCCAGAAGTGCCCTTCTTATGTTCTTAAGAAAGAAGTTCAGCATAATGCACACACACTAGGCCTGGGTGATATATCGCCCAGGACCGGTATGAGGAGCAGACAGTGATGTCGGTTTCACTCAGCAGTATATTGCTGGTGAAACCGCCACGGCTCCTGAGTCCTTCTGCTAGCAGCGATCACTGGAGGCACTTGCAGGCAGAGCCAATGCAGCTTATTTTTTCAACATTGCCAAATATAGCCAAAAATAGCCAAAACGCAATGTTTGGCTGGTGATACACCACAAAGTTGAAAAGCTGGTATCGCCTAGCCCTCACACACACATGCTCTTGATGCAGCGATAGCCTGAGCTTGGGAAAGGGATGGGTTGGCACAGAGAGAACCCAACAAATAACCCAGCCTTTATAAGCAGTCCTAATTTAAAAATGAGGAAACCATTTCTACCTACTCATTGTTTGACAGAGGTTATAACTGTGTCACAACCCTCTCCCTTATTTCCACATTTCAAGCATTAGGTATCTTGCACACCTACAGCTATCACTGGAGCTGCAACTGTTGTTGTTTACACATGGACTTTGCTGAGTTTCCAAACACCCATCCCCAAACCTCCCTATAAACTAAGCTCCTTGCCTTTAGCTTCTCTTGCACCAAGAGTAACTAACTCGATTATGATCCAAGCAAGGTAGGTTTGCCTTGTATTGGACTAGCCGCCTTTTACTACTCTATAACTGCACTGGTGGTTCTGGCCACAAAGTCGGTTTTCTTCCTGCCTGCTATTCTGTGAAAACAAACATTGATGTTCCTTGGGTTTGATATTTATTTGCATTTCCTCATTTGTCCCAGTATGATCATTCCATGAACATGTGTACAGTACAGACAAACAGACACACAAGCAGATCTAGTAATAGGGCCTAGACTGCCCTGTCCACCCCAGATTCCAAGGAAGAGATCCATCCCAGGGCAACAGAGGAAAAGCTGGTGAGTGCTTCTAGAGGGGGAATATCAAAAAGTGGAGCAAAGTAACAATCTGGTACTACAATCCAGGATTCTGGTGCTTGGCTACAGGCCTCTGTAGCCAAATATATTGATGTATATGTTGATAAGTAGCTTACATGTGAAGAAATATTGTTAGGAAAATCTGTAAGTGTTTGTGCAGGGGAAAACTAAGCTTAGGACCAGTTTGACATAAATTAGACACTGAATTCTTGCTGAATCAGGCATCCATCTCTGATAATGCAGGCATGCTTCCCCTCTGAAAGTATTATTTTATTTCTATGCATGCGGAAAGCAAAGGCAAAGGAATGCCTCTGTATAAGCCTGTCTAATTTACAGGCCTTTAGCCACTACTTTTGTGGGTTCCCCAGCAGCCCCTGTTGCTCTGACAACATAAAAGTAATCACAACTGGAGTGCTTAATTGGTGCATTTAATGGTGCTTAATGGTGCATTTAACTGGAGTGCTTAATTGGTGCTCTTAATGGACCACAAGTCTCCAGGAACAAAATTCCAGTACCTGCTGAGCTCACCTGTAGGGGTCCATCAGTAGACTGGATCTTATGCTCAGGCATCTCTGAAGCTGGGATGTAGAAATCAGACACAGCTGCTGCCAAGTAAAACATGGCACTGGAACCTAGTTGAGGATTAAGCAAGTGAGAAAAATTGGTACCATAAGTGGTGCTAGTTGAAAGACCTCCACAACAATTTCCACATGAATGTGCAAAATTTTAGACTGGAAGGTTTTAAGTTATTTTGAATTTATTTAGTTTCCAGAGTGTTAATGTTAATAGAATTTTTTTAGAAAGTAAAAGTAAAAATCCCTAAACCATAAAAGCGGGCATGGGGGAAGGCAGAATGCATTTAAACTTATTATCTTAGTCTGTTTTAATTCAAATAGAGGATTGTTCTAGACTGCAGTCCTGAGCACACTTACTTGAGTGTAAGCCCCTCTGAATCAGCAGTCCTACTACAGAGCAAATGTGCTCAGGACTGGGCTCCAGAGCTGCAAGCTTCAATACGCAAACCTGGATCCATATTACCCAGTGGAAAGCACGACCCAACAAACATGCTCCAGATCCTGACCCGCAGAAAACGACCTAGCATTGCTGGCAGGAACTCCCAGGCTTACACTTGGAACCCAGGAGAAAACTGCTGCCACTCCGTACCGGCAATACTGAGGTGGACGAGCAGGCGCGGGCACCACGCCCTCCTTTCCTCCGACCTCCCACCACCTCCGCTTACCGAGCGGTGCGAGGGCCCGGGCGGCAGCGCGCAGGAGCGCCAGGTACTCCACCAGGCCGGTGAATTCGAGGACCAGGAGGGCGCCCTCCTCCTTGGCGCGGTGGTAGGCCAGCAGCGCGGGTACAAGGTCCGGCAGCGCGCTGCCGCTGCAGTCGACCAGGACGCGCTGCCCACCTGCGTCACCATCCTGCACGCGCAGAACGTCCAGGAGCGCGGGCCCGCTGAGCGGCAGGGCGCGCGCCCAGGGAAAAGCCGACCGTGTGCGGTAGAGGAAGCAGACGCCGTAGCCGGCGCGCACCAGCCTCTCGGCCGAGGCCGCCCCGCGCCGCCCGCTGCTGAAGTTCTCCAGGAAGCGGACGGCTCGCGCCTCCAGCGGCACCTGCGTTCCGCCCGACGTCACCAGCGCCACGCGACGGCCCCGCGCCCGCTGCGCCTCCGCCCACGCCCGAACGCGCCGCTCCGCCTCGACCTCCACGGGAGACACCGGAGGCACCTGCTCGGCCATGGCGGCGTCGGCAGAGCAGGAGCGGCTCTGGCGCCGCGAGCGTTGCAGCAGCTTCTGTTTGCTCTACTTCCGCTTCCGGCAGAGGTGCGTTCATGCTGCGTGTGTCGCTCTAGCCGCCCCTTCTCTATGGGCGCTCGCTTGAGGCTTCAGGATTGGTTGGGCGTGCCGGAAGCAGAAGGAGCGTGTCGGAAGTCCGGCCCGCCGCCTTAGCGACGGCTCCCCTAGCAACCGAGGCGTCGGAGCGATGCAGACGCAGCAGCTGGTGCCGCTCGCGTTGCCTCGCGGGCAGAAGCTCTTCTGCGAACTGTGCCGTGGACCGGCCACGCTGCGCTGCGGATCCTGCGCTGTCACCTACTACTGGTGAGCAGGGCCGCGCTCCCTCCTTCCCTTCCCCCACCTACGCCCGTAGGCACGGCATGCAGGCAGGCATTCGTAGGGTGAAGCTGGGGAGATGCTATGGAGCGGCGTCCTCAGGGGCGGTCGCCTCCTGTGGGCTTATTTATTTATTTAGCATTTACATGCCACCTTTTTCTCAAGGTGGCGTACATGGTTCTGCCCACCCTCGTTTTTAATCCCCCACGACAACCCTGTTAGGTAGGTTATAGGCTGAGGGGTCACCTAGGTGAGCTTGAAGGCGACCAAGCGGCGATGCGAACCCTGGTCTCTCCCGGGTCCCAGTCCGACAGGAATAAGGAACGGCCAGGTCTGGTGATGTGTGGCTTTTTAAAGGTCTGTCCAGCAACCCCTTTAATCAGTTTTGAATGACGGGGGTGGATCCATAAGCAGAGCAAGCTTTTTGTCTATATTTTATTTGTTTTGTTTTTTTAACAAGATTTATGTACTGCTTAAGGAAAGAAAGAAAAAACCTCCAAGTGGTTTACAAAGAATATAAAATATTTGTTGATAATAAGGAAACTGAAAGCATGATAAATCCCAAATATGGATAAAACTGTCAGTTTTACTATATATATGCACACTTTTATTATTTCTGTTCCTTGAGATTATATATAGATAAATAGATACGTGTGTGTGTGTGTGTGTATACAGTTGATATAGAGAGACTGTGTGGTGTAGTGGTTAGAGTGCCAGAGAGACTAGTGCTCAAATCCCCACTCCTCCACAGGGTTGTTGTGGGGATTAAATGAGGGTAGGGAGACCACCTTGAATTCCTGGTTGGAACAAAGGTGCAGTATAAATGTAAGAAATAAATACAAATATATTAAATAAAAAGCAAGCAAAAATTCTCTCTATAATTGATCTGGATGCTTTAAACTGGTTACTATTTTTTGTTCTTTCTATCTCTGATTGTCATCGTCATTGTCCCCATTATATTATTTATTAATTTATATCCCACCTTTCCGCCAAGGAACTGAAGCTACCTTGAGTGTTATCTAAGAAGATGCAGGATATACACCAGAACAATAAAGAAATTGTTTATTTTTTCAAATAGGGTAATATCCGACACTTTAGTGTACCAGGTGGTAAGATTGGCCCTGTCTAAATTTTTCCAAAATTGTGTGATTGTCATTTTAGCCAGTATAGCAGATGCGCTTTTTGTTACTCTTGACAAATATAGATAAAAGTGGTAGCTGAGAAGTTGGGATAATGTGGCAGTTTAGGATCTTAGCAATTTCTCTGAATGCTGTTGCCTAAAATTATTGCACTATAGTATATCCCTACTATAGGTGGAAGTTTATCCAATTTCTGTACATCCCCTCCAACACCTTGGGGACGCAGATGAATTTTTATGTGAGAGTTTTCTAGGAGTCATGTAGCATTTATGAATCAACTTTAATGACAGGCTTGTGTTTAACTCTAAGTTTTAGTGATAATTTTAAGAGAATATTTTATGTACACTACTTACCGGTTTTTGCAATTAAGCAGACTATCAATTCCATTAATTAAAAAGAAATAAAATGAACAAACAGTTGTTTTTTATACTAGTAAACTGCTTAAAGCCTATTTTGGCAGGAAGCACTATATAAATTACCTAATATTAATTATAATTGATGCACGCATCACAATTTGCGCTGCTAATAGCCATGTCTCTCATCTTTTCTTAGCGACGTAGAACACCAGAGTGCCGATTGGGTCAGCATCCATGAGAAAATATGTCAACTTCTCATCCCTTTGCGTACAACGTTACCTTTTTACAATTCGGAGGAAGAAAGGAAGCATGGGCGAGAGCAGAAGTTAAGAAGAGAGGTGAGGGAGTGGTCCAGGTCCGGGAGGTTCACGGATGGACAGCAGGGTCCCATTCAGTTCAAATAGGGAGTGGCGATCCTTGAGGTGTTGGGGTCCTGAGATGTGTCAGGTTTTATAGGTCAGAATAGGCCCCGAAGCAAACTGGTGGCTAGAACAGTGCAAGTACCAAAACTACTCATCAGAAATAAACAACAACAATAAAAGCTGTGTGTGTGTGTGTGTGTGTGTGTGTGTGTGTGTGTACACCTGAGAGTGGCTTAACAATCCATGCTTGTCCACAGAAATTCCTGGCCGAGTTGACCCAGGCAGTCGCTCAGAATTTTCTTCTTGAAGGCAAACACGAAGATGCCATTCCAGCTGCGTTGCATTCGCTGAAGTTCAGCATCAGCGTACACAGTTCAAATGCTGTGGAACTGGTGCCAGCATACCTCATTTTAGCTGAGGCAGGTCTGGGTGAGTTTGGCTGGAGCTGTGCTGAAGTAGTTCTGTGTCAATTTCTAGATAGGGACAATGGTCTCTTTTTAAAAAACGTAATCGTGTCTTGTGCAGGGATTATGTTGCGGGGATGGCGTGTATATGCGAAAACATGTATACTCAAACTGCCCCCTTGGAACCACCCTCACGTGGGCATCCTTACCTTTCTGTTACCTGTGCTGAGTGGGCTTTGCCCCCCAAAGCAATGCAGAGAGCAGATATATACAATATGATCACAACTTGCACATGTTTAAGTTGTGCGGCATCAGTTGTGCGCAGTTGAAGGCCTCCTGGTTGAAATTGCATAAATTAAATGCAGACAAGGTGGAGATCTTAAAAATTCTTTTTTGCATCAGCAAAAACTCTTTTTTCCTGGTGCAGGAAGAGCTTTTAAGCTCTCTGCCTTGCTTACCAGGCAAGTCCTGCTCAGTACACTGGCTCTGGGGTGCTCTATCAAGATGTCTCAGGGTTTTCCGAGATCTTGATCAGGATACTGTTTGCACTACAGACACAGACCACCACAGATTGCTGACTCTTTCTTGGCTTCTCTCCTTCCTGCCAGGCCTCGGGCACCTTGCCCAAGCAGAGGAGTACCTCTCACAAGCCCAGTGGATTATCCTCAAGAATTCCCACTGCAGCAACGCCATTCAGTCTGACTTTCATCGCAACCTGGGCCTCCTTCACGCCGCCAAAGGGAACTTTGAGGACTCTTTGTACCACCTGGCTAATGACGTAAGCCTCTGCTAAAGTGGCTACACAAAGCTGCTTCTGTTGGTGGTTGGTTTTTTTTTTTATTTAGTTGATTTTATCCATTGTATGTTTTTAATAATCTTATTGTAGAGCCCTTAGAAACTTTGGCGATTTCAGTGGTGTACCAATAGCTGAAATAAGTAAATACATTTATCCCATTTCAGATTTACTTTTCCTCTTGTGCCTTTGGAACGAACCACATGGCCGCCTCGGGGGGATACTTCCACATGGCCAATGTCTTCTTCCGTCAGAACAGAATGGACATTGCCGATTCCCTGTACTCTGAGGTCAGTCGGCTTGAGACAGCTGGGTTGGAAGTAGAGGTGATGCTGAACGCGGCAGCCTCATCTCAGGTTCCATCTCCCCTCTGTGTCATATTGCCATGGAAAAGTGTTATTTTTCTCAAGTGTGCCTTGCGCACACACAGCCAGCTGTGCATTGTTGGTAGAGGAAGTGGGGGGATATAGAAGCTATATTCTGGATCAGTCCCAAGAAATGTTCAAAGGTGGCCCCAACATACAGTGGACGTTAAGGGGATGGGGATCACCGCACCCTTTTCTTCCTTGCTTAATGAGCCCTCTTCTCATCAGGTGACCAATATTTGGCACCACCATTTCAGCCACTTCATCGGCCTCCAGTACCACACGCTTATGACTCCGGCAGAACTTGATATGCTTGCGGAAGAAGAGGAGACTACAGAAGAAGTCCTTGGTAACTTCCGCTCTTTCAGATGGCTCCCCCTTCTCCCCATTCCAAGAAAATGGGGTGGTTTAAAATTCAGGCTGCTTCCCTCCTCCTGCCAGAGAGTTAGGTGGGGGCAGGGCAGAGAGCTAGCTGACTGTGGCACATGGCTACATCTTCTGAAAAAGAAACAATATTCCTCCCCGTTCCTTTTCTGAGCTATTATAACATCCACAAGTGGGTGCAGATTCAGTCAACCATATGAGGCACCTCTTTTTACCACATATCTGTATTTGTTTTCTCTTAGGTCAGGGGTGCGGAGCCCTTATCCCATGGGCCTTTTTAGGCTCTCCAGACTCAGATGGACACTTTGGCCATGTCAAACTCACCTGCCCTGCACCTAGTGTCATATATGACACCATCGTATACGACATCAGGCACAGAGGGCAGGTGAAGACTGAGCTCAGCCAAAACAGTGTTTGTAGGCACCGTCAACTAGCAGTTGGTAATGCCCTGCAAAACCTTCTCAAAGCAGTGTACAAAACGGGGCTTTTCAAAAGTCACCTGATGTCCTAATGATTGACAAGTAAGCAGTCTTGACAGGTGCATGGAAACTTTGCCTACAAGGGGTGGATGAGATAACAGCCTGATCCATTGTGCTAAAAAGAGAAAGGTCCCCTTCAGCTCAGTTTGGTAAGGCTCTTGCCTAAACAGGTCAGCCAGGCCAGCCAGGCCCAGAGATAGACCGTGCTCCCTTGACTGCAGTAGATCCCCCTTCATGGAGTTCCCTTTCTACCTTACAGATGCAAAGCAGCGAGCTGAAGCAAAACAGATGCTGAGCGCCATCTTAGAGATCCGAGAGCAGTCTCCGCGACCTCAGCTGGCTCAAATAGCCAAGGTCCTCCATACTCTGGCCATGTTTCATTACTTGATCCTGGATGTGCCAAAGGCAAGTTGACAATGGTGTCTGTTTGGGTTGAAATACATCACATATCCCAGACCAGTGTCATCACCCGGCGTCCCTAAGCAATTGCATCCTGACAGGGCCTCAAACAAGACATTGTAGACCTGGAAGAGGGACCTGAAAGAGGAAATGAAATGATCCAAGGGCTGGCAGAGTTGCTCCTCTGTGAGGAAAGGGCTTTTCATTGTGGAAAAAGAAGAGAGTATAAAATGATGCATTTGTGTGGTTGGAGAGAGGTTTTCTCCCTGTCCCATAACACTAGAACTTGAGACATCTAATGAAGCTGAATGTTGGAAGATTCAAGACAAAGAAATTAGTTCTTCACACAATGCATAGCTTAAACTATGGAAAATGCCCCTGTAAGAACTAGCGATGGCCAACAACTTGGATGGCTTTAAAAGAGAGCTAGACAAATCCATGGCGGATAAGGCTATTGGTGGCTACTGGCCACAGTGTATCAATGGCTATGTTCTTCCTCCAGTGGTGGAAGCAATATGCCTCTGAGTGTCAGTTGTAGGGAGTCATGAGCAGGAGAGGGTCTTCCTTGTGGGCTTCTTGTAGGCATTTTGATAACTGCTGTGGGAAATGGGATGCTGAATTGATCTGCTCCAACAAGGCCTTTTGCCTGCTTCCTTTTCTTTAATGAAAATACCTCGCTAAACTACTCATTGCCACTTGAAACAGCAGCAGAGTTCCCTCCCCTCTTCTTCCCCCGAGTGGCCCAATGGGAATGATGTTACATTATGACACAATGTGGTTCCCAGGGGCATTGCTGGAGAAGCAGACAGGAGTGCTTTGTGATGCAACATTTTGTTGCATGCCCAGCTTACCTATTTAAAGAAGCAATTGATGATCAGCCCCATTCCATTCAACAACAGAGATTGTGTGAGGAAAGGAACATTATGTTAACTGCAGCCAGGGCAGGGCTAATGGGAATCAGGCAATTAAAAGAAAGTATCCTTTTTTAACAATTGCTAAGGAATAATGTTGCATGTTCTTTCCTTCCTTCCTTCTCTTCCTCTTGCTTGTCACTCTCAGGCTCATGAACTTGTGATGAAACTTCTGCAAGTTATGAAGAAGCTGCCCAAGTATGAACCAAGCGAATCACTTCACCAATTGGTTAAATTGTTGAAATCCAAACCAATCTATGCAAAATAGACCCACCACTGCCACCCTCAGGCCTGGCTTCCCAGATGAGCATTAGATGCCAGTCGCTAATCATCCTTTCCTGTTTCTACTTCCCATCTGAGCCCCCCACCAGCTGAGTAACAAAATCCAGACGATGATAAATATGCCTTGGACAGAGAGCAGGCAGGACCCAGACATCCTTTGCAGAGCCAGTTGCTTCAGATTCCTCGGCCAAATGGAAGATTAAAAACTCACACACACACCCTCCAATGGGAGCTGCTGAAGCTGAAAGCAAAGCATGGCCTTTAACTGTATCTAGGGGGCTCTCTGCCCTCACTGCTGTCCCAAGTCACCCAGCTGCACAAAATTTAAAGCTGTGAAAATTAACCACCACATTGGTTTTGTGTTTTTTTAAATCTTTGTGCATATGAGCATACAGTTGCACCCATGTCTATATGGGTCATGGTTTGGCTAGAGCAAGGCAAACCCCAGAGCCCAAGCTCAGGCAATATGCTAAACCATGATTGCTCTGGGTAGCCCAGGAGCAACAGGATGTAGGGAGGAACGAGACCCGCATGTGCTTGCTGCAGGAGGGAATGATGTTCTAGATTTATTGTAGCAGCTCGCTGAGAATTTCCTCAGGGAAGAAAGTAGAGGGCCAATGGAGGGGTGGCCTCCAACCCTCAAGGTGAACAGGCAGGAGATTCCTTGAGAGGACCCCCAAGCCCAGGCTGACCCCTCCCCCTCAAGGCACAGGATTTCCTGCAAGGGCTGAAATGAAACCACATGACACAGTCCAGGGTTCTCAAACGCTCATTTCATTTATTCTGTCCATACAAGGTTCTCCTTTCTGTGTGTCTTTTTTTCTTCTCTTTACCCTCCCACCCCTTAACCATTGGCACTTTAGAAAGGAGTTCATTCTGACATTACACCATACACAGCAAATGCAAAAAGTTAACGTTTCATTTTCTCTGCAATTCCTAAAAACATATTGTCCTTTTTTTCCAAGTGTGGTCGTGTCTTCAATTTAAAAACAGAAAAATAAAATTTAAAAATACTTATTTTTAAATAGCTGTGTGTCCATTTTCTCTCTTTGATTTTTTGCAAACCTGCCAAGAGCTTCTATCCAAAAAACACACTTGCTCAGGGTCCTTTAAGGGCTTGGGGTAGTTGACTATACGGAGGAAGGTCTAAAATGTCAGTGCATTCAGATGCCACTACAGTGCATATTAATTTTATCTATACAAACAAACAGTCATCTTAGTCAAATACAACTCTTGCTAGAGGAACTAAGATCTGTTTTATCATATATTTATTTACAGTAAAGTTGCTTGTCCATCTGAAACCACACTATAACTTAGTGCTCTATTAACATGGTGGAACAAAATAAAATACATATATATATATATATATAATATAAATATTTTCCAGTCTATACACAGTAAGCAGGAAATGTGTGCAGCCATTTTTCACTGAGTCTCTGTCATTTCGGTGAGTCCAGGGTGCTAAGGGAGAGGAGAGGAGCTTGCCAGAGGCCCTCTGCAGCAGACACAATAGAACTGTGTCTTTATGGAGCCTTTTGGTGAAAGGAGATCAATATGTGAGGTTCGGGGTGTTCTTTTGGATTCCTCTCCTGCCCCCATTTCCAAGGCATTTGTCACACCGCATGTCATTAAATGTCTGGAATTTGCTGGCAGAAGGAACAGCCGTGGCCACCGGCTGGCTTAGAAGGCTCTAAAAGGAATTTAGACGAGAGGAGGTCCTTTCCAGCACTAGGCTTCTGTTTCCATGGCTACTGGTTAGTGGAACCTCCATCTTCAGGAGCAGTCTACCTTTGAAGAGCAGAGGTGGGCAAAAAGCAAGCGGGGTGCTTGTCAACTTCACGCCCTCCCCTTGTGACCTCAGTAGAGGCAGCTCATTTGTCACCATTTGAATACAGGGTATTTAATGATCAGATAGACCTTTGGGCCTGATCCAGCTGGACTCTCCTCATAGGGTGGGGAAGCAGTAAGGAGAGAGGGCATTAGGGCTGAACAGGGAAACCTTGGGTTATGTCTGCTTTGTTTCCTCCCATCCCAACATGTGGTTGTCCACTAAAAGCTAAGCTACGTGGAGCGAGCCAGGACAGGTGAAAAGACACCATGACATAATGGCCTCAAGGGTCTTGCCCTCCCTCCACCTACAGTTTTAAAGAGGGAACAAATGGCTGCATGATAGCTTTAGGGCAACAGTGGGGAAACTTCCAGGCTGAGGGCCACGTTCTGGATGCAACCAGAGGCAAAAGTGGGCAGAGCAACAAACATTCCTCTTTGTAGTTTACCTTTCAGACATGCAAAATCAGAGGTGGATACACACACGTATATGTATATGTATATGTATGCCTCTCCTCAGCCAAACAAGCAAGAGACACTATCACACTGCAGGGTCAGAAAGGGCCACGGCCCTGCGAGAGTCCGCTCTCGGGCCTGAGCCTTTTAGGGCCTCTGCTCCGCCAAACCAAAAAAAGATTAAAAATGCAATGCTTGCTTTTTTCTGAACTGACTCACTTCTCTCAGCTTCCCCTCTGGCTGCAGCCACCTCTCTCCTCCTGCTGAGGAACGGTAACTGACAGAGAGGCAAATTAGATTTGGGTGTTAAAGGGTAAGGGTCCTCAATCACTGACCTTTTAAGAAAATATCAAACCTCCTTTTTGTAACAGCCTTATGGGAAGGATAAAAGAAGCAACCCCTATTGTTTCAGGGCCCAACCTAGCAGGAAATTCTTTTGTCATCATGGATCAATCCTACAGTCTCCCCACACCCCTTCAATTTATTTTTAAGTGTCTCATTAAAATCAGAATCAGAACAGTTGTCTTTGGATTAAAATGGGCTGCTTCTGTTATTGCAAACTTGGAAGGGCTGTGTGTGTGTGTGTGTGTGTGTGTGTGTGTGTGTGTGTGTGTGTGTTCCTGCGGTTCTTTCTTTTCCTTCTAAAAATAAAAGTGAGGGTCTGGTCACTGGAAGGACTTATTGCTGCCCCACGGAAGAGGCTCGGCCTCAACACAGCCGCGGCTTCCGAACCTTGTCAGCATTGAAATCCTGGACGTGAAAAACCAGCTAACCATTCCTAGGGCTGGGCGTCAGTTCGTCGCCTGGAAACCAGGCGGCAGCCCCGGAAAGGAGGCCTCGGCGCCTGCTTCGCCATGAGCCTGGCTTCTGTTTACAAGCGTCAAGAACAGGCAGCAAAGGAAGTGAAGCGAAGGGAGGAGCCGGTCGGGTCTTCGGGGCTTAGACTTGGGAGTCTGCGCCCAAGCTGTGAAATTCATCCGGCGTCTTGTTGTCGCTCTGCCCACCGCCCCCTTGGCGGAAGCCGGAGGCAATCTCGTCAAAGGTGCGGCCTTTTGTCTCGGGCACCTTGAAGTAGGTGAAGATGAAGAAGAGGATCAGGAGCACCATGAAGATGATGAAGACGTAAGGGCCACAGACTTCCTGCAGGGAAAGAGAAAGAGGCGGGTTTCATATTGCTGGATCTGCCCTATCAGTTTGGGGCTGTAAGCTCTGCCTGAAACCCTGGAAAGCTACTGCTGTCTGTCAGTATAGGCAATAATGACCTAGATGGACTGATGGTCTGATTCAGTGTAAAGGCAGCTTCCTATGTTCCTGTTGTGTTTTCCACCCGGCAATTTCACTCCCTCCCTATTTTATTTCATAATTTATTTTATTTCACAAAATGGATACAGAACTTGATAGTAGAAAACCTCAAACTGGTTAACAAAAAGAATAAAAAAAGAATTGGTAAAAACAGTTAAAACCAGCAATTGTAAGAGTTAATTGACCAATGCTTCTCTTTCATACTTTTCTCATCATTTAAGGGTCCTGAGCATCCTCCTGTTTTGCCTGAAAGGTCTGCAAATTAAGTGTACTTTAAACAGCCATGGGTTCCCCCAAAGGATTCTGGGAGCTGTAGTTTATTAAGGGTGCTGAGTTTGAAGACCCCTATTTCTCTCAGAGAGCTACAATTCCCCAGGGTTGTTTAACCACCCATCCCTCGTCACAGGGAATTCTGGGAATAGTAGCTCCAGTTCCCTCACAGAGCTACAACCAACTCGACAAACTACAGCTCCCAGAATTCTTTGGGGGAAGCCATGACTAAAGTATTGTAGTGCTTTAAATGTGCAGTGTGGACATTGCCCTAGTTACGTTGCAGTGCAATACAAATGTAAGTTGACCATTAGGAGGTGCATTGTAAAGAAACACCCACCCCTTGACTCAAAGGACTGAAGCCAGAATCTATGGGGAAGGCCACCTTGCCCAGAGTGAAACTGGCCCAGCAAATCAACTTGCCTCAATGTACTGAAAGCTCATCCCCACAATAAAGTTTGACGTCCAGTTCGAGAGGCCGGCCACAGCGAAGGCTGCGGGCCGGGGGCCTTGGCTGAAGAGCTCCGCCACGATGAACCACGGAATGGGGCCCGGGCCGATCTCGAAAAACGCCACGAAGCCAAAGATGGCAATGATGCTGAGGTAGGACATCCAGGCCATTTGCTCCTAGTGTCGAAAAACAAGATCAAGTCAGAGCCAAATACATGCATGGGCGTCTGTCCTCATTATCCACAACAACATTTGACCCTCTATCCCATGAGACGAGTGAGCCTGTGAGTGAGAGAGTGGCCAACCTAAAGTCATACAGGGAGCATCACAGGGAAACTGAGCCCCAAATCAAATATTTCTGTATACCACACGTAAGCTCATCCTCATTGAGCTGTTTCATGCTGCCCTAAATTATATATTTTTAAAAATGATGTATTTTATTTTTTACTTCTAAAAAACCTCAGAGCGTTTCCCCAAGTGTGCAGACAGTACCTTCTGGCTTCCATTACTTCAATTAAAAATGTATTCATTACTTTAAATGGTGCTCCAGTGGCCTCTTTCCCCACCCATTTCTCCATCTGGTGTGCAGTTTTGCTACCTGAATGTAGTAGCAAACCAACTGCTCTGAAGGGCATGCTTACAGGCCAGGGGTGGCCAACGCAGCACCTTCCAGATCTGGTCTGGCTTCCAACTCCCATCAGCCCCAACCAGCATGGCCAGTGGACAGAGATGATGGGAGTTGTAGTCCAGCAACTCCTGGAGGGCACCACGTTGACTAGCCCTGTGGTAGATGAAGGAAAGCAAACTGAGCCAGGGACCCAGCCTATTTTTCTTATTTATTTACTCCATAAAATTTATATACCGCTTGATTCTAAGGGGACGGGGGGACAACTTCAATGCAGTTTGCAAAAATAATTAAAAAACATAAAATCAATATAAACAGAGACTTAAAACATGCAAAAAAATTTAAAACAAGCTAGAAACAGATGTACACCTGTCCGGAAAGGCTTTCCTTTAATAAAGTGCATTTAGAAGGTGCCGTAAAGAGTACAATGAAAGCGCCTCCCTGCTGTCTATAGGAATGGAGTTCCAAAGAGCAGGTGTTGCTACAATATAAGGTTGTTTTCTTACAAGTGCAGAATGGCTATTATCTGGCAACTATAGCAGCACCAATTTCTCAGACTGAAGCGGCCGTGTGCGCATATGTGGGGGGGGGGGGGGGAGAGACAATCTCGCAGGTAAACTGGTCCCAAGTTGTTAAGGGCTAGGGCGTTGGCCAGCCTACTCTGCAGTTAATTCAACCCCAAGAGGTGGAGGCATGCTCTCAGCTTATTTCATTGTCCTCTGATCAAATGCCACTCACCAGAAGCGCCAAAGCGATGGTCATGAGGACTGCACACCCTGCCATTCCGGCCAGGCCCACGAGATGCAGAGTCCGCCGTCCGGCCCTCTCCACCACGAACAGCTATCGAAAGGGAGACAAAGAAATGAGTTCCTCTTTGGCAGGATGAATAAACCAGAAGCAGTATGCCCTGAGAAATAACTTTAGTTAGAAGTTCCTGGGAAACCCAAGGGACCCACTCACAGAGGAGCTGCTTGTTGTGTTTCTGCATGACTTAGAAGTTGTTTTAAAACATAGACTATTGGTCTATTTAGCTCTTTTATTTTCTGTGCTGAGTGGCAGCAGCTCTCCAGCATGTCAGACAAAGGGAGTCTATTCTAGCTCTACCTGGAACTGCTGCTGGGGACTAAACAATTGCTGGGATAGCTCAGTTGATAAGACCATGAGACTCCTAATCTCAGGGTTGTGGGTTTGAGCCCCAGGTTGCACTGCAGGGGTTGGACTAGATCCGTTTCAACTCTATGATTCTATCTGCATGCAAAGCAGGCAAATGCTCTGCCACTGAGCTACAGCCCTTGCATCCTCCTGCCGATCAGTCTCCATTGCCGGAGTCAGTCATTTGAGTTGCTCCTCCTGCAGCAAAGTGGCAGAATGACTCCAGAAGAGACAGACCTAGAACAAGGACTCGTGGAGAAGCACAGCGGGGCATACTCCTCCAACAGCATAAGACAGGCATAGGCAAACTCCGGCCCTCCAGATGTTTGGGACTGCAGTTCTCATCATCCCTGACCACTGGTCCTGTTAGCTAGGGATGATGGGAATTGAAGTCCCAAACATCAAGGGGGCTGGTGTTTGCCTATGCCTGTCATAGGAACACAAGAGCCACCCGTTTCAATTTGGCCAGCAGAGGTCCCAAGCAGAGAGGGACTTCCCCCAGTGTCTGCCTCCAGGAACCCTGCACAAATCTCATTATCTTTAAAAATATCAGAGGCCTGTATTTGGGAGGGGTTAATGAATGCAACTAACATGGGTCTAGTCTGAGTAGCACTTAGTTGGATACAACCAACTGCAGATAGAGACTGCAAGATATTTGGGACACCATTGCCGCCAGTGAGCTCCAGTATTAAAGTAGCCCCTGGCCTAAGGATGCCCCCTGCCACTATATTTGGAGCACCCCCCTTTTGCCAGCAGCGAAGGAAGGCACTTACTGAGACCACGGTGAAGGCCGTGTTTACAACTCCTGACCCGATGGTGGCATAGACAGGCTGCTGCACCCCGGATTTTTCAAAGATGCTGGTTGAATAGTAGAATACCTAGGAAAAAGAAAGAAGAAATGTAAAGAGGTGACCTGTGCAGGACCAGTGTCCAGAATGCAGCATCGCAGGGCACGGGAAGCTGCCTTCTACCAAGTTAGAACATCAGATTAGCTCAGCATTGCCTTAAATGACTGGCAGCAGTTCTCTGGAGTTTGAGGCGTCTCTCCCAGCCCTACCTGGTATGCCACTGGGGATTGAAAGCAAAGCAAGCATTCTAGCCTTTCCCTAAAAATAAAACAAGATTCTCGTCCTCACCGTAATGCATATAGGATTGATTTAATCAGCAATTAGCCCTGGTATAGGAGGAAAGGGGCAAAGAGAGAAGATTCCTAGCCACGAATGGTGTTGCGTCAGCAGACCACTCGCAGAGCCTCTTCACCCTCGAACCAACCACCAGCTCCTCCGCTCCCCTGCAGCCACTTACTGCATTGATCCCAGAGAGCTGCTGGGAAAGCTGCAAGACCACGGCAATGAGGATGGGCTGGCGGTACATGGGCGAGCGGAAAAGCTCCGGGATGGTGACTTTCTTCTCCTGCATCATCTGCCGGCTCTCCTCCTTCATTTCCTGGAGGTCGCTGCTGACGTCGGTCGTCCCTCTGAGCTTCTTCAGGACTGAAGAGAAATGAGGGAGGAATCAGGTGAGATGCACTCATGACTTGCAGGTGAAGTAAGGAAGGGGGGGAAGAAAGAATAGGAGAATAAGAGAGGGCTCTTACACCTTTAATAGTTACACATAGTAAGCTACACATTAAATGTGCACGAGCCCTGTGTTTTCTTCTCTTTTCAATCGCACGATGTTTGCAGCAACTATTTTATTTACTTGTGACATTTCTAAACTACCCTTCATCTCGAGGGATCCCAGGGCAGTGGATAAGACAGCACATGACCTCAGTCACATAGCTCCACCCAGAAGCATGCTACCACTGTGCCACATGCCTGCATGGGCACTGAACATGTGCAGGCCCCACCCTAAAGGCCCCTTTCGCAAGGAGGCGGCTGCTCACCACTCTTGGCTTTGTTCTCCTCGTTGCGGTTGATAAGGAGGAAGCGGGGACTCTCTGGGGCAAAGGGCAGCAGGATGCATTGCGCCAAGGCAGGAACAAAGATGAACCCCAGCAAGAGCGGCCACAGGCTATCGCTCCCCATGATCAGATCCATGCCGAACACCTGTAGAGGATGACATAATAATAATAATTTATAATTTATATCCTGCCCATCTGGCTGGGTTTTCCCAGCCACTCTGGGCGGCTTCCAGCAGAATATTAAAATACAATGATTCATCCAATATTAAAAGCTTCCCTAAACAGGGCTGACTGACATAGTAGGGAAGAGGAGGCAGGTTTAATCTGGGAACTCTGAATCTCGGAGAGGTAACAGTGTTTGAGAGTTCTACATTTGCCTGGATCTCTCAGGGTGTTATTATGCAGTAGCTGACACAAGCTCTCTCTCTCTCACACACAGTCTTTTGTACCAGGCCTCAGATCTCCTGTCCTGACTCCCCACTTAAGAAAAAATTCTTGCAAAAAATATTGGGTTCTAGCCAATGTTCCTCCTACACAAAGTAGACCATTGAAATTAAAAGACAGGTCCATTCAATGGGCTTACTCTGAATGAAGCTGAGCTGGGTACATCCCAAAATAGTTACAAATAAAACACGCACTTGTATCCACCCGAATTCTACTCAGAGTAAGCCCCACTGAAATTAATGGACCTAATTTGACCGTGTCCATTTCATCGGGTCTGTCCTGGATTGGACTAGCACTAGGTACAACCCACAATATTTCATCTACACATGTAAACACGGTTTCATAACGTCATGCATCCATTTACAAGAAGTCAATCACAGTTTATCCACTGTGGTTATTTACTGGGGGTCTTTGGTTATTGTTCTTCTTTTAGCAAAATGTAGGATTATAGGAATGAAAGTAGGGAAGGCTGAACACAGTACAGTGGTACCTCGCAAGATGAATGCCTTGGAAGACGAAAAACTCGCAAGACGAAAGAGTTTTTCGTTTTTTGAGTTGCTTCGCAAGACGAATTTCCCTATGGGCTTGCTTCACAAGACGAAAAACAAAAAAACCGAAAACGTCTTGCAAGTTTGTTTCCTTTTTCTTAAAACCGTTAATACCCAGGGTGACTTCGAGGAGCAACTCATAGCACGCGGTGTGGTAGCCTTTTTTGAGGTTTTTGAAGACTTTGGTGATTTTGAAGACTTTGGGAAACCGTGCTTCGCAAGACGAAAAATTCGCAAGACGAAAAAACTCGCAGAACGAATTAATTTCGTCTTGCGAGGCACCACCGTAATGGAATGTTACATTCCCATAACATTCCCATAATTATCAGACTCCATTCTTCAATCAATGTGTTCAGTGCACATCCTTCAATATCTCTTTCATAATATGCAAGTGCTATAACCCATATGGGTGGTGGTGTTTTTTCAACACTGTAGGATGGTCAACTACTTTATCTGACTTCTAATGTCTTGCGCTGACTAATTTGGCTGCAGTGATCACAGCCATTGCCAAACTTTTGACATTTACTATGCCTTCCAGCTACTCCAATAAAGTATACCTACAAATGTGTGAGGGGACACACACACACACACACACACACAAACACACACACACACACTGCTTATGGAGCAACTTTCCCTCTGAAACTCAGCTTCAATTTGCATCCATGTGTTACAAATCAACATACGGAAGTTGTATGCTAAACTGCCCCATTTTTATTGCTTTCCCCTTTGACATTTATACTTGGAACTGAAGCAGGCAGCTTCCATCGTAATTGCTTGGCCCAGTGCAAAGCGTCACCACACCCGTCCCTGGGAGATTTGTGTAGCTGGGACTCTGGTTTTTTGGACAACAAAAACTCTGATAGATAAAGCACGTTCCTTCTCCAAACTGAAATCAGAGGTTTCACCCAGTGTTAGAAACTGAGATATGAAAACTAGGAGCTAAATGGCACCTTAAACCTAGGTTATGGACACAACAATGGAATGTCTAGGCACACATTTCTATAACAAGAATACAAAGCTGAAAATGAATGAACTGCAGCTAAAATATTATGTTCATTTTTCACATGGTCTAGTCTTTCCCCTGCCCACCCCCCTAATATTCATAAGAGGGTCTCTTCTCCAGTCTTCAGAGAGTAGCTGGAAGTGGAGAGGCAGAAAAAGGTCCTCCTTTCCTTCCCCTCTGCAGTTTTAATCTGAAATCTTAGGCGCAGTACTGAACCCAGAGCTCGGAAACTGCTTGTGCTAATGAAATTCCGTCACAAAATGCGCCTAGAACAATGGGAGTTTCAAACACTGGCTTCACCTCATTCAGTCAAGTGGGCAGGTATGCATGCATTTAAGGGGAGCCCAGGAGACAATGACTTTTTGCACAGGGTAATTATCACCCTCAAAAAGAACCAGTTTCCCATCATCCCGGAAAAACCATTTGCCCCCATCGACCCCTTTTGCAGGTGCACCGTTTCCCATCCCCCAGCAGAGGGAGCCACCGATAGCCCGCCTCACCTGCGCTATGAGGATGCCTACGACGATGCCCAGCTGGTGAAGCGTCCCCAGAGCCCCCCGAAGGGACGTGGGCGACACCTCCCCCACGTACATGGGCACGAAGCCTGTGGTGAGGCCAGAATACACCCCAATGATGAAGCGACCGAGGACCAACATCTCAAAGGAGCTGGCTATCTTCGAGAAACCCATTAGCGCTGCAGCCAGGAAGGCAAGGCTGTTAGACATCAGCATAGAATTCCGCCTGCAGGAGGAAAAAAGTTGGGCTAAGTGGGGGCATCCACAGAAGTAGAGTGTCCAGCTCAAGGAAAGCGACAGTACTGTTCTATTCCACCTTGGCCCAGGGTGGATAAAAATCAATTTATTTATTTTTTAAAAAATCAGATTTTTTTATTTAAATTGGATATTTTTGATTTAAATTGAATTTTTAAAATAAAATGCTTTTGGAGGAAAAATCATTCTAAAGATAGTTTTCTGTTTAAGTTACATTATAGTCCAAAGGCTATTCATCAGGAAATAAGCATTTGTCATGTGTGCTAAAACTCAGTCTTAGTTTAATTGTTTAACCACATCAGTTAACAAACATGGACACATATGCCATAATGTTATTGTTTTAGTTAAATAAATTGTTTAAATTTTTATTAAGGAAATGATTATTTTTCTCCTTCCACTGAATACAGCAGAAAAGTTGTCCAAATACAAAAAGTTAATTTATTAAAGTTCACAATAATTTCTGTCTACGTATTTCTAATAGTATAACCAAATCAGTAATTTTTTATATAACTGTAAAAACCACTCTGAAAATTTATTATTCCAAAAATGAAACCTTCATCTGGTTGTCAGTATTAAGGTTATACCAGCAAGAATGAGTCTTTCTGTAAAAAAATGATTTAAATCAAGTCTTACTGACTAGTGATTTAAATCAAATCCACCCTGCCGTGGCCAGACCCCACCTGGAGCCCTGTGTCCAGTTCTGGGCAGCACAATTTAAGAAGGATATTGACAAGCTGGAAGGTGTCCAGCTTGTCCAGAGGAGGGAGACCCAGATGATCAGGGGTCTGGAAACCAAGCCTTATGAGGAATGGTTGAAGGAGGTCTGGATTTGTGTTTGCTCCAGAAAAAGGATGAGGGGGTGTTGAAACAGCACCAATAAAACAACCCAGGAACATAAGGAGCTGTCTAATACTGAGCCCCTCAAGCTCAGTATTTCCTGCACAGACGGGCAGTGGCTTCTCCAGAATTCTGGGCAAGACTCTCCCACAGCCCTACCTGGAAAAATGCCCTTAGGGGTTGAATCTGAGAACTTCTGCACAGAAAGCAGGTGCTCTAGCACCGAACTAGGGTCCTTAACCGCGGAAAGCCAAAAAAGCTCAGCGCTCACCGTCCAAAGCGGTTGACGAACAGCCCCACCGAGAACGACCCAATCATCCCGCCCACCGAGAAGATGGACACGGAGAGGGACCAGAGTGTGGTGAGGGTGCCGCGGCTGATGTACTCCCCATAGCGGTTGTACCACGTGTAGTTGTAGAATTCCTCGATCACCTGCAGAGGAAGAGAGCAAGGAGAGACCCCGTGAATTGAACCATCCCTCAAGGTGGCCACTTTTACCAGATTGGTAGCTGCCCTTCAGAGGTCCTGAAAAGGTTGAAATGTGAAACACCAAGCCACCTGGTAGAAACAAAATCTCTTCCCAATATTAGGGTACAGTGGTGCCTTGGGTTAAGTACTTAATTCGTTCCGGAGGTCCGTTCTTAACCTGAAACTGTTCTTAACCTGAAGCACCACTTTAGCTAATGGGGCCTCCTGCTGCCGCTACGCTGCCAGAGCATGATTTCTGTTCTCATCCTGAAGCAAAGTTCTTAACCTGAAGCACTATTTTAGAAGGATGCTGGATAGAAACTAAGTGGTTTCCAGCTGTAATGCTTTAAGAGATACGAAAAAAGGTTTTATAAATGGGTAAAAGCTTAATGGTAAGGATTTGCTGAACTAACAAACGGAACTGGAATACAAAAAAGGGAGGTATGAGGAGGTCCGGGGAAATAAGTGAAAGGAAGATATGTTATGGAAAACTAACGATGTGTTTTTAATTGTTTCTATTTTGTATGTTTCCTGTTATTTTTCTTTTTTTACTTATATCTTAAAAACTTTATTTTTTTTTCTGTATTTTGTATTTTCTTGTACTTTTATTTTATGGTTTTGTATTCTTTGAAACTTTAATAAATATCATTTTTTTAAAAAATGAAAAGGTTGAAATGTGAAACACCAAGCCACCTGGTAGAAACAAAATCTCTTCCCAATATTAGGGTACAGTGGTACCTTGGGTTAAGTACTTAATTCGTTCCGGAGGTCCGTTCTTAACCTGAAACTGTTCTTAACCTGAAGCAGCACTTTAGCTAATGGGGCCTCCTGCTGCCGCTACGCTGCCAGAGCATGATTTCTGTTCTCATCCTGAAGCAAAGTTCTTAACCTGAAGCACTATTTCTGGGTTAGCGGAGTCTGTAACCTGAAGCGTCTGTAACCTGAAGCGTATGTAACCCGAGGTACCACTGTAAATCCATTGTGGGTTTTAGTGGGCAAAGAAGTGTTAGGGGCCTAGGTACTGAACCAAATTTTATGGTTTATTTGCTTACCACATTTTGTATCCTGTAAGAGCCACGAGGCTGGATCAGGCCAAAGGGGGGCCCCATCCAGTCTAGCACCCTTTCCCCTACAGTGATGCCTCAAAGGGAAGCCTGCAAGCAGGGCGTGAAGCCGATGACCCCTTTCCCACCATTTCTTTTTAAGAATATAGGCAGAGTCTAATGGATCGGGCCAGTGGCCCATCTAGTCCAGCATCCTGTTCTCACAGTGGCCAACAGATGTCCTCTCCCCTCCAGTGTTTTCCAGCAATTAGTATTCGGAAGCACTGCTTCCTCGGATTGTGCAGCCAGATAATAGCCTCCATAATGGCTATTAATGGCTAGGAGCCCCCAATAGCCCTCTCCTCCACGAATTTTCCCAATCCATCCCTGTTGGTGGCCATCACTGCCTCTTGTGGAAGGTAAATTCCATACTTTAACTATGCACTGTCTGAAGAAGGACTTCCTTCCATCTGATGATTAAATTATGATTTGTTGGACTTACTAGTCGCTTTTTAAAAAATGAGATATAAACTCAAAGTGAATTGCAATATAATAACATCCCCTAGCATTCAGTAATTCATAGGTGATCAAACCTGGAAGCTTCATGATCTGCAGCCGGAGCCCATTTTACCTGCCAGTCTTGCAAGACCTGCTGCTCAGGATGCCTGATATTAGGGCAGGAGTTTTTGTTGGGGTCAAGATTTAATTTTGTAGATGCTTGATTTTTTGGCTCTTATTGGTATCAAAACTGCAACGGTTAGTCAGTCTCTGATGTTTTTAAAGTTTTTTTACTGGATAGTTTTATGTACAATTGTTGTGATCAGCTCTTTTTCTCCCCAAAGACTACCTTAAATTGCATGGGGGAGCTTTAGTCCCAACACATCTGGCGGGCAAAATATCATTTTGGGGCTTTAAGGTGGTGATTACTCTCTCCACCAGGTGGCAGCAAGGAGGAGCTTGGCAGAGCACGCAGCCAACCAGGTGACCCTCACCTGGAAGGAAACAAGAGTCTTGGACAGGTGCTTTTCTGTCACCAGTTCATAAAAAAAATAATCCTATGCCATACAGTGCAACTTCCTGGAGGTTTGGTTCTTTGCTGAGTCACCGTGGGATGCTGAGTCACCGTAGGCATGCAGGAATGGACTGGGGCAAGGGGAGGGGGGAAGGCAGGGAGAATACAGCAATGGGGAAAGAGATCCCCCTTCTGTCCCTCAGAACTGCATTTAAATTCTTAGTTTCTTCACAAAAAAGGGCAAATGCTGTTGTTGGAGGCCAGCCTCTCCATCCTGGAGGGAACGTACTCTTTGCCATTTGCATTTCCAACAGGTGCTTTTGTTTGTTTACAGTATTAAATATATATATATATTTAAACAGGATTCCAAGAATAACTCACGAGTCAGGACCCAACAGCTCACATTGCATGTTCGGAATAAGCAATGGATTCCTTCTTTCCTCTCTCACCCGAGGAGACGGCAAACCCCAACTGTTTCTGGACAATTCTGCTGCATTTAATGGTGTTTTCTTTTAAGCTCATTTCTCCCCCATGGGAACCAAATTGGGAAGGGGGGATTAAAGAAACCAAAGCTCCATGCGAAGAGAAGGGAAAAGGCACCAGTAGGCCTTTGGAAGTGGCAAGCGAACCACTGCTTTGCTCATCCCCACTCAGGACTGTGCACTAAATCAGCTCAAACCAAGCTGAAACCTTAACAAGCAGCAAACTTGCCTCACGTTTTCATGAATCAGGGATGGGAGACCTGTAGCCCTCCAGGTCCTGCTAGGCTACAGCTCCCCTCATCCGTAGCTGGGGCTGATGGGAGTTGGAGTCCATTCCCATCTGGACAGCCGCAGGTGAGCCCACACCATCACCACAGAGCAATACTGCAGGGGTGGAGAGTCTGTGGTCCTCCAGGTGGGGATGGACTCCAACTCCCATTGGCCCTGGGCCAATGTAGTCAAGTCAGGGATGCCAAGTGCTGGAGTCTAGCAACATCTGCCCCCCACTCCCATCCTGTTTGATGCGTCTTTAAAAGAAAACTTCATCAAATGCGAGGCACCTAAACGGCAAACACACGTCTTATTCCAGATGCTTTTATGAGTCCATTCCCTCAGATGCAATGCCCCCCCTTATTCATCGGATAAAGCTTACGCCGTAATCCGTTTTAGTCTTGTGGCACCAAAAAGATGCTTGACTGGTTCTCCTGCAACAGCCTTAGCACAGCTGCTTTTCTGGGAACCATTAAATAAGGCTCTGGGCGGGTCTACGAAGGGCCCGATGAAGAGATAAGACAGAATTGAGAGACTCTCCTCCTCAATCGTAATAAGGGCTGTTCAATCGAGTTAAGCATTGTCTGCACCAATTGTCCAGGGTTTTAGACAGGGTCCTTTCCTACCTTGTGATGAAGATAGGGATTGAACCTGGGATGGCCTGAATGCAAAGCAGATGCTCTACCATTAAGTCACAAAAGCCCTGATGATAATAATAATAATATGATAATAATCTATTATTTATACCTCGCCCATCTGGCTGGGTTTCCTCAGCCACTCTGGGTGGCTCCCAACAGAATATGAAAAACACGATAAAACGTTAAACATTAAAAACTTCCCTAAACAGGGCCACTTTCAGATGTCTTCTAAAAGTCAGAGAGTTGTTTATTTCCTTGACATCTGATGGGAGGGCATCTGACATCTGATCTGATGCAGGAGGATTCTAGAGCACAGCATTTTACAATGAACAGAGTTTTGTTTAAATTTAAATGGTTTAAATTTAAATTCAAGTAAACAAAAAACCCAACAAAACAAAACAACCTCTTATAGAATCAGAGTTGGAAAGGACCACAAGGATCATCTAATCTCCTGCAATGCAAGAATCTTTGTGGTTGACAACCATATAAAACATTAAATGTGCCAGTATTAAAAATACTCAAAAGCACTGATTACTAAAAAGAAATAAATACAACATTCTATATTATCTGGACAGGCTTGCCTGAACACAGAAGTCTTTTAAGGAGGCACTGAAAAAGGGTACAGCAAAGGCACCAGCTTGATGTCAATTGGCAGGGAGTTCCAAAGTGTGGGTGATGCACCCCAGAAGATTGATTTCTTACAAGGATGGAACTGGGTATTATACAGCACCTTTAACAGTGCCAGTTCCATGGATTGGAGCAGTCAAGTGGGCATATGTGGCGTAATACGATCCCGCAGGTAAACTGGCCCCAAGCTGTTAACTCAGAAAGCTGTTCCTCAGTTGTTGCAATGAAAGAAGTGATTACTTAATTAGCGACGGGGCAATCTCTCTTCAATTCAGTTTGGTTTAATATCTTAAGTAGCAAGTGCACAGATTAAAGCACATCTAAAAGAGGCAGCAGGAAGGGTATTAAAGGAATCTCAGAACAATAAGCAAGGGAATATCATTTATGCCAGCGGTTCGCAACTATCATTGGCTGGCAATTCAAATAAACATGTGTCTAACCTCAGCAGCTCTTGGCTATGTGCTTAGTACAACAATTATGACTTGGGGTGGGGAGCTTTTGGCCTTGGATTCTATTATTCTGGAATAATCAGGGTGAGGAAGGTCAGTTTTCTTAGTTTGCCGAAGGAGCAGCCCCCTCCATCACATCAAACTGTGGTGCATCTAAATCCTGCAACCTGCATCCTGTGAGGAACAGCCCAGGAAGCCCAGAGACAGAGCACAAAGGAAAAAACCCCTTCCTGTTGCTGGTCCCCCAAGCACCTGGAAATCAGAGGTATACTGTCTCTGGCCAAGGAAGTTCTCTTTAGCCACCCAGGCTGCTAGCCATGCCACACTACTACTCTTGTGGCTGTGGGCTCCATACACTCAAAGGCTGCAAGTTCTATCCCAGCTGCGGACCATCTGCTTTGCATGTAAAGCTCTCTGGTTCAGTCCAAGTGGGGCTGGGGATGCCCCCCAACCGGAAATCCTGGAAAATTGCTGCCAGTCAGTGCAGACAATACCAAGCTAGATGGACCAGTAGTGTCTGACTCAGTATATGAAGCCGCTTCTTATGTTCCTATTATTGGAACATATGCATCATGTATATGCAACACCATGCATCGTTTTCTGTGCCCCTGGCTAATCAAACTGACAGCCCTTTCTCGCAAGGAGGGCTCCAACTCCCCAGTCGTTTTCGTTGCCTTCTCCAAAGCTTTCCCAGCTCCATGTTATCTTGAGATGGAGCTGATCCAGACCACGGTCTGAAAATCATCCTGGGCATGCTTAAATCCCACTCTGGAATCCGTCTCAGGGGCATTGGGTGAGTATTAGCCGAGAAGGGTTGAGAATGACGCAGCCACACACCCCCTCCTGCTGCCCGAGTCCTTTTAAACAAAACACTCAGCACAAGAGGGACTGTTAATTCTCCTGGGAACCAGCTTAACAAATCCCATTAGAGTTGGCAGTAAGCTGGCTAACCGGATGTGCTATTTTTGGGGGGTGGGCAAGGGGGGAGCAGAGGGAGGGAGCCTGAATTTCCCACCTTGCACAGCATTTCCTGCATTTCAAAAGGCAATTTTCCTTTATAACCAGCCCTTTGGCCTCTATCTGTGGCCTTTTAGAATGGGTGGGATGTTTTTAATGTATTTTTCCTATTGGTTTTAATGTCTCTGTGGGGTGTTTTGCTGTTGCCTTGTGCAAGGAAAAGCAACTAAGTTAATATTATTTTTGCAGTTTTGCAAAGCGGGGGCTTATGAGCACCCCTTTAAAAATTATTATTATTAATTAAAAGGGGTCTCATACATCCCACTTTGCAAATGGAAACTCTATGAAACTAATTCATAGCCTGTTCACGCACAAGCTGGGAAAAAACAACTTTTTTAATGCTTGGTTGCTTGGACACAGCCCTGACTCACCACAGGCAACCGTGCAAGCAGGTATGGACAAGCCTTGGGTATATACAGCATGTGCTGGACCCACACAGAAGGGCAGGAAGACACCGGCACTGTGCGGATAATGTATCCACAAAGCACCTCTGCACAACCAGTCAAACCAGGCTACATGCAGCCCACACATTTACAAGGGCTATTAAGTCCAGATATAACCTCCATAGACAGAGAAATTATACCTGCGGTTGCTGGGGTGCAACACCAGGGAAAGGCTGTTGAGGGCCTTTCCCAGAGGCCACTATGGAAAGCAAGGATGCTGAACTAAACAGACCTTCGGCCTGGTCCAGAAAAATAAGAAGCTGCTTTATACTGAATCAGGCCATTTGTCCACGTAGCTCAGTGCTGTTGGCACTGACTGCCAATGGCAATCCAGGGTTTCAGAGAGGGAACATTCCCAGCGCTACCTGAAGATGCTGTTGAGGATTGAATCTGAGAACTTCTGTATGCAGGGCAGAAGCTATACCACTGGTCTACAGCCCTTCCCCTTCTTACACCATTGGGGAAATTGTTTAGGCCTGGAGCACTACATAGCTGTATACTCTGAACCCCTGAAAGAGCAGATGCATTCTCCCAAGGGGGTCAACTGAACATGTATCAGATGTCCTCCCCACCCTGCTAGCATATCTTTCCCTACCATGAACAAGTTGCCTCCTACAAGACCAGCACAGAGGCCACGTGGGTTTGCCCACCAGATGGTTTGCCCATCAGAGAAACTGCAAGCCATTCATTCATTTGTCCCTTTCAGCTCTCACCTTCTGTGGGGCGTTGATGACTCCAGTGTTGTAGCCAAACTGCAGCGATCCTAGGACTGCTCCTCCAACAGCCAGCATCAACCGAGCCGTCATCTGCTTGGGGCGGGGAGAGGAGAGAGAAGAGAGAAAACAAGGCAGATTTTTAATCAGCGGGCAAAGCGACAACTTCCGACACTTGCTCCCTGGGTACCTTCAGACAGCCCCTTGAACAAGGGTTCCCTTAAACCACACCTGTGAAGTCAAACGTTTGCATCATTCTGCAAGCTGTGGGCAGGGAGTCTGCTTCACTGTTAAACGGCCCTTACCCTCAGAAAGTTCTTCCTACCTAAGGTTTTGTTACAATCTGCTTCCTTGTCATTTGAATCCATTGGTTTGAGTCCTCCCCTCTGGAGCAGCAGGAAATAAGCTAGCTCCATCTTCCATGGGACAGCACTTCACGTATTTGTTGGTGGCTATCATATTCTCTCTCATTTTTCCCTGGGCTCATGTGTTCCATAAGATGGAAAGCAAAGATACGATTTTAAATTAATAATAATGGTGATGGTGATGATGAAGAAAAACGGTCCTCTCAGGATATCAGCTCTGAGATGGGATAGGAAGAAAACAGGCCGCTATTGTTATTCCTCCCTAATGAAAGAGGGCAAAACCGGGCATGGAATCTCTCCAGCAGCTCTTTGGCAAAGCCCCTTCCCCACCTCCTTTCTGGCTAAGCCGAAAGCAACAATTAGGGGCTTGTTTCAAGCTGGAGGTTAACAGGGGCCACCAAGTTTGGACACCAGCCTGATCGGGGGGTGGGGGTGGAGAAGGGGTTCTCCCTCAGCCGCAACGGGAAAGCAAAACAGGGGCCCTGATTTTCGCAGGCTGAACTAAGCTGCTTTGGATACCCAAAGCCCCTTTTCTGTTCCCACCCACATCACAGTGGCTCTTTGTTTTGGGAGAGTGGGATCCGGGATCCGGCCTTGGCTAATCCCAGATGGTCTCTCTCTCAATTTGGGGTGGGAGGAATTTGAGGAGCCATGTGAACCTGCTTTTAGGACAATCTGGCTATACCCTTAAGCTTTATTGCCGTGAGGTAATGTTCTCTCTCTCTCTCTCTCTCTCGCACACAAACAGACACGAATGCCACATTCACTCCATACACTCAAAGCACGGCAATACCACTTTAAATAGCCATGGTTCTCCCCCTAAAAAATAATCCGGGAAGCTATAGTTTGTTAAGGGTGCTGAGAGAGTCATTAGGAGGACCCCACCCCTATTCCCCTCAAAGTGGGTTAATAATCCATCCTTCTTCACAGGGAACTCACAACTTTCAGCACCCTTAGCAAACTACAACTCCCAGAATTCTTTGGGGAAAGCCACACTTCTTTAAAGTGGGAGCATAGTGATTTAACTCTAAGGTGTGAATGTGGCCCACTCCCAAAATCATCCTCACAACAACCTTGTAAGATGGGTGGCAATGAGAGAGGATGTGTGATTAGACCAGTGGTTTTCAACCAGTGTGCCATGGCTAACTGGGATGCCTTAAATGATGGTCAGGGGTGCCATGGGCAACACTGGCCTCTGTCCCTCTTTCCCTCCCTCCCTCCTCTGATGCCCTCTCTTGTCTCTGCCTCCCAAAGGCTCGCACAGCTGTTTATTGCAGCAGCCCCGGCTACAAGAACCGCTGGTGATGGTGCCTCTGGGAGGCATCTCTCTTTGGGGCAGGGGGGGGCAGCTCAGAGACCAGGGGCGGCAGCAGCGGATGCCCAGAGGACTCCCGAGGAAATGGGATAGGAGAGGAGGCAGAGGGAACACTCCACAAGGGAGGGTGTTTGAAAAGGGGTGAGAGGCTGCCAGCTCTGCAGGCAAGGGGCGACATAACAGGGCTCCTGAGCCCCACAGGGATGCCACAGAAAGAATGGAGTTGGTCAAGCGACCCATGGACTCAAAAAGGTTGAAAACCTCTGGATTAGACAGTTGCAGCAGGATCTTTCTGGCCAGGGTGGGGGTGTTTGAACCAGGCTCTCTCTCTCTCTCTCTCCCCCCCCCCCCCTCAGCTGTCCTCCTCTGATAGTCTAATGCATTAGATCAGCCTTACAGATCTTTATAGAAAGGTTACCAGCCCCTAACCTTACAAGGTCAAATACTGCAATATGGAACAAAAGCTTGTTTTAAGAATAAATGTGTGTTGAAAAGTTTGTAGCCCTCATTACGGCCAAACACTCTGGAAGCAGATTTCCTCATTTTCTACATGGTAACACCAAGGTCTGCATTTCCTGGCCAAAATAACAGCAGCTTCCCAACGTTACCATTCTGCATGGCAGGAGAGTGGAGCAGAGATTCCAATATGGGAGAGCAACGTTCAAATGCCCATTTACAATCTCCCCAAAACAAACGGTCCAATTTTGTTACTACCCTGTTACCACATGATGAAAGTTGCCATGTGCTTCTGAGGAATACATACGTTAAGGTTTAATTCACACCTTTTCTTCTTCATTATTTTCCTGGAATGTATCTCAATACTGCCTGCACTGACTGGCAGTAGCTCCCCAGGGTCTCAAGACAGGAACCTGCCCCAGCTCTAACTAGAGATGTCATTGGAGATTGAACCTGCATGAAAAGCAGCTGCTCTGTTTGCTGAGCTACGGCCCTTCCCAAGGTTCCAGATTTTCGAATTTTGCAGGCTTACCTTAAAGGCTCACCACAGCATCCCCAGATATGTTCGTTATTGCTTGATTTTTTGAAAATTTATTTTGCAAAGACAAAAGAGTGTTCACCTACATGCTAACTGCAAAGTTCTACGAACCGGGGATGGGCAAAAGGTTCTTTGACTACAATTCCCATCAGCTCCTGTCCTAGCACGGCCAATGCTTAGGGATGAAGGCAGACGTGGTTCAGCAACAACTGAGCATCACAAGGTACTCTGTGCTACATCACGTGTTTTATGCCCTTGGAAGTGATAAAAATGCCGGAGCAGAAACTGGCTGGCCACACCTGGAACCAAGCAGCTGCAGTCTGCTGGGCTGGCACCCAGCTCCTGTTAGTGTGGGTTGCATAGCTGTCAACCTTCCCTTTTTTTGTGGGAAATTCCCTTATTCCAGCACCGGTTCCCGCTGCTTCCCGCTGCTATCGCGGATTATTAGATATCCCGTAGACTGTCCCCGGGACAGGTGAGGCTGCTGATCCCTTATTTTCAAATCTGAAAGTTGACAGCTATGGTGGGTTGGGTGGCCACATCTCTGGGGCTTGAGGGATGCCCCTCGTGAACAGAGTCCACCTAGCAAAACAAGGGGAGACCCAGCACAGCAATCTCCCAGCCTTTTCTGCCACAGCTGCCCTTGTTACATTCGCTGTTTTATTCTGGGTTTATCTGTTGTTTTGACGTGTTGCAAACTCCGTTTGATATTCTTTCTTTAAAACATAAAGCGGCGTGGAAACGAAATGAATAAGAATAATGAATAATATTGGGAAAGTTATAAAGAAAAGCTTTGAAAAAATAGAAAGAAGAAAAGAATGAGGAGGAGTCACTAATAAGCTTCCAAGGAATCCCAGAACAGTCTGGAAAACCTCTGGCTGCTGCGGAAAAAAACTGAGCATCTGTAACAGTCCGTGAGGCTCTGGGCAAGATCATAGGATTGTAGAGTTGGAAGGGACCCCAAGGGTCATCCAGTCCAGCCCCCTGCAATGCAGGAATCGCAGCGAAAGAATCCTTGACAGCAGCAGAACACGTTTGCTCCATCTTCCAAAGCCTTCGTTCCCCATTTCTCCTCCCTCCACACACTTTTCTCAAACCAGCTTTGGAGGCTTGGGAGGGGGGATCCATAACAAATTTAGCGTGGTGTGTGTTGGGGGGGAAGAATGTTCCATTGCGCAAGGGCAAATCCGAAACGGGAAACTTAAGAACAGCTTTGGACGCAAGCCCATGTCCGCAAATTAACCCAAACCCGAAGGCTCAGCAAAACCCCAAGGGACGAGCCCCGCAGCGAAGGAGGTTGTCAGAAGGAGCGGGGGACTTAGCTGATGTTCCCATTTCCTGGACCAGCCTTCCATCAAAGCAGGTAGGAAAAGCCTCCTGCTAACTGGCCTCCCCTAATCTCAAAGGCGCCCACACAGCTGTCAGGCCCTGGCAGAAGTTCATAGAAAATCCAGCACAAGAGAACCACAGACATTGTCCAACATGCTTCCATTCAAACTTGAAAGAAAAAAAGGGAAAGGGCAGGAATTTATTATTATTATTTTTAAAAAACCCTAAACACAACCAAGCTGCACACCACTCAGGAGGTGTCTGCCAAAATAAGATAACTTGGCATAGCCTAGTAACTAAAGGAGAGAGAGGTATATAGAAGCATGTTGCTGTGTTTCCGTTTCCCCTTTCTTCCACGGAGCTCAAGGAGGTATACAGTACAGTGGTACCTCGGGTTAAGTACTTAATTCGTTCCGGAGGTCTGTTCTTAACCTGAAACTGTTCTTAACCTGAAGCACCACTTTAGCTAATGGGGCCTCCTGCTGCCGCCGCGCTGCCGGAGCACGATTTCTGTTCTCATCCTGAAGCAAAGTTCTTAACCTGAAGTAATATTTCTGAGTTAGCAGAGTCTGTAACCTGAAGCGTATGTAACCTGAGGTACCAGTGTACATGATTTTCCCCTCCACCCTCAATTTTATCCCTAACAACAACCTTGTGAGGTAGGTTAAGTGGAAAGTGGGTGACTGGCCCAAGGTCACCTAGGGAGCTTCATGGCAGAGTGGAGATTTGAACTCTGGTCTCCCAGGGTCCTGGTCCGACACTCGTAACAACTATACCACATTGGCTCGAGAAATCAAGACGGGACCCCTGGTTCGAATCTAGCCTCTGCCAGGAGCTCATGCTTTAGTCCCTCCCGACTTCACTATGAGGGCTCATAATTCTGACTTTTAAGAAAGGTGTGGGGAACCCTCCAGATGACGCTGAACCGCAACTCCCATCTTGCCAGGTGACTGCCATGCTTGCTGGGGCTGATGGGAGCTGTAATCAGGCAACACCTGGAGGGCCTGCAGGTTCCCCACACCTGGTTTAAGAGAAATGCACACAAAGCACTTCAAAAGCCACAATGCCCGACTGCCGCTTCCCCAGCAGTATTTGGGTGCTCTGCAGAAACAGTATGTGGAGACAATGAGGACTTGCTCCTTGAGGTTAAAGAATTTTGAAAAGTTGTTGCCCCCTCCTTTTCTTCTTCTTAAAAAAAACCCCACAGTAGCCTCACTTCTGCAGAGACCAATCCTTTGGTTCCCTGCTATTCAACCCATCCTCTTGCACTTCTTGACCAGAAGAAAGGGGCAGCTCCGTTTTTGGCAGGCTGCACTTGGAACTTGCCCTGCCCAGGGACAAATCCCATCCTCGAGCCCCACAATAACCCCCTGCAAAAGCAAAAACAGGGACTCTACAGGATGCAGGTACCATTCCCTTCTCCGCAAAGCAAGTAAAATGTATTTGTGTGTTTGTGATCTGTGGTTGCCCCTGCTGAGCAACTGAATGGGTCAGTGGGGGAGCAGAAATGACACAGAATCATAGTGTTGGAAGGGACCCAAGGGTCATCTTGTCTAACACCCTGGTTCACAGTGATGGCAGCGACTCCTAACCCGTTGTTCTTACTTTCCAGAGTCTACTTTTATGAAACAAAAAAATTCATTCTGGTTAAACAGAACACTTTTAACTGCAAAAGAGACATGCGTCATACAAACAAACCCAACCCGTGTTAGCACAACAAGTTATTACAGCTCAGCAGCCGAGCCTGAAATCTGACGTACTCTTACTTGGGAGTAAACTCCTTCTGCATCAAAGGGGTTGGGATTGGGAAGCCTGTGCTCACACCCCCCCACCACCACCAACCAATCCAGCAGAAATAAACGTCTCATCCGACACAACCCTATGCCTGTTTGATCAGAAACAATTCCCCCTGTGTTGAGTGGGGCTTACTCACAGGTAAAGTGTGTGCCTAGGACTGCAGCCTTGATTTTAGACAGAGGAAAACCTACAGCTGATGCAGTGGGGAGGCAAAATGGAGATACCAGAACAAGGAATACAGTTATGTTTGAAACTGGTGGTGCGAGGGAACTCTTCACTCTTCCCCTCCTAATTATAAAAAACCCCACAATTTATTTAGCCAAGGTGAAATTTGTTGGAAGGTGGGATTCACCAGCTAGCTCTGTCCTTGTTTTGGGGGGTGGTTCTCAGGCTGCTCCAAAGCTGAAGTGGGACGCGGGTGGCGCTGTTGGTTAAACCACAGAGCCTAGGACTTGCTGATCAGAAGGTCGGCAGTTCGAATCCCTGTGACGGGGTGAGCTCCCGTTGCTCGGTCCCTGCTCCTGCCAACCTAGCAGTTCGAAAGCATGTCAAAGTGCAAGTAGATAAATAGGTACCGCTCCAGCGGGAAGGTAAACGGCGTTTCCGTGTGCTGCTCTGGTTCGCCAGACGCGGCTTAGTCATGCCGGCCACATGACCCGGAAGCTGTACGCCAGCTCCCTTGGCCAATAAAGCGAGATGAGCGCTGCAACCCCAGAGTCGGTCACGACTGGACCTAATGGTCAGGGGTCCCTTTGCCTTTACCTTTCTCAGGCTGCTCCAAAGCTGAAGTGGTTTTTTGGGCAGGGCTTGATGGGGAACCACAGAATTGTAGAGTTAGAAGGGAACCAACTGAGTCCTCTAGTCTAAGGCCCTGCAATGCAGGAATCACAGCAGAAAAAGCAGAACCAGAAAAAGTAAAATGCAATATTTTTGAGTTCTTCTCTCGCCAGATGCGAAGCCTAAGCAGGAAATCACCATTTCGAGGCTCCGTGAGGATATCTGCGGAAATTGTGCCCAGCCTGCCTAGCCACAATAAAACAGAAGAATCAGAGCAGTTTGAAACCCATTTTGGGGGTGGGGGAGAAGGGACCCCAAATAAATCATCAACCAATCTGGTTCTGATGCCATTTTAAGGCCAAACTGCTTGTCAAAGTTAAACACGAGTCGAGGGGCGGATCAGGATATTGCAGCTGCCTCCTATTTGCACTGGAAAGTTTCCTTCTCAGTGCAAACAGCAACTGCGTAAATCGTGATGTCTGCCGGGAACTGGAGAGGGAGCAAAAAAGGGAGGTTCCCCCTTTCCATACCTGCTCCAGCCTTGATCCTGGTTCTCTCTCCAAACCCACGACTGGTATTTGTCATTAAAAGCAAAAAACAACAACGCATGCCTACTGCCACTTGCATTAATCTAGTAGGAGAGCGCCCCCCCCCCCGCTGCCTGCACACAAACTCATCACTGACCGTTCAAACACTTTTTGATTCCTGCCTGAACAAACTCCAGGAAGTCCACAGGGAGGTCAATTTCTTTGATGACACAACCTGTGTGCATTTGCGTTGCAACATACAGAGAGGGACAGGCAGGGACGTTGCTCTAACTACTTTAAAGTTAAGTCAGAGAAATGAGCATCAAGACTCATAGAATGGTAGAGTTTGAAGGGACCTTGAGCGTCATCTAGTCCAACTACAGCATGTATGACCAATGAGAGGGTCTTAAATTAATGTTGGTGACTTTTTTGTGATGATTTTATTGTGTGGAGGGTTGGTTTGTTTTTTTGTAAAACACTTGGGAGGTCAGTTTGTTTTTTATACAATCAAGCGGTGCATAGATTGTATGAAGCGAAATTAATTTTGCGAACTAAATAATCAAATCGCTCCCCTCAATTGCTCGCCTGGAATGCAAGATCCATCTTTCAACTCGACGAACTTAGGTTAGCCATGTTCTTTGATTGCAATGGGTCTACTCAGAGCAGCGTCTGGTGAGATTCAGGCCCTGAAATTGGGACAGGATTCTGGCTGCCTCTGGATCTGCTTGTTTTGTATTTTGCTATTATTGTGGTTGTTACAGTATTTTAGATGTGCTTTTATTTTTTTATTTTAAATTACATTCTGTTCTTTTGTTGGATATCCTGGGATCTACAGTGGTATCTTGGCTTCAGGTTATAGACTCCGCTAACCCAGAAATAGTGCTTCAAGTTAAGAACTTTGCTTCAGGATGAGAACAGAAATTGTGCTCCGGCGGCACGGCAGCAGCAGGAGGCCCCTTTAGCTAAAGTGGTGCTTCAGGTTAAGAACAGTTTCAGGTTAAGTACGGACCTCCGGAACGAATTAAGTACTTAACCCGAGGTACCACTGTATTTGAATGAAGGGTGGTTCACAAAAGTGAAATAGATAGATAGATAGATAGATAGATAGACAGACAGATAGGTAGGCAGCAGGGTCTGTCCTGCCAGTGAGCTTCAGATGAGGGTGCCTGTTGGATCTCTGCCCTGATTCCCTGCTCTGGTGTTGTTTCCTTCCAATAAGCCTTTGCTGGAGGAACGGAAGAGGAGCGAGAAAGATGTTGCAACTGGGCAGCAACAGACTTCGTCCCTACCCTCAAGTTCCGCAACAGATCAATCAACCACTCACTCCAAATACAGAAGCATCCTAGAAATAAACCCAGGGGAGGCTGCCCATGGCAGCTCTGAATGAGTCCCTGTTCTCAGCAACTGGGTCTGAAGAGGAGCCACACACCTGAATTTTCAGAAGTAAGCCATCTGAGGATGTGCAAGACAGGCAATTTAAACATGCATGCTAGGTTGAAGGAAAATGTTGCTTTTCTTAGCTTAAAAAAAATAAAAATCTGGCTGATAGGTCCTATTTCAAGATTTTGCACAGATGTGCATGTGGGGAACTGGTTCACAGATCAAAAACAAAGTGAAACCTCACAACCCAACCTTTGTGCATTCCTTCCCCCCCCCCATCCCCTGCTCCCTGACTGATGAGCACCCTAGGTCATGTTTCATCATCCACCCTTCAGACACCACCATCGCCCGACTCACTTCCTATGACTAAGTATTCTCAACGGACAAAACTAAAGTGCACCAGCTGGTTTAGAAAAATGATCACTTGTGTGACATTTTCTATTTGCAAAGGAGCTCAGGTGCTTTAAGAAACACCCACCAAGGTGTGCTACAAATTCCTACCATCACTATTTAAAGACACTTGGGACAGTCAAAGTTTGGATCATGAAAGCAGAGAACTAATTGGCTACTTGCTAATGACAGCAAGATGGAATGTCACACATACATGGGTAAAGCCACAGTGGAAATTTGTAATGACAAAGTCTAGGTTTCTGACCATGTCAGAAAAGCCAATGGAAATACTACTACTACTACTACTACTACTAATAATAATAATAATAATAATTTTATTATTTATTATTTTATTATTTTTATTATTTTATTATTTTATTATCTGGGAGGCTTTCAGCATATATAAAAACACAATAAAACATTACATTAAAAAGCTTCCCTATGCAAAAAGTTTGCTTACTAAGAGGTACCTTTTATCCAGCCTAATTTCACTTTATTTAGTATATAAGAATGAGGGACAAAAGCCCCCAAATACCCCAGCAAGGTATTGAATTTTATGGAACTCTTAACAGCAAAAAAAAAAAAAAAAAAAGGCTCCACATTAGAGATCAGTGACCTGTATTTTGGGAACTCTATGCTGCATACGATGGAACATGTGGCAGAGAAACAGAACAATCAAACATAAGAATGTAAGTGGAGCCTTGCTGGATCAGGCCCACTAAATGAAGAAGCGGCTGGTAGGTTTTACTGTAGGAAGTATGAATGGGGATACAGTGGTACCTCAGGTTAAGTACTTAATTCGTTCCAGAGGTCTGTTCTTAACCTGAAACTGTTCTTAACCTGAAGCACCACTTTAGCTAATGGGGCCTCCTGCTGCCGCCGCACCATCAGAGCACGATTTCTGTTCTCATCCTGAAGCAAAGTTCTTAACCCAAGGTAATATTTCTGGGTTAGCGGAGTCTGTAACCTGAAGCCTATGTAACCTGAAGCCTATGTAACCTGAGGTACCACTGTATTTGAGCTACGAGATAGGGATGCAGAACATGTGGCCACCCAGATGTGTCTGGACTACAACTCGCAACATCCTTGACCGCTGGCCAGGCTATAGCTGGAGCTGTTAGGAGACCCACAGCATCTAGAGGGGACATCAGTTGCCCGCCTCCCAAATACAGCATCCCGGCTCTGAGCCAAAAGGTGGACGTAGATGATCTCACCAACCCTGAGTCATTCAGAGGGGGATCCGAACAAACGACAAGGTGAACAATCCCCTGCAACTTATCCGGAGGAAACAGCACGGCGGCCAACATTGTGGCGGGCTTACGGCTTTGAGATTAGTTTGCGGAGCAACAAAAGCCGCCGGCCGCTATAAATCCCCACCGAGGTGTAGCGTGGGACCGGGCAGGCCAACAACCCGTCTGCTTCTGGTTGTGTAACGGCTATTTACCACAATCACATGCCGGAGCTTTTGCAAAAGACATAATAAGGCCCGGCCAGCCCCTCCTGACAAAGCTTATGACAAAGGATTAGGCCACATGGAGAAAGCAGCACATAGTCCAACTATGGAACTCACCCCCCCCCCCGAGGGCCACCAATTTGAATGGCTTCAAAAGAGGACTGGGAGAATTCAAGGCTAGTCATAGGGATGCTCTGCCTCTACAGTTGTACCTCGGGTTACATACGCTTCAGATTACAGACTCCGCTAACCCAGAAATAGTGCTTCAGGTTAAGAACTTTGCTTCAGGATGAGAACAGAAATTTTGCTGCTGCGACGCAGAGGCAGTGGGAGGCCCCATTAGCTAAAGTGGTGCTTCAGGTTAAGAACAGTTTCAGGTTAAGTACGGACCTCCGGAACGAATTAAGTACTTAACCTGAGGTACCACTGTACAAGCAAGGCTTCCGAATACCAGTTCCTGGAAAGCACAGCAAGTGTGGTGTGCTTGGGTGCTCAGTCCTGCTTCCCAGTTTCCCATTGAGGGGGGTGCGTCTCGTCCGCCACTGTGAGAACAGGATATGTTGGACTGGGTGGGCCACTGGCCTGATCCAGCAAGCTCTTCTTCTGTTCTACATATCCATCATGACCAATAAGCCCCAGAGGCAGACCTCTCCTCCTCTTCCACCCCGATTTATTTCATCTCATTTATGAACGGCTTCCCAACGTGTTTTAGCATCCTTCCACGAATCTGTCCAACCCCCTTTTTGAAAGCCAGCTTCCATGTCACTCAGGGCAGCCCGTTCCATCCCATTCACTTAGCACCGTATCCAGAAGTGTTTTCCTTGGTCTGGTCCCATAAAAAAATAAAATTAAATTTATTTGCTACCGCTACCAAAAAAAAAAAAAAAGGAGAAAAGTGCAAACTTAACAAAAAGAAAAGAAACCAAGAAACAAAGGTTTGAACCGCAAAGGGCCAAAGCCTTGGAGGGACAAAAGTAGAAAGAAGAAGAGTTTGGATTTGATATCCCGCCTTTCACTCCCTTTAAGGAGTCTCAAAGTGGCTAACATTCTCCTTTCCCTTCCTCCCCCACAACAAACACTCTGTGAGGTGAGTGGGGCTGAGAGACTTCAAAGAAATGTGACTGGCCCAAGGTCACCCAGCAGCTGCATGTGGAGGAGCGGAGACGCGAACCCGGTTCCCCAGATTACGAGACTACCGCTCTTAACCACTACACCACACTGGCTCAGAAAGATACAGCACAGCTCCAAAGAGACCATAAAGTGTCCCCACTGATTACATCGCATGGCTGGGAAGGCTAGTATGGTGGGGAGAAAACCCCTCTTCCTCCAGCTTCTCCTCACCAGGCATAATTTTGTAAGTAGAGCGAGATAAATCGGGCTGGCTCCATCTTATGTCCATTTTGCATGCACTCATTCAATATCCTGTTCTGTCCTGTCGCCACCACAATCCACATTTTTTAAAATTTTGAGAAATCTGCACATAGATTAGTATCCATGTGAATGTTTCCCCCCAAAAGGCAACACATTTCTAAACACGGTTTCTCTTGAGATATGCAGCACTTTCCTCAAAGGAGGACAGCACTGCAAAATTCAAAAAAAAATACGAAATCTGAAGAATAGATTGTCCCAGAATACTGGGGGCGATGCAGAGTATTTAGACTCCATTTCTACCTCCCAAGCACACAGTGGGAGTCAGTATCATCTCAGGAATCCTTACAACACCCCCCTGGAAGTCAGACTAGGCTTACCAATACAAACTAGGGCTTGTGGGAGATTGAAAAGTAAGAGCTTTGGAAGGACGCATTACGAGTTCACAGTAGAAAGGAAGATCTGAACCAGAGTTTTTCTGCTTCGCTGCTCGCTCTCTTATTAGACAGTCCACTGCCTCTAATATCCATCTTGGAAATGTAATGCATTTTATTTCGGCTTTTGGGTGGGGAGGAGGGGCTGCCACCTTCTGCTTGAAGTGTTCACCTAGTGGAAACAGTTAAAAGCACCAAGGAAATATATTTCCTCCCTCTTCCTTGCTCGGGCAAGGAGGGGGGAGGGAGTCTACGGAAAGAAGATTAAGTGGGGGACTCATTTTGCTCTCCGAGACCAACACCTCCCTCCTTCCTCCCCACCCCCCGGGACGTGCAAAGGGTCATGTACACACCCGTTAGGTTCCTCAGCCCAGCTCCTGCTTACAGATTACCCATGACACTGGACAAGGCTTATGCATTTATACACCTCCCCCAGTACGAACTGGACTCCTCACTAACTAAAAGAGAGAGAGAGAGCTCTGACCTCAGATCTCAGGTTGCTGGGGGCTCGTCCCCCCACAGCCAATCAGGAGGCTGATCCTGCGCATGGCCCTCCCTTCCCCCCTCGTAAGCCAGAGCATCATGTTCACCTTTCGCCCACATTCGCTGGGCTGCTTCTGCCTGCCTGCCAGGCCCCCCTCCCGTCCCGCCAGGCGGACATGCCAGCAGCACCCTCCCCAATGGAGGAGTGGGGCGTGGGGGAAGGGGAGGAGGAAGATGGGGGAGAGAAAGGGGCCTCCCCATTTCATCAGGAGGGGGGAGGGAAGCATGGCAAGATGCATCCACTTTGAATATGCCCAAATGCCAGAAGCGACCGGAAACAAGCACATTCTCCCGCCAGGAGGGGTGAAGGCCTATCCTGTTGCAAAGACTCACTCTTGCCAGGGTAAAGACCCTCCCCGCCCCCAAAATTCAGGAGCTTAAACAACATGGCTCAAGTTAGAAACCTTTTGTCATTTGCTTTCCAGACGGAAACTTGCACAGGCAGAGCAAAAGGCTGGGGAGCTGGAGCAGTGACGTCTGCCAACTTAGAGGCAGGGAAGTAGCTAAGTTCCTAGTGGGGGGGGAGTTGCTGCTACATCAGGTCCTCCTTGCAGACTTCCCTTTGGGACACCTGGACTGCCACCGCATAGCTGTCAACCTTCCCTTTTTTTTTGCGGGACATTCCCTTATTCCAGTGCCGTTTCCTGCTGCTTCCCGCTGCTATCCTGGATTGTTAGATATCCTGTAGACTGTCCCCAGGACAGGTGAGGCTGCTGATCTCTTATTTTCAAATCTGAAAGTTGACAGCTATGTGCCACTGTGAGAAGAAGATGCTGGACTGCTTGGGCCACTGGCCTAATGCAGGGTCTTCTCCTGTTCTTAAATGGTTTCGGGACCAACTCAGCTCAAATTCAGCTGCTCCACACTGCTGGAGGTGCAGCCTCAAACAGACCTTTCTCTTTCAGCAATCGTTTTAAATTAAGTTGCATTATGGATCTTGTGATTTTACCTGTGGGGTTTGTGGCTGCTGTTCGTTAAACACACTATATCCTTTTGGCTGATAAGATTGTTTTATTGATTCTTACATAAAACTCTCTAACTGTCTATGGTGACAAGTGGCTTAGGGATATTATAAATCAATCAATCAATCAATCAATCACCCAAATGGCCCCAACTGGGAGAAAACAATGCCTGCAGATCTCACTTTCCATCAATTATGTAATTTTTAAAAAAGAAAAGAAAGATTAGAAACATGCCTTGCGTCCAGAAAAGCTAGTATAAAATTGACCTTTCATCTACAGCACAAGATCTGCCCCCCCCAAAAAAATTCCTTCCTTGCCCCAGGTATGGTGTTGCCAACTAACCAGAAAAAGAGACACTGTGAGCTGCTCTTGTGCCTTTTAATAGCATGAAGTATCATCATCTGCCAAATGTCTAGAGATCAAGCGTTGGAGAAGCAACCCATTCACTGTAAAAAAACCCACTTTCCTAATCCAGATCAAGTTGGTGTTAAAGGGTTAGAGCAACTGCAGCCAAACCAGAAATGGGCAACCCCGATCTCAATCAGGACTGCCATTTTGGATTTCAACACCAAGGGAGACAAGATGTTCAGCTGGGCTTCTTGGATCGTTAAATATTAATTTGCTTTTTAAAAGAAGAAGTGTACTTCAAGGATATTTGTCGTTTGCTATACCTGATCATCACTATAGCAATGACATCAGTACAGGATACGTCCCTTTGGTGCAAATGCTTAGTACGTAGACCCACTGAATTGTAGGACAATCATTGCTCACAGTCTTGTGTCTATGCAGAAGTAAGCTCATTGTATCCAGTGGGGCTTACTCGCTAGTCAGAGGCTCCAGGATTTCAGACTTAGGATGTGTTTTGTGGTGGAGAGGGAGAAACAGGCCTACTGCCTTGTCTAAGGGACTCCTCTGAGCTCCTCCACCACCCCTATCTTGAGTGCTTGCTGTCTGGGGTTTCCTACCCCACCCTAATGAAATTTTCTTTATATTTACTCCCCCCTCCCTTTTTTTACTCTTCTGCCTAGAACAGACTTGCAAGTAGCGGCTCGCCTCTTCGCCTACTGTGCAAACTCAGAACCACCAGCAGAAAATTTCCATGAACCAAAAGATGCTCCTTTTCGGATGGAAAAAACCCAGAAAAGGCCCCACGCCTCCCTGAGCAATTGTTTTTAAACTGGTGCAGGATCTCTGGAGCCCAGAGGAATCCTGGAGAGCAGCAAAGCGTATCATGATAACAAATGCATTTTGTCAATATTTATTATCCCCATCCTTTCCAACAATGATCCGGGACAACTCCCACTGACCTGGTCTGGTCTAGAGGGGTCTTTGTCCAGGAGATCAAAGGCTGCCCCATTGTGTCCCAGGCCTCTTTGATGAAGGAGCAGAAGAAAAAAGAAGGAACGCCGCCCCCCGCCTTCTTCATAAATTGTTGTTTTAAATCCTATCGGCTTCCGAAATTTTTGGCCTGGGGGGAGCGGAGAAGGAAGCGGACCACGAAAGTGCCCCGCTTGTGAGCTTCTCCATCCTTCCCCTGCAGGACGAGCGCAGTGGTGTGCTCCCAGCCGTCACGTCCCACATTCCTGTTCCAAATCCACACCTTATGAGCAACTCAGCCCGTGGCGCTGCCAAGATTCCAGCCCAGCTCTTCCCTGCCGCCACCCTCGCCCCTGCCGACTGTGTCATCAGCAATCAGGGTTCCATCGGCAGCCTTGTGACCAGTCTCTGCACACAAGGGGTGGGGGAGACACACCACGGCATGGAAAGGAAGCAATTGACAACCCTCTTGCACAATTTAAATCTTTCAAAAGCATCCTGACCCAGAAACATTGAATCACACACGAGCAGTGTTGCCTCAAATGCCCTTTGATGTGGGTGAGGCTCTGTTTTGGGCTGGTCTTCCGCCTTTGCAAGCCTAAAGCAGGAATATTTTTTGCAAACTTGATTTATCAGTGAGATTGGGCCATATGCAGGCTCTATGAATGGAAAGTGGAGACGCTGTAGGTGCTTTCCCTTATTTGTTTATTTTGTTAATGCAGAAAAATCTTCAATGAAAACGAATAATAATACAGTGGTACCTCGGGTTAAGTACTTAATTCGTTCCGGAGGTCTGTTATTAACCTGAAACTGTTCTTAACCTGAAGCACCACTTTAGCTAATGGGGCCTCCCGCTGCCGCTGCGCCGCCGGAGCACGATTTCTGTTCTCATCCTGAAGCAAATTTCTTAACCCGAGGTACTATTTCTGGGTTAGCAGAGTATGTAACCTGAAGAGTCTGCAACATGAAGCGTCTGTAACCTGAGGTACCACTGTAATAAAAAATTTAAGCAGGAAGAGAAAGCGTTTGCATTTCAGGATAGTAAACAGACCCGAGAGACCCTTTAGCTATAGAAAGATAAATGCCTCAATGGGTTTGCCTCTATGGCAGCAGAATTGGGAAATGAAGAGGAATAGCGTATGTCCCTTTATTAAAAAGGGAGATGGCCCCATAAGAGTCAGACCACGTCTGCAGAGACATGGGTTCAAATCCTCAGTCCTTCTTGGGCCAGTCACACACACACACTCAGCAATACCAACTTTATGGGATCAGTGCAAGGATAAAAGGCAAAGAGGAAATTGTAAGTGCTGCTTTCGCTCCTTGGAAGCAAATGTAATTAAAACAATGAGTGAGTCTGCGGTTGCACACAGGCTTTGAATGGAGAGAGAGCCCCGGGCTCAATTTCTAGCAATTGTCATTGAAGCGTCTCCAGTTAGCAGGGCTGAAAAGGGCCTTGCAGAGCAGGGGTGAGGACCCCAACTCCCATCACCTCTGGGGACTGGACAGGGCTGCTGGGGCTTGTAGTCCAAAAAACATCTGGAGGGCTACAGGATACCCACCGCAGCTGGAAAGCCACCACCAGCCCCTTGGACAAGCTGGTCTGACTTGGGGTGAGGCAGTATCATAGTTCAGAAGGCAGCCCTATTGAATTGCACCCAGGTTACATGTCTAGTACAAGACTGCAACTTCATAAGATAGCCCTGGGAATCAATGTGCTGCCTACCCTCATAGTCAACAAGTGAAGGCACATGGGCTAAATCCAGCCCCTTGAATTGCCAATATAAGGACTGCCTTATCCCGAGTCAGACCTTTGGTCCATCAAGCTCAGTGATGTCTACACTGGCTGGCAGCAACTCTCCAGGGTTTCAAGCAGGGGACATTCCCAACCCTACCTAGACTGAACCTGGGACTTTCTGCATGCAAAGTAGGCTCTCCGCCCTTGAGCCATGATTCTTCCCCACAATAAACCCAGAAAACCACAGTAAACAGTAAGGTCTTTGCTTGCAGCGGAGAAACAAAACTGAGACCTCAGGTCCAAACAAAGCAGGCCTGCTGCGTTATACAAAATGAAAACAAGTACAGGTATACCAATGTACTTTTTTAAAAAAGGCAGACGAAAAGCATAAAACTAAGTAAGGAGCAGGATAAGACAACATTGCTATAGGAACAGCACCTAACGAAAGGATTTGCCAGCATCCTAAATCAAGGCTCGGAAGGAAATAGGCAGCCAATTCAACTCTTTCAGAACAGGCATAATGCGAGATGCCCATCAAAATTCTGGTAGGGAAAGACCTGCCAAATAAGTTGAAAAACATCTTCATGTATGCGACAACGGCCGCGAGAGTTCTGGTAGCACAAGGATGGAAGACTGAAGAAACCCCAACTAAAGAATCATGGCAAGAAAAATTGGTGGACTATGCAGAACTGGCAAAACTGACATATACCGGTAAGCTACGGGACAAGGATAACTGTGACTTTAAGGATGAATGGGAACCTTTCACAAAGTATCTGAAGATGCAACAAAGCGAACTGGACTCCTTTGCAGATTTTGAATAAACATTCACAAACTTTTTATTGACAATAATCAGCTAAATAGTTTGAGGATCTATACAACTTTGTAACATGCAGAAAACAGCATTCTTAGAGAAACCAAAGACTGGAACTGAGGGAAGTCGGGGGGTGGGTTTTGGGGGGGGGAGGAAAAATGGGGGGGAAAACAAGGATGATATGTTTTTGGATAATATGGCTTGTTATAATTTTGAATATAAAAATTAAAAAAAAATTCTGGTAGCAGCGGTCTGCCCCGGTGGAATTAATATCTGCCTGCCACACCAGGGCTTCCCTCTCTCTTAGGAATCACCTGTGACCTCGTCTTGGTCCGGGTGAGCTGAGAGCATAAGGGAAAGTCACCTGAAGATGGGGCAGCTCCTAAGCAACTGCTTCAATTGCTTTTGCCTGCGCTCTCCTTTTGAGAATTAGAAACCGGGCCAGCCCTACCGTTAGACAATCGCATTAGGTGGCAGGTACTTGTGGGGAGCTAGAGGACAGAAGCAGCAGCCACAGCTCCTGAGCCCTGTAGTCTTTCCCCTCTGTTAGAGATCAGGGCTGTGTGCACCCCCTCAGCTCCACTCAGGTATAATGGAGGATACTACCCCATTGGGGCATCTCTGTTGTGATGGATAGGCAAGATACGAGTTCAAGTCCACAGCCCGTGAGCTTGTTGAGTTGCCATCTGTCAGGCCTGCCTATCTCGCAGGGTTGTGGAGAAAGCTTCCTCCCAAAATTTCATGTCAAGAGTTTACCTGCCCTATAGTTCAAACCCGGCACTACAGCTCATCTTCAGGCATCACACAGCAGGATTTCTGCTCTTTTATGTCAGTCATTGCCAGGATACTGACACTCCCCAAATGTAACCCGAGACAGAACTCAGTTCCAGTTTAGGAACTAGTCTCCTGCATGAGATCTCCATAAGCCAGTGGTGTCCAAACATTTTTCAAAGAGGGCCAGATTTGATGAAGTGAAGGGCCGTGAGGGCCGACCAAAGGGCCAATCAAAGTTGTTGCCTTTTTTTAGGATTGAAGTGGTTGGCCTTTCTTTATGATTTTACCCCAAAGCTGTTGAACTTTTTTTAGGATTAAAGTGGTTGAGGTTTTTTTAGGATTTTACCTCAGGAAATAAACTGCCACAGGGGCCGGATTGAACCGACCGGCGGGCCAGATTATTATTTTTTAAATAAATTTTTATTAATTTTCCAATACATTTATGCATTTTTAACCAAATTGTAACAAAACATCTCTTTTGGACTTCCTTTAGCTTCTCTGGCAATCATCCATGTTTATCTCTTAATTACGCATTCCCTTTACACATATTGCCTTTTGTCTTCCCTCTCCCTTCTATTTCTTTTTTGACAATATCTCTCAGTTTTTACAGCGCCTCTCGAAACCCCACTAGCGTTGTTTGTATATCGCATACATTTTTCAGATACTCTACAAACTTTCCCCAGTCTTCGATGAACCTTTGGTCTCGGGCATATCTGATTTTCCCAGTTAATTTGTCCAATTCCGCATAGTCTGTCAATTTCAATCTCCATTCTTCTATTGTCGGTAATTCCAACAGAAACCAAGAAATCACTGTTGACTCAAATGCATTATTGGCAGGGATCTTAGGAGCCAACTCCTAGGGAACATGGGGGCTTTGGCCCCCACAATAAAATATTTGAGGGGGCTGAACAAAGTTGATGAGTATTCCCATTCAAACGGTGTGTGCGCACTTTGTCATGTGATTGATTATGCGGTGCGGGGCTTACCTGGGGCCCCCACAATATTTTATTCAAGTCGGCACCCCTGGCAACAATCCACTGGAACATTTGCTTGGAAGCTGTACGCCGGCTCCCTCGGTCAGTAAAGCGAGATGAGCACTGCAACCCCAGAGTCGTCCGCGACTGGACGTAACAGTCAGGGCTCCCTTTACCTTTTACATATACATTGCAAGGGGTACACCTGATGACTCTCTACAATTTAAGTTTCTATACTGTAGGTCTACTTCTCAAACTGTGGAGGTTTGGGCTGAAAAGTGGATGGGAGACCGCCCAACAGCAATATCCCTGCTGCTTTCATCTCCCTGCAGGACAAGCAGCATATTTGGTGTAACAAACATAGTAGGTCACTCATTTCACAGACAGAGAACTAAGGCCAGGAATATATGTGGGAGTTGGACCTCAACATTTGAAAAGTGAGTACCACAGATGATTCTTGAGCAGAATTTCCCCCCCCTACAACACCACACTGAAGAACAAGTGTGAGATTCTGGGAAAGCTCTCTTTATCATTAGTGACAGGGACAATAAATTGAAAAATAAAGATGAAACGCTTAAAGCATCATTACAGATCGATGATAGGAAAAGCGAAAGAGACCGAGATAGCAAGCCTATACATGCTTACCTGGGAGTATAAACGTTTGAGCTTAATAGGGCCTACTTCTGAGTAAACTTTTTATAGGATTGCATTGCACAATTTCTAAAGAAATTTGCAACTGGCTGCCGCATAATCCAAGTTCATTAGCGATGGAAAGGACATTCCTAACCCAAGCTCAATGTTCATTTCAGTGCTGAGGTTTCACCCTCCATTAACCGAAATGTACGAGACAATTTTTAAACACAAAGCCATTCATTTTAAAGAATGATTAAACATCTCTCTATTACTCCCGGGGAAGAATGTCTGCAGATATTGCACAACTGTCATTTCCTAGATAGGAAATGTTGCAGAACAGGTATGTTTGACATTTTGAGAGGAGAAAAAGTCCAATTACAGACACGTCAGTCTGGACACTTGCAGACATGTACACCGTAAAAGCAGAAACACACCCTGAACTTAACTGGATTTTAACTGTGTATTTTAACTGGTTTTCAAGAGGGGGATTTCGGAGAATATAAAATGTGATTGTGTTTAATCAAAATATATTCTGCTGGATCTTCAAAACAGAAACTAACCAAGTTACAATGTGTGGCGGTACATGACAGGCAACCCCCACAAAAAGAGGGATGCGATTTAAAAAGTGAAAACAATCCAGTTATTCCCCCCCTCATTGTGAGCCTTGTAAGGAATTTTAGAATGATTTCAGAGTCTAAAAAAATATTTCTAATATAATGTAATAGAAGGCAACGTTTTACAGATTAACAACAACAGCATAGCCCTACTGAAATTAATGGACCTAAATTAGTCATGCTCATCAATTTCAATGTGTCTACTTAGAGAAGAGCTAACATGGGACCAAACCTATCTGTAAACTCAGGGGAGAGGGTACAAAAAAACAGAATCGTCTGCCAATAAAGGTACGTGTGAGAAATAGATTACTTGATCCCAAAATAAAAAGTAAGCCTTACTAAAACTCTAGACTGATGGTGTGATCCACAAGCAAGTTAATCTCACCAAAGTCACCGTGACTAGCAGACAGCCTGACTTATTTACTCTAAGGCTGCAAGCCTATGCCTTGGAGTAAAAGCTCCACTGAATTCAATGGGGCTGACTTCTGAGCAGACATGCATAGGAGAACATTAAGCTCAACGGGATTTACAAGCAGCACAAAACTGCAGCTGAACCACGCAGCACCAGACACGGTTCTTACCTATTCGTAAGCCCCATTGAACCTATTGGAATTTAAACACCAAAGGAGAAAACATGCATAGGGGGCAGGCATGGGCATAGCCAAGGTGGGCTGCCCCCTAACAAAAATCCTGGCAACACCCATGGGGGCAGGTTACACAGTGCGCTTCCTTGCGATTAAGACCCAATGCACATAGTGCAACTTACTTCTGAGTCAACATGCCTATAGGCTTGTTGGGTGTTTAATCCCAGGTCTACCCCAATCCCATACAAATTCAGGGGTGGGGTCCTCAGATTTAAGAGCTGGAGTGATGTTGGTAAGTGTAGCTGGATCTTCAATACTTCCCAGAGACCAGCCTTTCTCAATCTTGGGTACCCAGATGTTGTTGGACTACAACTCCCATCATCTTGCTAACTAGGAATGATGGGAGTCGTTGTCCAACAACATCTGGGGTCCTAAGGTTGAGAAAGGCTGCACTAGACTATTTCCCCTACCCTACCCTACCCTACCCCGTCTTATTTCTGGTACCTGAGCTCAGAGCCCCTCTGGCTGGGAAAATCAGCTCTCCTCCATTTCACCTGCCTTTATACAGCAACGCGGGTGGCGCTGTGGGTTAAACCACAGAGCCTAGGACTTGCCGATCAGAAGGTTGGTGATTTGAATCCCCGCGACGGGGTGAGCTCCCATTGCTCGGTCCCAGCTCCTACCCACCTAGCAGTTTGAAAGCACGTCAAAGTGCAAGTAGATAAATAGGTACCACTCTGGCGGGAAGGTAAACTGCATTTCCGTGCGCTGCTCTGGTTCGCCAGAAGCGGCTTGGTCATGCTGGCCACATGACCTGGAAGCTGTATGCCGGCTCCCTCGGCCAATAAAGCGAGATGAGCGCCGCAACCCCAGAGTCAGTCACCGCTGGACCTAATGGTCATGGGTCCCTTTACCTTTACCCTGTCTTATTTCTGGTACCTGAGCTCAGAGGCCCTCTGGCTGGGAAAATCAGCTCTCCTCCATTTCACCTGCCTTTATACAGCAACTAAGTACAATGCATCTTCTGAGCCTTAAGCTGCAACCTCGTAGTGTACACTTTCTGGGTAGTCCCACTGAACCCAGCAGCATTGCAATTTCAAATAGGCACACGTAAGACTGAGCACCAGAACTGGTTTGCAAATGCTCACACACTGCTAGTTCTGGATTTTGCCTGTGCAGAGCCGCACACAACTCAATCCAAGCACCCTGAGTTTGTGGGCTTGCATTACAAGTCAATGGTGGATGCTTCTCTTTTTTGCAAATATCACTGTCCAACAGCTCAGATAGCCAATATGATGAAGTCTAGGCTTTGCCAACCTGCTGCCCTCTGGATATTTTGCAGCCTGGCAAAGACTGGGACAGAGGCTAGAAGACTGGACAGGAAACATCGTGGGTTCATTTATTGTATCTTCTGTTTTATGCTCACAACAGCCCTGGCAAGGCAGGTCATGGTCAAGATAAAGCAAGGGTTACAACATCACCCATGAGCTTCCCAGCAGAGCATGATTTGAACCAGCATCTCTCCTGTCCTGGCCTAACAATTTAACCAACACACCATGTCCTCTGCGTAACTTGAGCCCAGCCAATTGCAGGGCTGTTGTAAAATAAAATAACCCCAAAATAACATACACTCGCTTGGTGACCTTGAAGGATGGAATGCTTTTTTTTGTAAAAAAAATTGTAAATTAGGAAATAAAGCGGAAACTGATGCACACAGTCAAATATTCCAGCTTCTCAATCACGGCATCATCAACAAAAGTTGCCATTTCTCCTTGTTACAGAGGCTGCAGATTTTCTGACAAATTTCCAGCTGACTGTTACAATCATAGTGGGCTGTCCCAGACTCAGGGGTTTTTGGAACACCTTCTGCAGCCCCAAAAAGGCACTTGAACCCTGTTTAATAGGGAACACAAGCACACAAAACTTTGCGAATTGCGCTCCACTAATGTCTAAACCAGTCACAGAATATTGACAGGCGTAAAGTTGCCAAACATTAGGCTAGCTTTAAGAAGTCCTCATAAATGAAACAGGTGTTTCCCCAATTTCTTTTCATTCTTTTCTCTTTCAGTTTCAGAAAAATATAGATCTACTGCACATCAATAAACCTGTTCAGTGTGTTGCCAAGAGTTTTGCATCCAAACACAAAATTTCCATTCAGTAGAGGAAAATTTAGACGCTGAAGTAGAGGCAAAAGGTGGAACAAATTATTCTCTGGGGAGGTGGGAGCCCCTCAAGCTATGAGCGGGCTAACACACACACACACACACACACACACAAGCTCCAAACCAAAAATTTCCACTTTGCCTCACCACCCAATCAAATCGGGGCAGCAAAGGAGGAAAAGGCGAAGTTGGACTTTCCTGCATTTTTGTCCAACGTTAAGAAGGCTGCCTTTATTTATGTTTCCTTATTTCACCACCTTCATCCCGATGTGTTCCCCCCCATCCCATTTAAGCAGAAGGCCCTGAAACCAAAACCCCATTTACAACCATTGTTTGAATCGGAAACAGAGGCGGGACATGAACGCTGCCATTCAAGCCATCACCCTCAAAACTCAAACAAATTCCGTGGGGGGGGGGAGTGGGGAAGAGAGTGGACCCCTTTGGTTTCCAGTGTAGAGATTGCCCCCCCCAAAAAAACCCCAGTCCCTCTAAAACCAAAGGAAAGTCGATTTAAATATCAAAGCAGCCGGAACACAGGAGACAAAGGACACCCTCCCAGGAGCCTTTTAACGGAAGTAACACTTTTTCTCCATCAGTGGTTCGTTGCTGATTTTTTGGAGGGTAGGGAACAGTTATTTTGAACTTCAGCCCTTCCCCGACTTGCTTGAGAGTATTATGGGTTGCCCCACGGCCAACCATTTGGAAAGCGACATGATGCAACGGGAGGCAACGGGGGCGGGGGAGAGGAGCCCGAGCGGTGGCGGGACAGCCTGGTGGGGGCGGGGAGCAGTAGTAGGCACGGCACGGCATTGCAGCGCGCTCCCTCCCCCGTCGCGGGAGGGCCTTGCCGGCTTCAGCCACACGGGGGAGCCGCTGCCAACCGGCTTTCTCCGGAGGGGTCTAGCGGTCCGGCGCGCGCGCCCGCTCGCTATGGAAGCCCCCCGCCCCCGATCGCCTGCTTGGACGCCAGGAAGGCACGGGGATCGGGGGGGGATCGGGGGATCCGTGACGCGGGAGGGATTCCCGGGCAGAGACCCGGGGAAAGAAAAAGAGGGAGAGAGTTGGAGAGGCACCGCGCGCTCACCTTGCCGCCGCCGGACTCCATGGCGCTGCGCCGTGCGCCCTCGTCGTGCGCTCCGTCTCTCCAAGTGCCCGTCGAGCTCCGCCGCGCTGCTGCTGCTTCTGGGCTCCTCGGGGCTGGCTACTTCCAAGCCTGGCTGGCTGGCTGGCTGGCTAGCGGGGCTGGCTGGCTGGCTGCACGCTCCTTCGCTCGCTCGCTCTCGGCGTCGTCGTCCCCGCCAAGCTCCCGTCCGTGGTGCGGCTCTCCAAAGTGGCCGCGCGTCGTGCCTCGCCTCCTTCTCCTTGTCCCGGCCCGGCGCGTGGAAGCTGCTTAAGTGACGGCGTGTGTGTCACGCAGGCCCGCCGCGGATTGGCCGGCCCGGCCGGGAGGTGTGTCGGGGGTGTGTGGGGCCGCTTCCCGAGGAAGCGGAGCCGAGATGGGGCGGGGGGCGCCTCCCGCGTCCTGCGTGAGAAACTGCAAGGCAGAGATGGCGAGGGAGCCGGACGCAAAGGAAAGCGGCGGGGGCGCGCGCTCCGGAGGCTCCTCTGGCCCGCGCAGAGCAGGCGAGGCGAGGGGCAAGGAGAGAAGAAAGCACATTTTAAGGAAAACGCTTATTTTAAAAGCACTTTTTTTTTTAAAGCACATTTTAACTTTAATTAAAAATCCCACATGCGCGCCTAAGAGAGAACATCGTCGACATGACGTTGTTGCTTTACTGGTTTTAGGCAGAGTTTCGCTTTAAACGGTCCAGTTATTTTCAGACCTTGTGCCGCGTAGAGGATTTTGTTTTCTTTCAGAAATATCGAGCGTTATATAAGCAGTGGAACTATTAAGCGTTGCGTCTTCGCATTTGTCTGCCGCTTACATAACGCTTGATATTTACTATGGTGCACGTTATTTACCGTTTGTTTGTTTGTTTGTTTGTTTGTTTCGTTCTTTTTTTAAAAAAAGCCTATCGTGTTTATTTGGTCTTTTAAAACTGCCACTCCTGGGATTCTATTGATCTTTTTTTACAGTTGTATTCTCAAAAATAAAGATATATTTAATCGATCTTCTATACATACTGTATATAGTTTTAATTCTAATTAAAGTGTTCAATTGCTTTTTAATGAGTGTCTGGAGAAAAGATGGGACATTAATATTATTTAAAGAAACTGTTTTTGTTAGTTGCTTAATGCACATTTTAGCATATACTGTATCTTTCTATCTCTCACAGGTTCAGCAAGCCAAGTTTCTTTTCTGTTTTTATAAAATTATGTTGCCAAGTTCAAGATTCTATTGCATGAAAATACAGACTGTATCCAATGCTAGTCCTACCCAGAGTAGAACAACTGAAATTAATAGCACATTCATACCAACTGGTCTACTCTGAGTAGGACTTGATGCAGCCTTGCCTATGCATAGCTGTCAACTTTCAGATTTGAAAATAAGGCATCAGCAGCCTCACCTGTCCTGGAGACAGTCTACGGGATAGCAGCGGGAAGCAAAGGGAATAAGGCAATTTCCCACAAAAAAAGGGAAGGTTGACAGCTATATGCCTATGCATATTATATTGTACATACAAACAGTACAATAAACATAAGAAATGAAAGAAGCAACTATAATTAAAGATGCCGTGGACCTCTTGGACCATGGGTGGGTCTAACCCCTTATGCCCTCAAGGTATAAAAGCAGAGAGGGATTTTGCGTAGTAAATAGTATATAAATATTGATGATGATGATGATGATGATACTCAGGAATGTTGCTGGTGGGTGGGAGAGAATTCTAGAGTTACAATCTGATCCTGCATGAACTTTCTTTGTTAGTTCATCCCTGCCTGCTGTATCTCATGGAGTTGTTTTAAATATGCTTTTATTGTCTAATTCAGTGGTTCCCAATTAGCTTAATTACTCAGGACCCTCTTTTTCAAAAGCTAAACCACGGACCCCCTACTTTTGAAAATTTTGAAAACTCTACAGTAGTTATCTCTGCAAAGCAATTTTTGGAATAAAATGTGGGGTGTCCCTAATAAGCAAAGGATTTTAGGTATACTTTTTTAAAAAAAAGACCCTAAAAATTGTGATATTACAATGCAAAAATGACAAAAAACTTAGTTGAGGGGGAGGCAAGGGATGGGGACTTAGAACCCCAGGGGTCCACAGACCCCTAATTGGGAACCATGGGTCTAATTCCTTGTCAATTGCTGCAATGGGCTACTTTGGGAGGAAATGAATACCAGTTGCTGGAAGCCACAAGAAGGGAGAAGGTTCTTGTGCTCGAATCCTGCTTGCTGGTTTCCCTTTGGGGCATCTGGTAGGCCACTGTGAGAGGAGGATGCTGGACTAGATGGGTCTTGGGCCTGATCCAGCAGGGTCTTCTTATGTTCTTATGGCAGAAGAATTGCATGCTGCAGAATTACTAACAAAAATAATAATTCAGGGGTGTCAGCTGGCACAGCTTGGGCAAACTGGGGCTCAATAAAGCATGGCTTCCTGTCACTACTGAGGACTAGTGTAGACTTTCCCTGTCCATATATGACAGGGGTGTGGAAAGAACCCTTTGTATCCTGAGGGCCACATTCCCTTCTGAGGGCTGTATGATAGCAGTGGGCGGGGCCAGAGGCAAAAAGTGGGTGGGGCCATGAACATCAATCTTACCTTTGTTCCTAGGAGAGTTTCTATGCAAACTCACACACCCCTCCCTGTCTTCCACCTGGGCAAGCAAGAAGCCGTATCGGAGTTCAAGGACACATTTCCAGACAGGCAAAAGCAGAAGGTGCAAAGCAGGCCATTAAGGGGTGCAGCCTGGATAAAGTTCTGGGATAAGGTTACCAGATTTTTTTTCAATGAATCCAGGGATGCTTTTCAACTTCAATGGATTTTGTATGAAGACTGATTTGTAAATCAGGGAAACAGGGATGTCTGGTAACCTTATTTTGGGAGCCAATGGAGATGCCCGGGGGGGGGGGGGGCTCCTTTGTCCAAATGCCCCCAACCCTTGCAGCAGCAGCTTTTTACTATCTTGCTCATATTGCAACCAACCAACCCCCTTGGCTTGAGCCAGGAAGGCCTTTTTTTCCTAACATCAAGTATCTGATGACATTAAGACGTTCAACTCGTTTTTCAGCTTCCTTGGCAGGACTCTCAGAGCCTCCAGAGCTGTCCAGGGATGATATGCAAAGTTTATCCACGCCTGGCGTGGCGGCTCCTGCCTCCTCCCATTGTGGCGGCCTCTGGGCTGCACGCGAAAGAACAAAACACAGTGGGGCTTGCTTGCTGTCCTTAAACATAGCAAGTAGGTTTGCTTAGAATATCTCAGTGCATCCCATGATTCGGGGTCTCAGAGGTTCTAGCATCATAACAAATGAGAAGGGAGTGGGTGGGGGGAGGAAGGAAGAAGGAAAACAAATATATAAATGAATAAATTTGCAAATCCAAATGCATCCTCTAAGATGCATCCCATGACATGGCGAAATAAAACCTCTTTTTAGAAAATGGCCTTGAGGATTCCTAATGGAAAAAGATTGGAAATCTAGATATAGCTGATTGTATGAACCATGGCTACTTTTTAAATTAGATGCTACTCTTCTTTTTATGAGGTGTTTTTTGTGATTGTGTTTTGTTCTCAATTGTAAGTTTTTTAAATGGTTTTCAAAGTTCCATATTTAAATTGTTTCCCTGGGGAGGGGGAAGGGTGTGTGTAAAAATAATAGTAGTAATCATAATCATATCAGGTCAGCTCACACAGGACATGAAGTCAAACCTGGGAGTTGCAGCCAGTCATAGCTCCTTATTTTAAAACAAACCCTTTGACCAAATTAGGGTTTACCTGATGAGAATCGGCCCTGATCAGATGCACAGAATGGTTAGAAAGTCATTCAATGTCAAGAGAGGAATCAGCAATAAGAGACAAGATTTTGCAACTGCTCACACCGTGTGTTCATGCTTGTGTTTGTCTGGTGAGCTTCAACAAACATGACATGGCCTTGATTTCTGGAGCAAAGTTCACACACGCACAGTCGTGGCAGAGGTGCAGAGGGGGTCAGTTTGGCATGGACGCGTGATTCTAAGTGAATGTAAGGTACCCCCTTGCCCTGAATCAAGGTTTCCTGCACGCATTGCAAGCATGTGTGCCGCCTGTCTTCTGTGGAATTTATCAGAAGAGGGAGGGACAGAAATGAATCACCAGCAATCACATATTCTATTAATAGGCCTATTTCTTCAAATGCCACCTGTGCACAAATGGGGGGGGGGATATAGCTGCCTGCAGCTTTGTATGTGTGGAGGGGGTGGGGTGCACCTCAGTGGGAAGAAGTGCACAGAAACATTGGGATTAAAACTCCAAAAAACCTAATGATCACTGGTTGACTGTTGCTGGAAGGGGATGGTGATGGAAAAATCACTGAGGAAGGTGAATGGAATGGAGTATTCATGAAAAGGGCATGGCTGGCGGGCTGGCTGGCCAGCCAGCCAGAACCCTACAAAGGAGCACTCCATGACGTTGCAACATTCCTTTGCAGATCCTGCCAGTTGTAACTAACGTTGTGTGGGAAAGGTTTTCATTTGACATATGAACCAAGGATAACTCCCCTACAGAGATCATTAGGGTGGAAACGGCACCGCTCCACCTGTCCTGATCTACCAGAAAGCATCTTCTGGTTTTTTTGTCCCATTTGCTAGCAAATCACGGTCTTGGTTTGCTGTCTCATGGAATGCCGTGCATACATGTGTGTGAGAGGCATGTCATGCCACCCCACCCCCCTTCTAGGGTTAAGCTCTCTTCCTCTTTCCTAGGAACTAAATCTCTGAGGTGGGGAACGGATGTATCTAGCGCACATGTGGACGTGCATGAACACAAGAGCACCCATGCATGTCATGACGTCCTGCTATTTAACACCCTGCAGCTGCTGCAGAGTATTCTGAACCACTGATCAAATATCATAGGAGATTTTCATTCTCCTATGGGATCATGCCAAAGGGAGCCCATCGACTCCAGCATCCTCTTTGCCCAGTGGCCAACCAGATGCCTTTGGGAAATCCCCAAGCAAGACTGGAGGGCAAGAGCACTCTCCCCTCCTATGGTTTCCACAATAACATAAGACGAGCTTGCTGGACCAAGCCAATGGCCCATCTAGTTCAGCATTCACTGAAGGTTTAAAACAGAGATTGGATGGCCATCTGTCAAATATACTTTAGCTCCGATTTCTGCATTGCAGGGGGTTAGACTAGAGGACCCTCGGGGTCCCTTCCAACTCCACAATTCTAGGATTCCCACATTTCCCATGAAGCTTTTGGTTAAACACCCTCAGGGCCAAGCCAGACAGTGACACTGGGAGATGCGATCCCGGGTGGCATTCACAGGGCAGTTTATTCTGTTTCCTTGCCCTTTCCCTAACTGTCCAATTCCGCGT